CTGGCTTGTGGCACAGCCTGACTGGTGGTGGTCATTTGTGTAGAGGCCCCAGATAGTGGACCTCTAGGGGGCTGTACTGATCATCTCTGTGTAGTAGTAGTGGTAGTGACAGTAGTAGTGGCGATGGTGGTGGTGGTAGTGGCAGTAGTAGTAGTGAGTGAGTTTAGTTTTACGCTGCACTCAGCAATATTCCAGCTATATGGTGGCGGTCTGTAAGTAATCGAGTCTGGACAAGACAATGCAGTGATCAACAGCATGAACATCGATCTACGCAAATGGGATACGATGACATGTCAGCGAGCCTGATCACTCGATCCCATTACTGAAGATCAATTCTAACCCCTTCATGGGTCTGTTGTAGTAGTAGTATTAGTTGTAGTTGTAGTACTAGTGAGTGAGTCTAGTTTTACGCCCCTTTTACCAATATTTCAGCAATATCGCGGCAGGGGACACCAGAAATGGGCTTTACACATTGTACCCATGTGGGGAATCGAACCCTGATCTTTGGTGTGCTGGGCGAACGCTTTAACCACTAGGCTACCTCACCGCTCCCTGTAGTACTCTAGTAATAGCAGCAGCAGCAGCAGTAGTATCATCACAAATATGTCCGTGTTTGCCTTTGTTTATGTCCATATTTATCACCAACTTCTTGTGCATCGTTGACAAAGATGAATTTCTGCATTAAGCTATATCATACCTGATATATGACCATTTGTTTTAAATTGAATCCAGATAAGTCAGCTCAATTATGCAATTCACTTTATTGTAAACTTACAGCGAACTATATTTGTCCATATTGGAAAAGAATCAATGTTTTTATTTTTCAAGTGATAAAATAACAATCCTGTTTGTTGATTGACACTGCACTCCGCAATTTTCCAGCTATATAATGGGGGTATGTTAATAATCTAGTCTAGACAGACAATCCAGTGATTAACATCATGACCATCGATCCCGTGCCTACAGCAACCACTGCATCTGGAGTTTTTCCTGAAGATGCAGGAGATGCAGGGCTCCCTTCCTTGAGTAGCTAACAGCCTGATGAGCTTCTCCAGTGATTTATTCACCACTTTTGAGACACTAAAAAGCTTCGATTCTCGATAAAACACAGACCCACGGTTTCAAAATACTCTGTAATATTTCTTCAACAAAGATCAATAATACTGTGCCTTTGCTTAATAGGCAAGACTTATCAGTGACTGAATTGTAGTTCTTCAGTCAGTGGGTATTGAGGTTTTGTGCATGATCTCTGCAGCCAAGGAAGCTCAATCAGTAACCAAGTCCTGCTATGCAGAGAAGCCAAAAGGCAAAGAGAACATTCACTTTTTCAAATGAGAAAGTTCAAGTTTTTGGAAGCAAGCATTTGATTTAACGTTGGATTTTGGAATGACAGCTTTGGTTTCTTTAGGTGGTAAATCAAAAGACTGAATTAAGTTTGTCTTTTCAATACTTGGCAGAATAATTGTTCTCACCAGAATCCAATTAGAGAACCATTGACAAGATGGAAATGTCCATCTTGTTCACTGAATCAGAGAATATTTCAATTTATTTTATTGAATCAATAAATATTTCAGTCTCATTTACTGATTCAGTGAATATTTCAGTCTTGTTTACTGAATCAGTGAACTTGTGCATCTCGTTTATATGAATCAGGGACCATGTTCAGCTTGCTGACTGAATCAGTGAACATGTTCAGCTTTTTCACTGAATCAGTGAACATGTTCATCTTGTTTACTGAATCAGTGAACATGTTTATCCGTCTATCATGACAGAACAGAATGGTTCATTATATTTATGTAACACTGAAAATAATCACAATTCTGGATGTTATACTGATAAAATCCCATGGAAAAAAATATATGGCAAATGTGATTTAAAAACAGATATTGCCCAACAAGAGTTTATTTCTTTATTTTTCTACCTGAACAAAAAGGTTTCTTCTACCATAAGATGTATCATCAGGAATTATCTGGATCGTCTCCGAGGCTGATATTCGACCCCAGACAAATGTCAGTGAACTAAGAAATACAACTACCATGCTTTGGACTCGTGACGTGTATTTCACTGACAAGACTTAGCCGATGAACTGTTTTTCCCCACATGCCAAGGGCACATGGTTTTGAATCCTGGATAAATCTCAGATTCTGTATAAGCATGAAATGCTTTGTCTCATGTATTGGCGAAAGACCTTCCCATACACAATGCATGTTAGGAATCTGGAATTTGTGCTATTTTGCCAAGAATTGTAACAAGAGTGTTATAGTTTGAGACAGCGCACCTTGCAGCAGCATTGAACTGACTTGTCAGTGCCACTGAGTCCTCTAACATCTACGTCATTAGTTCCCCTGCTGAGGTTCACAACATACACGTGCACTAAAATCAGGCGCACTTTCTTCATATCATTTTGATTTCCCTTGAGAGATTTTATGCAGTTCGTTCAAATTAAAACAGAGGACAGAGTTTTCATTGGAACGTTAACAGCAGAACAATGGCAACACTCTCTAATGACTTTGGTGAATTTTTTGTCAAATTGTTAACATAACTTTTTGATGCTGTAAGTGAAATGACAAAGCTGTGATGGTTGCCTTGCATGCGGGAGTCAACATGTGTCCTTTCTCTGTCTAATTTCTACATTCACACCAGATTGCACTGCAGCAGAGTTTAATGGTGCCAACTCTATGTGACATCAAATCATGTAAAAGTTAAAATGTCCTTAAGTCTAAGGTTAAGTAGGTACTTCAGCACTGGATGGAAAATAATGCTTACCTGTAGGTCCGAGGCTAGCTGAAATTACCTCAGGCTATTAGAATTTGATTCTGCCAGCACAAAAGGATTGGACATTTTGTTACACTTGCTGTAAATTATCTATTGTCCTCAATTCCCTCAATTATATTGCTGCACTTTTTGTGAATAATGTTTTTCAATTTTAGAATTAATCATATCTACAATGATTGTATTTGAATATAAACTGACGTCAGCAAAATGTTCCATTTGCATAATGTACAATATTAACATGTCTGGGTTCACATAATCTTTTAGGACAAGTAGTGAGTGAGTTTAGTTTTACACTGATTTTAGCAATATTCCAGCAATATCACGGCAGGGGGCACCAGAAATGAGCTTCACACATTGTACTTTAGGATTAGTAACCTTCTACTAGTAGCAAACAATAATCCCACTGGCCTAGCAGGCTTTGGCAGTTTTAGGTTGAATTCCATCTCTGTCAACACACACCCATGGATGCTATATGTTTGACTCTCTGAATGTTCTGCATGAATGACTCACAAACACAGGTATGCCACAAACACAGGTATGCCACAAACACAGGTATGCCAAAATTGTCTTTAGGGATTTTGTCATTTAGATGTAGATACCACAAGCCCCTGGAGCAGTGTAACCAGAGAACCAAATATGAGAATCTGTTTAGAATGCGGTTTCAGACTTGTACTTGTTTTCTAACCAGCCCATACCATGGCTGTATATGTCCTTGGATTCCATTTCAGCTAGTTACATGTTTGTTGATTATAAGAGAAGGGAAATATTCCGCCTATCTGTGTTATGTGAGCTGTGATAGTCTGACATGTGAGGTTCCTGTGTGTGATATATGTTGATGTCAGATATTAATCTGTGGAAGATAGGCTGACATTCACATGACAGGAATGAAAGTGGACACCTGTTTTCTCCACACGTGCCACCATGCTGTTTTGCAACTTATTACTTGAATGTCTAAGTTGACACGAGCGAGGGGCAGAGGGGTAGCCTAATATTTAAAGCATCCACTCGTCACGCTGTAGACCGGATTCGATTCCCAACATGGGTACAATGTGTGAAGCCATTTCTGGTGTCCCCCGCTGTAATATTGCTGGAATATTGCTAAAAGCGGTGTAAAACCATACTCACTGACACATGTTAGCAATATTCCAGCAATATCATGGCAGGGGACACCATGTGGGGAATCAAACCTGTGTCTTCAGCGTGATGAGTGTTAATGTTTTAACCACTGTGCCAACTAGCCATATCTCTCACTCACTCACTCACTCACACACACACACACACACACACACACTCTCTCTCACTCACTCACTCTCTCTCACTCACTCACTCTCTCACACACACACACACACACACACACACACACACACACACACACACACACCTTTCCTGAAAATTCAATGTACGGTTGATATTGTACAGCAAGGTCTCCTGTATATTTACCAAGCTGGGGGTGGTGGGGTAGCCAAGTGGTTACAGTGTTCGCCGCACGTTACGCCAAATACCCGGGATCAAATCCCCACATGGATACAATGTGTGAAGCCCATTCTCGTGTCCTGTCATGATTTGCCGGAATATTGCTCAAAATGGCGCAGAACCATACTCATTCACTCTCTATTTAACAAACTATGTTTGATTCCCCACTTAGTGTGAAGGCCGTTTCTGGTATACCCAATCACAATGCAGCTTAAATATTGATAAATATGGCGCAAGACCATACTCACTCACTTAATGTTCAGTACAGATGTTGCAACCATAGTGTAGGGTACAGTGGTCAGTGGCTTCAACACACTCAAGGGACATGTGCAACAGTATCCTTATGTTCATATCCAGTACCCATTTCTGGTGTTCCCCACCGTGATATTGCTGGAATAATGCTAAAAGCAGCATAAAACCAAACTCACTCACTCACACTCACTCACTCACTCACTCACTCACTCACTCTCACTCACTCACTCACTCACTCACTCACTCACTCACTCACTCACTCACTCACTCACTCACTCACTCACTCACTCAAGAGCAGTCTGGCCCAAGTGGTTTATGGTCAGTCTGAAAACAATGCAATCAGTTCCTGTTTTCACCAATCTTCTCCTCCACACGGGAGATGACATTCCACACATCCGCGTACCTCCACTTCATTTATTTGAAAGCAATAACCAAAAAATGCTTACAGCTAACTTTGATCAACAGCAAGATAATTACATATTCATTACATATCTTTTCAGAACTCCATCGCTGAGATCGCTCAGCTCTTTACGGAATTCTTCCGGGACTTAGATGTGGTGCCATCAGATGTGATCGCCGGCCTGGTTCTACTTCGGCAGTTCCAGAAGCAGCGCATGGCTAACATCGTCTGGCAGGTACTCATGTAACCCTATCAGCTTCAGATTCAAGCTGTGTTCATGTTATTTATTTATATACATTGTCTCTGTGCATTTAGATTCTTTTGATGTTATTGACTTGCTTGTTTTCCTAAATGTGCCTTTAAAGTTTTTTGTTTGAGAAATGTCATCAGATTACTTTGGCTCATGTTATTTCCAAATGACCCTTTCAAGTTTTTTTGTTTGAAAAATATTCCATGTGAATATTTAGTCTTTGTCTCATGTTTTAACATAGTACTGTTTTTGTTTTATAGTTTTTATTTTGTGTCTGGTTTCTAGATTATATTTAGATTGCAGGTATGTTGTTCCACTGCTTGTATCAGATTCACTTATCGGTATGAAGGCGGAGGTATATTGTTTTGACAAATGAATGAGTGAGTGAGTTTTGTTTTATGCCGCTTTTAGCAATATTCCAGCAATATCACAGTGGGGAACACCAGAAAGGGCTTCACACATTGCCCATGTGGGGAATCAAACCCTAGTCTTCAGCATGACGAGCGGACACTTTAATCACTAGGCTAACAAATTATATATCTTAATAATTATCAGTATAACATATAGCAACAGCCTTTGAAATATGTTTTATTTTTTCTCACAATTTTGTAAATACCTTTTTCAATGTTCTGTTGTTTTCCTATCATCCGATTGCCTCATGTTCCACTTCTCTACATATAATGTTACACAGCCAGTATCTGTATCAGCTTTGTGTTGCTCGCAGTTGACACCTCTGCGTGTTGTGTAACAGATTGTACCAGTGCAACACATGGGGCAGGAAATGGTGGTCAGATTACATGCTTGAGTGAATCTGTTACTAGCTTACCTGGCCATTTGCACCTGTGTGAGACAGTGTCGTTTATCTACTTGTGAATCTGCAGCATTCTAGTGTGAATCTGTTTTTACTCACCTCAGAGGTGCCCATGACCCCCACACTCTAAACTGCCCAACAGACACTCATGTCTCTGTCTGTCCCCAGGGTAACAATGATGTCTACCAGTACCTGTATGGGGTGCCCATCGGCCCCGACGCCTTAAACTGACCCACCCACACTTACATCTCTCTGTCCCCATGATAACAATTATGTATACCAGTACCTGTCTGGGGTGCCCATCACCCCCCACACCCTAAAATGCCCCACCCACACTTACATCTCTCTGTCCCCGTGATAACAATGACGTCTACCAGTACCTGTCGGGTGTGCTTACTCCCCACACCCTAAACTGACCCATTCACACTTACATCTCTCTGTCCCCAGGGTAACAATGACATCTACCAGTACCTGTCAGGGGTGCCCATCACCCCCCACACCCCACCAACCACCCTAGACTGCCCCACCCACACTCATGTCTCTGTCTGTCCCCAGGGTAACAATGATGTCTACCAGTACCTGTCAGGGGTGCCCATCACCCCCCACACCCAGTTCCTCCAGCTGAGTGTGCCATCCGTGATGGAGGACTACCGCCGGGTCATCCACTACATGAGACACGCCCTGGCGGCGTACGGCTGGCCTGCCACCATGATGATAAACCCAGGGACATGGCTCTGTCGACTCATGCCTTTTCTCAGGTAAGGAAAATTGTAACAAAAAAAAAGGATTTATTGCACTGTAACCGTTACATTGACAGAAAGGTGAGAGTGTCTTTTGCGACATATGGTTTAACATGGTAAGTGAGTGAGTATTGTTTTACACCACTCTTAGCAATATTCCAGCAATATCACGGCAGGTGACACCAGAAATGGGCTTCACACATTGTACCCATGTGGGGAATCGAACCCAGGGACGAGCGAATGCTTTGACCACTGGGCTACCCCACCACCTCTGATGCTTAGAATTAGTCACTGAGGTACCATGTGTTCCTACTGAAACTGCTGCTGGATGGAATATGTCAAAGTTGTTCAGGTGGACAAGTTTCAACCTGTGTGTTAGGTGGGATGGTGACTTGGGGTTTAACATTGTGTGTCAAAATTATTGCAGGTATATAGCAACAAACCTGTGTTCATGTGACTGCTGTATTTTGTCTCACAGTCCCTGAACCACATTATTTTCCCTACTGCCTAGCCCTCCCTGCAATGCTAAAGCCCTAAATGAAGCAAGTCTAGATTTCCTCAGGTTCTGAATCTCACTTCTCACTGGGGCTCCTTTCCAATATAAGAAGAATTGTTTGTTTCTATCAAAATTATATCTATTCAGAGACTAAGCATTAGCTTAGCGGCTGCTTGTACTTGGACTAATGTCAGTTTTGTAGAGCTGACCCAAGGAGATACCCTACCCAAGGTTAACATTGATACACCACTCACACATAATGTGGCTTTAAACCGACCAGTTCTGTTGTGGAAAGCACAAGGCAGAGGAACAACAAATTACCATCTTTTATTGTCCTTTGCTTTGATGTTGCTGGGGATCGGAAGTAGCATCCTTCCACTCACCAGACCACAGCAGTTTCCCATCTTAACATTATCCACTCCTGTGTTTGAACATCAAACACGTCTTTAATATTGACATAATTTGTTATGTGTTGAAAAAATGTCTCGTATATAACTGTATGTCTCCGTCAGTTGTTGCTGCTGCAACAAGCAACGAAACGCCATCGTGATTGACGACAACTGCTGCCTGTGCAACTTCTCTGCCCTGCGTCGTATCAGCGGTCTCCAGGAGGTGGATGTAGTTTACGCCACCTACCACGTTGATGTGAGTCACCATTATTCGTGTCCTGACTGTATCCCACGGGAAGAAAAGGTCCACAGCAACCAGTTCTTGTCATAAGAAGTCACTTACTACTCTTAAACACTCTAAAACTCATTTTGGATTCTTTGTAATACTTGGCAAAATTACCACTAAAGCAAATTGAGCTGCTCTGAAATAAAGGTCTACTCCCAGTTGTGAGACTCCCAGGTATGAGACAGTAGAGTAGGTAATTAACAACGAAAACACACCATACTCCCCTGTCTGATAGAATGTATTCACCCTAGCTAATTACTGATTTGCTGTGTAACTGAATCTTGTGGAGGTAACTTAATGAAACTTTATAAGATAAATTGATTAACATACTCAGGTAAATGTCTTTAAAAATTAAACACTTTGTTACCTAAACAAAGTAACTTCGTGATCAAAGAGAAATTAATTTACCTACTCAGATTTACTCCGTCTCCGAGTGTAAACCAGAAAATAGTTGAATCCGTCCACGATGATATCATCAAGACACAACCTTCAAATTTTCACAGGGAAGTACAGAAATTAACTCAACAACCTTCTCGTGATTGATTTATATTCCTACAATAGCTTGTTAGACACACACAACTGTAAGTCTCTAATTATGACTACTTATAAATAGTTGTATTTGATGTAATCTGTATATATTTATATGTACTTAAAAATCTATTTATGCAATAGTCCATATCGATGACGTCACATCCTCCATTTCATTTTATATTTTATGTTGCATGGGAGCGGTGTTAACATAAGCAGTAATACTTCACCAATCCCAATTCATTTTCATAAATAATAATAAAATATGTTTAAACCAAAATGACTTTCAAACTTCATAATAGTCAATAAAAATGTGTTATCATAATTACATATTCTTCTGAATAAATAAAATATTCAATGAAATATTTCTTCTGTAAACATAATCTTTGATAATCTATTTCATTAATCAACTCATCAATGAACTATGCCTCCTGTGAGTACTCTTCAACAACTGGGCTGATCCCACTTTCATTGTAGGGATGTGGAAACACCACCTATGTGCACTGAACCATTAATTAATGTGTCTCACAACTGGGAGATCTCACAAATGGGAGGACACCGAAATAAACACAGTGGTGTATTTGGGGAACATGTGGAAATGCAGGCACTCTGGTCATGAGGACTGTGTATAGGAACTTAGAATATTTGTGTTGCTTTGTGAATATTCAGTATTTGAAACACATGGAATAGACCTCTGTATTTGACAACCTCTTGTCATTCGAAAATTTGCTTTTAAACTTTGGCAAATGGTCATAATATTCTGGGTTGGAACTTAGAAACTGATGGTCATGTTTGTTATATTTTTCTCCAGATTGGTGAGACTCCATTCTATGTGGCCCTCGATCATGCGGAGAAGACTGTTGTTGTCTGTGTGAGGGGCACATTGTCATTACAGGTAGGTTGTCGTGTGAGGGCACATTGTCATTACAGGTAGGTTGTCGTGTGAGGGGCACATTTTCATTACAGGTAGGTTGTCTGTGTGAGGGGCACATTGTCATTACAGGTAGGTTGTCGTGTGAGGGGCACATTTTCATTACAGGTAGGTTGTCTGTGTGAGGGGCACATTGTCATTACAGGTAGGTTGTCTGTATGAGGGGCACATTGTCATTACAGGTAGGTTGTCTGTGAGGGGCACATTGTCATTACAGGTACGTTGTCTGTGTGAGGGGCACATTGTCATTACAGGTAGGTTGTTGTCCCTGTGATGGGGCACATTGTCATTACAGGTAGGTTGTCGTGTGAGGGCCAAGTTGTTATTACAGGTAGGTTGTCGTGTGAGGAGCACGCTGTCATTACAGGTAGGTTGTCGTGTGAGAGGCACATTGTCATTACAGGTAGGATGTCATGTTAGGGGCATGTCATTACAGGTAGGCTGTCTGTGTGAGGGACACATTGTCATTACATGCAGGTGGTGGCCTGTGAGGGGCACACTGTCATTACAGGTAGGATGTCGTTTGTTTGAGGGGCACAATGTCATTACAGGCAGGTGGTGGCCTGTGAGGGGCACGCTGTCATTACAGGTAGCATGTCGTTTGAGGGGCACAATGTCATTACAGGCAGGTGGTGGCCTGTGAAGGGCACGCTGTCATTAGGGCACGCTGTCGTTGTTGTCTGTGTGAAGGGCATACAATGCTGTCCGGTAATTCCGCGCACCACAACACGGCAACTGACGTCTCTTATTTTTTGTGGTTTATGTGACTAAACATGCTGGTATGCATCATATTTACCTAGAAATATAAGTTTTATTGACGACTATTAGATTCTAACTTTGCATTATGCCATACGGTTGACCTTACCGGCGTTCTGACGACATCGCTTGCTTTCTGGTAATTCTGCGCAGCAACTGATGCGCATAACATCCAGCTGGAGATCCGAAGTATGGAAGCGTATTAGGGCCAGATTATTTTCAAAAATCACTTCATCAATGTAAGTAAGAGTGTTTCATATTAAATCCAATTTTGAAAACTGAAGAAAAAGGTTTAAAAGTCTGAAGAAAATGAATTTTCACAAAACTGTCAATTTATCTGTCAATTACTATTATTTACTTACCTTTAGTGATTAAAAGCCAGTCCCTTGTAGAAATGTCCCCATTTCAAGCGTAAATGTGGTACAGACAATGTTTACCTTTGATACGGAAGTACGCTATTGCAGCTGCGCATAATTACCGGATGCGCAGAATTACCGGACTCGCTTGTAATGTCATTAGAGCTTGGTAATTGTTTGTGTTTGGGGCATAATGTCATTACAGTCGGGAGGTTGTCTGTGTGGGGGCACATAGTCTCGATATGGCAGTGTTTATCCAGCAACTCACATGTTGCAGGATGTGCTGACAGATCTGAAGGCAGAGGCGGAGACTCTCCCCCTGACCCCTCCCAGGGAGGACTGGCAAGGTCACAAGGGGATGGTGCAGGCCGCCGTCTACATCAAAAAGAGGCTGGACGAAGAGGGCATCATCATCAAGGCCATGAATCTTGCTGAGGTGAGATGCAGGCCTTTTCCATTGTTACACCCACATTACTCAATAAATATATTTTCCATTAAGCCAGGTGAGCTACAGACCCATGTTGGTTCATTCAGTGTCATTTTCATATATTTTGTGTTTTCAGGAGTTGAGCTCTAAGAAGTATGATCTGACCCTGGTAGGTCACTCTCTGGGTGCAGGCACTGCGGCCATCCTGGCCATTCTTCTTCAGCCAGAGTTCCCCACCCTGCACTGCTACGCCTTCTCTCCCCCAGGGGGACTCATCAGGTGAGTCAACATACATCATATCCCACACACACATACATTGCTTGTGTAGTTTTGTGCATTCCTATTTTTCTGCAGGGCATGTTTCTGTACACAAACAGGTTCACCATCATCATGCCATGGTAGTAGGTTCAAAGATTCACATTGACCATAATCATTTGTCGTCAACTAGGTGATAGCATAACTGCCCTCTCATTCCAATATTTCTATAAATCAGTACAGTTGATCGGCACCCATACCATCATTTTGACTGACCACAGCAACATCATGTTGGCTTGTCACAGCTACAGCAATATTGGGTTGGCTTACCACAGCCACAGCAACTTCATGTTGGCTTTCCACAGCTTAAGCAATATCAGGTTGGGTAGCCACAGCAACATCCAGTTGACAACCACAGCAACATCATGTTGGCTAGCCACAGCCACAGCAATATCAGGATGACTTGCCACAGCCACAGCCACAGCAATATCAGGTTGACTAGCCACAGCCACAGCAATATCTGGTTGACTAGCCACAGTCACAGCAATATCAGGTTGACTAGCCACAGCCACAGCAATATCAGGTTGACTAGCCACAGCCACAGCAACATCATGTTGGCTAGCCACAGCCACAGCAATATTGGGTTGACTAACCACAGCAATATCTGGTTGACTAGCCACAGCCACAGCAATATCAGGTTGACTAGCCACAGCCACAGCAAAATCAGGTTGACTAGCCACAGCCACAGCAACATCATGTTGGCTAGCCACAGCCACAGCAATATTGGGTTGACTAACCACAGCAATATCAGGTTGGCTAGCCACAGCCACAGCAATATCAGGTTGACTAGCCACAGCCACAGCAATATCAGGTTGACTAGCCACAGCCACAGCAATATCAGGTTGACTAGCCACAGCCACAGCAATATCTGGTTGACTAGCCACAGCAATATCAGGTTGACTAGCCACAGTCACAACAGTATCAGGTTGACTAGCCACAGCAATATCAGGTTGACTAGCCACAGCCACAGCAATATCAGGTTGACTAGCCACAGCCACAGCAATATCAGGTTGACTAGCCACAGCAATATCAGGTTGACTAGCCACAGCAATATCAGGTTGACTAGCCACAGTAATATGAAATCTGTTTGCAACAGCAATATCATGTTGCCTAACCACAGCCATTGCAATATATAATGTTGGCTAGCCACATGCACAGAAATATCATGTTCGCTAGCCACAGCCAATAACACCTCCATCTGTCCTGGTCACAGGGCCTACAAGACTGCATACCGAGACAGGTTGTAACAATCAGTTTCACCAAGCTGCATTCAAAGGCGACATTTCTGTCTATTTCTGAGACACATTATCTGCTACGGCTGTGCCAGGACACTTGGAATAGTTTTTCTGTGATGGGATTATTGGACTCCAGGAGTAATTATGGAAGCCTAAAGTGGTTATTGGTACTGATCTCTGTTACAGGGTATTGATTAAGTGAGGGAATAATCTATAATGACTGGCATGATATTGAACTGATCCAGGCCAAGTGGTCGGTTCCATGCTTAACTGACATTGTCAGATTGTTCGAGAGATTCAATTCTGGAAGCAGGTATTTTAAATTCACAAGCATGTCATGTTTTAAGGGACTTGACATTCAAAGGGAAACTTTGGTCAATAGCCTGTTGTCCTGTCTCTGCTGCAGGCCTTTACAGTCAGATACAGACAAATATAACAGTAGGGTACAGACTTCTACAGTTCATACCATCATACATGCACAAAACCGAAAAGGTGCTTGTCTTGGATGATGGTGGTTTAAGGGCACTAACTGTGCTCATTAATGCTTATCAATTATTACATAGCTCACTCACTCACTCTCAGCTCTCAAGTCTTGGTTGGCACATGTCATTGGTTCCCCATTGCGCCGGTCGATACTCATTCTGTTGATCACTGGATTGTCTGGTCCAGACTCGATTAATTACAGACTGACACCATATAGCTGGAATATTGCTGAGTGCCGCGTAAAACCAAACTCCATCACTCACTCAAGTCAATGTTGTTGTTCGGAATGGTCGAACATATCGTAAATGCGCAGGTTTTATCCACTAAACACAAACAATTTATAGGTTTGATATTTTCAGATAGACTAACCTTTATTCTGAAAAAAACGAAAACAAATAAAGTAAAGTATTATATAGTGTACATTTATATAAAATTATAAACGCACTATGTGTTTTTTCTGTGTGTTGCCATTAAATATGTCTTTGTGATAATTAAAAATTGAAAAGTATGTTGAGCAGTGGCCCTTCCATTTTCATTTTCAGATATCTTAGAAACAGTTAAGTACTCTAGAACAGACCAGTAGATACTATTAATAAAATTGTCCTCCTCGGTTGTGTTTCAGTATATCCTGTGTAGAGGAGACTAAGTCATACATCACATCTGTTGTCGTGGGGAAAGATGTCGTGCCCAGGTGAGTTTAAAATCACATCCACTTCTGATCAGCGTTCATGTATATTCATATTTACAATATTTCATTTGATTTTTCCAGATAAATGTAACTGGGAAGGATTTTGAGTATCTTGGTGTTGTGCATTTGTGTGTATATAGCAGGGGCCAGTTTACTCAGATGCAAGGCATCAACATGATTTCAAGATAATGTTCTTTGAATTATATTTACTATAAAATTATTTTTAACAGGCAAGTTTTAAACAATATCAATGATATTGGTTTCTTGTTTTGACTACTCTGCATTTTCATTCCTGAATACCTACTGAATATCATTCACATGATTTTGCCTCTGTTAATGAGTGCAAGAGCTTATGAGCTTGAACTAGGTAGGGCAAGGAAATCAGTACTGTAGACTAACACATAGTCTCTGAAGTGAATGTGTGTCACAGAAAACATGGTTTCTAAATTATGTTAAAAAATGTATAATAAAAATGAACCCAGAGACTTTCTACATTTCCTGAAACTGTAGAAATATTGACTTGTCACATATTCTAGACTTGCATGGGCTAAATTAGGTATATTTGTTTAAGGATGTGCAGACGAGCACTATCTCCTCCCTAATATTGCCATAAAGTTTCTAAAAAAATGTCATGCGCTTAGGAGTTACATAAAAATGTAAATGATTAGGTAACAATAGATACGGATCTTGAACAAGTAGTTCAGACATGATATGTTGAAAACAATTGTTATTTTTAGAAGAACATGGATAGGAGTTTTCTTTCGGTTCAATACACTATAAGTCCCATAGACATTCTAGAAAATGTGTACAAACAGACCATGTTGGCATTGCGGCCATGGAATAACATACAGTAGAGGATATAACTGGTGGATATAATGATTTGTTAAGGGGTACTGGCGACTTCCTGTATATTTTTAGTCGAAATGCGTATTACGAACTACAGCTAAAATAAGTGGTCCCTTTGAGTTTGTTGTAACCGTGTTTACTATGCTGCGATCATCTTGTATTGATTACTGAAGTGAAGGCCTGGGACCACTTGCACAAAGTGATTTTAGCTGTACAACTGCGTAAGACCATGTTATACTATGAGAGTTCTGGTCATCGTAACGCTAAGATCACTTTGTCACTGGGTATGTACCGTTAGTCGAATAGTTTCCTTGGAAATTCACACTTCTCCATGTTCATCAGGGCCACAGTAGTCCACAATACTTTGTCACTTGTCAGATGAGCCAAGCCGTCTGATTAATATTGGGTGGTTATAATGTCTAACTTTGCTTATAGTATTTCATTATAACACAACAGCATGGATGATGATTAAAGAAAGCGCAATCCGTAAATGAAAAACTGATGAGTGAGTGAATTTAGTTTTAAGCTGCTTTTAGCAATATTCCAGCAATATCACAGCAGGGGACACCTGAAATGGGCTTCACACATTGTACCCATGTGGGGAATCGAACCCAGGTCTTCGGCGTGACGAGCGAACGCTTTAACCACTAGGCTACCCCACCCCCCGGAAAATTGATGACTGTGGCCTAAAACAGCATTCCTTTCACAGTGGCCATGATGTTTTTCAGAATTGGTCTACCTCAAATGGAGCTGCTGAGGACAGATATCATCAACATGATCAAGAAGAGCATCGACCCTAAGGTAAAATACGGTAGACATCCCATGGATTTAAGTGATTTAAAACACTCGTTTGTTGTGTAAACTCTTGCTGAGTTAGCAAGTTTGAAGTCACTGAAGATGGTGAGACTGATACATTCAAACCCTGATATCTCGAATTTGCCGACATTGCAGACTGTTTCTCCATTCCCCACCGTCTCACATTTATATTTACCCGCTTATCTCAAATTTGAGATAAGAATATGTAGCACTATCTCGAACTTTTGTCTTGGTCTAAACATTTACTTATCTGTAAAATTATGTATCCTTATGGCAAAGTTGGCATTTATACATAACAGTGGAAAAATGCATATCGCACATCTGTTGTCATGGATACATATACATATTAAATCAATAACATCACTGTAAAAGCAAAGTTTAGCTGAAGCAATTGTTCAACAAGTTATGTTCTGAAAGCAAATGTAATTATAATGTTGAAGTTACAATACGGTCCTGCTATAGTCAAGAGTCAGTGTTGGACTGTATATACACTGTTGCTGATTGAGCGAGGTGGTAGTGATTAATTGTGATTGATGCAGGAAGATAACTACATTTAGGTTTGTTGTTTAATGCCACACTCAGCAATATTCAAGCTATATGGCGGCGGTCTGTAAATAATCAAGTCTGGATAGGACAATCCAGTGGTCAACAGCATGAGCATCGATCTACGCAATCGGGATAAGATGACTTGTGTCAAACAAGTCAGGAAGCCTGACCACCCAATCCCGTTAGTCGCCTCTTACGACAAACATGAGTTACTGAAGACAGGTATACGTACTGACATGGTTTTGACTGTTTCAGTGGAAGATAATCTCAAAGGGAGTGTTCTGTTGTTGTGGAGACTACACAGGCAAGAAGGGGTCGCAGGTCGACTTGGACCGCAACGTGACCGCTCACCCCAGTGACTCGCAGATCGGCTTGTCCGCCCATGTCCCCCTGTTCCCCCCGGGGAAGATCATCCACATTGTCCGCAGTCACCCCAAGAGTCAGGGTCAGTACCATGAGAGTGTTTACCATCATCATGTGTGTCTGTGATTGTGGTTAGAATGTATTCAAGGCATCTGTTGATAGTGGTAGGGCTAGGACATATACTGCTCAAAAGAAGTTAAGGAGCAACACATTTGTTTACTATTACTATAGTCATGACAGTTTTGTATAAATAAAATATTGCTGTGTTGTTTTATAATTATATGCTTAATTTTAAATACTAGTCAGTTAAAATTTATGTCATGACAGTTTAGTATTAAATAATTTGTGTGGTTTTTTTTTATTGTATACTTAATTTTAAATAGTCGTCAGTTAATTTTTTTTTAAGAATTAGGTCATGACTATGCATTTGAATGCAGGTTAGCTCCATAGGTATTAAATGAGTACAGTTTTAAATAAAGGTGATTCATGATAACAGCCGTTGTAGTAGTAACACAAACACTTGAAGTTACACCATTAACCATTGGATCTGTACAACGTTATTACCATTTGATATCATGAATAAATAGCTGAAGTAACTGTTAGCGATAAATGAGTTCAGTTTGTTTTCATAGATTGTCAAACACTTCATTCCTTGTGTGGCAAGTGTAAGAATGCACTAGATTTGTCATTGTTAGCGTCAAAGTGTATTACTGTGATGGGTAAAGGGAGATTATTTGACATCTAATTTCAGAACTTTAGATTGTCTCCCTTTGACAAATGAGTTATTGGTTAAACTGTTTATCATGGGGTACCAGGTGACACATTTTCTTCATAGCGTACATTTTGGATATTAAATTATTGTAATAGTTTACATTTTTAAAAGGTTTTGGTCTGTAGATCTTCAGTCTATTTCTATTTTCATACTTTTGAGGTTTTAGGGTTTTTGACTGGTTCGTCATAATTCGTCATGAATAGTAAAGTTTTAGTATTTAAATAATCAGTTCAAGTGGATTTTTTTATTTTTTTATTTTATTTTTTTTGGGATGGGGGGTGGGGTGGGGGGTATTTTTCTCACCATGATGTCCACTTATCTATTGTTGGCATGACTCTTCATTCTGGTCTTACTAGTTTGGGAATGATATTATTCTGACCACAGTGTTGTAGAACCACATACTTTCCTTTCTACATAGCATGGTGCATTTTGAAATATATACTGTGGCACAGTTGGACTTCTTGACTGTTAGCATCTCTGTAAAACAACTATTATTTAAATTTGAGTCGTTCTGTGTCAAGTTCTTGGAATTTTCAAATGTTGGAAATATAATTTTTTGTGAAGTGCATATGACTCTGATTTGATTGCTGTGAAACAAAGCATGCTTTTCTCATTATCAGAACTGGATTGACTTCAATGTTTTTCCTTCAGTTTTCTGCCTGATAAGTATCTTAAGGGTGATTGAAAGTCTCTCCCTTTCTCTCCCTTTTATTAAGTAGAATGTCTTAATGAATACAGTGAGAGAAGTTAACCTCAGTGTTAAACCATCCTTGTTCAATAGCAACTGTTTTCTTACTGTGGCTGGACAGCTTCATGGTCTGAGGGGGCGGTGGGGTAGCCTAGTGGTTAAAGCGTTGGCTCGTCACGCTGAAGACCCGGGTTCGAATCCCCACATGGGTACAATGTGTGAAGCCCATTTCTGGTGTCCCCCGCCGTGATGTTGCTGGAATATTGCTAAAAGCGGCGTAAAACCAAACTCAGTTAGTCAGTCAGTCATGGTCTGAGATGCCTCAACATAGGAGGGTCAATGGAGTTACAGTTGGTGATAAATACACCCAAACAAATGAATTAAAGTCAGTTTCAAACTGCAGCTATGTCCTGTATGGTTAAACATAACCCCAGTTAGCCGTGCCCTCTTAAACATAACCCCAGTTTCCCTGACCTTTTAGACATAACCCCTGCTATTCCTGCCCTTTTAATCATAACCCCAGTTAACTCTGCCGTGTCAAACATTTTCCCAGTTAACCATGCCATGTTAAACAGAACCAGAGTTAACCCATCCCTGTTGATTGTAACCCCAGTTAACGCTGCCATATCAAACAAAACCCAATTAACCCTGCCATGTCAAACAGAACCCCAGATAACATTGAATATAAGCCCAGTTGACCCTGTCATGTCAGCCTGAACCCAGTTAGCCCTGCCATTTTAAATAGAACCCCAGTTAACCCTGTCATGTCAAACATATGCCCAAGTAACCCAGCAATGTCAAATATTAGCCTGTATCACCCAGCCATGTCAAAACATATGACCAGTTAGCCCACCCATGTCAAATGTATGCCCTTTTAACTCATCCATACCATTCCTTCTACTTCTATGACTGTGAGTTGTGTGTTTTTTCTTTCTGTGTTTGACACATTGAGCATAACCCCACTTAACACAGCCATGTCAAATGTATAACCAGTTCGCCCACCCATGTCAAAGGTTAGCCCGTATCAGCCACCCATGTCAAACGTATGCCCAGTTAGCTCGACCATATCAAAGGTTAGCCCGTATCAACCACCCATGTCAAACGTATGCCCAGTTAGCTCGACCATATCAAAGGTTAGCCCGTATCAACCACCCATGTCAAACGTATGCCCAGTTAGCTTGACCATATCAAAGGTTAGCCCGTATCAACCACCCATGTCAAACGTACACCCAGTTAGCCCAACCATGTCAAAGGTTAGCCCGTATCAACCACCCATGTCAAACTGCACCCAGTTAGCCCAACCATGTCAAAGGTTAGCCCGTATCAACCACCCATGTCAAACGTATGCCCAGTTAGCTCGACCACATCAAAGGTTAGCCTGTATCAACCAACCATTAGAAGGTTAGCCCAGTTAGCTTGACCATATCAAAGGTTAGCCCGTATCACCCGGCAATGTCAAATGTTAGCCCGTATCACCCAGCCTTGTCAAATGTTAGCCTGTATCACCCACCGACATCAAATGTTAGTTCGTATCACCCAGCCACGTCAAATGTTAGTCCGTATCACCCAGCCATGTCAAATATTAGTCCGTATCACCCAGCCACGTCAAATGTTAGCCTGTATCACCCACCCATGCCAAATGTTAGTCCGTATCACCCAGCCACGTCAAATGTTAGCCCGTATCACCCAGCCACGTCAAATGTTAGTTCGTATCACCACGCCACGTCAGATGTTAGCCTGTATCACCCAGTCACGTCAGATGTTAGCCTGTATCACCCAGCCACGTCAGATGTTAGTCCGTATCACCCAGCCACGTCAGATGTTAGTCCGTATCACCCAGCCATGCCAAATGTTAGCCTGTATCACCCAGCCACGTCAAATGTTAGCCTGTATCACCCAGCCATGTCAAATGTTAGCCTGTATCACCCAGTCATGTCAAATGTTAGCCTGTATCACCCAGCCACGTCAAATGTTAGCCCGTATCACCCAGCCATGCCAAATGTTAGCCTGTATCACCCAGCCACGTCAAATGTTAGCCTGTATCACCCAGCCATGTCAAATGTTAGCCTGTATCACCCAGCCATGCCAAATGTTAGCCTGTATCACCCAGCCACGTCAAATGTTAGCCTGTATCACCCAGCCATGTCAAATGTTAGTCTGTATCGCCCAGCCATGCCAAATGTTAGCCTGTATCACCCAGCCACGTCAAATGTTAGCCTGTATCACCCAGCCACGTCAAATGTTAGCCCGTATCACCCAGCCATGCCAAATGTTAGCCTGTATCGCCCAGCCACGTCAAATGTTAGCCTGTATCACCCAGCCACGTCAGATGTTAGTCCGTATCACCCAGCCATGCCAAATGTTAGCCTGTATCACCCAGCCACGTCAAATGTTAGTCTGTATCACCCAGCCATGTCAAATGTTAGCCTGTATCACCCAGCCACGTCAAATGTTAGCCCGTATCACCCAGCCATGCCAAATGTTAGCCTGTATCACCCAGCCACGTCAAATGTTAGTTCGTATCACCACGCCACGTCAGATGTTAGCCTGTATCACCCAGTCACGTCAGATGTTAGCCTGTATCACCCAGCCACGTCAGATGTTAGTCCGTATCACCCAGCCACGTCAGATGTTAGTCCGTATCACCCAGCCATGCCAAATGTTAGCCTGTATCACCTAGCCACGTCAAATGTTAGCCTGTATCACCCAGCCATGTCAAATGTTAGCCCGTATCACCCAGCCATGTCAAATGTTAGCCCGTATCACCCAGCCACGTCAAATGTTAGCCTGTATCACCCAGCCATGTCAAATGTTAGTCTGTATCACCCAGCCATGTCAGATGTTAGTCTGTATCACCCAGCCACGTCAAATGTTAGCCTGTATCACCCAGCCATGTCAAATGTTAGGCTGTATCACCCAGCCACGTCAAATGTTAGTCCGTATCACCCAGCCATGTCAAATGTTAGTCCGTATCACCCAGCCATGTCACGTCAAATGTTAGTCTGTATCACCCAGCCACGTCAAATGTTAGTCTGTATCACCCAGCCACGTCAAATGTTAGTCCGTATCACCCAGCCATGTCACGTCAAATGTTAGTCCGTATCACCCAGCCACGTCAAATGTTAGTCCGTATCACCCAGCCACGTCAAATGTTAGTCCGTATCACCCAGCCACGTCAAATGTTAGTCTGTATCACCCAGCCACGTCAAATGTTAGTCTGTATCACCCAGCCACGTCAAATGTTAGCCCGTATCACCCAGCCACGTCAAATGTTAGCCCGTATCACCCAGCCACGTCAAATGTTAGTCTGTATCACCCAGCCGCGTCAAATGTTAGCCTGTATCACCCAGCCATGTCAAATGTTAGCCCGTATCACCCAGCCACGTCAAATGTTAGTCTGTATCACCCATTCATACCATTCCTTCTATTTCTATGACTGTGAGTTGTGTGTTCTTTCTTTCTGTGTTTGAATGATATGACTAGTGACTATGTTGATTTCAGGCATGTACATAACCGTCGCTATTCCAAGAAGTAAGTTTCATCCTGTCCATTTGATGTTCCTTTCCCATATTCTTGCATTACTATTATCAGTATCATTATGTTGGTTTTGTTTGAGCAGGATACATCTTACATCATCATCACCAAACTCAATATCCGTCAGTTTCCACATATTCACAAACAATAGTAGATGTTTTTACCAGACATTACATATTAGCGAGTAATCTTATTGGGCTTTGCAACAAGAGTTTTACTGAAATTATATATGATCAACCGATAATCTGACTTTTTAACCAGCTTTCCGAAGCTAAAAAGTCGTAACACGAAGTTCAGTCTTGTTAAAGCTTTGTTAATTAGTAACAGTCTTTATAATAACACCGAAATCTACTAAACCGATGCTTAGAGCCATGTTCAAGTTTGTAGACTCAATAGCAAGTACAGGTAAATTAATACTATCTTCCTGTTGGTTTTGTTGACCTCTATCAGACATTATTGCAAAAATGAAAAACATACTGATTTTGTTCTGAAATGTTTAAAAGACTTTGGTAGCTTTTTTCAATCATGTATTTCATACATAGACTTGTAATGTTTCTGTTTTCCATGTCAGGATCTTTAAGCATAATTATCAAATAAGATTTGTTTTTGGAAAGGCATAGATTCTACTGATTTTTTTAAAGGAAATGAAGATGTGTATAGACAGGTTGTAGCCATGTCAAGTCATTATGAACACTCCTGCACAATAATTCATCTAGAAGTTGCAATTATTTTGTTTTGTTTTGAGTTTAAACTGATTGCATTTTCTGAACTATTTTTTTTTCACTCACAATTGTTGAGTTACACAATACTGTTAGTCCAAAATTGCATTGTGTGGATTGCTCATTTGTTTAACCATTTTGACACATTTTAATGATCAAAGTCACTCACTTAATCTCTCTCCCTCATCTCCAAAATATGCACACAAGCCTCTAATACTCTTTCTCTCTCTCACTCACACACACAGAAAGAGAGGGAGAGAGATGGACATACAAAGAATCACACACATTACATCTCCAGCAAACACTGTCTCTCACTCACACAAACACATACAATATGCACACAAGCCTCTCACTGTCTTTCATACACACACAAACTTCACCTCACACACACACACAGATAAACACACACACGGACACATACACAGAGAGAATCACACGCATTACACCTCCAGCAAACACTGTCTCTCACTCACACAAACACATACAATATGCACACAAGCCTCTCACTGTCTTTCATACACACACAAACTTCACCTCACACACACACACAGATAAACACACACACGGACACATACACAGAGAGAATCACACGCATTACACCTCCAGCAAACACTGTCTCTCACTCACACAAACACATACAATATGCACACAAGCCTCTCACTCTCTTTCATACACACACACACTTCACCTCCAACACACACACATAGATAGACACACACACACGGACACAGAAAGAATCACACACATTACACCTCCAGCAAACAATGTCTTGCACTCACACAAACACACTTACACATAAAGAATCACACATACTTCATCTCCAACACACACTGACACACACACACACACATACACACACTGACACACATACATATAAACATCACACACATTACACCTCCAGCAAACACTCTCACTCACACTTACACATAAAGAATCACACATGTTTCGTCTACATCATACACTGTCACACACACTGGCACATTAACTCCAACATATACTTTTGCACACACATTGACACACAAACACACATACACATAAAAAATCACACACATCTCAATTCCAACATACACTCTCTCTCACTTTCACACACAAACACGACACACACCTCATTTCCAAACACACATGCACATAAAAAACACACACACACTATGCCTCCAACATTCACTGTCTCTCACACAAACAAACACAAACATCTGTTTAGCATGTCATCATATATCAAAGGTCAGTCAATCAATGGCTTCCTTGACCAGGTTAAATAATACTCACATTAACCCTCACTAACTAAATCAAGTCCACTGACACGCCCACTCCCCAGATCTCCACACACTAAAGCATGAAGTGCACCAGCCAGGAATGTGGTATTGCATGTTTACAGTGGAAGGCAGTACTCTAAGACATCAGACAGCATGTGAGCACGGTCATGCAGGCAGCTTGTTGATGCCGAACATGTGGCTGCAGTATTTTCAGCTATGTGATATATATATGCATGTTATATCATCATACACTGCTTTTGTCAGTTTGTTTTTCAGGAAAATGGCTTGACATTGTGCCCCTTGTAATTTGTATGTAAGTTTGTTCAGGTGTTTGTTTTGAAAATTTGATGACATTATGATGGTTGAATTATTGGGTGTTGGATTAAAAAGGATATTAATGTTTTAAAGGTTTTGCAGTTGTATCCTTAAACCCAAAATGTATTTTTGTTTTCTTTTTATCTCTAAGTCTTCAATTTCCTGTATGGCAGTTAAATATTTGCGGGACATGATATAACATGCATCTTTAATGTATATCGGGGATGAAAAGATTTTAACAATGGATAATAACCAGTCTGTTATAATGATATATACAACAAGTGACAGAGTGGTGGTGCATTAATATCTCATATATCTCTGTTCTAAAACCCATTCATTCACAGGTTTGTGTCCTTGGTGTTTGTGAGTTTGCACTCCAAGGGTGCAACAGTAGTGTATGAAATAAGCCCCAAATCCAGCCAGACATCAGGGCTGGCTACTTCAAAATGTTACCAGCCCAAAATGGATTTAACCAGACCAAATATGGTGAATTTACTCAGGTCTATGGAACATCTAAAATTTGTACCAGACCATTGGGCTGGCTAGCTGTAAATTTAGACCGTCCGCCAAAAATCCGCCAGCCTGTCTCGGGTGGTCAGACGGGCCTTATTTCATACACTGGCAACAGTCTCTCTTTCAGATTCACAGATCAAAGTTGACCCGTGAAGGTCCCGGGTTAAAATTAGCCTTCAGTAACCCATGCTTGTCGTAAAAGGCGACTATGCTTGTCGTAAGAGGCGACTAACGGGATCGGGTGGTCAGGCTCGCTGACTTGGTTGACACATGTCATCAGTTCCCAATTGCGCAGATCGATGCTCATGCTGTTGATCACTGGATTGTCTGGTCCAGACTCGATTATTTACAGACCGCTGCCATATAGCTGGAATATTGCTGGAGTGCGGCGTAAAACTAAACTCACTCACTCACTCACAGATCAAAGTTCTTTCAGATTCACAGATCAAAGTTCTTTCAGGTTCACAGATCAAAGTTATTACACTTTTTACAAAATACTATTTGTTTACCATGTGTATTTTATCTTTATATCAGTGCATGAATGAAACGTGTGGATAATCTAGAAACCATGTATTGACAGTGGTTTGGAATATTTACCCCTATAACTAACCAAACAATCTGTTTCTTTATAACATTTTCATTTTGGGATTTGGAGATATTTTTCACAAAATCACAATATATATTATTCCATTTCTGGTAATTTAAGGGTCGGTGGGCTTGCCTAGTGGTTAAAGCGTTCGCTCGTCACTCCGAGGACCCAGGTTTGATTCCCCACATGGGCACAATGTGTGAAGCCTATTTCTGGTGTCCCCCACTGTGATATTGATGGAATATTGCTAAAAGCGGCGTAAAACTAAACTCACTCACTCACTCTGGTAATTTCAAAACAAAACCTCATACTTCTAAATATATAAGTATCAACTTCTGTCAGCTGTAACATGTATCAGTTTGGCCAGATGATACATTGCTTTTATTCTTGAGGAAACCCTTTATTTGTGAGTTTACATTCATCTGAATTTAGGTTTTGTCAATTTCTGAAATTCAGTGAACACCACACAACACTAGAAGTATTGTGTCCTGCCCGGATCTAGTCCAGTAGGACAGGTTGTGATGGGAAACAGTGGAACTGTACATATCCCTCTATGTTTCAGGCCTGTCTGTCAGAGTTCAGAACCTGTTTACCAGGCCGTGTGGGCCGGCAATGGAGACTTTGATGAAGTTCTCATCTCCCCCACCATGATCAACGACCATATGCCAGACAATGTCCTAGAGGCTCTGGAGAAGGTATCTGTTAGGACATGGTCTTATCTGTCAGTTAAACAGCTAACTATCTATATATCCCCCACCATGATCAACGACCATATGCCAGACAATGTCCTAGAGGCTCTGGAGAAGGTATCTGTTAGGACATGGTCTTATCTGTCTGTTAAACAGCTAACTATCTCTATATCCCCCACCATGATCAACGACCATATGCCGGACAATGTCCTAGAGGCTCTGGAGAATGGTATCTGTTAGGACATAAACAACTAACTATCTGTCCCCACCATGATAAACAACTAACTCTGGATATCTGTTATATCCCCTGATAAACAACCATGATCAACGACCATGTGCCAGCCAATGTCCTAGAAGCTCTGGAGAAGGTATCTGTTAGGACATGGTCTTATCTGTCTGATAAACAACTAACTATCTCTATATCCCCCACCATGATCAACGACCATGTGCCAGCCAATGTCCTAGAAGCTCTGGAGAAGGTATCTGTTAGGACATGGTCTTATCTGTCTGATAAACAGCTAACTATCTCTATATCCCCCACCATGATCAAGGGCCATATTTCTTCTAGAACCCTAACAGAATCTTGTCCATCTTGTAACTTTGTCCAAGCAGTGTCTCATACAGTGAGGGTCACAATGACAGTTATTTATGTTACTTTATTGAATGATGCACAAATGCATCAAGTTGACATCTAAATTTCTTCAAAAGGTTCTTACAAAAAGAAACAATCTTTTGGATTAAGCTTTGAGATATATATACTGTCCGACTCATCCCACTTGTTATAAATGGCTGGTTCCTGAATGATTTCTATAGTTCTGTTTCAACCAAAACCCCCACTCAGACAAAGATCATGACACCATTTGCATTTCTGTACTGCTGTTTCAGGTTCTGCTGAAGGTCGGTCCAGCCAAGCCAGTGCGGACTCTGACAGAAGCAGAACGCAAAGCTCTTCTATCCCATGAGTCTTTGTCCTCTGCCAACAACCCGTCACCAACCCGAGGAACAGTCATGGTAGAAACCAGCTTCACCAATGCCTGCTACACACCGCCTGATGCAGGGAATGGTTCCATGAATGTCACCGGTCCACGATCGGTGTCTGGCAGCTGGGAAAACGTCCCAGACAAGATTCTAACTGTAGAACATATACAGCAACTGAACGCTGTAGGTAGGAACCCTGATTCAGGCACACGTCCAGACTTCACTCTAGAGCTGTCTGAGAAGCAGTGGGTGGCTGCTCCTTTGGCAAGTCCAGAGGCTTTGTCTGACGTCTCAAGTCTTGGAGGGCTCAGTCATACAGGGAGTCTTGTCGAGAGGGATGGAAGTCGTAAACCTGTGCAATCGTCTCCCCAGCTGAAGACAATAGAACAATCCCCATTACGGAAAGTCAGATCCGAGAGTGTGAAGATCGAAGTGCCAGAGGACAACGATGAAGAGGTCATGGTCATTGTAGAAAATAACGCCAAGAGGAAAAAGGTTGAGTTTGAGGATGAAAAAGTCGCTAAGGAGACTGCTAACAAGCAGAGTGTGGATAAGGAGGGTTCTGATAGGGTACATGCTGATCAGGAGGAACAGGTAACTCAAAATGGACCTAAAGGGGTAAAAAATGTTGAAGAAAGTGATAATCCTGTGTTAGATTCTAAGTCAGTGACTGTAACAGATCCTTCAGGGAAGTCTGTGATGGTGTCGTATAAAAACGCTAATGGTCACAGTGCTGTGTACAACCGACATTCACCTGACGAGTCCAACCAGCATGAATATGGGCACCCTAATCTACACTACTCTGCTGCTGGAACAGGCTACCCTCATGGAGCTTATCATCCACCAATCAGGTTCCCTACTCGCACACCACGTGAGCATACCATCACGCCACGTGAGCACACCGCAACAAAACACGAGCAAACCAACACACCATGTGAACAAAATCCCACACCACGTGACCAGACCGTCACAGCACATGAGCAGACGAACACACCATGTGAGCAAAACGCCACACCACGTGACCAAAACACCACACCATGTGTGCAAAATGTTGCCCCACATGAGAAAACAGTCACGCAACGTGAATACCCACCGACGTTAAGACACTGCGAATCTGAGAGTTTGTTCTTACAACCCTCTCTATCCAAAATGAGAAGGTCAACTGAAATGATGGACTTAGCTCATATTCAGGACGATACTGAAGTATTTGTAGAAAATATTGCGACTGGTGCCAAGCAACCACGAGCACGTCTCCCAGGACTGCATGGTACCCCTCAAGCGTCAACGGCAAGTATGGCGCTGGATAATGTTCCTGAAAGTCGGCTCTCGTCCACACATTCAGATGAAGTGTTTGCAGCCCAAGATTCAGAAGCATAGCAAGATTTTGGTCTTTGATGTGTGAACAGTATGTAGATGTAGGTGATCTGTGTATATGAATCTGAGCTGATACTAACAGTGTACTATATTTTAAGGTTAACAAGCAAGTTTTGATTATTTAGAATATTCTATTATAAACAAACTTACAATTATTTGACTTTAGAAACCACAACAGTTTACTGGTTTATACATGTATTACATATACATTAGATGATGTCATGAATGCTGATGTTTTTAGATATAAGCTCTCTGAAATAATATCAGAAAATATTGATTACAATTTTACCATTTCATGTCATAAAGGTCATGTTTATTTCATCAGATGTCCTGTATTCACCGTAATAAACATCCTTCTCCCGTTACCAAGTTTTAGGCCAACTGGTAAATAATATTCATAATGGCCTCCTTATAAAACTGAGCAATTGTGTCACAACATAACCTTTTGTTTACGGTATGTTACAGATGTTTTTTTAACAGAAGTATAGAAAGAGCATATAAAAAAATGTAAGCTTCACCAAGACTAGACCAAGAATGTTCACTACGGCCTATATCCTGAAAGCGAATTTTTTAAATAAATGCAATCCATATAGACAGATCAACTTCAGTTTCATTTTTTAAGAGTATTGTTGATGTTTTTGTACATATTATAAAATACTATGATTATGAGAACAGTTTGACAGCAGTTTTTCGTTGAAGAATGGAGATTTGCCATGACAAATCGGACATACTCTGACACAGTCCATGACATTCCCTTGAAAACGTTGGGTAAAAGGTCAACTATAGAAGGCTCATCCTCTGTCATCAGGGATGTATTTATTGACAGAATCTCTGTGCGAGTCGCACACTATAAGTTAATGGTAAAGGTGATTTGACCTCTAAAGGAAGCCAGCTATTGATTAACAGTAGTCCTATAAAGTGAGTGAGTATGGTTTTATGCCACTTTTAGCAATATTCTAGCAATATCACGGCAGGGTACTCCAGAAATGGGCTTCACACATTGCACCCATGTGGGGAATCGAACCAGGGTCTTGCGAATGTTTTAACCTCTTGGCTGCCCCACCACACCCTTTAAAGACAATGCCCTTTGTCTGAGGATTCCATCACTATTATACCAACTGTACCAGGGCCCACGTGCACAAAGGGATATTAGCGCTACAACTATTTTAAGCCCATGTTAGAGAAAGGGAGTTACGATCATCGTAGGGTTATGGTCATCTTAGTGTTAAGTTGCTCTGTGCGAGTGGGCCCAGGTGAAGACGACGTTGCTCATTGTATAGATGTATACTACTGCATTTTTTTATAGGGGCGTGTTTATTATGATGCACAGAACTTATTCTCATGATATGTCAAGTGTATATTTAAATAAAATGACTTTATATGAGTATCCCTATTACAAGTTGAGTAGTTTAGATATATATATATATGTTGATGTTGAATGCACACAAGTGCTGAATGGCTTGTACAGTGACTGAAGACAATATCTACATCTGATCTTAACGAGCCACATCAGAGGTGTCCAGGGACTATTTACTGTAAAAATAGTGGTCATACATATACTATTTTCCTTTAACTATTTTCTGTAATGTCCTGTACAGCTATTATGATGAGACAAAACTAATCATTGTCAGCAACTGTTTTATTTTATTTTATTTAATTTGAAGCACTTTAAAAAAATTGAATAAAATCTGCTGACATGACAAAATATGATTTGCTGTACAAATGGTGAGGATGGGAGCATGACGTCAGTCAACGATGCACAGCCAGGAGATGCAATAAGACGTTGTATGTGTTTAATTTGTTTGTGTTTGTGTGTGCTTGTTTTTGTACATACCCGTGTTTTCAGGTGCTGGTGTGGAATAATCCTAGCTTCAATACAGTGAGTTATTTCACTAAATCTGTTGGCTTCTGTTTGCCATTTTGCAAGCTTTCAGTTAATGGATTGAACTTTGTGATGTTTGAATGTGTACCTGTGGACAGTTACGTGTACATTAACTCACAAAGAAACATCGCTGTGTATCCAACTCATCTGTGATGTGTATCAGTTGCGAGAAATTCCAGAAATATAGCGATAATGGCATACTGGTATGTAGGTTTTAATTTCTGATGAGAACTAGTTAGTTGTGAAGTCCTGTGATATATTCACTGTGCTTTTACAAGTCATTTTATCTGGAAAGAACCCTGACCTTGACCTTGACCTTGATCGAGCTACTACTGTTGTAACTACTCTGCTCCCTATAGGAAGTAGCATACCGATATATATGTTATTAAATATTGAATCGTATCAGGACTGTTTTAGCTTATTCACCAAAGAAGAAATAACTACCTTTACAAATCCATCATGTGATCTCATTGTAGTACCTGATGTTTGATTTATCATTTGTGATATCTAACCCTCATGTATATTCTACATATAATCCCTAGAATGGTGAAATATGGATGTATTGTACACAGAGGTGTGCTGTCCACCACCATGTCATATGATCTAACTGAAACTTGAGCCTATTTGTCTCATGAAAAGAACTATGTGTTATATACAGAAAGAAGGGTAAGAACATGGATCGTGGGAGAGCATTTGACTCATAAAAAAGGCATGTACATCGTAGGAAGGTAATGGATCATGGGAAGGTGTATGGATCCTAGGAAGGTAATTGATCATGGGAGTGTGTATGGATCATGAGAGATAATTGGATCATGGGGAGGTGTATGGATCCTAGGAAGGTAATTGGATCATGGGAAGGTAATGGATCATGGGAAGGTTATGGATCATGGGAAGATGTGTGGATCCTAGGAAGGTAATTAGCTCATGGGAGTGTGTATGGATCATGAGAGATAATTGGATCATGGGAAGGTGTAAGGGCCCTAGGAAGGTAATTGGATCATGGGAAGATAATTGGATCATGGGAAGGATCATATAGGAAGGTAATTGGATCATGGGAAGGTGTGTGGATCCTAGGATCATTTGAAGATAATTGGATCATGGGAAGGTGTGTGGATCCTAGGAAGGTAATTGGATCATGGGATTGTGTATGGATCATTTGAAGATAATTGGATCATAGGAGTGTGTATGGATCATGGATCATTTGAAGGTAAGGTGTATGGATCATAGGAAGGTAATTGGATCATAGGAGTGTGTATGGATCATTTGAAGGTAATTGGATCATGGGAAGGTGTATGGATCCTAGGAAGGTAATTGGATCATGGGAGTGTGTATGGATCATTTGAAGGTAATTGGATCATAGGAAGGTGTATGGGTCATTTGAAGGTAATTGGATCATGGGAAGGTAATTGGATCATAGGAATGTGTATTGATCATAAGAAGATAATTGGATCATGGGAAGGTAATTGGATCATAGGAGTGTGTATGGATCATTTGAAGGTAATTGGATCATAGGAAGGTGTATGGATCCTAGGAAGGTAATTGGATGATAGGAAGGTGTATGGATCATTTGAAGGTAATTGGATCATAGGAAGGTGTATTGATCATAAGAAGATAATTGGATCATGGGGAGGTAATTGGATCATGGGAAGGTGTATGGATCCTAGGAAGGTAATTGGATCATGGGAGTGTGTATGGATCATTTGAAGATAATTGGATCATGGGAAGGTGTGTGGATCCTAGAAAGGTAATTGGATCATGGGAGTGTGTATGGATCATTTGAAGGTAATTGGATCATAGGAAGGTGTATTGATCATAAGAAGATAATTGGATCATGGGGAGGTAATTGGATCATGGGAAGGTGTATGGATCCTAGGAAGGTAATTGGATCATGGGAGTGTGTATGGATCATTTGAAGATAATTGGATCATGGGAAGGTGTGTGGATCCTAGGAAGGTAATTGGATCATGGAAGTGTGTAAGGATCATAAGATAATTGGATCATGGGAAGGTGTGTGGATCCTAGTAAGGTAATTGGATCGTGGGAGTGTGTATGGATCATATGAAGGTAATTGGATCATGGGAAGGTAATGGATCATGGGAAGGTGTGTGGATCGTGGGAAGATAATTGGATCAGGGGAAGGTAATGGATCATGGGAAGGTGTGTGGATCCTAGGAAGGTAATTGGATCATGGTATGCAATATGGATCTTAGGAAGGTATAAGGATCATGGGAAGGAACGTCTTAACAGTTGTGTTTTGCAATTCTCTTAGTTACCCCACTCTTCCCCAAGCCTTATATTCTTGATTGCTCAATGTTTATGTACGTTGCAGTTTCAGTGCCATCGTAATGTTTTCTTTGCTTCGTCTCGTGTGCACTATAATCCAATACATGCTGTATTCGACACATTAAAAACATTAGACGTCCATATACATAAACTAGGGTTGTCTTAACTTGGTAGAGCATCGGAGTAATTTAGTGTGAGGCTGTGTCAGGTAAAATACTTTTGTTGTTCAACTCTCAGGAGTAATTTCACCTGTTAGCATTTTTTCTTCAAAACACATATCTCCAAGTCTTTTGTCTCTGATTAGTACAAGAAAAATGCTAATAGGTACCTAGCAGCAAATAATTTCTTGCTTTTTTATATGCTAAAAGGTTACTTAAATTGTATTCTTTGCCTCCTTATGATCATTTTATTGGTCTGGCATAAAAAATTCATACAAGATGCATACAGTATTGAATTATAGAGAACACATGACATTTTGTATACCAGATGCAAATTGTTTACACAACCATGTGTTTATGTGTCAAATGCAGGCGTTATATCTACTGGTGTTGATCAAAGATATGTTTTCCAGATTATGGAAAAAGAATTAGCTTTAAATATAGTATACATATCTTGTTGGCAGATTTTCAAGTAAACACTGTTTCACAAAGTATTGATATATGTACATATGTGATTGGGTACTCAAGTTGAATTCAGTAGATATGGGAGGTTGCATCTTTAACATAATTTTGAAATATGTATTTTTGTTAATATTGTTGATAACTTGGTAACAGAAATGAGCTATTTACAAAAAATATTAGAAATAAGGTCTTTGTCTCCATATTCCACGTAGATATGAAATCCAGCGGAATATGGTAAGAAACATGAGCATGGTAGAAGGTGTACCTTTACTAAGAAAGGTCAGTAGCTGGTGTTTGCTTTATTGTATAACACCGTCTATAGACTCTGTGCTCAGATTCCTATCACTGAACTTCTGTGTTGATCCAGCTGCAGATAAAGATGTATCAACTTCAAGTCTGCTGATCTTACATTGGGTACTGTAGAAGTATTTGGCAACTCTCCTCAGGAAGTTCAGTGTGGTTTAGTCTCAACACTGCATGTGGTGGGCATTAAACAAGGCTAGTTCTCGACAGTCTACTCACTGATCTAAGAGTGAAATGTCATCAACAGGATATATAGAGGATACTAAACGACCTGTGTAATACCAATCTTATTAAACGAGTTAATGATTTGGTATCAAACGAGCGAAAGCAAGTTTGATACTAAATCTTTCATTAGTTTGATAAAAATGGTATTTCACGGAAGCGAGTTTAGTATTCTGTTTATTACTCTAGAAACATAAATTGATAGAAACTGCCTACAATGTGATGACTCTCATATCAATATTTCCGCGAGTCAAGCCAGGTCTAATACCATTGCGACAGAGGCATTAGCATTGTGATGTCATACCTGTAACCATTATGACGTCATGCGTCTAGCGGTATTACACTGGTGTAATTTTGCCGGAAAAATATTACACTGCAGTATCTTCCACGGGCGAGTAATAATCATTTATGCAAAATGGCATACTAAAACCTGAATTAGCTCATTTATCCTCGTTGGAATCTCAACACCTTTTAGAACAAGTCATTTATGAACAGACAATAATGTATTTCATCTTATACCCAATTACTTCCAAACTCGTAGACATTACCATTGAAATGTGATCAGCATTTTCAGTAGATATTCTGTTTCAGATGTGATCATGACACATGGGTTATACTATCACTATGAATAATTCATTGTCCCTTTTAACAATATAAGACCTTTATACAGTGTTTAATGTAGTATCAAGCTTTTATTTCATAGAAAGAAATTTATACATCTTTGTCTTCATTTAGCATCTATTTAACCTTGCTCCCCAATGATGTGTCATGTTTTATACCTGAATGTGTATGTCCGCAAATTTGATAACTGTAAATTATCAAATATTGATTTATTATAACACTTTTATTCAATAATAATTGTATATTAGATTTCTCTGCTTTTAAAATTTTCCAAATTTGATGTAGCCTGTGGATTTATATCATTCTACAAATATTTTACACTCAATAGATGGTATATATTTCCGTAAAAGGTATTGTTGATATTGACTGTTACAGTAGTGTGTAAATACAGAATGCATTTCAAACATTCATATCCTGAAATTATTTCCATGTAATGGAGATGAACGTGTACATTTCAAATCGATTTCAGTCATAATTTATGCCAGTTTTCTTTTTGTATAATTGTTTTCTGAGCATATGATTACGTTGTTGCATAATGTTAACACTGATTGGTTTCAAGTGTTAGCCTGGTGCAATATAAACTATAGCAGTTGGTCACACATATGAATGAAATATATCATGATGTAATGGCATTGTGTGAAAATGGGAAAAAATAAGAAATTGCAAATTAACTTTCTAAAATCATCATCAAAGTCTTACTGCTAACAGGCATGATGATACTGGTGATGATGAACATGTTGCTGATGTTCAATAATATGGCAACTACATGTTGAAATAACTATTCGATGTATTTTGCAGCCCAGATGCTTAGTTAATTAAAATCCAAAAGGGGCACCTAACATATCCCAGGCAAGTGGGGCTCTTATTATAATCTGTTTGCAGTGGAAACGTACCGATGAATGTCACTTTAAACCGAAATTAAAACAAATAAAGTGAAATTAAAGATTGCGAATCCTCATGATTTTACCTTGCCAATTGAACATTTAAATCTCAGAATTTATTCAACTTAAGAAAAAAGTTGTTTAACAAACGATCATAGTTTCACATCACTATTATTGGTTTGTATTACAAGGGGGTATGCACATCAAATGAAACACTGATGTGTTATAAGTTAACGCTCTTCACGTACCGCACTTGCATTTGTTTCACTGTTCCAACTACTGCGCTTACCCCATTGTAATACAAACCAGTAATAGCGATTTGAATCTATGATCGTTTGTTAAACAACTTTTATCCTAAGTTGAATAAAATTTTGAGATTTAAATGTTCAATTGGCAAGGTAAAATTATAAGGATTCGCAATCTTAATTTCACTTTATTTGATTTACATTTTTGTTTAAAGTGAAATCCATCAGTACATTTTCACTGCAAACAGAATATAGGAAGGGGTTTAAAATCACACAAAACAGTCAATCAACAGGTATTGTCGATTGCACATACCGGCTTACTTCTGGGCTCATGCATGGTATATACCGGTACATGTACACCAGTCCTGATAACAAGAACCTTTATTAATTGGAGGTGGGGTTGGGGGTGCATAGCCATGTATTTTTAGTAGGGGGTGATTATTAAGGAGGGGCCGCTACATGCGTAGAATACTGTAAAAATCAACAAGCAGATTTTGATCAGGCATTTGAAAATTGGCATGCACCACACTACTTAAGTCTCAAGATTATTTGGACAAGCATGGAATAAATATGTAATGAATATGATCCTCCTTGGTCAACTATTTAACAAGAAACAGTCAGTTTTCCTATATGTTTCATTCATGTGTGCCATTGCCAGTCAACGATCAACCTTTGTTTTCTATGTATATGCAGATCTAAGGACAAAGCATCGAAATCTGTTAAACCTATTTTTGCCATTGTTACGTGCAGAACTTGTTATTTTGTTTTATTGACATTTATATGGCTTGCTGTATTTTACATGTTTTATTTTGACATGCTTGAATGGATTTTAAGAGGACAGGCGGGTTAATGAGATGAAATATGTAGAGATTTAATAACATATATTATTTTATATGAATTATTATTACGAGATCAGAGTTTACAAAAACAAGTTTTATGATCACTGATGTAAATATGTGAAAGCCCTTTAGCAGATTTTAGAGAAGTATTCCCGTGCTTTACATATGAAGCTAAAGTTAATCATTTTTACAATTTTCTTTTTTTTTTAATTTGTAAATCTTGAAGTGAAGATGTGTACCTGGTTAAAGTGTTTAACTTAATTTATTGAGTTAGATCTTGAAGAAATCTGTGATGAATGCTTCAGATATGCCCTAGAAAAGTGTTCTACATGGTCTGTATAGACTGATAGTCACAATCATTCCTTTACAATTAGGTTTCAATCTGATAAAACCGAATTGCATTCATTGTATGGATAACAAAATTATGCTTCTTCAATCGTCTATCATCAAATATGGTAGTGTCAACTTTAGATAGATACAAGGTGCATTCAGAGGATGATGTCGCCTACAGATTGATTGTATGCAGAAATATATCTGTTATCAAAGTCATCACAACAGAGTTCATACACAGAATTTGTTTTTAGCCATATGTAGTTAAAAAACTGTATTATGAAAATTACTATGCGAACTTTGATTGTCCTTTTTTGCGATATATCTACGTTCATTTATTTCTATGTATTACATAAAAAACTGTATTATTTATTACAAAATTTGATAATACCAATGTAACATCTAAGTCAATGAGTCTGATACATCCTTGTTTATGAAGAAAGAGTTTATATGTATTAACTCAGAGAGTTGTCATGTCCTCGTTTACCAGCTTTTCTGATTTTGTTAAAAGTTTGCCTGTTCTCGGTAGGATTTGGAGTCTGTGTATAGGAATGCAGCCATCAGTTTGTCCTCAATATTTGGTTTATATGAAATAAAGTTTTAATGTGATTGACAGCTGTGCTGCTCTTGTCTTGTTTATGGAGTTGTCAGTTTGGGATAGTGTGTGAGTGAGTTGAGTTTAACGTCACATGTAACAGTGTTCCATTTATATCGATTCCCCACATGGGCACAATGTGTGAAGCCCATTTCTGGTGTCCCCCGCCATGATATTGCTGGAATATTGCTAAAAGCGGCGTAAAACTAAACTCAGTCAGTCAGTCAGTCCATTTATATCACAACATGTCAGCTTAATGTTGGAGAAAAGCCCAAAGTGACAACCATGAGTATGGGTGTGGAGCATGGGTGGTGGGTGTGTGTGGGGCATGGGTGGTGTGTGTGTGTGTCTGTGGAGCATGGATGGTGGGGGTGTGTGGAGCATGGGTGGTGGGGGTGTGTGGAGCATGGATGGTGGGGGTGTGGAGCATGGATGGTGGGTGTGTGGAGCATGGGTGGTGGGGGTGTGGAGCATGGATGGTGGGGGTGTGTGGGAGCATGGGTGGTGGGTGTGTGGAGCATGGATGGTGGGTGTGTGGAGCATGGATGGTGGGGGTGTGTGGAGCATGGGTGGTGGGGGTGTGTGGAGCATGGGTGGTGTGTGTGTGTGTGTGTGGAGCATGGATGGTGGGGGTGTGTGGAGCATGGGTGGTGGGGTGTGTGGAGTGGGGGTGGGGGGCATGGGTGGGGGTGTGGAGGGGGTGGGTAGCATATGGGGGGTGGAGCATGGGTGGGGGTGTGTGTGGAGCATGGGTGGGGGTGTGTGGAGCATGGGTGGTGGGTGTGTGTGGGAGCATGGGTGGTGGGGTAGTGTGGAGCATGGGTGGTGGGGGTGTGTGTGAGCATGGGTGGTGGGTGTGTGTGTGAGCATGGGTGGTGGGGGTGTGTGGAGCATGGGTGGTGGGTGTGTGTGGAGCATGGGTGGTGGGGTAGTGTGGAGCATGGGTGGTGGGGTAGTGTGGAGCATGGGTGGTGGGTGTGTGTGGAGCATGGGTGGTGGGTGTGTGTGGAGCATGGGTGGTGGGTGTGTGTGGAGCATGGGTGGTGGGTGTGTGTGGAGCATGGGTGGTGGGTGTGTGTGGAGCATGGGTGGTGGGGTAGTGTGGAGCATGGGTGGTGGGGGTGTGTGGAGCATGCGTGGTGGGGGTGTGTGGAGCATGCGTGGTGGGGACGTGTGGAGCATGGGTGGTGGGAGTGTGTGGTCCTGTGCAAAGAACTCCGTTCACAATCAGTTGAAGTTAAGCAACGTTGGGCGCAGAGAGTCCTTGGATGGGTGACCATGTTTGACAGCTTGACTCCTGAGAGTTTCTCGGACTTCAGTCCTGCCTCACAACGAAACACGTGTTCTCACCTTAGGCAAATAAGTTTGTTCAAAATTGCCTTTGTTCACCCAGCAGGAAATGGGTACCTGGTGGGATTAGTCATGTGATCATTAACCTGCTAGCACCTCACAGGCAGCTTGCGTTATCTGGGGTAATCATGATCAGATTGTGCACTTGAAAAGGGCGCGTTATAAATATTCTCATTATTATTATGGTGCATCACAAACCTAGAAACTGTGAAGGGATTAAGTTTATGGACTGCAGTCATAACAGGCAGTGTGCTCCACAAGTCATGATCATCAGGGTGGGTGAAGTTATACTGGTGATTTGCCTGGTTTATGTCTGCGTCAGTGTAATGTGGTGAGAAGGCCTGGTAGAGACATTTACCACTTTGGTGAAACCAACATGGGTATGGTGCAGGCAAACCAAGAATCATAATCAGGTCAAATCTCAGATTCAAACCCACTAGTATGGCTAAGGAATGCAGCCCTACACAGCAAATGACAGCACCTTGGACAATGGTACCGACTGTGCCCATTTGTGTAGAAAATATAACAGCTAGTTCTGATTAAGCAACCAGTAATCCTTATCACCAGTTGATGAACTTTGGCTGAAGAAGAAATGGCCTTAGTCCACCAGAACTTCACATTTGTTTTCCAGAACAGAATTCATGGTAACCGATGATGTCACAGTGGTCTGCAATACATAGTGGTGCACTTACATACCAGTGATATCTTCTAGTGCTTGATTTCACTCTCATGTGGAAGCTGTTTTAAATGAACAATTCAATCTATGTGTGTTCCGTAATATCTTCTAGTGCTTGATTTCACTCTCCTGTGGAAGCTGTTTTAAATGAACAATTCAATCTATGTGTGTTCCGTGATTTATTGCCATACAGACATACAAAGACCCACTTTATTCCAGAAAAGACAAACATTCATGACTTCATCTAGTAATCTTCACATAGCTATCTTAAAGGGGGACTATGCTCTTGCAAAATGGCAGCCCCATCAAATTTAATTGCTAGCTGCTCTGACTATGTATATCAATTCAGCAGTTATTGATTACAGAAAGTACACAGACTTTTGCCCAGGTACAATTTCAACATCACAAGTCAGAAGCTGGGCATTAGACCTCAGTCTACATTTGAGAACATAATTAATTTCATAAAAGAAAAAATGCTCTGTGTGTGCATGTGACAGCCTTAGATACAAACCACTTGTAAATCAAATTCCTCTAATACTGATGACAATTAAAATACATCTGTAAATAAGGTTGAAAAGGTAGACAATAATGTATAAAATTGAGCTAAATCAGGAAATATTTCAACATCCATGAGGAAATCTTCCAAACAGATCTTATATCACTGAGTTAAAATGTTAGAATTAAAACATAAATCATTAAAAATACAATAAATCACCCTGTAAAGGTTCCAGCTGTATGGCATGAATGAGCAAAGAGTTGGATTAAATTGACACATTACAGTTCTCTAGATAAACTGCACTTTGAGAGAAACTGTTTTAGAAAGTTTTATCACAGTTTTATATACAGTTTCTCTAAAATGGCCATGTAAAACTACATCATTATCAGAATATTGAGCAAAAAGAAATTATTTGTGTAATTACCACTATATGTTTCACACTTTCACACTGTATACAATAATTACAAATACAAGATATGACCTTGAGATCTATGTACATAGTGAACTGTGAAAGTGATGGTTTTGCAAAGACAGCAGTTTCACTGTTAACAGTTCAATACTTTCAAATGCTGTGCTCTTCTCTATTGCATTGTCAGGATGTGCAGGTTTTACTAATTCCAACACTTAACAAACAAATTTAAGAAGCCAAACTTTCGAAAAGTTGTTTGGCACGAAAGTGTAAAAGGTTTCATAATGCAAAATATATGTATAGTATCAAATTGTAGATATTGTTTTTAACTATAGAACTTTATATTGCCAAAACACATTCCTAAATGATTTGCATTCCTTAAAACCTTTCCATTTCTATTATATATTATAATGAAATATATCAAAGTAATCCGATTACTTTTACTTATAAAGCAAAATCCTCAACTGAAGGGTTTTGCATAACAAATGGTGTAGACTTCAAAATATACAAGTTAACAAAACAATGATGACCTATATTTCTATAAAAACTCAACAGTGTGCACATTCACAATAAAGACAATATCACAGTTTGGACGGACAGTGTTCTTGACATCCAGGAAGTAATCAGTGCACCAGGGCTGACCTTGTGAGCCTTTGAGATTTAGCATCGTGGAGATGATCATCATAAAACACATCCCTTGCCTTGATACTCCTGAAAAATGACAGGAACAAATTTCATTATATTCATCAAGTGTTAATTTCTTCTTACCTCTCTTTAACATGTCATGCATTCAAACATGGCTGAATATCACACGTAACAAAATATTAAAAAAATGTTCGTGAAATGTAAATATTATACACAAGTATGAATAACCTCTTTAAAATATTCCTTATTCACACTTACCGTATATTACCATAGATAAGCCGACCCTCAAACTTGACCCTTAAAATCAGTGTCAAAATGGTATGTTTCGTACATAAGCCGATCCCCTGCGATGCGAATCGCGGCAAACACAGACCACAGACAACTGGCAGTTACCAAAAATTATAACCTTGGTCCACCTTATTCAAAGAATTCACAACCATATTGCGTCTACTCACGCATCGAGTGTAGTTGACAGAAAATGGAAAATATATTTTGTTTCGCTAATGTAGCTAGACAATCACATGTCAACAAACTGGCTTGCTTATTTTACCCCATTCAACAATCATGAACTGATTACCCGCCTCGTTTTCCATGAACTGCTAGTTTCATATTCACGAAATTCAGCATCATTTTAAGAATATCTGAACATACAGGCAAGTTTCAGTTTACATGCTGAGGCTATAATCATCTCTCTACGGATAATTTCAGTGAATGTCAAGCTAGTGTAAGGTATGTAAGCTCCAAACTACGGGGGCGGTGGGGTAGCCTAGTGGTTAAAGCGTTCGCCCCTCACGCCCAAGCCCATTTCTGGTGTCCCCCGCCGTGATATTGCTGGAATATTGCTAAAAGCGGCGTAAAACCAAACTCAGTCAGTCAGTCCAAACTACGTAGTTACTGAAGTACCATAAGTAGGTTTCAGAGTAGTGTTAATGTTGACCTTACAAGAGTATTTAAGCAGGTGCCAGACAAGTGGTTAATGTTGAACTCACAAAAGTACTCTAGCAGTCTCTATGCCTACATTAGCTCTAGACCAGTGACTAAAGCAGTCTTCATAGTAATGTGTGATAATTGTTTTTACTTTCTATATACATGATGATGCTTGTATGATGACTGTGATCTCAGGGTACTCACCTGGAAACATATGGCTCAAGACGCCGCAGCGTATCTGTGGTGTTGATGTCAGCACCGTTCACGTGGACAGAGGTGCTCTTGGTGAAGCCGTCTGGTTTCTGCTGCTGCACTCCACCCCGACAGTGACCTTCGCGCTCCATACCCATGGGAGTGATGTCAGTGAACCTGTGGGGAAAGGTGAGGTGAGGTGAAAAGGGGTTTAATGTCATACACATTTCACTCATATGACGTGCATGCGTGTGTATGTGTGGCTGCTTGTACTAGCCCAGACTAGCTGGTGTTATAGTGCTAGCTCACTGAGATACCATGCTGCAGTTAAGTATGAATACCCCACTCAGACACATTATACTGACTCCGAGCCGACCAGTCCTTGTTGTACCCATTGATGCCGAGCGCTAGGTAGGGAACAACAAGTACCATATTTTAACATCTTTTGGTATGACGCTGCCGGGGATCAAAGCCACGACCTTTCACTCCCGGTCAGATGCTCTAACCACTACACCACGGAGGCAGTTGTGGGGCAGGGACAAGATATCTGTACACAAGATTTGCAATATCACATCATGCTCCACTGCTTGTTTATAAAAACAAAGAAAGTTAAATGTTTGTAGCTGTGAGTGATGTTCTTTCAGTCTGAAACTGTCTTCCCTGACCATTTTCAGATGGGATGTGTAGCCTACGTGACTGAAAACCATTTGATTATGGGCTGGTGCGTCAAGCCACAGACTGCTCTACCTGGTCATGTAATGTGTGAGGAACCTCCGTGGGTCATCCGATGTCTGGATGAACCGGTCACTGTTGTTGCTGTAGCCAGATGCTTCCTGTTGCCCTGTAGCTGTCCGGCCGAGACGTCCAGCCTCACTTGGTGGAGGGTTCTGTAGACCGCGGTACACGTTCATCGACACACTGGGGACATGAACAGAATATTTTGTTAATAATGGCATGTACTGTCATGTACTGACATGTACTGGCTTGTACTGGCATGTACTGGCTTGTACTGACATCTACTGGCTTGTACTGACATGTACTGGCTTGTACTGACAATGAACTGGCTTGTACTGACATGTACTGGCTTGTACTGGCATGTACTGACATGTACCGACATGTACCGGCTTGTACTGGCATGTACTGACATGTACAGGCTTGTACTAGCTTGTACTGGCATGTACTGACATGTAACTGGCATGTACTGACATGTACTGGAATGAACAGTCAAATACCGTAAAATACTGTCATGTACTGACCTGGAGTGGTTGTCTGGGTGATGCATGTTGATGAACTCTGTGGGGTCCCTCTTCAATGTTTTGTCCAGCTTCATGTTGGGGATATCGCCAGCCTTGTCATACGCCTGTAACAAACATATGTGACATCTATATAAATAATGGACTTCCAACTTTACCTTACAGTAACTAATTAAAGGGGCACTTTCCATAAGTAGTTCTTCCTGTAACAGGCGGAACCTTCATTCAGTGAACATGAGATATTTTGTGATCTCACAAATGTCTGAACCTCCACCCCCCCACCTCACCCCCCATAAGAACAAAACGGGTGACGCCCTCTTAAAATCATCACCAGGGCCTAGATTTTTTAAGCTATCTTAGCGCTAAGATAGTTGTAAGTGCCGTACATTAACATCAACTTACGACTATCTTAGCGAAGAGAGCTTCGAAAATCTAGGCCCAGTCCTCTATGATGTTGCTTTCTACATGCGGCAATGGCGGGTAGCCAGCCTATGTTTGAAAGTAGATTTGGGTTTATTTTCCTCAATTTGACGACTCCAGTAATAAATAGATCATTATAATCATGCCCATATCATACTATGATTATGACACCCGTGCCTAAATATTGGTATATCTCTCGATCTCGCTCGGGGAATACCAACATGTAGGCACTCGTGTCGTTAACATAGTATGACATGGGCACTCATATAATATCCTCAATATCTCCCATTTCCACAGTGTTTTAGAGCCAGTACTCACATCTCCCATCCGTCTGTGGACATACAAGGGCTTGGCTCTCTCCCGGGTGAACCCAGAGTCATGGTCTGATGGTGCTGCTAAGTTTGGCAGTGGTTCCTTACCCTGAAAATGTACAGATATACATAAACAACAGTATACTTGTATACATTTCAAAGAGTTAAAGATCAGTTTGTCTCTGTGAACTGTAAACAAACGACTTTTATGTCAGTGTTGGTCAGCATCATGACTTACTGGTATTACATCTTTTAAGATGTAAGACCGCCTCCGTGGTGTAGTGGTTAAGATCGTCCGCCCGGAGAGCAGAAGGTCGCGGGTTCGTCCCCCGACTGCGTCATACCAAAAGACGTTAAAATATGGTACTTGTTGGTCCCTGCCTGGCGCTCGGGATTAATGGGTACAACAAGGACTGGTCGGCTCGGAGTCAGTATAATGTGTCTGAGTGGGGTATTCATTCTTCAATGCGGCATGGTATCTCAGTGGGCTAGCACTATAAAACCAGCTTCAGTCTGGGCTAGTACAAGCAGCCGCACATACACATACCGTATATGACCGTCTATAAGCCGAATTTTGAGGACCAAAAAAAGCAGTCTGTAGAAGGGGGTCGTCTTATCCATGGGTTACGCTTTCGTCAAACTTTTTTCCAGGGGTAAGAAAACAACATCGTATCACTTCGCGTGAACAAACAACAGAAGACGACTTTGTCAGTAGAGACATCAAATTTGCAATTAAACATCACTAGACAAGATTATTTACCTTTTAAGTTATAAGTTGTTTTGCTGGGCATTGTATTATTTGCAGGGATTAAGATTACCGTCGCGTGTTTGTCTCCATTACACAAAGCCGGAAATAGCAATCAGCTGTGCACACGTTTCCGGCGAACAAGTTCAAAGCGTGCACAATAATATATACGGGGCGAATTCTGGCGCAGTCATCAGTAAAATATAATACAGAATACCGTTATTTAACCCAAAGAAATATATCCTAGCATTGTGTAATTTTAGTTACAGTTTTGCTCTATAAATTAATTAAGATTACCGTGCGTATTTGTCTCGTACACAAAGCCGGAAATAGCAATCAGCTGTGCACACGTTTCCCCGCGAACAAGTTCAAACATGCACAATGATATAACGGGATGAATTCTATTGATTGAATACTATTATTTAACCCAAAGAAATATATCCTAGCATTGTGTAATAGTTTTCATGTAAAATATATATAATCAACACTAAGGTTATACGGACCCTCATGAACGTGGTAAGCACATGACATGGAATGGGGTAAAATACGGAAGCCATTTAAATTCACACATTTTTACCGATGTTATTGTAAACTAGCAGTCAATGGAAAATGAGGCGGTTATCAGTTCATGATTGTTGAATGGGGTAAAATAAGCAAGCCAATTTGTTGCTACAATAAATATGATATTTAGAGAATCTATATTATGCATTTTCTGTCAACTACACTTCGTTTCGATCCGTGAGTAGACACAATATATATGACAGTGAATTCTTTGAATAATGTGGACCAAAGTTATAATTATTGGTAACTGCCAGTTGTCTGTGTTTGCCGCGATTAGGACCCCATCGCGGGGGATCGACTTATGCACGAAACATACCATTTTGACACTGATTTTAAGGGTCAAGTTTGGGGGTCGTCTTATCCATGGGATCGTCTTATAGACGGTCATATACGGTACACACGCATGCACGTCGTCATATATGAGCGAAATATTCTCAAGCAAGACGTTAAACCTCACCATTATTGACATATGGAACAGTTTTTTTAGAAATAGTTTCAACTCCAAACATTATGACATACTAACATACATAAATGTAAATGGGATATGAAAACACTTGTAATGAAGAGTTACTCCCCTTGATGCACACATCATATCACAAAACCATAACAGACATATAGGATTCTGACAAGTGTAATACGAAGGATGCTTACCCTGGGGTATTCTGTGGGGAGGAAGCTGGTCTTCATGACGCTGATGCCAGTAGGACGATTTGTGAAATAACCCTGTAAGTAACATAGAAACTTGTTAAAAATTAAACTTTGTTAGGATATTACATACTTTTTATAAAACACACTACCTTGAGCAATGTCATATTTCAACTGCCCTGAAATATCCCCATGACATTGTGTGAGTGACTGGGTTGGGTTTTACGTCGCTTTGAATGGTAATTAAATAATATTCTGACATGTCTGCCCAAAGGAAATCAAGTCTGCTATGGTTACCACTGGTACTGCCAACAAGCAGAGGTATGCTGTTCCAAGGTGGCATAGAGAAACCTAACAAACTGGGGGGAATGATAAATCATCTGTTACACTTGAATCATTCTGGGTGTCATGAACTGTCGTGGTTGGACTTATATCAATTATTTACAAGGGATAGATGATCTGGCAATATAAGTTTTCACCAATACAATCTTTGTAATGCTATTGTTCCAATATAAGAAGCCCCTTGTGGTATCTGAGACTTGATCTTATGGTAAATGAATCAAGTACCCATATGATTTTAAACTTTTCCCTTCAGGGTTATCACCAGAGCCCCTCAACTGTTGTATAATTTTGAACACTGTATTTCCTTATGCAAATTACCCACTCTAAGGAAGAATTTTTACCAGAGATGAAAATAATTCATTTTAAGGAACTTCACTGAAGTCAATCTGAGTTCTATTAATATTTTCTAACATCAGTTTGTGGATCTTAGCTACCAGTCTCAAGCTTAAGTCAAATAACTCTACTTTAGGAGCCTGTATCTACTATGATTACTGTCGGACAGCTCTATTTGGGGACAAGTCAATATCTAAAGAACAGGAAAGATATACAATCACTGAGGCAACCCTTCTGGGTAATAGGAACAAAACTCCACATACAGGCTGCTCATTCTTGAAGGCTGACATTGGCTGGTATGTGACAGGCTCCACACTGTAGCTGTGGGTGAATCCAGTGTCCTGCTGTGGCCCCACGGTCAGCTGATTCGGGTCCACTGAAACACACAAGGATATTCCCATCTTCAGGTTATTACCTCATCCACAGATTCAACTGACTGCAACTTTACAATATGCTGAAATGCAAAGACAAATCAGAAGGAATACAGGCAATCAGATGTATTTTGACGGTTACTGCATCCACCACCATTAACAGTAGTTGAGTATCCACAGCATTTCAGCCAAGAACCTCTGGGGTCTTCAACCTATAAATTGGTGAAATCCATGATAATGTGTTTAGTACTGACAAAGCAAAAGACATAATTGGGGCAACCCCAGGATTTCAACCTTGTCCATAAGGTTACTAGAGTGTCCACAGGAAGTCACTGCACTGTCGGTTATGGCACCATAGAATACTATATATCAGAATATAGTCTATGGTTTTAGAAATAAGACATCTGATTAATGTGTAAGATCTGATATTTATGTGACTGATACAGACACTTTCAATAGCAATCAAGGAGAGACAAGATTTCACTGCAAAAACTTGTTTGTGCCAAAAACTGCCATATTTATGACAGAACACATCTGCTGTCCAGAGGCAGATCCCGATCTTGATCCACTTGGAAAAGTCAGAGGTGGCACACATACCCGAGGTTGGAAGTTACTTGACCAAGGGCACAGTTAACATGTAAGGAAGGGGCAGGGACCCATCAGTATCAGGATTATAATAGTGAGTGAGTGAGTTTGGTTTTACGCCGCTTTTAGCAATATTCCAGCAATATCACGGCAGGGGACAACAGAAATGGGCTTCACACATTGTACCCATGTGGGGAATTGAACCCCGGTCTTCGGCGTGACGAGCGAACGCTTTAACCACTAGGCTACCCCACTGCCCAGGATTATAATAACAATAAGGATATTTGTATAGCGCTAGTTCACATCACCGAGGGACATGCTCAAAGCACATCATAGCATATACCGTATACATATACATACATACACAAGGCAGACAACAGTAAAGACAGTGTTGCAATTAGTGGTAGCGTCAGAAGAGGTACGTCTTTAATCCAGATTTAAACACAGACATCATGTGTAACATACGTTCACATTTAAAGTTTGCAACTTTATGACAGACAGACTCACTCAAATCAAAAATACGAACTTGGTCTCATTGCTACATGGCTGAAAAATCGCTGATGATAAATTCAAACTAAATTATACTCAGTCAAAAGAGAAAGGAACATGCTATCTGTCTAGGAGCCCTGGAATACAATGATGTATAACTTACAGTGATTGCCTTGTTGACCTTTGAACCGCTCATGTGTTTCCGACACCATGGATTTGGGACCCTGAATGATCAAACAAACTGGATTTATTTATGGCTTATTGATGTTTTTTTTGCAAAAATCAGGTTGTCTGTCCTTTATGAATAATGCAAATAGACATCCCTAGTGAAGATTTATGCAGGGATGCAATTTCATATTGTTTTTATAAAATCTTAAATGACTTGCCAGTTCTACTTTTCTATTGCTTGTTTGTTAGTTGTTTAATGCCGCACTCAGCAATATTCCAACTAAATTGTGGTAGAGTGAGTCTGGACCAGAAAATCCAGTGATCAACAGCATGAGCATCGATCTAAGTAATTGGGAGCAAACTTCAGACCACCCGATCATGTTTTGTTGCCTCCTGTGGCAATTCAAGGAACCACAGCAACAAAAGTCAACTTTACCAGCATTTTAATTTGGTCATCATGTCTATAAATGTTGGATTTCGTTTCTGCCAAAGTCTGAAGTTGGAAAAGGTGGATGTGACACAACTTCAGACAGGAATCTAAATCTTATCCGTGTGTGAAATGGTGGCTTTTCTCATCCAAAGAGAGTTATTTCAACAAAGTCTTGTAATCCGACCAAGTGACAGACTAGGATTAAGATTATTCTGTATAGACTCAGCAACTACTATTACTGTTATCTACCTGTCGTTAGGCTATGATAAGGTGTGGGAGTTATGATCACCATAGCATTAAGATCCCTTGGTACAATGGCACCCTGAAGTTGTGTATATACAACAAATAATTCATTTTGAATCGTTTGCATACAAATACTCATTAATTTCTTGTTTCAAACTAATAACATAACTGCACTCTATGTACTTACTGCTATATCTTTTTCAGCTTGAGTGACTGTGATTCTTTAAAGATTTTTACATACAGGCATCACACATGCCATTTCAATGTACTGTACTATAATATTGCATGTTTATCTGCATATGGTTTCTTGCACTGTGAATGAAAATTTGTGAGTAAAATGGTTCGAAAAAATATTTCTGGAGCCCTGTGTTCAATGAAAAAATGTTCACAATTATTTCTAAGCCTGAGGAAGCACCTCACTACTTACATAGCCATTGTTTTCAAGCTCAACAGGGTCCTTAGGCTTGAGTTTGTGAAGAAGAGGTTTGCCTCGTGGCAAGATGTCTGCTGGCGCACTTGCCGCACGAGTGTCTACAAAAACACCTTGCACCTACAGAGCAGGTGGAGAGACAGACAAAGCATTATAGAGCAGCAGAGGGCAGTATTAAGACAGAAACAAAGGTACATTCCCATTTAAATAAACTATTTCATTCTTTTTCTATAATCCGGTGACTGATTACATGCCATAATGGATAATGCATTGACTAATGAGTCATTGTCTGCACAGCTAAAGATGTGTTTGATCCTGAACTAGACAAACCAGTGGTTGATACTGTAACGACATTTCCAAAGATACTCATCAAACGTAGTCATCAAGAGAAGTGGTATTGAAAACCATGATGAGTTACTGAGTGAGTTTGTTTGATGGCTTCAAACAATCAAACAGGTTCCTGACTCATTAAAATGAAAGTGAGTGAGTGACGATCAGCCACTGAAGTACTGGCCACGCTCACAACCCAATCACCATTCCAGTCCCAACTCATGTCAAGTATGAGGAACTGGAAACATTTTGTTTAAAATATGCACAAATGTTTCACTTACAATTTGAACAATCACTCAGAAAAAACAGGAACGACCTTTGCTTAAAAGAAACTTCAATAAAAGATTCTATATACTGTTTTAACTATCTAAAGGAGACGAAAAATAATCTTGGAAAATCTATTCTACTGTAATCAATGTTCATCCTGATTTGATGCTAATCTATTTTGAAGATTTCTCTTTGCTAAGAGACTATGGTTAGTTCATGAAACTAATCTCTTTTAGTGAATAGATATACTAGATAACATTTGGAGTCTTCTTAAATAAATTCACTTTAAAAGTTATGCAATTTAAGAATGAACTATTCTATTTAGCAATGTACTATAATCTCTATGAAGATGACTAAACAGACAAGCCTGTCAGATCAACAAGAAGCCATAGTTTCAAGGCTAAACATTTCAGATTTGCCACCTGACTTTACAGTAAATCTTACTGTATAATGATTTGCAAAAGCAGCAAAAGTTTATTTAAGTGAGTTTAATGAATATTAAAAAAAGTCATGACAAAATTATAAATCAATAAATGCTTTGCTCAAGACTTATACACCAAATCGCACGTGAGATATTTAAATCCAAAATTGTACAGGTAGGCACATCCGAACAGAGCACAGTAAGAACTCACAGAGGGCATACACTACTCTAGTTTCATCATTTACATCACAATTGATTTTATTCTAATCTCATAATTCATCAAAAAGCAACAGGAAACTAGGTATCACCTGACTTACCTCTCTATTAGTAGGATTCGTGATTGGTTTTTTGTCTGACGAATCCTGAGCCTGTGTGATGTGTTGATTGAGGCAGTGGCTCCATGCCAGTGTTCTCCTTGTAGGGCTGGAAGTCTTTTGTTGTCATAGTTATATAATTGTCTCCACAGATGCGACTGAAAATGGAAAGTTTCAAAATGAATCATCACATATAGGTTTGGGGTACAGAAAGTATTTGCATAAAGTCTTACTGATTTTTGTTTAAGTTTCTTGGCTTATTCACACTTTTTAGTTTGATACATGACTAACCAGACATATGCATATGCTCTCAAAAATTACTACAATAATGTTATAGAAAAGACTAAGGGTAATTTGTAAAATATTTACCTCCCTACAAATGGGAATAACTGATAACATTATGATCTACTCACAAAAAGGAACAACAGATAATCTGATATATATGGGATTAACAAACTAAGTGGTGTTGGAGACGACAAACTATAATTCTTGTGGTTTAAAAGTTAATATCTCGTTGGTAGACAAATGTCCAGTACAGCAAAATATTACAACACTTATAAAAAGTACTTGACTGTTTGTCTACATATATGAAAATAAAAAAGTACATGTAAGGTTTTATTTCAAATGTTTGTCATGAAGTAAACAGTACATTTTTGTAACTACATCCTCTGATATCCACTTAAAGAGACCCATGAAGATCTTTGCTAGAACAGATCTTCAGCAGCCCATGCTTGTCGTAAGAGACAACTAATGGGATTGGGTGGTCAGACTCACAGACTCGTTTGACCCCCTGCATCCCTATTGCGTAGATCGATGCTCATGATGTTGATCACTGGATTGTCTGGTCCAGACTCGAATATTTACAGACCTCTGCCATATAGCTGGAACAAAGATTCACTCAGAGTGCGGTGTTAAACAACAAACACTTAAAGAAGCTCACCCCATGACAGGATTATCAACTTCATCTAATCTTTGGCTGTAGTACACGGAGGGGCGGAAGTTGGATTTGTAGCCAGTCCCAGTGTGGCGACCTTGCCTTGGCTTGTAGTTGTCCCAGAATCTGCCGTATGTGGTGGAATTCTGGGTAACGTAGAACTTCATCATGTTGGTGTCAGGACCATGACTCTTGTTGATGTGGACGTTCCTGCTACCTTTTGGCAGTGGACCCATTTTGAATATTATCAGGTTTTTTCACTGAAAAAAGGATCAGTTGTCAATTAATGCTCAACAAACAATTAAAGTACTTCACAGAAAGTAAAACTGACAATTGTTTTTGAATTCATTTGGAAACCAGAAGTATATGGCAAAATATTACCAGAATCAAAACACCTTCTGTTGCTATAGAAACACTGGAATGTCAAAAGGAAGTGAGGTGTTTGGTAAAATGCTGTATATGATAATCTGTCAATACAATTGTGAGAGTAACATATGTTGTGTACAAAAAAACATTTTATTTTTCTCAGTCTTGCTATTTAATACCACAAAATAATATTCATGACTGCAACTTTTTATCATGTTTTAAGTGTCACTGCAGCATTTCAATGTATCAAATGGATCCATATACTCATGACAATATAATATTATATGGCCTCTCCAAGAAATTATATCCTGCTTAGAAATATAACAATGCGCCTCAAAATAAATAGAATTACACTTCATACAAAATATTTCATCTACATTCACACAAATGAATGAAAAATTGAAATCATAAGAAAATATCAAAAATCATCGTGCATGAAGTTCGTCAAGCTTAATTGTAAATGAACGAAGCCTCACTCAAACAAAGTAACATATTACAACATTGATCTGAGATGTGATATGATGTGTATATGCATATTAAAGAAAGCGCAAAGAGCGTTTTAACAATCTGACAGAAACAGGACTTTTTCTTTTTCCATTATGAACAATTTCTATTGACATACACTCATTTACGGGCGGTGAATCAATCAATTTAATGTTCCGACGACTACGCTTGTATCTATTTACCTTTGCAATGTTCACGATTGTGTAAATGCGTTGCAGACAGCTTACATCTGAATTGTATCCGTGTTATTGAAGTTTCAGAGAAGAGAACACAGTAAAACAAATCCGATTTACAAGCCAAGCTTTGTATTGTTGATCTTGACAACCGAACATGTGCACGTAAACCGGTGACGTAAACAAAGGGGTATAACTCTAACGTGTAATGACCGTCTGGTCGCTAAAGAATATATTCGATAAACGTAGTTGATGATGTCGTTACGGTTAAATGATTACGTTGGCGTTGTAGTGATATTGATTATAAAATCTCGGATAGGGAAGCATCCTAAATCCACATATTGCTCGTGATGCTGGAGACTGGACCAGACAATCCAGAGATCAACAGCATGCTCATCGATCCAAGTAAAAAACAAATCCGAAAGTTGTATTTAGGCTGTTTGTTGCTGTAGAATATGAACGCTAATTATATCCTTATGATTCTTAAGGAAGCTATCACAACGATATATTTGATTTCTACGTCCGTCATTACTTTAAATTTGTCGTTATTTTATCAAAAAAGATAATGCGTTGAGTATCTGAGTAACGATTTCTGAAACGGTCGAACATTAGACATACCGATTTACTGTTTGTTTCTTTATCGGTCATTATACCGCCTGATTAACGTTACTTTCAAGATATCGGTTTGATATATACTCTTCAATAAAAGAAACTTGGCATGCAGTTTTGGAATTTATTTACTGAGTGCATATAACCAGGGATACTCTACAACACTTATAGAGTCTCCCTGATATAACTGATTCAAACATGACATCATTGCTCAATTACATTAAAATCATCACTTTGCAAATTTCCAAAACATCTTTATCCAGAAAGTATTTGGTAAAACCACAGAGGGCTTTTAAAACCACTTGGTCACTATGGTCAGAGTAAATTGCCAGTATCTGGTGTGACGACCATGAGTATCGATAACAGCCTGGTAGCGGCGGCCCATGGATGAAAAGGGATGCCGAATGCTGTCTTGAGGAATGTTTTGATACTCTTGCTGAAGTGATGTGTGCAGTTCTTTTAGTGTCTGAGATGGCGGATTACGCTTGCGCGAGCATCGAGCAAGAGTATCCCATAGATGTTTAATGGGGGACAAATCGGGTGATCGAGAAGGCCATGGTAACACCTGAACATTGTTTTGCTGGAAGAAATCCTGGCAAACTGAAGGGAACGACGTGACGTTGCAAACCCCATTCAATGCACCCGCCACGTGCACAAGAGCTGTCCGGCCATTATGATGGATACCCGCCCACACCATGCATGACACTTCCACCACCAAATCTATCGACCTGCTGTACACGGTTATCGGCGTAGAGTTCGTTCCGATGTCTCATCTCCGAGAACCAAATTGTCCTCCATCTTGTGTCGGCGGCCATCTCACTCGTTGTCTGCACCATTGTAGACGTTCAGCCCGGTGACGTTGTGTCAAGACGTTACGTCGAAATGGTCTTCTGGCAAAAGGCCCGGCTTCCCGTAGCCGATTGCGCACTGTGTGGTCGGAGATTCGGCGCAGTCCAGGGATTTGGGTTGTTGTGGATGTTGCTGTCGTGGTGCGTGAACGAAGATGTCTCACCCGGATGTAGCGATCCAGGGCGGCGGTGGTAACTCTAGGTCGACCTGATCTGGGTCTGTCATTAACACTCCCAGTATTGCTGTATTGGGTCCACAGGTTTGAGGTGGTATGTCTTGACACGCCGAAGTGCCTTGCCACCTCATGCTGCGATGCCCCTCGATCCTTGTAAACGGTCGATGGCGTTGTGTCGTTGAGCTTCTGTCAGTCTTGGTATTCTCTTGTCGTCGATAGCGGCTTAAAGCAATGCATGTGGAGTACCGTTGGTGTGACTTTTTAAAGACTACCCACTGGCTTCAGCTCAGGGTGATACACAATTTCATGATGCAGGTGTATTTCTTGTAGGGTGCGTTTTAGTGATTCACTATAAAAGTGAGTGTAACGTTACGTTTTTTGTTCAGCGTTTCTTTTTTTAAACGTTTTGTCGTCGGCAACCATTTCTCCACATGTAGGGATTCAGCATGGATTGGTTTGTGTCAAATATTTTCCTAAAATTCAAATTGTTCCTATGTCAAGTTTCTTTTTTTTGAAGAGCTAGTGGTGTTTTTTACTGACCGGTAAAGATGCTTGACTTTTATAATAATCGTCCTTCTATGTTTTCACTTTGAGTGATTCGTCAATCATGAATTGTACATTGTCTTATAGTGAGTCGTGACCGACGATACATCACTGCTGTAATTATGACTACATGTAATATGGCGGTGCAACTGCAGTCGATAAACAATGGAATTTCTCCAAGCGCGGCGGGTTTGATGGATGTGTCCATCTTACGTCACTATAGCCTGATATGTACTGTCAGTAGTATATATGGATTGAGTCAGGTCTCGGGGACAAAGTTGAAAGTGCGAGACCATAATTTCATAACATAACATTGGCAACATATGTTATGCATGGACGGAGCCAGGAATTTTCAAGGTGTGTGTGTGTGTTTTGAGACACTCTGCTCCCCCTCTGAACACCCCACCTCCCTTGGATCCGCCCATGTTGTGAGAGAATAAACTTTGATTAACTCAGTATACTGCAATTGTTATATTCAACTCATTATTGTTTAGTTCAGTACATACATTTAGTAGACTAACAACCAGGCTCTGAAATGAACATATCTTACAGAAAAAAGTTCATAGTAAAAAAAATAGAATATAATTAAATGGAGCCTTGAGACTTTCTTCATTTTCAGGCAGAAGCTGTGGAAATCTAGACTTGCCACATTTTCTAGATTGTGTGGGCTTTCTTGGGTATGTTTGCTTCAGGGTCTGTATGACAGACTTACATATAGGTTGGGGTTACTCTTTTTCAACGGACACGTGAAAATCCGGGTAAGAATTGGTCTTCAGCAACGGGATTGGGTGCATGGTCAGGCTTAGTCTGTCTAAGAGTGCCCGAACCACATTATTTTTCCTACTGCCAAGCCCTCCCTGCAATGCTAAAGCCGTAAATGAAGCAAGTCTAGATTTCTTCAGGTTCTCTGGGCTCCTTTTCAATTTAAATGGGTTTATTTGTTACAATGAAAATGATATGTTCAGAGACTAAGCGTTAGTCTAGGTCAGGCTCGCTGACGTGGTTGACAAATGTCATCGAATCCCAGCTGCGTAGATCAATGCTCATTGTGTCAATCATATATCTGGAAAATTGCCGATAGTGACTTTAATTAGTTTCAACAGCTAACACGCCAAATCGTATTCAACGCTTCTTGAAATGTGAATCAGAGAACATTTTATTATCAAACCCAACTCCCAACACACACACTGTCAAGGCCAGATGTATCCGCATAACAACTATATAATTATTTGGATAAATATTTTCGTACATGAGAAATGTAATAATACTCTTAAGAGTTATACATATCGAAACCCAATATCATTAACCTCGGTTCGTGATCGCACAGTTCTAAAAATAGAAGCAGTCGTGATGAACAGCCACAGGAAGTCTAGAAGGCGCATGCAGTATTGATCCTCTCTCTCGATAGTTGCGACACATCAATGTTCTAAACATATACATTCGTCGTTCAAATCCTGCCTGTGTGGCTATATATATATGTAGATGTGGACCCGTTAATCCATTTGTGTACGGCTACTATTCAAAACAGTTGAAATGATCGGCTGGGTTACACTAGACGTTGGGGAGAAGGTAGGAATGTGTTATGAACTTACGTACCTGAAATTGATCGAATGTCAGCGTTTTCCCATCATTGAAAATATCGATGTTTCTCAAAGTGTTTCTAAACACATTTACTCTATCATCATATGTAGTTCAGTTTGTGCCGGTTTAAATATGGGTCACAATGCATGTATGACATTGAAATCTGAAACACTGAAAACTGTTGCATTTGATGGCGTTTGTTTACGGAAGTGCAACGCTCTGTTGTGTTTAAGCGCCGTGTTAAGTAGAGAAACGTGAACGTCGTTTTTGTTGTTTTTTCCCGGGGAATTTACACGAAAAAATGTAAAATAATTATTTTCTTCCAGGCAATCATCCACAGTTTGGATGGACAGGCAAGGATCGAAGAAGGTCCAAAGCGGGTAAATCGATTCTATTTGAACTTGATCAAGGGGGTTACTGTAGTAATTCATGCGAAGAGTGAGTGAGTGAGTGAGTTTAGTTTTACGTCACACTCAGCAGTTATTCCAGCTATATGGCGGCGGTATGTAAATAATCGAGTCTGGACCAGACAATCCAGTGATCAACAGCATGAGCATCGATCTGCGCAATGGGAACCGATGACATGTGTCAACGAAGCCAGCGAGGCTGACCACCCGATCCCGTTAGTCGCCTCTTACGACAAGCATGGGTTACTGAAGATTCATTCTAACCGGGACCTTCATGGGTCCAGACTTGCATTAGTATGTTTTCCCCCAATATTTATTTAAAAGAAACAAATTGTGATACAACTAAGATTTCTCTCTCTAAAGTTGGTGTTGGGGCAGTCTGTCATATAGACCCGTCACCGTTCACACTATATTCAAAATAACCAATGCAGGTCTATGATAGTTATGAATTAAGTTTAGGTGATGTGAGAGCTCCTTTTCATTATGTATTGTCCATTTAGGTAATTTCAAAACTTTGAGTCAAACTGTTACTGTTATTTTCTTCTGGCTAATGTCTTTTAAACAAGTCAGTTCAGTTTTGACTTGTTTACTTTGTTGACTTGTTTACTGTGTTGACTTGTTTACTTTGTTGACATGTTTGCTGTGTTGACATGTTACTGTGTTGACTTGTTTACTGAACTGACTTGTTTACTGTTGACTTGTTTACTGAACTGACATGTTCACTAAACTGACTTGTTTACTTTGTTGACTTGTTTACTGTGTTGACTTGTTTACTGAACTGACTTGTTTACTGTTGACTTGTTTACTGTGTTGAATTGTTTACTAAACTGACTTGTTTACTGTGTTGACGTGTTTACTGTGTTGATTTACTGAACTGACTTGTTTACTGTGTTGACTTGTTTACTGAACTGACTTGTTTACTGTTGACTTGTTTACTGAACTGACTTGTTTACTGTGACCAGAACACCAGTACCTAAACATTGACTTCGTAACTGTCATGCTTTAACATTGACATATGACAGTCATAGCAGTAAGACCATCAGAACACCAGGCTAGCGATTCTCAAAACGTTCATAGCCCTACGAACTTCATAAGCCCATTCTTAACACATTGGCCACCATCAAAGTTAAGAATTCTTAGAGCTACGAACGTTTCGAGAATAAGGGCCATGTACTTATAACACAGATTGGTTTCGTTTCTACATATGTTCAACTCAGTCATGCTTCTTCCTGTCTTTGACCACAGATGTTCCTATGGAGGGAGAAATTTCAAGAGTTAACAAAATATTCAGCCAATCAGAATGAGTATCTTGTGGTCAGGTACCTGGATGGATGTACAGAGCATATCCCGGGGTAAGTTACCATGGTAACAGAATGGACTATTACTATTATAGATCTGTACATCGTAAAGTGTTCAATATTCAAACTACAATTCACCAGCTACAAGTGAGATGTAGATATGTTACATGTGGCAATAAAATGTTGCTTCGGTTGTGGGTCAAATAAATCTTTATGAGAAAGTTGTGTCATAACAAAGTAACTATTTACTGTAGAAATATTTCAATGTGTCATGTTTGAAAGAATGGTCATATGGGTTTATTGGCCATTGACATGATGGGTTTAAATTTAAATGAAAAATGATAGTGTAAGTTGAAGTACCATATGTCTTTGTTTAAATACCAGACTTTAAAGAAATACTGGAGTTTTGATATAAATGAGGGTAGTTTTTTCAACTGAATTCTCAGAATTATTATATCTGCAAAAAAATGATGAGATGGAAAAGCATGAAAATATTATACGCCAGGTGACAGGCTTTATAGGAAAAACAATACTTTCCCTTATATATCCTGTATTCCAAGTACCATATCTCTCTTAAACAAATGTGAAGATACCTAAATCAAAGAATTTATGTAAATATGTTTGATATCTCTCTAATGTGTCAGTAGCTCTGCTGATGTAACACAAATTCCTGAAAAGGCATCAAAGTATTATTCTATTCTATTCTATATAGCTTGCCTGTTTCCGAAACAAAGGCAAGATTAGTATTGATGAACATAGAGATTTTTTCTGGGTTACATCTTCTTTTTGCTCTCGAGTACAACGTTTCAGGGCTTGTTCTGGCCCCATCATCAGGTAAACTGAACAGTAACTGTTAACTCTGGCCGTGACGTCACAGTGCTTATGACGTCACAATGCTATGACGACGCAATACATGTGGTGGTCAATAGATACAGATGACATGGCTCATAGAATACATGTTATTATGAATAGATAAGATGTCATTCATTTAATTGTGACGTCATAAGCATTGTGACGTCATGGCCAGAGTTAACAGTTACTGTTCAGTTTACCTGATGATGGGGCCAGAACAAGCCCTGAAACGTTGTACTCGAGAATAAAAAGAAGATGTAACCCAGAAAAAATCTCTATGTTCATCAAATATCATCTTCTAAAATGCCAATCAAGCATCTAAGATTAGTATTGTTCTGTTTCTTGCCTCGAACAGTTATACACCAGTTACAGGCATTAATTACAGTAATATTCCACATCTGACTCCATGTTCTGTTATCGGGAAACACCGTTGGGACTTCATCAAAGAACGACCATAACAACATATGTGCCTTTTGTCACAGCCATCTTTAATAACAAGGCACATCACTCTCATTTGCTTACTGCTAATAGGATATCCCTACAAGTATAACAACAAAGGAAGTAGTTGCCTAATGTGATGTCACATGGGAGCTGGGGCCTGTTCCACAAAATGTTCGTAGCATCCCGAAAATTGTAAAATCTGTTGTAAATTTCTGAGAAAATTTTGAAGACATCGGTAGATTTCGGAAAGTGCTTGGTTGTACCGATGAAACCCTGATGAAATAAGCTAAAAACCCGGCCAGACATCAGGGCTGGTAACTTCAAAATGCTACCAGCCCGAAATGGATTTAACCAGACCAGACACCAAGATATTGTGAATTTACTCAGATGTATGGAACATCTAAATTTGTTACCAGACCATCGGACTGGCTAGCTGTAAATCTAGACAGCCCGTCTCGGGCAGTCGGAGGGGCCTTATTTTATTGACGCCTTATACCAAGTTCCCATGTTTGTAGGCCACATGTGATGTACAGAAACCCGGTGAGAATTTCCAGTATCACCATTCAAGAGGTCATCTCCATGGATGCCAATGAGGCACTTGTAGTGTATGCCAAGAATAAAAGTGACGACACTGTCAAGCGCTACATCAAGTATGGGCCCTGTCAGTTCATGCCTGCCGACAGTGAATGGTGAGACACATGTTGTTGTAGTTGATGTAGTTACACCATACAAGATGTCTGTACAGCGTTGTTATTGTGCAAGGTTATATATTGGTATTTTGTTTACAAAGTTAGCGTATACATTGGGGATGGATGTAATATCAGTAATAGAAATACAGTCAAATTCCGATGAGTCAAATCGCTGGGGACCAAATAATAAATTCGACTTATCCATGTATTCGAGACATAGGTATGTCTATGAGGGTAGAAAAAAAGATGATCCAGTCCTAATTCCTCCACCTTAGCATTTGTTTATCTAATGATTTCCATATAACTAATAGGGGCACCTTATCAGTTCCAGTCTGATTAGCACAGACAGTGATTTCCGTAAAATCACTAATCTGCCTTTCGAACTCATCCGTCAATGGCGGAAAGGTGTGAGCCGCGCTGGTTTGTTAATTGGATCAGTTTGCTACACCAATCAACTTCTCATTGACTGACTTCGGCTTATGTATACAAAATTGCTGTTGTTTGAATCTCATGGGACCAAATTTCCTTTTCGAGTCATCGTGTGTATTTATGAGACGATTTCGTGTAACCGGAAATCAAATGATGACAACTATAACAGGGAATGGTCGGGACCAACAGGTACTTCGAGTTATGCATAATATTCGAGACACCGGCATTCGACTCATCGGGCTTTGACTGTAGTTACAAACTCTTATGATAGTCCAACAGGCGTCCCTTGTTGCAGATAAGCATAATCATCCTGTTCAGTGATGAGAGTCTGAGAGTCCTGAATAAATGGTTGGTCAACAGTGGCAGACGTGACTTGCAGGTTTATGTTGTTCCTTTCTAAAACAGAGCCACACAGAAAGCAAATCTTAGAATGTATATCACCAAAATGTGCATTGATATCACATGTTGTATGAGGGCAGAGACCATATAATAGATATGAAATTGGATATGATATGAAATGAAATTGGATATAGTGTGATGTGATGTGGATATCCACGAAGGATAGGGAGAAGTGACAAATGACACACCCAATGTGACCATGTGACATTTCTGACGTTATTAATTCTCGACAACAGGCTGCATGACTTCGAGTGGCATGGCACAGATCCACAGAACAAAACTCACATTATCCGAGATGGGAGTAAGTTTAAAAAGCTGAAGATCATCCCAGACCAATTCTATTACAATGTGAGTTGAAACTAGTCTGCTTCATGTACAACAAATCAGTGGTACGTTGTTTTTGTTGTGGTTATTATTACAGTATGTATGTTAATACTTCCTGATGCCATATGTGAATGTCACAGTCAAGTGATCCGTTAAGGTACCAGTTAGGGACCGCCTCGGTGGTGTAGTGGTTAGAGCGTCTGCCCGGAGAGCGGAAGGTCGCGGTTCGAACCCCGACCGCATCATACCAAAAGACGTTAAAATATGGTACTTGTTGGTCCCTGCCTGGCGCTCGGCATTAATGGGTACAACAAGGACTGGTCGCCTCGGAGTCAGTATAATTTGTATGAGTGGGGTATTCATGCTTCACTGCGGCATGGTATCTCAGTGGGCTAGCACTATAAAACCAGCTTCAGTCTGGGCTAGTACAAGCAGCCGCACATACACATACACACGCATGCACGTCGTCATATGAGCTAAATATTCTCAAGTACGACGTTAAACCCGATTTCACCTCACCTCACCAGTTAGGACTGCAACAATTCACCCAGACCTCGATTTGATTAGATTTTCAATATTGTACCCTTGATTCGATCATTTTCGATTCAATTCTTCATACAAGTAAAAACATCAGATTTCATTTAACTCTTACACTCGGCTTCTTTAGCGTAAAATCCATTATCGGTGATGTCTACTAACAACAATTCTCATTGGATAATTAGCCCAATCAACCAATAACATTTCGCCCTATTTCAACACTCAAAACTGCTCGAGTTGGAGTCAAAATTACGTTCTCGCTGTGTGGAAATAATTTGAATAGGTATTTAAATCTCGATTTGAAATAGTGGTAATGGTTATTGGAAATCGAAATAAAGGTGTCAGAATTGATTTTCAATGAATCGAACCGAATCGTTGCAGCCCTAGTACCAGTATTTGTGTCCTAACTACTATTTGTTCCAACGCAATTTGCCACATATTTCCAAAAACCAAAACAATAACGTCACAGAAAATAATGACTGTTCCCCCATAGTATCTAAAAACTCATCTTTTTGTCAGGAATCAAGTGGAATTGGAAGTGATACACAAAAAGGAAAATTTACGGATGTCTGCCTCTGTATGATGAGGAACACAACATTTTCGTCTTAACGTAGGGGGGCAGACACATCAATAGAACAGCGCGCCAGTTAGCGTCCTCATGCTTTAACTATAATAGTTCAGGGTGAAAGTGTACTTTATTACACTATACATGGTGGTAGAGCGAACTGTATTTCTTAATTCTTACTGCCTCATCAGGCGAATTGTATAAGAATATATATTGTGTTCCTCATAGTACAGATCTTTGCATCCTTACAGTTTCCCCTTAATGCTTGATATATACTGAGGGGAAAAAATAAGGGATCACATGAAAGCACAAGTATTCCTTTATTTTTTTCCAGGTTTCTTCACAAGCTGTGCAATACAAAGCTTGTGAAGAAACCTTGGAACAAACAAAAAGGAACACTTGTCCTTTCATGTGATCCCTTATTTTTTCCCCTCAGTATATTTTGGGATGATCCTCGCAGTGTCTTTGAACATTTTGTTCATGACACTTACTGGTGAGAAAAAATGCATAAACAATTTTTATTTTGAAATGTCTTTTCCTTAATGACTCCCCAAAATGTATGTACTTTTGTATGAACCTCCCCGTTTTTGATGTTCCACTCCTGGCTCAAACACTGCCCACAATGCAGAGGTCAGAGAGCATTTTGCATATCATTATAAGGTAGTCTTCAAGAACAAACAAATTGTTCTCAATGATATCTTGTTTCCATGGTGATGCATGTGTTGAACAGGTGGATGAGGTACGGACAGCTGATGACGCTCTCATCCGAGTCAAGTTGATGATATTCTATGAGCTTGTTGATATTGAAATAATGGTGAGTCATTTATCAGTATATTTTTCAGTTTAGACCAGTTGTCGACCAGGAACGATCACATTCTGAAAGTTTTCACCTTAACACAAAAAGTACATGTACTGTTACAAAGACATGAGGTTCAGACATAAACACATATGGTTTAGACATGAACACATGTGGTTCAGACATGAACACATGTGGTTCAGAGTTGAACACATGAGGTTCAGACTTGAACACAAGAGGTTCAGACATAAACACATATGGTTTAGACATGAACACATGTGGTTCAGAGTTGAACTCGTGAGGTTCAGACTTGAACACAAGAGGTTCAGACATGAACACATGTGGTTCAGAGTTGAACACATGAGGTTCAGACATGGACACATATGGTTCAGACTTGAACCCATATTGTTAAGACATGAACACATATGGTTCAGATTTGAAAATATATGGTTCAGACATGAACACATGTGGTTCAGACATGAACACATGTGGTTCAGACATGAACAGATGAGGTTCAGAGTACAACACATGAGGTTCAGACTTGTACACATTTGGTTCAGACTTGAACACATGAGGTCCAGACATGAACAGATAAGGTTCACACATGAACACATGGTTCAGACATGAACACATAAGGTTCTGACATGAAGACATTAATAATCATATTCATATATTGTCCTTCATATTACTGGTCCAGTCTGTTGTCATTTATTGGGTTTTGTACAACTTTGAAAGGATTTCAGTGAAATGAATTTCTTCAATTAGGCTTAGTTTGACAATATAAGTCTGTTGTCATAATTGACCTGTTTTTATGTTAAGTGAATTATCATTTACATATTTCAGCTGAATGCTACTAGGGATCCGATTGCTGATTTTGTCAAGTAAGCAAATTGTCCAGACAAGAATTTTAAATCAAATTTATGAAGTTATTTTTGCTGCTTTTCTCATATCTTATACTCTGTATTGTTCAAAGGGGAGCCAGGGTAGCCTAGTGGTTAAGACATTTACTTGTCACACTGAAAACCCACTGCATGCCCTACATCCACCAGTTGCAAATTTTAAGTGGTGTAAATGTGTAGATGATGTTACTTCTGTAACATTATAGAAGATGTATTCCATTTTATGTTTATTTGTCCTGTATGTGAAAATCTAAGAAATAATTATCTACCACAATTGCCTTTATCTCATATCAATGTTAAATTATTGTCTTCCTTACTTTCCTGCAAAGAACCTTCAACACAAAGTAGCCCTATTTATTTACAAGGCATTTTTGTTAAGAAAACAATTGATCAGTTAGAAAGTTGATTATATATGCCATTGTTAATATGTATCTCTTTTGTATATGGACCTATGGCCTTTCATGCAATAAAGAATTGATTGATTGTGATACGATAAATCTTATATGTTGAATACTTTACAAGTTCATCTCATCATCGCTCTCAGACTCTTCTTGTTGATATCTGTGTCAGAATGTTTAACAGTGTTTATGTTTAAGCTGTCTGTGTGCGGATGTCGTGACTTTTGCAAGTCAGAGAACGTAAGTAAATCTTATTTTCAGTTACAATGGGGCAATGGTTCAAAAGTTGAATGCTTAAGCTCTGTATGAAAGTTGAAATGATTTATTGATGCATAAGTCTATTGATTTCAATGATGAGCAATAATACACACTGACTTTTCTTTAATTATCTGCCCCGTGAAGATCCGGGTTAGAATTGATCTTCAGTAACCTATGCTTGTCGTAAGAGACGACTAACAGGATTGGGTGGTCAGGCTTGCTGACTTGGTTGACACATGTCATCAAATCCCAGTTGTGTAGATCAATGCTCATGCTGTTGATCACTGGATTGTCTGATTCAGACTCGATGATTTACAGACTGCCACCATATAGCTGAAATATTGCTGAGTGCAGTGTAAAACTAAACTCACTCACTCACTCAACAGTACCTGAACCACATTACTTACCTTTCTGCCCAGCCATTGGAACATCATGAAAGCGATAAATGCAGATGCAGTCAGGATTTTCCTCATGTTCTGGATCTCCGAGCACACTGGGGCTCCTTTTAAATTTGCATGAAGTTTTTTGTTTCTGTCAAAACTATATACATGTATATTCAGGGACTAAGCATTAGTCTACTCTGCTTCAGGTACATGGCATTTATAGAACAGTCTTCGAAACTGAATGACCTTGACTGTTATCCTCAGCTGTTGGAGAGATGCAAGGCCATTGGCTATGTCGTGTCAAAGGTCGTGTTTCGGGGTTACTTTGCTCATGACAAACTTCAGAAGTTGCATGACCGTGCGATTGATAAGCGAAGTCAGCTCAAACTCCAGGTAATCACAGTTTCAAGCACGGAATGTGTGAAAGCTTAGAAGTGTTCGAGAAATGGTTATTTATTTTCGGTGGATCTTCCCCAACTATACTGAAATAACTTTCCTTTCAATATCTCTTTTGTCTTTTAATTAGAGTTAATGCCCTTACTTACCTGACAGTCAATGATTGACAACAGAAACTAAAACATGGTGTGACCTTGGCCTACTTTGACATTCTGTTGAATAAGTTTGAAAGTTGCGATCTCCTGAGATTCTTCACCAAAACTGGCTTGTGTAAATCTAAATTAAAGGTTATGCAAAGAATTGACAAAGATAATATGAAGAATATACAAGATATACAAACAGCATGTACAAACTGGTACAAAGATTATAAGCACACTGTCAATGTTGATGTGACGTTGTTGATCATTGCAGTACGAACAAGAAGAACAGTTCCAGGACTTGACTGATGTGAAGCTGCAGAATGAGATGCAGAGATTAGACCAGGGTAAGACAGCAAGCTGTGCAATGGATACATTAGGGTAGTAACAGATGCAGTGGTAATAACAGATACAGTTTGGGTTAGTTAAGGATGTAGTGGTGGCAACGGATGCAGTGGTGGCAACGGATGCAGTGGTGGTACCGGAAGCAGTTTGGGGTAGTAATGGATGCAGTTTAGGGTAGTAACAGATGCAGTGGTGGTAACGGATGCAGTGGTAATAACGGATGCAGTTTGGGGTAGTAACGGATACGGTGGTGGTAACGGATGCAGTTTGGGGTAGTAACGGATGTAGTGGTGGTATCAGATGCAGTGGTAGTAACGGATGCAGTTTGGGGTTGTAACGGATACAGTTGGGTGATTAGCGGACACTTTAACCATTAGGCCACCCCACAGACCCTTTTGGTTTTACTGACAGAGTCATAAATTCGAAGATCCATATTCACACTGCACTTGTGTGCCAAAGTCAAGTGAAGAACATAAAATGTCCAATAGTGTGACCATGTACCTTTCAATACTACAGGGAGGGTGCGTAGAAAGTTCCTGCGCCAATGTTGGTTATGTGTAATGCTAACCAGCGTTCGAAATAGCTACTGGTCAGCTAGTCAAATGCTAGCTGATTTTGAATAGTGCCAGTATTGTTGAAGCTATCCTGACTGGCTAGCTGAAAATCTCAGATAATTTGTTCTTTATTTAATGCACGTGAATATGATGAAGTACAATATCAAGGTGTTAAAGACCGTCCACTAAGGTTTCCTGATATTTATTATCTCTTTTCACGTGAATATCACTATATAAAAGATGTTAATAGCGTTGCGCTAAAGAGGCGACAATAACCTACCATCTACAATTAACAAACATCACACCAATTCTGATCGATGTGCATTATGATGCTGATATTTTGCTGGGCCAGTAAAGTATGATTTGGGCTAGCAACATGTTTACTTAACTAGCCCTCCTGGCCAGCGACTTTTCAAAATTAATTCATACACTGCTGCTACTTCACACATTCGAGTGGATCAAGGGAGATAACTTTTGTATCTTTGCAATAATTTATGTCATATGAAAATTTGACTCAAAATATTTGAGTTTTGTGAATGTACTGTTTGCTTGCAGAACAAACCATGGAGCTACAACAGCTGAAGCACCAGCAGAAGATGGAGAAGTGAGTTTGTTTGGTCAAATACCAGAAATATAAATATGGTCATAAGTCAATATCGCGGAAGGGGTCGTTGTCGGCACGGGTACTACAGATGTGTACCCCAGGTACGTTTCTGTATATAGAAATGTACCGTAGCCAAAATCAGAATACAGAAACGTACCCTTGGACGATTCCATTCTGCATTGTGGAGTTTCCTTCATCGGAACTGTCATACTGTTGTATTAGATGCACTTGATATCGTTATATAAGAGCATACACAGTAACGAATATGTCACGGTGCACAACGTACACCACTCGCAATCAGCTGAACGGGAACAACTACATACGGTTTTGGTTTTGGGTTGCGGAATATGGACTCGTCCGTCGTTTAGGGTACCGGGTACGTTTCTGTAGTTTGTCTTTGTTTAGGGTAGTAATGTCTGTATACAGAAACGTACCTGGGGTACATATCTGAAGTACCTGTGCCGACAACGACCCCTTCAGCATCAATATCTGTTACCATCACACTGTACAGCTGTTGGAAGTACCATGCCTTCTCCCGTACTTAAAGGGGCGGTGTGGTAGCCCAGTGGTTAAAGTGTTCGCCCGTCACGCGAAAACCCGGATTCGATTCCCCACATGGGTACAATGTGTGAAGCCCATTTTTCTGGTGTCCCCCACCGTGATATTTCTGGAATATTGCTAAAAGCCGCTTAAACCAAACTCACTCACTCACTCTTGTACTAAAATAGAATTAATAAATATTGTGTGCAAGGTCAAATGCCATTGTTGGAAATGAGAAACAAACTTGCAATGTCAGTTATGCATTCAAGTTAAAATTCAGATTTAATATTTTGTCATAATTATGTATTGCATCCATATACCTGTAGTAAACTGATGTGCAAAAGAAAGTATTCACCTCTGTTTGATGGTGATAAACACTGAACAAACAGGAAATGGTTATTCGATAGTGATGTATTTGATACGGTTGTTATAGCTGTGGTTTGTATGTGCTACTGTTGAGTAGCCTGGTTGAAGCATCCGCTCTGATGTCACGCTGAAGACCCAGGTTTGATTCCCCAGATGGGTACAATGTGTGAAGCCAATTTCTGGTGTGTCCCACTGTGATATTGCTGGAATATTGCTAAAAGTGGCGTAAAACCATACACACTCACTCAGCCTGACATCCTCGCTAATCTCCAGGGTATACGTTACGATCACTCTCCACTATACCCTGGATACATCCACGGCCCGACAATTATATTACCTCCCTTTGCTGGCTCCACTTTCTCACAGTAGCCCATCACCTAAGCCGCTGTTACATCCGACCTTCCAGTGTCAACAAAGATAGCGATCACAGTCACGAAGGTTTGTTCGCAGTGCCACTCATATTTTGGAGGAAATCATACAGACAAATTGACAGATCTGAAACTTTAAAAAAATATATGAAATAACTCCTTTTACCTCTTTCAGCGTACCTCTGTATCAATTGTGTTGCCAAGTTTAAACAGTTAGATAATTTAAGACTGACTGACTGAGTTTAGTTTTACGCCGCTTTTAGCAATATTCCAGCAATATCACGGCGGGGGACACCAGAAATGGGCTTAACACATTGTGCCCATGGATGATTCCAGGGTATAGTGGAGAGTGATTGTAATGTATACCCTGGAGATTATCAAGGATGACTCAGCCTATAGTTTTGAAAACATGTATAATTTGTGGGTGCAATCAAATCTCCCATTTTTTGGCCTGGCAGTAATGGAAGGTAACTGTAATCTGGTTTCAGGGACAAGCTGATCCACAATCTCCTGATGGAGAAGAAGGAAAGTGACGACAGCCTTGCCAAGGTCTCGCTGGAGAAGCAGGCACAGCTCAATGTGAGTGTTGCATATGTACATAGAGTAAACCAATAGACAGTTGTTGATACACAACCACTGCCCATTGCATGCCAACAGTTATCTGCTCATATACATAATCCAGCCAATGATGTGAAGTCAACCTATGCTTGTAAGCAGGAAGTGCAATTTTGTGAATAGATCTAGTGCAGTGAAAAGCATCGTTTAGTAATCTTTTTACTGATAAATTAAATGGTGCGCCTTAAAATCTACATTTAGTCAGACGTATTATTTTCATGCCGAATTATATTTGAGTTTCACAGTAGTAGTATCATTGTAAAATAATTTGGTGAATATATAGGTCTTTGTGAAACAACTTCCTGTCTGTCTTGCAGAGTGTAACTGATCTGTGCCATGTTCTGTTCAGCTATAACTGATCTGTGCCATGTTCTGTTCTGGTATGACTGATCTGTACAATGTTCTGTTCTGGTATGACTGATCTGTGCCATGTTCTGTTCAGCTAAATAACTGATCTGTGCCATGTTCTGTCCTGGTATGACTGATCTGTGCCATGTTCTGTTCTGGTATGACTGATCTGTACAATGTTCTGTTCTGGTATGACTGATCTGTGCCATGTTCTGTTCTGGTATGACTGATCTGTGCCATGTTCTGTTCTGGTATGACTGATCTGTGCCATGTTCTGTTCTGGTATGACTGATCTGTGCCATGTTCTGTTCTGGTATGACTGATCTGTACAATGTTCTGTTCTGGTATGACTGATCTGTGCCATGTTCTGTTCTGGTATGACTGATCTGTGCCATGTTCTGTTCTGGTATGACTGATCTGTGCCATGTTGTGTCCTGGTATGACTGATCTGTACAATGTTCTGTTCTGGTATGACTGATCTGTGCCATGTTCTGTTCTGGTATGACTGATCTGTGCCATGTTCTGTTCTGGTATGACTGATCTGTGCCATGTTCTGTCCTGGTATGACTGATCTGTACCATATTCTGTTCTGGTATGACTGATCTGTGCCATGTTCTGTTCTGGTATGACTGATCTGTGCCATGTTCTGTTCTGGTATGACTCATCTGTGCCATGTTCTGTTCTGGTATGACTCATCTGTGCCATGTTCTGTTCTGGTATGACTGATCTGTGCCATGTTCTGTCCTGGTATGACTCATCTGTACAATGTTCTGTCCTGGCATGAATGATCTGTACAATGTTCTGTTCTGGTATGACTGATCTGTGCCATGTTCTGTTCTGGTATGACTGATCTGTGCCATGTTCTGTTCTGGTATGACTCATCTGTGCCATGTTCTGTCCTGGTATGACTCATCTGTACAATGTTCTGTTCTGGTATGACTGATCTGCACAATGTTCTGTCCTGGCATGAATGATCTGTACAATGTTCTGTCCTGGTATGACTGATCTGTGCCATGTTCTGTTCTGGTATGACTGATCTGTGCCATGTTCTGTCCTGTTCTGTTCTGCTGTGAATGATCTATGCAATGTTCATTTTTGCAGGCCCAGAAGGCGATTGATGATCAGGAGCTAACCAATCTGATGAAGCTGTCAAAACTGAAGGTGTCCCTGACCAGCTACCTGGTGGCCGACTCCCAACAACCAGCCTCTATCACACGCATCCTTGCCAACTCCCCCACAGTACATCTCCATCACAGCGGCGCAGGTGCCCCTCCCAGTCAGGATGTAGCGACTAAGTTGCCTCAAGCGCTTTCCACAACATTGTGACAGAACACATGACCCCTAGCTGCCGTCATTTAAGGACTCTTCCTCATTCTGAGATCCAGGCTTTCCACTGAGACAGAACACATGCCACCTAGGTGTCGTTTTTTAAATGAAGTGTTCCTCATCTTGAGATCCAGGCTTTCCACTGAGACAGAACATATGACACCAAGCTGTTCTTTAAGTTAAACAAAGTGTTCCTCATCTTGAGATCCAGGTGAACCATCTACCTGTATATACTGTGGCCTTGTTACAGATGATCTCACCTGAGTCCTTCCTTGATTCCTTTATTGGTGCAGTGGCTTTACTCCCATACTCCCTTCTGTTGGGCAAATCCATTCAGCAGACGCAGGTGACAGCATGTAGTTAATCTGTGCACTGGACCGTGACATGTGTTGTTTTAAGCTGTAGCTCTTATGGGAGGACAGTGTGCAGTGTATTAATTCCATTCTTGTTGCAGCCCTATTCCATACCAATTATTACCAGAATGGGTGACTGTTGGTTGGGAATATACAAATACTATCCTTTTGATAACAGATATCATAAGCTCAGATTTTCACTGATTTTCTCCTAAAGCATGGCATGTTTTATTTTTTTATGCATATGCAAGACTGACTGACTGAGTTTAGTTTTACGCCACTTTTAGCAATATTCCAGCAATATCACGGTGGGGGACACCAGAAATGGGCTTAACACATTGTGCCCATGAGGGGGCATATGCAAGAGCTATCTCATCACAGGTGTGACTATGAATAGATTCATTGAAATGTATATAATTTATTTGTTTATTTGTAACATCATGTGTCCCAGGACAACACCCCACCGAGAATCAACTTGTATATATTACAGGCTGCAATAGAGAATGAACCCTTCATCTTGCACTCGGCTGGACCGAACTAGTGGAGAGTACAATGTTGATGTCACAACTGCTGTAGTGTGTCAGTGTTGAATGTGTGTTCTCCATTGTTAACTTGATTTAATACTGAATTGAATCTCTGTATCAATATATGCTTATTTAGTGCCTTCATTTAAATACATGCTGATCAAGCTCTTTGATATCAATTTGTGCTGATCCAGCACCTCTATATCAATATACGCTGATCTAGCACCTCTATATCAATATATATTGATCTAGCACCTCTGTATCAATTAATGCTGATCTAGCACCTCTATATCAATATACGCTGATCTAGCACCTCTATATCAATATATGTTGATCTAGCACCTCTGTATCAATTAATGCTGATCTAGCACCTCTGTATCAATATACACTGATCTAGCACCTCTATATCAATTAATGCTGATCTAGCACCTCTATATCAATATACGCTGATCTAGCACCTCTGTATCAATAATAATGCTGATCTAGCTGATCTAGCACCCTCTATATCAATTACATGATCTAGATCTAGCACCTCTATATCAATATCTGGCATGTTGATCTAGCACCTCTGTATCAATATACACTGATCTAGCACCTCTATATCAATATATGCACTGTATCTAGATCTAGCACCTCTGTATCAATCAATATACTGATCTAGCACCTCTATATCAATTAATGCTGATCTAGCACCTCTATATCAATATATGTTGATTTAGCACCTCTGTATCAATATACACTGATCTAGCACCTCTATATCAATTTGTGCTGATCTAGCACCTCTGTATCAATATACGCTGATCTAGCACCTCTATATCAATATATGCTGATCTAGCACCTCTATATCAATTAATGCTGATCTAGCACCTCTATATCAATATACACTGATCTAGCACCTCTATATCAATATATGTTGATCTAGCACCTCTATATCAATATATGCTGATCTAGCACCTCTGTATCAATATATGCTGATCTAGCACCTCTATATCAATATATGCTGATCTAGCACCTCTATATCAATATATGCTGATCTAGCACCTCTATATCAATATACGCTGATCTAGCACCTCTATATCAATATATGCTGATCTAGCACCTCTGTATCAATATATGTTGATCTAGCACCTCTATATCAATATATGCTGATCTAGCACCTCTATATCAATATAATGCTGATCTAGCACCTCTATATCAATATAATGCTGATCTAGCACCTCTATATCAATATATGCTGATCTAGCACCTCTGTATCAATTAATGCTGATCTAGCACCTCTATATCAATATATGCTGATCTAGCACCTCTATATCAATATGTTGATCTAGCACCTCTGTATCAATTAATGCTGATCTAGCACCTCTGTATCAATTAATGCTGATCTAGCACCTCTATATCAATATACGCTGATCTAGCACCTCTATATCAATTAATGCTGATCTAGCACCTCTATATCAATATACTGATCTAGCACCTCTAACACCTCTATCAATAATGCTGATCTAGCACCTCTATATCAATATACTGATCTAGCACCTCTATATCAATATACGATGATCTAGCACCTCTGTATCAATTAATGCTGATCTAGCACCTCTATATCAATATCTAGCACCTCTATATCTAGCACCTCTTAATGCTGATCTAGCACCTCTGTATCAATATATGCTGATCTAGCACCTCTGTATCAATATGCTGATCTAGCACCTCTTAATATCAATAATGCTGATCTAGCACCTCTATATCAATATACGCATCTAGCACCTCTATATCAATTAATGCTGATCTAGCACCTCTATATCAATATATATGATCTAGCACCTCTGTATCAATATACGCTGATCTAGCACCTCTGTATCAATCTAGCACCTCCTATATCAATGATCTAGCACCTCTATACTATCAATATCATACTGATCTAGCACCTCTAGCACCTCTGTATCAATATATATTGACCTCTGTATCAATTAATGCACCTCAGCACCTATCAATATATGTTAATCTAGCACCTCTGTATCAATATATGCTGATCTAGCACCTCTATATCAATATCAGCACCTCTTCATATCAATATATGATCTAGCACCTCTCTAGCATATATAATCTAGCACCTCTGTATCAATTGATCTCTAGCACCTCTGTATCAATATATGCACCTGATCTAGCACCTCTATATCAATAATGCTGATCTAGCACCTCTATATCAATATAATGCTGATCTAGCACCTCTATATCAATATATGCTGATCTAGCACCTCTATATCAATATATGTTGATCTAGCACCTCTGTATCAATTAATGCTGATCTAGCACCTCTATATCAATTAATGCTGATCTAGCACCTCTATATCAATATATGCTGATCTAGCACCTCTATATCAATCAACCTATATCAATATACGCTGATCTAGCACCTCTATATCAATATATCTAGCACCTCTGCTGATCTAGCACCTCTATATCAATATGCTGATCTAGCTGATCAATAGCACCTCTAATATCAATATATCAATATGATCTAGCACCTCTATATCAATATATGCTGATCTAGCACCTCTGATCAATAATGCTGATCTAGCACCTCTATATCAATATGATCTAGCACCTCTATATCAATATACTTTCTGATCTAGCACCTCTATATCAATATACGCTTGATCTAGCACCTCTGTATCAATTAATGCTGATCTAGCACCTCTATATCAATATCACGCATCTAGCACCTCTATATCAATATATGTTGATCTAGCACCTCTGATCAATAATGCTGATCAAGCACCTCTATATCAATTAATGCTGATCTAGCACCTCTATATCAATATACGCTGATCTAGCACCTCTGTATCAATTAATGCTGATCTAGCACCTCTATATCAATATACGCTGATCTAGCACCTCTGTATCAATATACGCTGATCTAGCACCTCTGTATCAATATACGCTGATCTAGCACCTCTTTATCAATATACGCTGATCTAGCACCTCTGTATCAATATACGCTAACCTAGCACCTCTATACTAGCAGCTCTGTATCAATATATGTTGATCTAGCACCTCTGTATCAATATATATTGATCTAGCACCTCTGTATCAATTAATGCTGATCTAGCACCTCTATATCAATATACGCTGATCTAGCACCTCTATACTAGCAGCTCTGTATCAATATATGTTAATCTAGCACCTCTGTATCAATATATATTGATCTAGCACCTCTGTATCAATTAATGCTGATCTAGCACCTCTATATCAATATACGCTGATCTAGCACCTCTATACTAGCAGCTCTGTATCAATATATGTTAATCTAGCACCTCTGTATCAATATACGCTGATCTAGCACCTCTATATCAATATATGCTGATCTAGCACCTCTATACTAGCAGCTCTGTATCAATATATGTTAATCTAGCACCTCTATATCAATATACGCTGATCTAGCACCTCTGTATAAATTAATGCTGATCTAGCACCTCTATATCAATATACGCTGATCTAGCACCTCTGTATCAATTAATGCTGATCTAGCACCTCTGTATCAATATACATGTACGTTGATCTACCACCTCTATATCAATTAATGCTGATCTAGCACCTTCATATCAGTTTTTGCTGATCTTGCATAGAAAGATTAATATTTTCTACTTAGTTTGAAACTATATATGATTGAGCTTGTACTGCAATCTGATGTTTTTAACCAAGGTATATTTTAGAATCAATGCTCAATAATTTTATATTTATTTATTTATGTTTATGTTTGATAAGTATTGAATAAACAACTTTACAAACTGCTGTGTCGAGTTAATTGTATGTCAGAAGCATAAATAATACTGTCTTGGACATTGCTTTAAGAACATGTTTGCCCTGTATGATTTTGGGTTGCTGTAGCTTATGGTTTTCTGTTGGCATGGAACAAACAGTGAGTGAGTTTGTTTTTACGCCACTTTCAGCAATATTCCAGCAATATCACAGCGGGGGACACCAGAAATTGGCTTCACACATTGTACTCATGTGGGAAATCGAACGCAGATCTTAAGTGTGGTGAGTGAACGCTTTAACCACTATGCTACCCCCCTGCCCCTGGAACAAACACACAAGTCAACAGCAAGTTACCTCTGATGACTTAACTCAGCTATAGTGAGTGAGTGAGTGAGTGAGTGAGTTAGGTTCAGCTCTGCATTGAACAGTATTCCAATAATACTATGTTGTTAACGAAGCAATCGACTTCATTGATAACTTTCTTTTAGCTCGATAATGGTGTCAGAATCTAAATGAAACATCACTCTTTGCAATAAGGTTGTTATCCATGAAGTCTTATGCTTCATTATTGACTCACCAACTTCTGAAATGCTGACAGTTTCATACTGTGTTGTGTCATCTTGATGGCGGAGGAAAGCTGAAAGTGATGTAGATCAAGGACATCAAGCATTACAGACATAAAACAATACCAGGGTGAATAAAGTTTCAAACCAACAATCACTAGCTCCTGGTGAGTCCAAGAGATGCAACTCTCCACATTAAACTTGGTGCCTGAAACAACAGGGACACCCACAGGGGTGGAAATAACCCATTGCCCGACGTCCGAGTCCAGTGTTTTTTTTCTGTCGGGCAAGCAAATTTGTATATCACACTGTACCGGTGTCCAGTTGAATTTCCAATGTTAATTATGTTGTTTATTTTAAAAAATCAATAAGAAAACGGACGGTATAGTGGAAAAATTATCAGGGCAAGTGATTTTGACATGTGCCACTGTTCTGGAGTACACTAGCAATTTTGAAGTTATTTCCACCCCCTGACCCATTCCCTGAATGAGTGAGTGAGTTTAGTTTGACGCTGATGAGAACAATGATCTGGAAATGATTATTCATTGTACCTATGATATCACCAAACATTGTAAAGATAGTGAGTGAGTGAGTTTAGTTTTACTCCACACTCAGCAATATTCCACCTATATGGCGGCAATCTGTAAATAATCACAGTCTGGACCAGACAACCAGTGATCAACATCATGAGCATCAATCTATGTAATTGGCACATGTTATTCAAGTCAGCGAGCCTGATCACCTGATCACCTCTTACGACAAGCATGGGTTACTGAAGATCAATTCTATCCCGGATCTCCATTTGTCCTCATTCCCTGAAACTCAGCTGAAAGTCTGACCAGTCTCAGTGACATCATATGGTTACAGAACCTTTCAATCAGCAGATGCTTTTCTATTTATTTCACTGCCAATCACTTCCAACAACTATCTTATATAAAAAACCAACCTCTCAAACAGCATGTGTGCTAAAACATGGTCCTGGTGCTAAAATAATCATCATGAATCGTGGCAAGTTGAGTGTTTTTCTGTTTTACAAACTCGCTGTATTCTTTATCAGGTTAAAAAAAGGCATACAACAACATCTTTTGTGTCTGGAAGGCTTCATTACATAAGTGAGTGAGTGAGTAAGGTTTTACGGTGCTTTTACCAATATTCCAACAATATCATGGTGGGGGACACCAGAAATGGGCTTCACACATTGTACCCATTTGGGGAATCGAACCCGAGTCTTCAGCGTGACAAGCCAACGCTTTAACCACCAGGCTACCCCACAGCCCCTTCGTTTCTTTAGGCATCAAATGAGTCAGTACACCGTATTACAAACCTTTGGCCTCATACTTCTAAAGGGAATAACCCTCCATGGTTTGAGTAAAAACTATTCCCCAAAAATATATTCGAAACATCAGGTCATTGTCCATACAAGGTTACTTTTCAAACAGAAATGTGCATTCATATACTAGTACGTTAAAATGGTAAAAACATCTAACATTACAAATGAGCATGACCAATTTTTTTTTTTTGTCATGCAACGTTTAATTGATTCTCAGCAATATCAAATGAAAACAATTTTTTTTTTAAGAATATCTGAATGTTATTATTTTTGCATAGATTTTGACTTTCTGATTTGGGCACTATTTAAAGTTATTTGGTCATATTTTTATTTGTCTTTCTGACTAATTTTTCTGGAAAATATTGAATAATAAGTTCACTTATAATCAGTTGATTATGATCTTCAGTATTCAAGCATTAAATACCTTCAGCAACCCATGTCGTAAGAGGCAACTGGCAGGATTGGGAGGTCAGACTCGCTAACTCATATCCTAATTGCATAGATCAATGATCATGCTGTTTGATCACTGGATTGTCTGGTCCAGACTTGATTATTTGCAGACCTCCGTCTTTTAGCTGGAATATTGCTGAGCACGTCAACAAACAACAAACAAAACAGCAAGCATTATTATAAACGTATTTTTTTATAGCCAGTGTACAGTATGTTTTGTTTAATGTTAATATTTTTAAATTTAGAGGACTAAGGCTGACAAAAACAACATTACAACACATGTTTACAAACTGAATCACTAACAGTGTGGATACAGGCACGTAGTCAGATGATTGAAAAGAAGTAAGGTATATTTAAAATTCGCGGGCTGACCTACTTTCATTTTTTTCAATACGGGTTGTCTCCCTTACACGTCTTCTGATCCAGAGACGCACTTATTTCTATTTCCGGTTATAAATACGACAACACGTGTTATTTAGTGTTGCTGGAGATTTAAGGATTTGAAGCACATTTAGAAGTGAAAACCATGGTCATTCAACGAATTGTGTATGTCATTTTTATGTGAATATGATGTAGTGAATTATTGTCAAATGCTAGTTTGATTTTAGTATATTTTCGGGGTGTAAATACAAAATTATGGCAAGCGACGAAATGTCAAGCTGGTGCTGATAAGTGAAAATACGAATACTGTGTCCCCGAAATGTTTCCTTCTTACCTCCGGACATATAAGATATTATGTTATCTCTGTTTAGAAGTCTCTAGTTACAGAATATAGGGGTTGGTTTCTGCGTATCATCATTGCTTCCAGTTCCAGTACTACCTCAAATCTTAAATTTATTTTGTTGTAATTATATTTTAAATTTATTTCAGAATTTGTTTTGTTGTTGTTTCCATGGACATCTGACTTGGTGCAAAATGTGTTTGATGGTTACCTGGCCACAGCATATCATTGAAACTATACGTGCTAGGTTCACCAAACTTAATACACAAGTTAATAATGACCCACAGATATGCCACGTGTTAAAAAAAATCAATCTTCATCTACATCCACTTCATTGTGTGTAACAAGTTCAATTGTATGTCAGGTTTCCATGGAAAACACAAAAAAATAATGTTTCCATAAATTATTACTGTAATCAGTACAGGGCAAAACTATTATCTAACATGTATATGAAGTTTAGTAGAGTCAAGGAGAAAGTCTTGTGAGCTGCTGATCCTTGTCACATTATATATATCAATATCAGTCATTTCCATGTCCAAAAGTGGGAAGCGGGGATATGTGAGCTGTGTTCACTTCTACACTTGTTTTTCTTTTATTCTACATACATACATAAGCATTAGAGATTTGAACACTACATGTCATATATTATGATTGAACAGATAATTCTAGGCAGGGTTTGGGTGTGGAAGTTTTACAGATGAAATGATCTGCGAATGATTTGATGATGTGAGGTCATAAATATTTTTGCAGTTATCAATGAATTGCTCGTTAGATTTGCAACTTAAGGAAGGTTAGAAGCAAAATTGACACCATATCAAAATGTTGACAAGCGAACAGTGCTAGTGATTGGTGATTAGGGAACCTGGCCTTAAGTGAATGGTACATTATCATGAGTAGTATTGATACATATTTACCCTTAGTGTGTATATGTACTGGCTCCTTTAATAAAAAATTTAAAAAAATAAAATAAAAAGTTGCAGCTGTTTGAAATTTATAGGAACACCATATAGACAACATATGTTATGATAACAAAATTGTTGCCAAAAGAAATACTAAAAGTAAAACGTTTTTAAAAAAAGTTCACCACTGTATATACTTATATTACCTTTTTGTAGCCAATGAAACCTGGTCTACATTTAACTCTGTTTTCATGCAGTGCTGGAACGTTTTCTGTTTTTAACATTTTCTGACTTCACAATTTTTATAGGCCAGTTGTAATATGATTTTAGAAAAGCAAAGACTCAGAGAGGAAAACGTGCTTTGGAAAAGAAGGAGGGGAAGATATTTGAAGATGTTAAGACAGCCATGTTCATCAAGGGAGGTAACACCAGCATGACCATCACACAAGTGTTAAAAGAACTGGTAAGTTTAGGTTGTGGTAGCAAAACTCACAATGTGGGAAACATGTCAAATATTGCTTAGGTTCTCACATTTCATGGAAAAAATAAATACTATAAAGGTGATATGCTAGACATATCTGGAGCATCTGAGATTTAAAATAAATAAGCATTTTTACATGTGTTTTCAGAATCCTTTGTACATTTTGAAGCATGTTTCGGTAAACTCCCCAAAACATAACCTTTGGTGTATAGGTTGATTTTGTTTGTGTCATGACTCTCTTGTCAATTGTCATTTCAGCACATGCTAAAGAAACCACATGCAGTTGCTTTTAAAAGGTATTTCTTATTTCTACATCTAACATGTTAATCCTGGAGTTGTGTGTGTAACAAGAGCAGAAGAATCATTATAGTGGTGGTTATGAGGCTATTGTATAAATACGACTCAACTATGAGTAAGTGGGTTTCAGTTTTACACTGCTTCTAGCAATATTCCAGCAATATCACGGCAGTGGACACCAGAAATGGGCTTCAAACATTGTACCCATGTGGGGCATTGAACCCGGGAGTAGTAATAGAGGGGGGTACTGCCGCAGATGCGGCTTAGAGGCTTATTTGTGGGAATTAAGCCTCCCAGCCCCCCTTAAAAAAAATTAGCGAGAACCATCCTTCGATGTGCCAAGATAGAACGGTTAAAAAAGTAGCAAAACGCCCCTGGCAGCCGCAATTCCCCAAGGGATGAAATCGAAAGATTGATGATTGCGCATTTTCTCCCAAGGGGAATTGCGTCGGCTGCCTTTCTCTCTCCATGTGAGTGCCCCGCTCAGCTAGGCCCTTTTCAGAGACCCAACTGATGTGATCCTGATTCCTTACCCGAAACACCACCACCATCGAAAGTTGCAAGGAATCCACTGAGGCAACGGCGGGATACGAACTGATAATGTATAGCCGCGCAAACTATACATTATAAGCCCGCACCACTCAACCGATCACACTACCGGGGGTCTTGACAGCTTAATTTCGGTTTAACAGATGTATCCTGAGATTGCATCATCCTCTTAAACCGGGCTCCGTCTACAGTAGCGCAAAGGATGTCTGGAACCCGTCATTCCACTTCCGCTTCAATACTTCGTGCACGTTTGGTGGCTTTTTCACCTCGAATCCATGTCTCATAAAATACAAGCACGATGCCCGTAGGTAGTTTGAACCACGCTGAATACGATACTTTAGTTGACGAACGCTGAAAAATTTGTTGAGGCTACAATCCATTATTTTATCTTGAGCTGGGCTCCGTCTATAGTAGCTACAGTAGCGCAGAACCAGTCTCGCTCGCCTCATGCACATTTGGTAATAAAATACAATCACAATGCTCTTAGGTAGTCTAGACCTCGCTGATCACGATGCATGCGTCGATGGACGCTGAAAACATGTTTAAATGCAACAATCGGCTAATTTAGAATCGGGTTACATAAGCTCGCAAAGCGTATGAGCTATATATAGCTTGAATGCACCGTCCCTGACAGAGTGAGACTGCCGGTCTGAAGGGAACGTGACGGACTTCGGACCTAGAGTTTTAGCGTTCGAATCCCAGACAGAACATTTTTTTTTTTTTTTATTTGGGGGAAATACCGTGTCATGAGGGACAATTTGTAATTCCCTACCCGGTCCATCTTGCAAGTAATACAGATTCGGTTCGTCGTCTTTGATGTCCACTCGGTCGATGGGGTACGTTTTCATGGACCATACGGGGTCTGTGGCGCGACGTTTATCCCCTCCTTCGAGTTCACCGGGCTGGTACAGATACCTCACGACGACCCGGTCCGGTAGTTTTTTCTCTTGGCCGTGATGCGATGGCGCAGCCGATTCGATCGTCATGGATTTCATTCGAATGGCTTCGACGGGTCTTTTATCGAGGAGTCGAGTGACTTTGTTGTTGATCGCCGACACCACTCGCAGTAAGCGTACGACCCATTCCGTCGTTCATTTCTCTCAGGCATACTGATGTCCGAACAAACGCTCGGCTAAAGTCCTGTTGAATCTTTCGATGATGGCTTGGCTTCGGTGAGCTCCGGCCATGCCTCGTCTCACCTGTACTTTATGCTTCGATAACAGCTGCGACACAGCTCCCATGAACTCGTGTCCAGGGTCGACTTGTAATTCGGTCGGCCAGGTCAAGCGACTGCGTTTGTAGATACGTTCTAAGGCCTTAGCCACTTGACTCGAATCTTTGGTCGTTAACGGCTCCGCTTTGTTGTGGCAACGTCCACGACGGTCAGGGCGTATTTGTACGTTTTGTTTCTCACCCTGTCGTGTGGGAGAAACAGGAGGTCGGCTTGATGGGTACAATCGGGTATGGAAATGTCAAACTTTCTTCTCGGGATGTATCGGGGAGCCAGCAGGTACACTTGCCAGATGGCGGGTTTTTTAAGCCAAGCTTTGGCGGTATCCTCGGAGACACGAGCGGCTTTGGCTATCTTCGGGATGGCGCTCACACCTTTCCAGTAACCCCGAGGGCTGTAGTAAACCTTCTCCATGATATATACACGCTATCGTTCATTCAATTGTCTTGACACATCGAGTGGAGTTTCCTTTATTTGGGGTCTCGGAAACTCCCAACGCGTCGAGTCCTACTGTTGGTACCCATAGCTATAAGTTTGGATGCCATCGTTCGCAATCCATCGTTTGGTATCCATTGGCGACAGCAACGTTTTGTTGAGAGTGATGCCGTAGATGTTGTGTTTGTCGCTTCTCAACGCGTTCATGGGGGTTTGAACTTGCATTTATCGAAGAGAGCCTGTCCGAAGAGGGTGTGTTTGATGTGGTGTTTCACCACATATTTCTTGACCCCTTTCGGATTTCGTCGTGATCAGCTTTTTGAATCGAATACATCTTGGGTCTCAATCTGACGTATTCCGCGATGGGTGTCCCCCGCGCATTCGTCCTTCATCTTGCAGAGGACCTTTTTATTGGTCGTGCTGTGTAGGGCGTGGTCTTGGGGGTAATCGCTGGTGTCGTACAGGTGCATGTGTTTCGCCATGTCCTCGTACACGTCCTTGGTACGAATTTCCATGAGCAGTGAATCCAGGTCCGTGTACTGCACTTCACATCGATTGCCATATTGATTTTTTAACTTGTTGTAGTAGAAATCGTACATGAGATGTTTGGAGAAGTCGAGAATGCTCATCCCCACGTAGACGGGTCGGTTGAGCTTAATGTGGCTTTTGTTCATGTGTAGCGCTGTCAAGTCGTTATCGAATAGCTTGCTCCGGTTAAGGCCAGGCTGGCTAAGTGTTTCCTGAGTTTTTCTTCCTCGTGAGATCGCACGAGCTTGACCGTCACCCGTTTTCTCAACTTTTCCTTGGTTTTGCCGAACACCGAATTGTTCATCAGTTTGTAGAGGTTTTTCTCGAAATCTCTGGTGGCCTTTTTTCGCAGCTTGGTGTTCAGCTGAATGTAAGGTTCCATCCAGGGACTTTGATCGAATTGCAGCACCCGACGTATTTTGGTCAGCTTCATGCCCAGCAACAAGTACAGTTGCAGATTCCGATAGTGCACCACGTACTTGGTCTTGCGCATCAAGTTTCAGAATGAGTTTTTCCACGTTGGTCAGCTTATTTTTCCCAAGCAAAGTTAGTTGATAGTCCGACATCCAGTCTCGGCTCACCGCCAACCGTTCGGGAGCAAGCGGATAGCAGTTGTGAGCAGCGTGCAATGCCGCGGGATAGTCCAAATCCACTTTGAGGATGTAGCGTTTGTTCGGCACGATGCTCATGATATCGATCTCAACGTCTCATTATATCGAACCGCCCATAGGTAGAGACTGGCTCATGGCCCAGCCATACAGGTTGTTGGCATCGAGATGCAGGAGGTGGTTGGTGGGCTTGCTCCTCGAGTAGTAGCTTTCCACGTATTTGTTGTTGGCTTTCGCATACCATTTGGAGACCATGGAAATCCCACCGTGCATGCCTTTCTCTACGAGCAGGTGCATGTCGAAATCCGTGAGCAATTCCAGTTTAACTCTGGTTTTCTTCAAGAGCGCATCCCACGAGCGACCGGGGCTGGTGTAGTACCAGGCAGGGTCGAGTTGATACTGTTTCAAACACGTTGTTCTGAACATCTCAAACACGTCGGCCAGCAGCAGGACGTCTGTTTTCAAGTAGGGGTCGTGATAATCGCACGTTAACTTGCCCTCAATGTTCGAGATGACCTGAATGATCAAGTGAGCATCGTACCCGCTCAAATTGTGAAACACCACGGGGATGGGGAGGGTTTGGGTATCGACCGGTGATGTGGCAATGATCTCTCACGACATCCCGTTCAGGGGTTGGTCGCACAAGTAGCAATGCTTAGCGTGTTCGTGAGCGAGTTTATCCCCGCGAGTAGATCACGGCAGCGCTCTTTTCGCGTACACGCATCTCAACCCGCAGGCTTGGTGTTCTTGTGTTTTGTACGTGAAACTGCGATTCGTGTCGGGTGTCACGTCGTGGTCAACCCGTTTGATGAGCGCTCCGAAGTCAGCTTAAATGACGTAAGGCGCGGGCATTTGATGTTTGCAATTGATGAACGTTAAGATGTTTTGATGTTCTCGAGGCATGTCGATTTGGATGGCCATCTCTCCCATGCCTCAGCAATCCTCCCGGTGCGCTTCCAGCAGGTCTTCTCGACTGTACCCGTGCAGGCATCGTTCGCAGAAATGTTTCTTTTCCTTGTGGTTTCGATTGATCGTACAACAGTCAGCTCAGACTTTTGATCCACGCGTAGTGATACTGGTCGCCTTAATCGATGAGAAATAAATTTATTCTACGCACATCATCGGGCCTGGAGCTGATTTGGTGCACGATCGTCGTATTGCCATCGTGGCCGAAGACGTTGATGGCTAAACGGTTTTGTTGGGTCTCTGAAAAGGGCCTAGCTGAGCGGGGCACTCTCATGGAGAGAGAAAGGCAGCCGACGCAATTCCCCTTGGGAGAAAATGCGCAACCATCAATCTTTCGATTTCATCCCTTGGGGAATTGCGGCTGCCAGGGGCGTTTTGCTACTTTTCTGAACCTTTCTATCTTTCTATCTTGGCACATCAAAGGATGGTTCTCACTATTTATTTAAGGGGGGCTGGGAGGCTTAATTCCCACAAATAAGCCTCACGGCAGTAACCCCTTTCTCTCTTTCCCCTTCTCCTTCCCCTCTTCTCTCTCTCTCTATTACTACTCCCGGTTTTGGTGTGACGAGCAAACGCTTCAACCTCTAAGCTACCCCGCCGCCCCTGAAGATGATGAACAAAAATGTTAATACTAACTGTTCACTTTCAGGAAAAATGTCACACGTCCATTTGAAGACCAGACATCTTTGGTGAGTATGTTGTTACTAGTTGTCCATCACCGTGATCTTGTTTATCACATTTAAATGAAAATGAAGTTAGTGTTCGTCAATTTGAAAATATTGATGTCAAAGTGGATAGTAAAAGACATGTGTCTGAGAAAAACAGATTGTTTTCCCCCTGTCACATTTCCCATAAGTACATGAATGATGAAGAAGTAAGGATATACTCCGAAATTTTGTGTTCCTAATGAGATAGAAGTTAACATCCATAAAACTTTCTTCCTTATATATGTTTTGTTGTTGTTTAGAATGCACTTGTAAACATGACAGATATGATATGTGAATTTGTCTGTTTTCAGTGATCAGATCATGTATTTCAAAGATAAATATTGTTCTTCTCAGGAGTTCTTCTCAGAAAGGAGTGACAACTCTCTGTTCTTGTTTGGCTCCCACTCCAAGAAGAGGCCGGACAACTTGGTGATGGGTAGGTGTTCCGTTGAGGGATGAAGGGAAGATGCTTGTCACATCGCGTCAGTACATCTACTCTATCACCAGTAGAGCAGCATGGTGTCCCTGACCATGACACACCCATCACATTACATCAGTGTTAGAAACATTTTTAGTTGGAATAGATTCCCCAGTGTTGACTATAAGAGAAGACCAACTGGTGACATGTCACTGTTCAATGGCAGAATGGATCATTGCCGTCAATATTGATTTGTTGATAGTCTGCTCTAAACAACCAACAAAGAAAACATTTCTTTGATTGGCATTCTAGACTGACTGACTGACTGACTATGGTTTTACCCCGTTTTTAGCAATATTCCAGCAATATCACGGCAGGGGACACCAGAAATGGGCTTCACAAATTGTACCCATGTGGGGAATCGAACCCGGGCCTTCGGCGTGACAAGCGAACGCTTTAACCACTAGGCTACCCCACCGCCCCGGCATTCTAGAAGTTGAGGAGATGAAGAATGAGGACAGTTTTTATGGATATACAACTTCTCTATTGTGTATAGGCAATGTTTCGACATAGATTCTAATGTCATTGTCAAGCACATTAGAATCTATATCGAAACGTCACCTATACAGAATAAAGAACTTGATCATGTTGATTGTCTGGTCTAAATAACCATCAAATAAAATGTTCTCCAGCATGATATCCTGTCCTGACACGATACAATCAATATTGACACAAACTGTCCTTCCAACCCCCTTCCTCACATCACAACCTGCCCCTCCCTCCCCCTTTCAACTCTCAGTCACCCCCCTCAGCTCCCACTCTCTCACCCGTTGCTGTTCTCACCTGTTATCATAACATCCCCCATCCTCATCTCTGTTGTCCTCCGCCTCCAACCCCCAGACGTTAACATCCCCTGTCAGTCTTTTCACTGCTCGCCCTCTTCTGTTATCACCATGGTATGACATACCCTGTTTTTCACACCCTCAACTTCTAACACCCTCAGTCAGTCTCTCCACTTCTTCACAAGGACCGCCTCCGTGGTGTAGTGATAAGAGCGTCCGCCCGGAGAGCGGAAGGTCGCGGGTTCAATCCCCGTCATACCAAAAGACGTTAAAATATGGTACTTGTTGGTCCCTGCCTGGCGCTCGGCATTAATGGGTACAACAAGGACTGGTCGGCTCGGAGTCAGTATAATGTGTCTGAGTGGGGTATTCATGCTTCACTGCGGCATGGTATCTCAGTGGGCTAGCACTATAAAACCAGCTTCAGTCTGGGCTAGTACAAGCTGCCGCACATACACATACACACGCATGCACGTCGTCATATGAGCGAAATATTCTCAAGCACGACGTTAAACCCAATTTCACCTCACCTCACCTCCACTTCCTCACCCCTTTCTGTTCCCATCCTGTAATGACACCCCCTCATCCCCAACTTCTGTGATCCCCAGTTCATCTCCCCTCACCCTTCTGTTCTCACCCATCGCGGTGGGGTAGCCTAGTGGTTAAAGCGTTCGCTTGTTACGCCGAAGACAGGGTTCGATTCCCCACATGAGTACAATATGTGAAGCCCATTCCTGGTGTCCCCAATCGTGATATTGATTATTGCGGCCGTAAAACTAATCTGACTTACTTACTCTGTTTCACCCTGTAATGTCATACCCCTTTTTAACCCCCAACCCCCAACTTCTAAAATATCCCCCCACTTTCGCTTCCTTACTATCCTCACCTCATCATTAGTGGTGTGATGATTCATCGATGCTTGGGCCACCGATACAATGAATCGATACAAAGTCTTACATTGTCATAAATCCCGATACAATGCTTCAAATGGGCCACGATAAATCGATTTTTAACTTTGAATATTGTCAAATCGCAATATCTATCAGGAAAGATTTACTTTTGTTTGATGATTAAAACATATGCATACTTATTTTCCCTTCATAAGTTTCTTGGAAATTCTTGTCTCAGGAACTGTGTCAAACATATCACTCGCATTTTATTATCATTCACAAAGTCTGTTTATATACTTAATTATGTCATTTCCGAATGAACATTGAAAAACGCTGTTGAAATTTGACGAAATACTTTTAAAATAGTTTTGTTTTTTTCTTAAGGTGTTTTATAGTTGGTGTTAGAATTAAAGATTTTAGTATTGTGATACGTATCATATCGCCACCATTATATCGTGATTCGTATCGTATCGCAGCTTCAGTGCACAATACTCTGGCAATATATCGTTGTGACTAAAAATTTAGTATCATGATATATCGTATCGCAGGTTCTATTTCAATACTAGCACTACCCATCATACAAAGATTTGGTCTTCAGCAACCCATGCATGTTGTAAGCTGGGACTAATGGGATCGGGCGATCAGGCTTGCTGACTTGCTTGACACGTCATCGGTTCCCAAATGCATAGAACTATGCTCATGATGTTGATCACGGGATTGTCTGGTCCAGACTCAATTATTTACAGACCGCCGTGATATAGCTAGAGTATAGCTGAGTGCGGTGTTAAACAACAAACAAATTCACCCCATCATGGCATCCCTGCTTCCTCATCATCTTTGTCCACACCACCTTCCTCGCATCCTCTGTCCCCCATCGTGATATTGCTGGAATATTGCTAAAAGCAGCGTAAAACCAAACTCACTCACTCACTCACTCACTGTTCCTAAGTCCCGGGGGTGGTGGGGTAGCCTAATGGTTAAAGCATTCACTCGTCACGCCGAAGGCCCGGGTTCGATTCCCCACATAGGTACAATGTTTGAAGCCCATTTCTGGTGTCCCCTGCCGTGATATTGCTGGAATATTGCTAAAAACGGCGTAAAGCCATACTCAGTTAGTCAGTCAGTGAGTCCTAAGTCCCCTATCATGACACCCCTCAGAAATATATATGAAAGCTTCCACATCTGGTGATGATGATTTGTTACCATGGTTACAGGTCGGATGTACGACCATCATGTTCTGGACATGGTGGAGCTGGGAGTGGACAAGTTCAAGTCCATGTTCGAGTTTGATGTAAGTCATTTTGATTTTTGCATTACCGCTGGCTATACAAAGTATTTGTATATTTGATGAGTGATCTGTATTACTTTAACTTGAAGTTTACTACATCCACTCTGGTGAACATACAGGGTGATTACAGTTGACATATCACTATGCACAGTATTGTGTTGTGTCAATTTTTGGCAACTCTCTTGTTTGTTGTACAACAGATCACACAGCAATATTACAGCTACATTACAGCAGTCTGTAGATGTCATGTCATTAACCTGGGAAGATCCTGGCTAGAATTTGGGTTCAGCTACCTATGCATGTGGTAAGAATGACTAGCAGGATTGGGTAGTCAGGTGTGCTGACATGCAGGGGTGGAAATAACTTTAAAATTGCTAGTGTACTCCGGTACAGTGGCACATGTAAAATCACTTGCCCTGATGATTTTTCCACTATACCAGCCTTTTTTATCCCCCGCAACGCGTTTTGCGGGGGGTATTAAAATGGACTCCATCCGTGCGTGCGTCCGTCCGTCCGTGCACATTTGCCTTTTCCGGAGCAGAACTCTAAAACCGTTCACTATTTGTTCACCAAACTTGACACATAGATTGGTCTGGTGGTGTACTAGTGCCTTTTGGTAGTTTTGGATTTCTGAATAAAATATTTTGGCATTTCCATGGCAACAAGTTTGACATAGACTGAAATTGGTGATAGTGCTCCTTTCTGGAGCAGAACTTTTAAAACCTTTCAATGCTCTCCTTCCACTTTTCTATATACACACCTAAAGTATTTTGCCATTGCAGGGGATATTGATGACTTTGTCTTCTTGTTGTTGTTGATTCTTTAAATAAACAACATGATTAACATTGGAAAGTCAACTGGACACCGGTACAGTGTGATATACAAATTTGACAGAAAAAAACGCTGGACTCTGGCGTCGTGGAATGGGTTATTTTTCCACCCCTGACATGGCTAATGCATGTCATTGTATCTTAACTACACAGATCAATGCTGCTGATGTTAATTATTAGATAATCACATTCATGTGTATAGGATAGTAGCACCTCCCTGTCAGTAAAACCTTGATGTTGGTATTTTCAGAGTTCCAAGAGCTCATTTGGGTGTAAGCCATGTTTGCTGTTTGCGGGCCAGCTGTTTGACAATGATGATGAGTACAGAAGGATCAAGAACCTGATGATAGGTACTCTCTCGCGCTGATCTGGAATAGGGCCGCTAACAACTTCTTCTTGTTAATGGTCAATGATATCGGAAGGATAGAGCGGGTGCAAAGTATGGACAGTGCTAGGTCCTGGAGGGAATTTTTTTTAGATAGTATTCGTGAGCAAATTTTGGCCAGTAATGTCGTGCTTTTAATCTGCTGACCACTATACATTCTCATTCTTTACTCTGTCATACTGTGGGACTCAGATTCCACAGCGGTCTTGGGTGGTGCAATTTGCAGTAACATCCCCTAGAGGTGAAAGGATCCTATGATCATCAATTTCTAGTAACTTTGATTATGACTGACATGCTATTTGATGTGATATGAAACCCATGTCCCCATTTCTAGTGTCCCCAACCGTGATGTTGCTGGAATATTGCTAAAAGCGGCGTAAAACCAAACTCAGTCAGTCAGTCAGTCCCATGTCATCACTGCTCATGATGTCCATCACTGGATTGCCTGGTCCAGACTTGATTATTTACAGACTGCCATCATAAAGCTGGATTATAACGCTCCACTCCACTCCACTCCACTCCACTCCACTCCACTCCACTCCACTCCACTTATTAAAGCATAATCTGAGGATTTTTATTGCTTCAGATTTTTTCCGTGGACCTGTTGTGAAGAACGTGCGTCTGGCTGGCCTGGAGCATGTCATCAGTGTTACATCTACAGATGACAAGATCTACATCAGGAACTATAAGTAGGTGAACAGGGATGACTGCTGTCATTTGGGAGGGTGCGGGATACTTTGTGTTGGTGAAGAAGATTTCTGTTGGTTTGGAAGTTGTAGGAGGACCTGAATCTGTGGTAGAGATTGGAAGATTTGCATCTCTGGGGAAGAGGATGGAAGAATTGTGTTGGTGTGGAAGTTGTAGGAAGACTTGCGTCTTTGTTGAATAGACATGGGAAGACTTATGGGGTAGAGATATGTGTCTGTGGTATAGGTTTGAAGATTTGTTCATGTGGTATAGGTGTGAAGATTTGTTCATGTGGTAAATATTGGAAGAATTTTTTTTGGGAGGGGGGGAGATTTGTGTCTTGGGAAGAGTAGGGAGTTATCTTTGGTTGCATGAAAATTTCACTTGCAGCTTAGTTTAACTATTGGTTTACTAGAAATCAGGCAGCTGAGTTGCTTTATTTGATATCTTTCCCCCATACAGACTTACATCAACTGTTTTTTGCTGCAATTACTATTGCTGGTACAGTTTATATAGTATGACCAGAAATTATTGAGAATTTTAGGAATATGTTTAATTGGATTTCTAGTATAAACAAACAACCTTGACCAGCTATCAAGTGCTTGGTTTCATTCAAGAGAGACAACTCCATTAATCCTTTTTCATTAGTTTGTGAAGAGTTATCCCCCTTTGTTTACTTGCTAGCAGACGACATTTTCATTGATCCTCAGTATGGATGATTTAGAGAAGAGGAAGTTGATTTTAGAGTATTATAACAAGGACATCAGATCAGATAAAGTGATTTCAAGTAGAACAGGCATCCCTTTGTCCACTGTTTATCGTGTTTTGAAAAATATTGCAAATGGATATGGCATTGAGCACCAGGGAGGCGCAGGTAGGCCCAGAAAATTGACTGTCGGTGACAGGAGGCGGCTTGGTATTCTTGTTTCTAAAAACAAACGAAGGAGTTTAGAAAACTTAAGGCTGGATATGATTGATAGAGGAACTGTGGCTGTCTGTAAGGAGACAATTAGAACTGAGCTGCATGCAATGGGTTGGCAGAAAAGTCGAGGAATTCCATCACCGATCATGAAACCTGAACAAAAGGAGCGAAGGTTGAACTGGTGCTTACAGCATAGAAATTTTAACTGGGACAATGTGATTTTCTCAAATGAAAGTTCTGTGTGGCTGTTTCCTAATACACTGAAATTCTGGACCAAACAAACTGAAAAATCTTTGTATCAGCGCCCAAAGTACAGTCCGAAATTAAAGTGTGGGGTGGCATATCTGTGTTAGGGGCAACACCCCTCTGTGTATTTGAAGGGATTATAAACAGTGAGCGGTACACATATATTCTCGAGGGACATTTACTTCCATCCGCTCACGTGTTCTATGGAAATTTTTGGATTTTCCAGCAGGACAACGACCCAAAACATCGTTCAAAGCATTCACAGGCCTGGTTTCGGACCCAAGATATGACATTATTAGATTAGCCAAGCTATAGCCCTGACCTAAATCCAATAGAAAATGTTTGGGGACTTACGAAGGAAAGTGTCAATAAGAAAAATCTGACAAATATAGCTGAAATGAAAGAAGAGGTGGTCCGATATTGGGACAGCATGGACCACAACTTTCTAACTTCTTTGATCAGTAGTATGCCCCGCCGCATTGAAGCCTGCATTGCTGCCCATGGTGACTTGACAAAATACTAACTGCTCACCTGTCTTTGAATCTGGAGTTATGTTCTGCTAATATTCACATTTAATACGTAAGTAATGAGTGAAAAAAAAAAATTTACAATCTTTAAATTCTCAATAATTTCTGGTTGTACTGTGCAAAGCAATGTGAGCTCAATCATCTTTGTAGAGTGTTGCTGAAGAAATCTGGGAGTCGGACCCCCCGCGTTGAGCTGGAAGAAATGGGCCCCTCCCTCAACCTCACCGTCCGACGCTGTCACCTGGCATCTCCAGATCTCTACAAGAAGGCTCTCAAAATCCCCAGAACAGCCAAGGTAGGACAACTGGGTGATGCATGATGCAAATGTTCTTACCCACCATAGAGTTCATATCACAAACTGTGAAACCCATTTCTGGTGTCCCCCTGCTGTGATATTGCTGAAATATTGCTAAAAGCGGCGTAAAACTAAACTCACTTATATCACAGACCTGTGTTCAAGTAAACCAAGTGTGGCCTAGTGGGAAGAGTGTTTGCCTATAGAGCGGTAGGTCAGTGATTCGGTCCTCACTACATCATACCAAGACGTTAAGATGGTACTTGTTGGTTCCCAGCCTGGTGCTGAGCATTTAGGGCAAAAAACAAGGAATGGTCAGTATACTGTGTCTGGGTGGGGTATTGTGGGGACTGTCCATACTGAGTGTAGTGTCCAGGTTGTGTGGGGTATCTACATTAAGTGGGTATCCATATTGAGTGGGGTATCCATATTGTGTGGGGTATCCATAGGGTGGGGACTGTCCATACTGAGTGTAGTGTCCAGATTGTGTGGGGTATCTACATTAAGTGGGTATCCATATTGAGTGGGGTATCCATTTTGAGTGAGGTATCCATATTGTGTGGGGTATCCATATTGTGTGGGGTATCCATAGGGTGGGGACTGTCCATACTGAGTGTAGTGTCCAGATTGTGTGGGGTATCTACATTAAGTGGGTATCCATATTGAGTGGGGTATCCATTTTGAGTGAGGTATCCATATTGTGTGGGGTATCCATATTGTGTGGGGTATCCATATTGTGTGGGTGTCCATTTTGAGTGAGGTATCCGTATTGTGTGGGGTATCCATATTGAGTGGGGTATCCATTTTGAGTGAGGTACCCATATTGTGAAGGTATCCATATTGAGTGGGGTATCCATATTGTGTGGGGTATCCATATTGTGTGTGGTATCCATATTGTGTGGGTGTCCATATTGAGTGAGGTATCCATATTGTGTGTGGTATCCATATTGTGTGGGTGTCCATTTTGAGTGAGGTATCCATATTGTGTGGGGTATCCATATTGAGTGGGGTATCCATTTTGAGTGAGGTATCCATATTGTGTAGGTAATCATATTGAGTGGGGTATCCATATTGTGTGGGGTATCCAAATTGAATGGGGTATCCATATTGAATGGGGTATCCACATTAAGTGGGGTATCCACATTAAGTGGAGTGTCCATATTGTGTGAGGTATCTATATTAAGTGGGGCATCCACATTAAGTCGGGTATCCAGGGTATCCACATTAAGTGGGGTATCCATATTGAGTGGTGTATCTATATTAAGTGGGGTGTCCATATTGTGTGGGGTATCCACATTAAGTGGGGTGTCCATGGCATGGTATGTCAGGAGACTACCTATATTTTCATACAGACACACCGACACACACGTTCTGGCATGTCGCCCCGTAAGTTATTAATCTTTAACATGTTGTTCAACTCCATGTCACTTCACATTATGTTCGGGCGGTGGGGTAGCCTAATGGTTAAAGCGTTGGCTCGTCACGCCGAAGACCCGGGTTCGAATCCCCACATGGGTACAATTTGTGAAGCCCATTTCTGGTGTCCCCCGCTGTGATGTTGCTGGAATATTGCTAAAAGCGGCGTAAACCAAACTCAGTCAGTCAGTCAGTCACATTATGTTCAAAAGGTAAATGCTTGTGGCAATGTAACTAATCCTGCTATATCATGTTGTTGATCACCAGATTGTCTGGTCCAGACTTGATTATTTACAGACCGCCACCATACACATATATATGTAGCTGGAATATTGCTGAGTGTGGGGTTAAACAACAACCAAGCCAAACCTGCTGTTTCAGAAGTCCTTCTAGGACAGATCTGAGTGTTTGTCATATATTGGCTCAGGCAAATGTTCCAGATATATATTATTATCCCCTGCCGCGCGTTTTCGAGGGGGATATAGTATTAGGCTCCGTCTGTCCGTACGAATTGGAATATCTTAAGAACCGTTTACTAGATTCTTTTCACATTTGGTACCTAGGTTCATCACAGTATAAGAAAGGTCCAAGTCAGGTTTGGTGACCTTGACCTTGACCTTCATTTCAAGGTCACAAGGGGACTTTAACGTTTTACCTGCATGTTAAGCTATCTCAAGAACCGTTCCCTGGATTTTCTTCATATTCAATACCAAGCTTTATCTCGGGAAGGCGCAGGGTCCAGTTGATTTTGGTGACCTTCACATAATTTTCAAGGTCATGATTTTGGTGACCTTCACACTTTGAAGATTTCAGCATGTTAACCTGCATGTTAAGCTATCTCAAGAACCATGTCCTGGATTTTCTTCATAGACTTTCAAGACTTCCCTTGAATGTTTTTCAATAAGCAATTTCTTTAGTACCAGTTTTGCATATTTCATACACTATGACATTCATGTCAAGGTCAAAGTCAGTCTTGAAAATATGTGTATGTTTGAACAACTAAAGAGCCAGATATCAAGAGAGGTTGATTAGTCATGTTTTTGTTGACATTTAACTTCATCTTAAACTTTCATTACTTTATAAGTTTGATTTGATAATTTGCGGCAGGGGATTATGTCACCTTAGTGACAATGGTTGTCTTGTGATAAGCTGATGCTGGCATCCCATGTTGAAACGCTTCCACACAACAACTTTGTCTTTTATAGAATATTAAAGCACTTTTAGATCGTCCATTACTTTTTATCTTGAACCAAACAGATTTGATGCTTTTAGTACCTTTTTAAAGAATGGACATTTCAGTTGGAGATGACTCTTCAATTTCAGCCAAAGAAAAAGAAGAATATATCACACGATGTGTTTGGTTCCAAGCTTGGTCGTGTCCACATGCAGAAACAGGATATAAATAAACTGCAGACTCGCAAGATGAAGGGTTTGAAGAAACGCAAGAAGGAATCAGCTGAAGGTCAGGATGGACAAGGGTCAAGGTCAAAGAAATCCAAGAAATCTAAATCAGAAACTGAGGAAGAATGATAATGATATTGATGAATCAATGTGTTGTTGATGATGGTAATAGGTCTGTAATCATCTGTAATGCATGTTAAATGGCAGTGAATCCAAACAAGCAAATAAACAATGGGTTCTTAAGCATAATTAAACACTTTATTGAATATACAAGAGACAATAATAGACAATGTCATCTCATTTAATTTGGCTTACTAATGCATTTGTTTAATTAACTGGATAAATTTCCATTTTATTGACAATGTACAAAATAATGGAATTATGTTCTCATGAGTTACACCTAAAACTGTATTTTGTTGTGAAAATGTATATATTGTACATATATGTAAATAAAGAAAATAGCAAATTTATGTGTTAAGATAAATATTTTTAGAACAATGTAATACTGTATGATAAGAGTCCGCCAATGCAGTTTTCAATGTTACCTCACTCACACACTTGGGAAGCTTCAAAGACCATCAACAATTGAAACAGGAATAAGAAATGTAGAATATTGCACTCTTCCATGATTAAATAAACAAAACTATCAACAATCACATGGACCAGTCCACATATAACATGGACCAGTTCACATATAACATGGACCAGTCCACAATCACATGGACCAGTCCACCTATAACATGGACCAGTCCACATGTAACATGGACCAGTCCACATGTAACACTGACCAGTCCACATATAACATGGACCAGTCCACATATAACATGGACCAGTCCACATATAACATGGACCAGTCCACATTTAACATAGAAAATTGTTGTGGTAAGAGGCGGGTAAAGGGATGAGGGGTGAGACTCGCTGTCCGACACATGTCATCATATCCCAGTTGTGTAGATCAATGCTCATGATGTTGACCACTGGATTGTCTGGTCCAATTGTTTACAGACTGCCTCCATATGGCTGGAATATTGCTGAGTGAGGCGTTGACCAACAAACAAACAAATAACATAAAAAATGATTGCTTTTAAGATATTGCAAGCTTATGTGAACTGTATTAACATGATGTTGTTAGCAACTTTCGATGAAGCATGCAGCTTTGTTGATATCTAACTTCTAGAATGGCGATCAAACAGTTCAATAATCAAATATGTCATTAAAATATAAACATGGCATATTTTTGAGAATCTGTTTTGGGTAAAACTGAAAGATAAAAACCATTGCTGTCCAACTCTAGTAATGTACAATGTGCCGCACATGATACGTGAGTACAGGGAGAGTCTAGAACAGGCAAATAGTGGTTCGACTTTGGATCAGCAGCTGATTAGGTTGTGAGATCAGAATTACTGTAATTATACCTTATACACTGTGCTGATAATCGTGCCTGCAGATGCTGCAGAGGGGGTTAAGCCTGTTCTGGTATTGTACTTGTGAGTATTACTTGGAAACAGAGAAAAAAGGAATTAAGTGTGCACACAATACTGTGTTGTGATTATTGCAATTATGAACATGAGTGTTAATAGGCCTATGTGTGTGGTATGAAATAAACCGAGCATATGACACAGTTTGTCAATGTTCAAAATTATTAATGTTTCAGAAGTCAAAAATATTATCTCATCTTGCTCTTGTCATCTGGGTTACCCTGTAATATAACTCCCCAGAGATATTGATAGGGGCGTAGATACCATTATAAAAAAAAGCCTGGGCTAACACATGATTTTGAAAATGAAAGTTGGGGAAGCCCTCGATACTTTCACACCCCTTCCTCCATTGTCAATAGTTGACACCGCTTTCAACCTCGTCAACATTTGACAAAGCCACATCCACAATTGTCAACATCTGACACCCCAACCCCCCGCCTCCATTGTCAACACTTGACACCACCTTCACCCCCTTGTCAACAGTAGACAAAGCCACATCCACAATTGTCAACAGCAGACACACCCCTTCCTCCATTGTCAACAGTTGACACCACCTTCACCCCTCGTCAACAGTTGCTAAAGCCACATCCACAATTGTCAACAGCGGACACACCACATCGATTGTCAACAGTTGATACCGCCTTCACCCTTGTCAACAGTTGCCAAAGCCACATCCACAATTGTCAACAGCAGACACACACCCTCCTCCATTGTCAACAGTTGACACCACCTTCACCCCTCGTCAACAGTTGCCAAAGCCAAATCTACAATTGTCAACAGTGGACAGAACACATCCATTGTTAACAGTTGACACCGCCTTCACCTTCGGCAACAGTTGACAAAGCCACATCCACAATTGTCAACAGCGGACACATCCCTTGTCCACTGTCAACAGTTGACATCAACAACTGACGCACAGCAACTACTGTCGACAGTTGAGCGCACTCTACTATTGTCCCATATCTGATGATCTAATGTCTCTTTACAAACACACGCACACACACACACACACACACACACACACACACACACCAGTTGACACCGTCCACTATCTCAGTATCACAGTTTCAATGATCACAGAAGACCCACGTCCACAAAGCGGTTGCAGTCTATGGTACCGCCTGTTGTGTTCACACTCGCACTATTCCAACGGATCCAAGTATTTACAACGGGCCAACCAGTGTCCTACAGCGGCCGACACACCCCACTGTGGCGAGACTTCTATATACTATCTTGTCTGCCATGTTAACCCATGGCCGCTGTGATGTTCACGTAGCAGGGCACGGTGAAGGCTCCAGGCTGAGCCAAACCCGCGATGGCGGAGTAAGTAGACGCTGCTCCGGCCACGACTCCGACAAACACGATTTCATAGTTGAGTAGTTTGATGTGGATTGGGACGTGACTGAAATCAGAATTGAAAATCGATACACAAATGTATGTCCTCAGTAATATAGGTGCAGAGGAAAGGATCTATGTTTAAGACTGTTGCACCCGTAAAGATCCGGGTCAGAATTGGTCTTCAGCAACCCATGCTTGTAAGAAGAGTACCTTGATTTGGTGGTCTGGGTCTCGATCCACAAAGCGTTCGTAATGTTACGAGCTGTCGTAACTATATCCTTTATCATTAGCTTACGAATGATGTTATTGTTATGAACGCTTTGTGAATCGGACCCTAGGTTGTTAGGTTTGGTTGAGGCATGTCATCGTATTACAATTCTGTAGATGTTCATAATGTCAATCACTGGATGTTCTGATCCAGATCCGCGGAAGGTCGCGGGTTCGATGCCCGACCGCGTCATACCAAAAGACGTTAAAATATGGTACTTGTTGGTCCCTGTCTGGCGCTCGGCATTAGTGGGTACAACAAGGACTGGTCGGCTCGGAGTCAGTATAATGTGTCTGAGTGGGGTATTCATGCTTCACTGCGGCATGGTATCTCAGTGGGCTAGCACTATAAAACCAGCTTCAGTCTGGGCTAGTACAAGCAGCCGCACATACACATACACACGCATGCACGTCGTCATATGAGCGAAATATTCTCAAGCACGACGTTAAACCCAATTACACCTCACCTCACCTCTGATCCAGATCCGATTACACATACTGCGCCTTCATATGGCGAGGCATGCGTTAAACAACACACAAACAAAAACAAACAACACATCTGGGCCTAGATTTTCGAAGCTCTCTTAGATCTAAGACAGTCGTAAGTTAATGTTAATGTATGGCACTTACGACTATCTTGGCGCTAAGAGAGCTTCGAAAATCTAGGCTATTAGCAAAAACAGCAAGGACCCCATTCCACAAAGCATGGAATACTTGGCCCCGTTTCACAAAGCTATTGTAGCGCTACGACAGTCGTAAGTCATTAACATTAACTTACGACTATCTTAGCGCTAAGAGAGCTTCGAAAATCTAGGCCCACGGCCATACATTAACATTAACTTACGATTACCTTAGCGCTAAGAGAGCTTTGAAAATCTAGGCCCACGGCCATACATTAACATTAACTTACGATTACCTTAGCGCTAAGAGAGCTTCGAAAATATAGGCCCAGGGCCCCGTTCCTCGAAGCGATCGTAGCTAACATAATCGTAGCGCTACGACTGTCGTACTTCCTATACTATAATATAGTCTTAAGTTTATGTTAATGTATGGCACTTACGACTATCTTAGCGTCAAGACAGCTTCGAAATTCTAGGCTCTGTATCATAGACTTACGACAGTTAGCGCTACGATAGATTTGTGAAACGGGTCCCAGTATTTCATGCTTGTCTTAAGAATCAGCAGGGCCTAGATTTTTGAAGCTCTCTTAGCGCTAAGATAGTCGTAAGTTAATGTTAATGTATGGCACTTACGACTATCTTAGCGCTAAGAGAGCTTCGAAAATCTAGGCCCTGGTGGTCAGGCTCTCTGACTTCGTTGTCACATTCCATCGTATCCCAATTACTTTACTACGAAGGACTGCTGAGCACGGCGCTTAACGCAGACAAACAAACCACCAAGACGTGGTTGACGCATCATATGGTGTCCCATTTGCGAAGATAGATGATCATGATGTCAGCCACCGGATTGTCTGGTTCAGACGCGATTATTTACAGACTAGTGTTAAATATGTATAATGTTGTTGAGTGCGACGTTAAAACACTGGCAAACAAACAAACATGTGGTAAGCGGGTAGCGAAACCTACATGTCTTCCCATTCTCCCTCCATGCGGCACAGCTTGAGGTAGAACAGTGACGGCAAGATGTAGGCCAGCAGCGTCGTCGTCGACCCACCGACCAGGGCGAGGATGGCGCCGAAGTGAGGAATACTTTCAGCCACAAACAGCACCAACGCTATGATACCCGTACGTAGGAGACAGCGCTTTATGTTGAATGCTGAAGAGGAAAGGATGGTGGAGATGTCTGATTCATAACAAGCAAGTTTGAAAAGAGTTTAAGAAAACACACCCTGTGGTAGTCAAACCTTGATGATGATGATGGTGATGATGATTTGGAGAATTAACGTGCGCTTTCCTACATAATGCGTATTTAACACACGGGCCCGCCAGGCAATTTAGTGTTTGATAAGTCAAACCTTATAATGTGTATGCACTTGAAACCTCTCAATATGTATGTAATGACAGAAATCTGGGCAAAGCAGACGTTGCCAATACGGCGTAAAACTATATATACTATGACTCCGCTCATGTGTGGCAGGGGTGGTGGGGTAGCCTAATGGTTAAAGCGTTGGCTCGTCACGCCGGAGACCTGGGTTCGAATCCCCACATGGGTACAATGTGTGAAGCCCATTTCTGGTGTCCCCCGCCGTGATGTTGCTTGAATATTGCTAAAAGCGGCGTAAAACCAAACTCAGTCAGTCAGTCAGTCAGTCATGTGTGGCATAGTGAGCTGGTGAGGTTCAGGATGCTGACAAATGCTGAGTATAATGGGGTGTTGGTGATAGGTGTTGTTGTTGTTGTTGTTGATGATGATGATGAAGGTGATGATGAGGTGATAATCACGACCAATGCCATGATAACGACGACGATGACAATGATGATGTGGATGAGAATGACGATGGTGACGACGGCGATGATGATAGTGATGGTGGTCTTTGTGATGGCGACGAAAAACAACGACAATGACGATGTGGACGACGATGACAACACTGATGGTGATGTGATGATGTGGACGACAATGTGATGATATATGGTAACGGCAACGATAGTAATGTGGTCGATGACAGTGAAAACCAACAGGGACAACGACTGACCTTTGGGTACCTTGAGGATCTCCTCCAGCTCCTGACAGAAGGGGTTGATGACGATGATGAAGGCACAGAGCAGATGGATGGTGATGACGATCTCCACCACGTAGAGCATGGGGCCGCTTTTCACTGTCTGAAGCACGTTTGGGTCTAGGTTCTTGCCGTACACGAAGTAGCCGACTGTCGACACCGGCAGGTACATTGCCAACACAACTACAACATGAATAGGAAGCTAGATAGGGTGTACATATGGACAGGAGTGAGTGAGTGAGTTTAGTTTTACGCCACACTCAGCAATACTCCAGCCATATGGCGGCGGTATGTAAATAATCGAGTCTCACGGGACCAGACACTCCAGTGATCAATAGCACGAACATCGATTTACGCAATTGGGAACCGATGACATGTGTCAACCAAGTCAGCGAGCCTGACTATCCGATACTGTTAGTCGACTCTTACGACAAGCATGGGTTACTGAAGACCAATTCTAACTCGGAGCTTCACGGGTTCAAATGTAGACAGGTACGTCACTGGTTCAGCTACGACATGTCTACGAGACCCTGAGCAAGTACAGAAACATATTTATTCTTTTCTTCGTACAAACGTAAGGCGACTAACGGGATCGGGTGGTCAGGCTCGCTGACTTGATTGACACATGTCATCGTATCCCAATTGTGTAGATCGATGCTCATGCTGTTGATCTCTGGATTGTCGGCTCCAGAATTGATTATTTACTGACCGCCTCCATATAACTGGAATACTGCTGAGCGCAGCGTATTACTAAACTCACTCACAAACGTAATGACAGAGCTATTGAAGAACACAGACGGTAAATGTCAAGTATTTTATCCGTTATAGAGTCGGATATATCTCGACATCATTAACAAAGCTATATTCAATAACACTTAAAACGGGTGACAGCTGAGCATCTATACCAGACATAATAACATATATTCAGAATACTAGCACATGTAATAATAAAAATGATAATACCGCCACTCAAGAGCGCTGAACTCCACGCCGCAGGAACATGCTCTGACACATAGAACGTGATGAATATTACTAGCTGGCGACCAAGTGTGCGAGCAAGACGCCATATATGTTTCTTTTTCCATTCCTTCGAAACAAATCACTTATCCGGTAAATATTTGTAAAACCTGAAGCAAATACATTTTACACCTCATCCGCCCCTACCTTCAATTGTTAAGTGAGGGAGACATTTATTACGGTGGATTTTCAACCATTCACACGTTGCTTCATCTGCAAGCTGAACGACCCATTGAAAGGTCCGCAATTTAACTAACCCGTGAAGATCCGGGTTAGAATATTGATCTTCAGCAACCAATGCTTGTCGTAAGAGGCGACTGCCGGAATCGGGTGGTCAGGCTCGCTGACTTGTTTGACACATGTCACCGTATCCCAATTACAATCGAAGCATATGATGTCAGTCACTGGATTGTCTGGTCCAGTCTCGATTATTTACAGACCGCCGCCATATAGCTGGAATATTGCTGAGTGTGGTGGTAAACATCAAACAAACAAATATCAAACTTACTCATGTAGGCGAAAAACACGGCTCTCCCAAACAGGGACTCGTCCTTCATGTCAGCCTGGAAGGTAGGGAACGCTGGGTGCCCCCCGAAAGCGAAGCAGATGGTGCCGAACGCCGTGAAGAAGGACAGGAACCCCGGCGGAGTATGAAGCACGGGATGATGGTTGTGATGGTTGTCTACCAGGATGTTGGAAAACAGCACCACACAGGCGACACTGGTGGCCACGGTGGCGCCTATAGCTACAGGCCTGAAACATAGGAGGTGGGTACTCAGATGATACTGGTGGCCACGGTGGCGCCTATAGCTACAGGCCTGAAACATAGAGGGTGGATAAACACACCGGCGATACTGGTGGCCACGGTGGCACCTATAGCTACAGGCCTGAAACATAGAGGGTGGATAAACACACCGGCGATACTGGTGGCCACGGTGGCACCTATAGCTACAGGCCTGAAACATAGAAGGTGGATATAGAGGGTGGATAAACACACCGGCGATACTGGTGGCCACGGTGGCACCTATAGCTACAGGCCTGAAACATAGAGGGTGGATACACAGGCGATATTGGTGGCCACGGTGGCGCCTATAGCTACAGGCCTGAAACATAGAGGGTGGATAAACACACCGGCGATACTGGTGGCCACGGTGGCACCTATAGCTACAGGCCTGAAACATAGAGGGTGGATAAACACACAGGCGGTACTGGTGGCCACGGTGGCACCTATAGCTACAGGCCTGAAAGCATAGAGGGACGAGTGAAACACCACGGGTTCAACTATCCGGTATATTTAGGTTCCATGGCAAGGTACATACTAGTAACTATGTTACTTCACCCATTTGAATGAGTGAGTGAGTGAGTATGGTTTTACGCCGCTATTAGCAATATTCCAGCAATATCACGGCGGAGGACACCAGAAATGGGCTTCATCACCCATTTGAGAAGCATAACAGTATTCACTAGATCGTACAATTGTTATAAATGGGAGAAAGCTTTATCCACAAGACTAAGCATCTGCTAAAAAATGGGGAGAGAGTTTTAACCACTAGACCACCCAAAAGCAATACACTACACACTCCTAAACCCCTAGGGCGAACGCACTCGACCAGCTTGGAAAAGCCGAATTCTCTAACCAGTTGGTTACAGGTTAACCACAAAGGAGGTTATGTTGTTACCGTAGGTTACCCAACATTAAGTATAAACGCGTTAAAATAGGCTGAACAGCATAGATGAAGGGCTGGACGCTTTAACCGCAAGACTACCACCATCCACATGAGTCTGGGATGATGACTGTATTGAGCACTGTCTTAATACCCAAGTTTACACAGTAAGCGTTTTCCTTGTCCCTCTATCTCAGTATATCAGTATTTTCCTCTCTTAATCTTAATACTGCAGGAAATGGAGACATTGAAGCGATAGCATATACAATAAATTATGCACATTATACACAATAAAATTTAATATATACTGAGGGAAACAAATAAGGGAACACCACTTCATGGCAATGTTCCTATATTTATTCTCAGATTTCCTCCCACAGCGCTATTCAAAGTGATGAAAACTGGGAAATATTAAAGGAACACTTGAATTGTCCTGTGTTCCTTTATTTGTTTCTCTCAGTATATATTAAATTTTATTGTGTATGATGTGCATAATTTATTGTATATGTTATCGGTTCAATGTCTCCATTTCCTGCAGTATTAAAATTAAGAGAGGAAAATAATGATACACCACATCAACAAGGAAACAAATCGTGTTTTCTTGAGATAGAAGGACAAGGAAAACACTTACTGTGTTTGCGTTTTCCTGTTCAATACTTTTGATAATGTTCGTTTTCAATCGAAAAGTAAATAGTTTTGAAGACAAGGCTGTATAAAAATTGGTTCAATATCCTTACTATTATAGGGGTGAGATATAATACACTTGGTTATCGAGGATGTAGTCAACCACAAACAAACAGCGTGGTGCTGACAAGCTAAGGATCATAATCGGGCCGTGGCGGTGGGGTAGCCAAGTGGTTAAAGCGTTCGCTCGTCAAGCAGAAGGCCCGGGTTCGATTCCCCACATGGGCACAATGTGTGAAGCCCATTCCTGGTGTCCCCCGTCCTGATATTGCTGGAATATTGCTAAAAGCGGCGAAAAAACCAACTCACTCACTCTTAGAATCGGGCCGAGATTCGAACCAGCAGGAAGTAGCTCCGGTTAGGCAACCCCGTTTCTAGACGGAAGTATATATATTAATGATCTACTTATGTCATAAAGCATCAGTTATGTCAGGAGAAGTCACCGCTCTCACCAGAAATCCTTGGGTGTACCGAGCCACGACAGCGGCACCAGGACTCCCGCCACAATGATGAGCCAATAGCAGAAGGACACGTCAGCATGCACGTCAGCCAGCAGACTCTGGATGTTCTCGGATGCGAGGAGCAGGAAGACCACGGACACCCCGAACAGGGTGAAGTTGATGGAGAAGGACACGAGATACCTGGAAGGAGGGACCATGGTAGAATGATTCCTTGGCCAACATGACTCCGTTGCTTGGCCCAGATTATTTCTGTTGTATATATTTCATAATTAGCTAAAGGGATACCAGAGCTGAATAGGATCCCATAAACGTGCCCATATGCTTATAATATCAGTCACTTGATTGTGCGGCCCAGAATTGATTATTTTCGATGTATATATTTATAGGCTTAAGGGTTACCACAGCTTGATTGTTCCCCAGAAACATATGCCCGCGGTGCTCATAGTGTTGATCATTGGATTGTGCGACCCAGATTCGATTTGTTTTCGATGTATATATTTTATATATTCCCTATTGGGATACCACAGCTTGATAGATCACCAGAAACAAATGCCCGCGGAGCTCATAGTGTTGATCACTGGATTGTGTGCCCCAGGCCTAATTATTTTCGTTATATATCTGTGGTAGATATACTAGAGCTCCGGATTTCTCATAGGCATCCTCATCAGGGTTCCGATCCACAAAGCTTTCGTAGCGCTACGACATTCGTAAGCCTATGATAAATTATAAAGTTACGACAGATCGTAACTTTAAGAAAGCTTTGCTGACAGGGACCCAGGTATGGATATAACGGTACATCCCACCTACCTGCCTGGTTTTCCATATGTCACCTCGCCGATAGCGGGGTAGGGGTACCTGACCTGACCCTGGTACTCCTCGTACCGCTCCCTGACCAGGCACCACGCCTTCCCCAGCACGTCCCCCGTGTAGGCGGAGATGACACAACACAGTACGATCAGCACTAAGCCAATCCAGCCTGAACAACACAACAGAGTTTAAGTGGTGGGGAATTTGAATTTCCAGAAAAAATCATTCGAGTTTGTAACTGTTGCCAGTCCTTGATAGTAGGTCCGAACTGGGACCAGGGACTCGACCAGTGTTGTTACAGCTGTCGTAAGTATGGCTGTAGACTGTCTCACAATCCCTGAACAACATTATTTACCCTTCCCTCGAACCCTTTCTGCAATGCTAAACCTTAATGAAGCAAGTCTAGATTTCCGCGGGTTATGAATATCCCTTCCCCCTGGGGCTCATTTTCAATTTAATAGGAATTGTTGACGTCTATCAAAAATATATAGATTCATATACTAAGCGTTATTCTAGTATGTGAGTTACAGTAGACTTAAAGTTAAGCTGACTTCTTGCAGGAAACCTTGTACTAAAGTTACTAATCTTAAAAATCGTGTTGTGTAGGTAAATAAAAACCTAACGCAGATGTAATCCATGTTGTATTTTGTATTTTATATAATTAATGCCATAACAGTAGCAATACATATTGGGCATATGTATGTTTCAGCATTAAAGTATGGTTCTACTGACCATTGAAGTCAAATAATGTGTATTACCTGTACCCTCAACAGCGCTCGGTAACGCCAGCACCCCCGACCCCGCAATTTCCCCTACGATGAAGACGGCGGCAGTCCATATCGTCAGCCCGGGACCCTCACCTGTCTGAAGAAACGACGAGCATTAGTAACAAGGATACATAGATGGTTGCCGCGTACTATAATTAGTCCTTAGTCAAGCTCAAAGTATATCATAAATCCAGATATTACATGGTGTGTAAGAGGAACCCAGATATCACCATCGTGTATACCCTAAATCCAGATCCCACCAAGGTATATATCAGTAATCCAGATATCACCAATTATATATATATCATTAATCCAGATATGACATGGTGCATTACAGTAAAGCAGATAACATCACCCTGTATATCATAAATCCAGGTATCACCTACAGTAAACCAGACATCACCGTGTATATCATAAATCCAGGTATCACCAAGGTATATATCAGTAATCCAGATATCACATATTGCATTACAGTAAACCAGACATCACCGTGTATATCATAAATCCAGATATCACCAAGGTATATATCATTAATCCAGATATCACCAAGGTATATATCAATAATCCAGATATCACATATTGCATTACAGTAAACCAGATAATTTCACCGTGTATATCATAAATCCAGATATCACCAAGGTATATATCATTAATCCAGATATCACATATTGCATTACAGTAAACCAGACATCACCGTGTATATCATAAATCCAGATATCACCAAGGTATATATCATTAATCCAGATATCACCAAGGTATATATCATTAATCCAGATATCACATATTGCATTACAGTAAACCAGATAACATCACCGTGTATATCATCAATCCAGATATCACCAAGGTATATATCAGTAATCCAAATATCACATACTGCATTACAGTAAACCAGATAACATCACCGTGTATATCATAAATCCAGATATCACCAAGGTATATATCAGTAATCCAGATATCACATATTGCATTACAGTAAACCTGATAACATCACCGTGTATATCATAAATCCAGATATCACCAAGGTATATATCAGTAATCCAGATATCACATATTGCATTACAGTAAACCAGATAAGATCACCGTGTATATCATAAATCCAGGTATCACCAAGGTATATATCATTAATCCAGATATCACATATTGCATTACAGTAAACCAGATACGATCACCGTGCATATCATAAATCCAGGTATCACCACCGTGGTATATATCATAAGTCATGATATCATCATGGTTTATGTCATTGGTCAGCGTGTCTAAGTGGTTAGCCGGGAAGAAAGACGTATTGTTGATAATAGTTACACATTTTAAGGCTGTTCTAATTTCTGCTTACCGGTGTATGTAAAGGCGCCATTACCCTCTATGCTTCTGAAATAGCTTACCACAGAAAGGTCCACCGCATGCATTAGCGGGTTTTTAGTATTCTTCACAGTGAGACTATACATCGAATAACCGCACAGCTGTTTGGTATTAGTTTCTAACATGTTGTTTTAACTACCAATAACACTCCGACCTTAAATGTAACAGATGATACAGGAAACATATGGTCAGGTGTGCATATGATTATCTCACCTGGACGAGCAGTTCCTTTTCATAGTTCACAGCCATTATGTCCGCGTGCGTAAATGGAAACTTTTTGCCAGACCTGAAAATAATTCAGTGCAATTAGGCTACAATTATTGCCTTTTCATGGCCATATTGCTGGTGATAGTGTGTTGTGCGTTTTAGTAAACTCTCATCGACCATGTGGTCTTGGGCGCCATACTTCACAAAACAGAGTTGCGTCCCTTTGTGAAGCAGTATTCGCTAAACACTTCGGGCTTATCGCTTCAAACTCTCACGCCGTGATATACCTGGAACCTATACGCCATGCAACTAATAATACCTCTCAGCCTAATAAAACTCTTAAATATCATTTTCTATTAACCAGTTCCCAATAAGCTAGTGCACTTCCAAAGTTGCATTAGTTTGGTCCTTTCGGTCGAGTTTAATTTCAATGAATTAAGTGATAAACGTTTACATAGTGGTGTGGAAAGGAACACATCGAGCGGTCCCAGATCCAAGGTCTGTAAAGATTCCGTCTCTAAGTGGTTCCGGAAGAGTAATTGGAATCCGACTTCATCACCTATTCAGGTGTTCACAACATCGTCGTTGAAGCCCACGACATCTTTAACATTTGGCGACGTCTTCACGTTCATGTGTTTTGGACAAGGTACTTGGAAACCAGCGACACACCATTAGTTCTTCTTCACCATCGCCTGTGGGTCTTCCTTGTACAACATCTGGGTCCGAGATCGCGAGGTTTTCTCCAGAGTTTGGTGGTAAGTGGAAAAAAGTAGTCCTTGGTGTTAGCTTTGGGGGGAGTTCCATGTCAGTGAAAGGGTCTGCAGCTTAGTCAAGGTCTATAAAGGTTGCGTGTGTGTGTGTGTGTGTGTGTGTGTGTGTGTGTGTGTCTGTGTCTGTCTGTGTCTTTGTCTGTGTCTGACTGTCTGTCCGTCTGTCTCTCTCTCTCGCTCTCTCTCTGAACCACCATATTCTTTCATATTCCTTTTGTTAATTATGCGATGATTATTCATAACAATATAAAAAAAGATTGTTCTTTACAAATAGACCATATAGCAGTCTGAAAGAATTGTGTGTTCCTTAACTTCTTTTGAGCAGCATATACTACGTTTATCTCGCTCGACGGTCTTGACATGAACTGTTGTAATGCCAGGACAACAGCTGACTTCTCTATCTTTAGTTTCTACGTGAAGTCTATTGGCTCCATAATGGACGAACAAGTGATGAGTCATGCAGTACGACAACATCAATGCATCATCCATATTCATGTATGTAATGACTGGGGATTAACGAGGTCTGCAATAAATGTATTATCAGTATACCACTAAACATAATGATAATTATACGGGGGGGATATACCCATGCAAAGCGTTGAGTTTCGTTCGTATTCCCAAACCTCAAAATGTGTCTTTTATGAAACTCTCAGTTGTACAACCATGATATATGTTATATACTCACCTTAAGCTTGAGGGAAGCAGTACTATCGCCTGCTATAGTTGGGGGTTGTAACAACTGCCGCTTTTCTCAGGGTCAGGGACTCAGAGTACTTTTTATCTGACAAAAAAATCACCTGATGTAAAAGAATCATGTATGTGCTTCACATCTGATATATTATTGTCAAAATCGCCATAACTTCACTATGTTGGGACGTACCAGACTCCCAGTCTTGGGGATCGATGTTCACTGATCACTGGATTGTCTGGTCCAAATATTTACAGACCGCCGCAATATAGTTGGAATACTGCTGAGTGCGTCGTTAAACAACAACCAACCAACCAACCCAGTTTGGGTTCAAACCAAGTTACTGGTTGATATGTATGGTTATCGGCATAACATATAACTGATATATCATTCACAGAGGTGTTCGGCCCAAACCCATATCTATACTGTAATAATTACGTGTATGGTATTCGAAAGATTCCAGAGACAGTCTAACATTGTGCTATGCATATACATGTATTTGATAGGATATTTACTCGTTTATAGGTGATCCCGTTTTAGAACAGGTCCTCAACTACCTACATGGGTCCTGTCTCATAGATCGACCTAATGCTAAACATTGACTTGCATATGACAAGATAAGATAACAACATAGATTACTATTGTGTCATAGGGCATACCGGTATCATGTAGATGTATATATGAATACAATGTATACATGTATATATTTTATATTTGAATTCATAAATAGAAAAAATATTAGACAATGCATTAAAATCACTGGACGGACTATATATAAAATTTTACAAACGCAAATGAAGGTTGTTCTGGGAAGCAATGGTTGTATCAATGTTGGACAAGTTCATATAACTTTCATGTCACCAGTATCACTCTCATGACATGCACCCCCAAATCGGGCAATAGGTAAGTATTCATGGGAAACACTTCTTTCGTTTATACATGACATCTGCAGCTGCGACAAGAGATGGAACTAGCGCATGGCACTGCATTATTCAGACAGCTTGGTCAGTGGGAAACTTATTGAAAAGGGATATCAAGTAAAGAACCGTTGATGTCTTATTGAAATCTTGGGTCTCAATGTAATTGACAGATGATCAGAAAAGTTTCATCCTCAATTTCGTGATTGTCAAACAATTTACACCACGTTCTTGAAGAGGAGCAGACAGTGAGTGAGTTTAGTTTTACGCCGCACTCAGCTATATTCCAGCTATATAGCGGCGGTCTGTAAATAATCGAGTCTGGACCAGACAATCCAGTGATCAACAGCATGAGCATCGATCTGCGCAACTGGGAACCGATGACATGTGTCAACCAAGACAGCGAATCTGGCCACCCGATCCCGTTAGTCGCCTCTTACGACAAGCATGGGTTACTGAAGATATTCTAACACGGACCTTCCGTGACAACCCATCAAATTACATTTCTAAAGGCAGTGTACAACAAGGCCACCAACAGAGACACTCCGCTAAGATTTTCTCTCTGGGGTCGTACTGATGTAGGGCTAAGATCGCCTTTATTGACCCTGGTCACACGAGGCGGGCACTCGGCGACCAAGTGCGGGGTTTAACAACAAACATGTACACACTCTGATAATATTGGTTACCCTCTACCGTCAGCTCACGGACGGCAAATATTTTTCATTAATAAATACTGGATAACCATTACGTCATGCGCCAATGACTGTAGGTGGCGATTCCTTAGAGTGTTCAACTCCGTTTGACACATTGTGTCCGTTCAGTAACAAATAATTAGTTGCCTGAAACACTTATAACTAGCTGGACTGCCAAATAACTCAAGTAGAGTTACTCTTTAACGATATCAACCGCGATCACGCCATTTACACTTTGACACACACGTTTTTTTCTGGCTCAAACATTACTCTTTATCTTCTCAAATATTCAATATGATCACGCAATAATCACTTCCCAACGACAAAATCACCCGTAAATATACAACAAAATTATTCTGAACTCACCTATATGTTGTCGGAGCAAAGGACAGATATTCCAGTTTCCTGTAATGTTTTCCTCCTGTGTCGATATCACTCACATGATGTCTGTGTTGTACATATCATGTTCATTTCACCGTGTACCCTGCGTCACGTTGATGCGTGTACTGACACCGGTTGCTCGTGACCTATATTTATATATGACAAGGTACATGTATTGTTTGCCGGTCTCGTGCTTTCCCGACCTGGCCCAGTATTGAATTGTTGATGAAATGTAATGCAATACCCTGATAAGTTCTGCTGGGTTAAAGGTTTTCAGCTATTGCTATCATTCGTGTTTCCACAGGTCACTGGATATATGTATATGTGTTAATCATCTGCATGGTTTGAATGGATCAGTTGAGTCGAACGAATCCGTTAATATGTATATTTATTTTTGCATGCCTATCCTACCTGAAAGTGTGTTCGGTACATGTGCGCGTGGGTGCGTGTGTTGTGCTACGTTTGAGTGTATGTGTGTGTGGTGTGTTTGAGTGTATGTGTGCGGACGTATGTGTGTTGTGGGTTTTTTTGGTGTGTGTGTGTGTGTGTGTGTGTGTGTGTGTGTGTGTGTGTGTGTGTGTGTGTGTGTGTGTGTGTGTGTGTGTGTGTGTGTGTGTGTGTGTGTGTGTGTGTGTGTGTGTGTGTGTGTGTGTGTGAATAATGCTGAGTGCGCCGTTATAGAAAAAACAAACAAATACATTGTACGTTAAATGGAAACATAACAATGCCGTTACAAACACTAGCATCGTGATGTAAGGAATCTTATAGTTCAATAACAAGTTTTTTGACAGAAATAAATAACAAAGGCTCATTATACATCCCTGTCTTACACCTGGAACAACTGTTTATTTTACCTTTTTCAGTTTTGTTTCTGCAGTATGCGGATGAATACACATTTTGCGTGACATAAGCGGTTTCCTTGACAACCTGCATTTACATGAAAGTACCATGCTTTTCTTTTTCACCTAATCAAGGGCATTCTAGAAAGTAACGAATGAACGGTAAAACCGACCATTCGATTTACATGAGATATCATAACCAGCTTGGGTTTCTGATGTAAAAGTATTGATATTTATCCACGATCTTATTTTATTTTCTAACACAAAAGTGGTGCACAGGGATTCTTCTACATGGTGCGTTTCTCTGAGTGGGGTTGGGCTCCTGACACAAACACACCGTTGTGGGTTCGAATCCTGGTTCGCCCCCATAACGTTTATAGGTTTGTCTGCACCATTCTCGTATTTGTGGGTTTCACCAAAGTGGTAAACGTCTGAGACCAGCATCACTTCGGTCATTTCTCCCATTTTAAGCAGACTCTCAGTGGTATAACAAGAATGCAGTAATTTGCGTCGTTGAACTCAGCTCACTCACATCTATTACATTAGCAACTGACTTGCCAGTAACATTTACTGTAAAAGACAATTTAATTCCATTTTCAAAACATTTATAACGGGACGAAAAAAAAAATACACTTAGTGAGTGAGTGGTGTTTTACGCCGCTTAAATACATTAAGTGGCAACTCCTTGAACAATTCGATGTGTTATAATAAAATATAACATAATTCTCTGGATAAACGGCAGGTACGTTTTGTTATTGATTTTTTCCAGTCATTATTCATTATTATAGCTGAAATACATGGAATTATCATGAAACGGCCCTCCCATTATCAGAAATTTGCGGTCCGCTGCAAATGATATTGGACCGCTCAACCTTAACGACGGGCCACTATCAGTTCTGTTGTCAAGTGACGTCATAGTTCGACATTAATTGGCTTTCGACTGGCAGATATTCTGGGTCAAACAAGTCAAAGCAACCCGAATTCCCGCTTTAAATAGCGGTAATATTGGCTTTCTTGTTGGTACTAACCTTAACAATTGCACTATTAAGACTGTTGATGGACCAAAACCGAACACTGACATAGTTTGACATGTTGCAGGCTACGGTCTTGTCAAAGGCCAAGGTCGAATATCGTCACTTTCTGTTGTGACGTCACTTGAATTGTTCGATGACGTAATTGCATTCGGGCAGTCAACCCCGTCAGAAGTTGATTTGGGTGAACTTACAGTCAAATTCCTTCATTGTTTCCTTTTTCTTTTCAACACAAATTCCATGTATTTTAGCAATAATAACGGTAATGCTATTTTTGAGGGCATTATCATTTGCAGAAGCCCTCGGTCTTTTTCAACTGCCCTCCTTCGTCGGGCAGTTAATGGAAGACCTCGGGCTTCTGCAAATGATAATGCCCTCAAAAATAGCATTACCCTTATAATAATTATGAAATAAATATGAAAAGGAAAAAGACCCGGTTTCAAATTCCTCGTAAACAAGTGTTTAGTATTTGTAGGAAGTGTGGATTTCAAAATATGTGCCATCAGACAATCAGAATTATTTGACTGTGGTTGGGAAAGGTTCTTCATAGCCGAACATCAAAACGAAAAATAAATAAGATATTATTGAACATAATGATGATAATGTTATTGTCATAATGTTTGCACCCGTGAAGATCCGCTTTAGAATCGGTCTTTAGCAACCTATGCTTGTCGTAAGAGGCGACTAACGGGATCGGGTGGTCAGGTTCGCTGACTTGGTTGACACACATCATCGTATCCCAATTGCGTAGATCGATGCTCATGCTGTTGATCTCTGAATTGTCTGGTCAAGATCCGTTAATTACAGACCATCGCCTAATAGCTGGAATATTGCTGAATGCGGCGTTTAAAAACCAACCAACCAACCATATTGATTTGTTGTCACCAGCATTTTCACGTTGGACCCGACGTTTTGCCTCGTCACATATTGGGATGAAACGGTTGGCTCATACCACGGTACGGTACATATTGCGGTACAAGGCCTTCGCTTCAGTCCGTTTCGATTCGGTATATGAGATATGACCATAATGCCGAAAATTGACAACAAGAGCCAAACTTTATATTGTTTGAATGAACAAAGCTGTCTTTGATGACTAGATAGAAGTATCACTGGAGACTAGGAGCTCACAGCTGTGTGGCAAAATAGCAAGTAGCCAGGTATGATTAAAAGTCACTAACATCACATCAGCATTTACTGCCGTGAAATCACCACTTTGCCCAAGAAGTGTTCATGGTTTTAAAAAGATATGTTGATGACATATCACAGAAAAATAAATTTAACAAATTAACACAACACATTTGTCATAAGACAGTTACTGTCTGTATGACTGATCATTGTCATTGTCCTAAATCATTGTCTATCTCTCATTCCAGTCGTTTAAACATTTACAGACTTTCCAGTCTTTTGGAAGTACTGCTACATAATCTTGGCACATTCCAGAATTTTCTTTTGTTCAGTTTTCAGATTCTTTCAAAATATCTTCCAAAGTTCACTCTGAAATGTAATTCTCCTTTTTTAAACAAATACGTTTTAGCTTGAGAAGACTGCTTTCTCTTTTCATTGGTCGTTTATGTTCATTGTTCTGATATAGCTTGCAATGAGATAATATAAGTTGTATGCTTCTCTCGAGGGTAATACGGTCTGATGTGCGCCTCTTTGCAGCAATGTTACCCGAGCCGGGTACAACGTATATATACGTAAATACAACGTATTTATCTTACCGCCATGTTAAATGTACAAATATCATTTTATTTGATTTGGAAGATCGCTACCGACTATATGACATGTAAACAAAATGGCGTCTGCCTCTCGACTGGGTATTTAAAATCAGTGAAACATATTCTCACAAGCTTAAAACTGCTATAAAACTGGTTAATTATGTTAGGGTTGAGTGTGCAAACGATTCAATGTATCAAATAAAGCAATGAAAGTAGGTGAAATAAATGTCTACATAGTGAACTCAAAAACAGCTGATCGAACGGTTTTCGAACTCCGGTCACTGCATGCGTCATATTATGACGTCATACGATTGTTAGCGATACAGCTTCTCGGTGGAGAGTTTGGCGGGTACCGTGGCAGCGGGTAATATTTTTTCCAGTTGTCACCCTCCTGGGAGGGGTGACACGGAAACTTGTTAAAGCCATTGACCAATGAAAATATAATATTTTACATGAAGGTAAGATTAGTTCAGATCTTTGTGTGGTGGTAGCAGCAACAAGATCAATCTTAGCCAGTTACGCCAATTTTACAATCGTCTTAGCTAAAAGTTACACCCGTTCCACTAACCGATCTTAGGCCGATCGTAGCCGGTCCCGATCTTACGATCCGATCCAAGCTTAGATCGAGACTCTTTCGTGCAAGAGATACAGGAATGCGAGGCACGAGTTATCTCCCTTTGCATAGTCTAGCAAATGATAGAAAGTAGTTTACGAAGTGAGTTGAGATTTACGCCGCACTCAGCAATAGTCCAGCTATAAGGCGGCGGTCTGTAAATAATCTAGCTAAGATGCATAGCGTTCACTAACATGAGCGTTCATGTTAGTGAACGCTATGTATCTTAGCTATAAATAATCGAGTCTGGACCAGACAATCCAATGATCAACAGCATGAGCATCGATCTGCGCAAATGGGAACCGAAGACATGTGTCAACCAAGTCAGCGAGCCTGACCACCCGATCCCGTTAGTGGCCTCTTACGACAGGCATGGGTTCATTGAAGTTCAATATTCTAACCCGGGCCTTCATGGGTATTTTTCCAACCAAGTGTAAACGTGGAGAAAAACCCTAAAGCAAAATATTAGGGTAGTGAGCACCTTGGTTTCAGGTGCAAGTGCGTGTGAACGCTGGTATCAAGCATAATATAATAATAATCAATGCATATTTATAGTGCGCCTATTCCACATCCTTGGGCATGCTCAAAGCGCTGTGTACAGATAATTTACTCGAGAATATTTACAGCCGAGATTATAAGTAATATACAGAGAACAGGTTTTAAGTCTGGACTTTAAAAATGTCAATTGTGTCAGAGCTTTTAATATGTGCCTTAACCTTGTCAATCAGAATAAACAAGGCGTGACGAGGCTATAACGTATGTGGAATCTGTCAGTGGTCTTGAATAACACGCGGCCTGCCTTTAGAATCCCCCACCAAATATGCGCAGTGAAATCAAACATATTTGTATCTTTTTGCTTCAGAACATTGTTCACTTTACGGCTGTCCCTATTCTTAACCATGACGTTGCAATACTGTTGTACAAATGTGTTATACCGACACGCTCGGTTGTGTTTTCCATGACGACAGTGGTCAGACTGGCCTGACATTTGTAAGGCTTCAGTGCAGTGTTTGTTTACATCACAGAAATATACAAATTCATTTCATGGGGGACTTTAGGGGACGCTCACGGTGAAATGCTCTCTCTTATTTTGCACACAGAATAGGAAAGCTACCATTTTGGTTTCTCTACGATTGATTTTAGCTATCCTAAGTTGGTCATGAGCAACTTAGACTTTGAATCTTAACTTTACGATTGACTTGGGTAAGATTGGTTTGTGGAACGGTATGCCGATCGTAACATCACGCTAAGATTGGGATTTTAGGGGTTTACGATTGGCGTAGGGCTAAGATCGGTTAGTGGAACGGCATCCAGATCCATACCCATACTCTCAGTCACCCCTTGCTATAACGCAGGTCTTTGGGGCCATGGATTATCCCCCGCGTTATGAGACACCCGCGTTATATACTACAAATAAAAAGTATGGGAACACCCTAAAATTTGATAGTCAGATATAAACTTAAACGTGGTGAGCTCATTTATACTCTAAGGTAAATGCAACTTCTTGTGTGCTTAATGGGTACTTTAAACGACATGTTCGAACATGCAGTGAAGTAACTGATTCAATATTCGTTGAGTTTGAGTAAAATGAAACATTGTCAAAACAGCTGAAAACAAGGGTGCTGAAACACACCAGCACCATGTTTGTTTCAAACACCCAAACACAACAGCCTAGCGCATGTGGAAGATATACTTCCCTTACAGCTTGTGGCAACTGGGCACAGGCAGTTGTGAATCGGTTCCGATGAGCTTGGAGCACAACATATCGGTCATCTGCCCTTGATGTTTTTCTGGGTTTTCCAGAGCCAGGTCTGTCCTGTACTCTACCAGTGGCCTGGAACCTATCCCTCAGTCTGTGAATGACAGAGGGAGACACTTGAAGACAGCGACTTCTTATGGGTTGACCATCCTGTAACCATGCAATGGCCCTGCTTCTGTCGTGGGCGCTTAACGGTCTGTGCTAATGCATGGTGAAGAGTCGTGAGGCGTCAACATTGTCTGTAGCATCTTTTAAAGGAAACGTTGCCACAAGCTGCATGGCACGTCTGTCTTCCACATGCGCTAGGCTGTTCGGTTTGGGCGTTTGAATCAAACATGGCGCTGGTGTGTTTCATTTCACTCAAAATCAACGGATATTGAATCAGTTGCTTCACTGCTTGTTCCAAATGCCAATTAAGCACACAAAAAGTTGTATTTACCTTAAAGTAGAAATGACCTCGCCACGTTTAAGTTTATATATACTGAAAGTCATTAAAAATGCAATTTGACATTCATACTGTCTTTACTCACACTAATTTCAACATATGTAAACCTAACTGGCAGATATGTTTTAAGTGAACATCTGTGAATAATTTCATCTGAAAATGTCCAGTCAACAACAACATCAGTGACGCAACAACGACATCACACAAAGGAGGGGTCACTTGGAGTCAATATCGTGTGTGTCCACCGTGCGCTGCAAGACATGCTCGCAGTCTTTGGGGTATTGAAAGACACACATTTCTCAGGAACAGCTGTTGGACGGTCTGCAGCCTCTGATGGTCTGTGGTCTGATCATGACACCACCCCTTCCAAAACAATCATGTTCAAGGACACAGTTTGGCGCAAGTCTTTCTCCTTTACGTCGATAAATCTGTTGACGTCTATCTGCAATGACATCTGGCCATGTCCTGTTGCCAAGATTGGCCCCATTTGCTGCCCATCGCTGTCTGGTCACTCTGGCAAGTCTGTGGCGATGCCATAAGTTTGGACCACGGTACGGGTGACGACACCGGATGTTGAAGGCAGCAAGGCGTCCGTGCACCTTTTGGGCGCTGAAATGACGTTGACTTGTCCCAATTGTCCTCCTTGCCTAATCATCAGCTGTTTGGAACCGATTTCGCAAGTGTGAAACTCGGATATTGCGGTTTTGTCGAGCTGTTATCACAGGTGGTGCACCAGGTCGCGGACGATCAGCAACACTTCCGGTAGCCCGAAAACGTTGTCTGAGTCGACTTTCAGTGGATGGATGCACATTCAAGTGCCTGGCAATCATCACATCTGAAGCACCTTGGCTGACCTTACCGATAACCTGATTCCTTTCGTCTTATGTCAAGTGTGGCATTTTCTCAAAGTGATTGAGTTCCACAATTCCTTGTGCTTTTACAGGGCATGGGTGCAGGTAATGCATGTGCACAACGTGTTTCATGAATGTGGTTGTGTTTACGAGAAATGTCAAAGGTTCAGTTTTAAGTATCAAAGTTCACGTGAGAGGAATGCTCCGGGACCCGAACTCGAAATGGGCCAGAATAACAGCCTTTTATCCCTACATCCTCTGTATCGCAGGGATAAATCTTCAATGGAACTTTTGCAAGTTTCAGGACAACAAATACCAATTGGGTTTTTAATGGCTTTCAGTATATGACTATGATTCTTTTTGTTTGTAGTATATAGAAAACAGAATAAAGGCCAAATAATATCGTATTTTCCATGGACATAACATAACTGTTGTCCAGACAGGTGTTATATATAGTATGACCAGAAATTATTGAGAATTTTAGGAATATGTTTAATTGGATTTCTAGTATAAACAACCTTGACCAGCTATCAAGTGCTGGTTTAAATCAAGAGAGACAACTCCGTTAATCCTTTTTCATTAGTTTGTGAAGAGTTATCCCCCTTCGTTTACTTGCTAGCAGACGACATTTTCAGTGATCCTCAGTATGGATGATTTAGAGAAGAGGCAGTTGATTTTAGAGCATTATAACAAGGACATCAGATCAGCTAAAGTGATTTCAAGTAGAACAGGCATGCCTTTGTCCACTGTTTATCGTCTTTTGAAAAATATTGCAAATGGATATGGCATTGAGCACCAGGGAGGCGCAGGTAGGCCCAGAAAAAATTGACTGTCTGTGACAGGAGGCGGCTTGGTATTCTTGTTTCTAAAAACAAACAAAGGCGTTTAGAAAACTTAAGGCTGGATATGATTGATAGAGGAACTGTGGCTGTCTGTAAGGAGACAGTTAGAACTGACCTGCATGCAATGGGTTGGCAGAAAAGTTGAGGAATTCCATCACCGATCATGAAACCTGAACAAAAGAACTGGTGCTTGCAGCATAGAAATTTTAACTGGGACAATGTGATTTTCTGAGATGAAAGTTCTGTGTGGCTGTTTCTTAATACACTGAAATTCTGGACCAAACAAACTGAAAAACCTTTGTATCAGCGCCCAAAGTACAGTCCGAAATTTAACGTGTGGGGTGGCATATCTGCGTTAGGGGCAACGCCCCTCTGTGTATTTGAAGGGATTATAAACAGTGAGCGGCACACAGATGTTCTCGAGAGACATTTACTTCCATCTGCTCACGTGTTCTATGGAAATGTTTGTATTTTCCAGCAGGACAACGACCCAAAACATCGTTCAAAGCATTCACAGGCCTGGTTTCGGACCCAAAATATGACATTATTAGATTGGCCAAGCTATAGCCCTGACCTAAATCCAATAGAAAATGTTTGGGGACTTATGAAGGATAGTGTCAATCAGAAAAATCTGACGAATATTGCTGAAATGAAAGAAGAGGTGGTCCGATATTGGGACAGCATGGACCACGACTTTCTAACTTCTTTGATCATACTTTTAGGGATCATTTTCTATAGTATGCATCGCCATGACTTCAGGTAAAACTGACAGTCTACCAAACCATTGCTGCCCATGGTGACTTGACAAAATACTAACTGTTCACCTGTCTTTGAATCTGGAGTTATGTTCTGCTAATATTCACATTTAATACGTGAGTTATGAGTGAAAAACAACAACATTACACTCTTAAATTCTCACTAATTTCTGGTTGTACTGTATACCTGTCGTATCGTCGGATTTCAAAAAACAAACTTTGTAAAATGAAAATAGATATGTGTATAGGAAACTTGCAATCAGACATCACTAGACATGATAATTCAGTTGTCCTTCCTGTTATGCTAGCTGTTATTAAACTAAACCGGAAATAGCTATCAGCTGTGTACACATGTTTTGCTCCAGTCTACCGGTGATTCAGTTAAAAACGAATTTCTGTTGTATTACCAGGCAGATTTATATCTCAAACACTTATTTTAACAGAGATAACATATATTGCTATCGTATAGTATAATGCATGTTTTCTACGAGCATATTTAACATAACATAATAATTCATGTAGGCTCAGCACTTTGGGTTACATAACTGGATACATTTTAAGTATGAGACAGTTTGACAAAACTTTAGTCACCGTGGTCTTACCGCGGTATGTGGCAAGTTGCTTGTAGTAACAAAATGTTGGCAATTAATTGTGAAATATGACTTCAATGAGTCAATAACTGGGGTCTGGGAGTGGATGGATGGCGAGGTGGTAATAAGTTCGTGATTGCTGAGAATAATGTGAAATTGGTGCTATCGCGGTAGGCACGAAAAGCGGACCCTCACTCACATTTTCTCCGATGTTACTGTAAACAGTTTTAATGAATGAATATGAAATTAAATTTAATCAAATAAAATGAATTCGAGGAAAATCGTTTTACTATGTGTTTTCTGACATCATACGTTTTCGGATGGCAGTGTTTACTCGGCTGATGGCGGGTCTTTATGATAAAGTTGTCTTTTTCTACAAGTTATTACAATGTTCTGCTGTTCGTCTAATTTGAAATAACTGAATTGTAGCTTCACGGGTATAAGATAAGACGTTTCTTAGCTAACTGATGGAATATTTGAGCCCGGTATTCTTAAGTCGTTGTTCTTACGTGGAAGGTCCGGATTAGATTTGGTCTTCAGTACCCCATGCTTGTTGTAAGAGGCGACTAACGGGATCGGGTGGTCAGGCTCGCTGACTTGGTTGACACATGTCATCGGTTCCCAGTTGCGTAGATCGTTGCTTATGCTGTTGATCACTGGATTGTCTAGTAAAGACGCGATTATTTACAGACCTCCGCCATATAGTTGGAATATTGCCGAGTTCGTCGTTAAACAACGGTGGTTAGAGCGTCCGCCCGGAGAGCGGAAGGTCGCGGGTTCGATCCCCGACCGCGTCATACCAAAAATATGGTACTTGTTGGTCCCTGCCTGGCGCTCGGCATTAATGGGTACAACAAGGACTGTCGGCTCGGAGTCAGTATAATGTGTCTGAGTGGGGTATTCATGCTTCACTGCGGCATGGTATCTCAGTGGGCTAGCACTAGTACAAGCAGCCGCACATTCACATACACACGCATGCACGTCGTCATATGAGCGAAATATTCTCAAGTGTCACCTCACCTAGACAGTGTGTGTGCTGGCGATTAGATGCCTGACTCTCAGGGTGTGGGTTCTAAACCCGGATGGGACTCAACCCAACAAAAGTACAAGAATCTGTACTTTACTAAGAAAGTGTAATCCCAAATATGACATATGTTTCAGCTAGACAGAGTTCATTTAGGTATAAAGGCCAACGACCCACGTACAAAAATAACACACATTAATTGAATAACAATGACAAGGTGACAGGAAATTCATTTTAACACAGAAATTACTCATTCCAAAATACTTTCCTTTTACACACTGATTCCTCAGTCAGTTTTGTTGTTGAGCAAGATAGTATTACATCTGTTACAATGTGGATTGCATCAGTCCAATAACTTGCTGTAAACTAAGCTATCAAGTACTCAGCTGGTTATCATTGTAATGGCTGATATGATAGCAGAGCACTCATGAATTCTTATCAAACTTTGTTCATAACATTAATCACTGGATTGTCTGGCCCAGGCTCGATTATTAATAGCCAATAAACAACTGCCACTCAAAATATTCAACTGTAGACATAAAAACTCAACATACATGTAGGGTATTTTATCAATACACAATGCCTATGAATCAAACTTTACATACATTCTGGTTTGCGATTTTAAGAGTGCTTCAAGCCATTGCTGATATCCCTCTCACTGGTCCTAATGAGAAGTGAGTTTAGTTTTACGCCGCTTTTAGCAATATTCCAGCAATATCACGGCGGGGGACACTAGAAATGGGCTTTACACATTGTACCCATGTGGGGAATCGAACCGGGGTCTTCAGCGTGACGAGCGAACGCTTTAACCATTAGGCTAACCCACCTCCCCAATCCTAAGGAGGAGGGTAGCCCAGTAGTTAAGGCCTTTGCCCTTCGTCCGAAAGGGCCATGCTTGATTCCCAGCACAGGTACAATGTGTGAAGCCCATTTCTGGTGTACCCGGCCATGATATTGCTGGAATATTGCTAAAAGCGGCGCAAAATCATACTCACTCACCAAATATAATTAAAGCTGACAACAATACAACGATGATTAAAAAAAACGTCCGTCAATAGCAATAGGTTGTATGTAAGTGATATGCGTAATGACATTACAATTTAAAAAAAATATATAATCAATTCTGCAACTAATATTACACCACATTAAAATATGATATTTCTGGCGTAAAAAGGCTTAGGTCCAATTTATTCAATCAATGACAAAATTCAATTAAGTGATATCGATTGGCATGTTTTTAAATGAATCACTAGTAGATTGGCAAAAAAACGTCTCTACTGTTGATGGCTGTTTCCGCGGAGTTCGCCAGAAAATACACTCGTTGAGTGTTCTATGTATGTAACACAATGACTAGCGGAACAGAAGGTAATTTAAATAGTAAATTATTGTGCCTAATTATGCTTTCTAGTGCACACTCCATTTATCTATTGACCTATGTTGTCATTAACTGTTAGTTCACCTTATTTCGCAGATAGTACAAGATACGGTTTGTAAGTCACGTGAGTAGTCAATTAATGTTATGCATTTTACAATGGAGTGTTATTTGTATCCGTGGAGTTTGAGAAGATTAGGATACTTATGACGGATGTAGATATCCAGACATGTGTTTATATGGACAACATTTGAGAAAACACATGTGTCCGGTTAAGCGAGGCTTGGCTTGTACTTCAGTTGTGTGTAGTGAGAGAGTATGGTTTTACGCCGCTTTTAGCAATATTCCGGCAATATCACGGCGGGTGACACCAGAAATGGGCTTCACAGGTTGTACCCATGTGGGGAATCGAACCCAGGTATTCGGCGTGACGAGCCAACGCTTTAACCACTAGGCTACCCCACCTCGCCTCAGTTGTGTTTATGCTTTGTTCAAAAGTTCGTGATGCCTCCTTGGACCAAGCTACAATTCTGCTAGGGACATATTTTGGACATGCTTCAAGAGTAGAATGTGTTTTTAAACAAACTCAAAGAGTATGACATCTGCTAAACGTATGCCGACAATATATGTGTCTTGAAACAGCGACCGAAATGATTTCATCCACAACAAAACGGCAAAATGGTTGATCCCTTACCATTTTTGTCCAATACAGCAAGTAAGGACTATATGTAAAACGGACACTCATACCAGCAGGAAACATATATTTGAGGTATCTGATGGCCATCATTGTGTCTTTAAACAAACAAATTAGAACTGGAATACCTAGATGCGAGTCACATTGGTAAAACACCCATTGTAGGCACAAAATTAGGTCAACTTTCAGAGAGACACACAGATATTGATCACAAGTCTCGCACAACTTCTTTGATCTTTGAGTGTCACTTAGAAGTTGGTGTGATGAACAACGGGGAGAGTTCTATGGATATGCAACTTCTTTATTATTAATATCAGCGACGTTTTGGTTTCTAACACCAGTGTCCCACATCATACTCAGGACAGTCACCCGTGAAGGTTCGGGTTAGAATGAGCCTTCAGTAACTCATGCTTGTAAGAGGCGACTAACGGGATTGGATGGTCAGACTCTCTGACTTGGTTGACGCATGTCATCGGTTCCTAATTGCGCAGATCGATGCTCATGCTGTTGATCACTTGATTGTCTGGTCCAGACTCGATTATTTACAGACCGCCGCCATATAGCTGGAATATTGCTGAGTGCGGCGTAAAACTAACCTCACTCACTCATTCACTAAGGACAGTCAACACGTTCACAGAAGTCAACATACAAAAATAAGGTAGAGAAGTTCTATGTTTATATATTCAGTGTCGTAAAAAACTGGCCTATATCTTGCCAACATAGAGTTGAGTTTTGACATCTTTGGCAGCTTGTGTTTCCACTGCTTGGCTCTTTTTGGTTGTTGAATCCAATTTTCATCCGCAGTCACAAGACGTGTATAAAAGTTGTCTGGATTTGTCATGGGTATGTCCATGAGCTCTCGACTAGACTCTACTCGTTGGTGACGAACTTGTACATTAAGGTTCATGGGGACCCATCTTGCAGACAGGCTCAAACACTCATGGATTATATTACATAGGACATGACATTCAGAAGCTGATTCGTCCACCTTTATTCACCGATCAGACATTAGTAACATTTCAACGAGATCATCTGTGAGGATATCTGCTAGTCTACCTGAAGCGATGCACATCCACGCTATAAACTCGGCGACCTATTATACCACAGTGGAGTATTGAGAGGCATCCTCCATGACATTAGTCATGCGTTCATAAAGAGTGGTTGGTTGACTCACTCATTCGTAAGAAACCCGATCGCTGCTGTGTACTCAGTGCTGGTGTTTTCCATGATTTCCATAGGGTACCTCTAATTACACTACCACTGATTCGTGGAATACCTCAAGATGATTGAACTTGTGCTACCAACTCATGGATAATGTAAGTGTTCAAAACAACTATGAGCACACGAGTCCTACAATTCCTGAGTAAGAGTTATACATGTAAATAAAAAAAAAATTTATAATTGATATTTTTTATTTCTTGCTTCCCCTGTTACAGATAGGGCCGAAGAGCTAGGGGACTCTAAGGACCTTTGCAAGAAGGTTAATTGATCACAGAAAAAACAGGATTTTTTCTTAACAAAGCACAAACCAACAACACCAGACACCACAACACATTCACTCACCAATCACACTTACAAGCTTCAAATATTTACAGTAAGTTTAAGTTCAAGTCCATTCAGCCTATATTTTTCATTAGGGAACAAGAAGAAAGAATTCAGAAAATCATTTAAAATTTGCAAAATCATGACATAACATCCACTTTTTATAAAACTTATCTTGTTCACATGTAAATAATTTAGTATCAAGCTGACATTACTGATATTGCACGCTGTGAAAATATACACCTTGACCTCATAATTTGTGTTTGAGGTCCAACCCCCACCCCCATTACCCGAAACCAATCACAACCCGGTCCTGTAGTGACTGACAACCGTTATGTTGATATATGCATCTTATCCACCCCTTCCTCCACCCGACGCCACGACATCCCACCTGACCCAAACCTACCCGTATTATACTTGGAGCCACTGGCACCCGTTATGTAGCCAGTACACGACACAACAAACGCATTTACCCCCACCCCCACTGCGTCTCCACACCCCGATCCTTACCCCACCCAACGCCACAACATCCCACCTGACCCACCCCACCCGTTTCATCCTTGGATCCACTAGCACCCGTTATGTAGCTACGGCACAACAGAAGGATTTACTCCCCCTATACCCACCACACCCCGACCCTCACCCTCACCCTCACCCAACGCCACGACATCCCACCTGAACCAACCCAACCGTCCAACCCCTAGGATCCGCTGGCAGCCGTTAAGTTCACATAACACGGTACAGTGAAGGCGCCCGGCGATAGGAGTCCAGCAAAGGCTGAGTACGTAGAGGCCACACCAGCAACCAGACCCACGAACACGATCTCATACAGGGCAACCCTCTTGTGCAGGGGCACTTCACTGAAATAAACCATAGACATATCAACAAGCGATCTGTCGTAGTTTCTAAAACACAAATAGAATTCGATTTGGTTAACCTGCTATAAAACTGACGCGTAAATTAAGTTGTATTGTTTTACGCCGCTTTTAGCAATATTCCAGCAATATCACGACGAGGGACGCCAGAATCCAGCAATATCACGACGAGGGACGCCAGAAATGGGGTTCACACTTTGTACCCATTTCGGGAATCGAACTCTGGTCTTCGGTGAGACGAGTCTGTGATCATATGGAATCTCGGAATTCTTCACGGACAGATAACAGTATGTGTCCTTTATCAGAGACCTATAACACATGTACCCACTGAACCTATCATCACATGTCAGTCTGGAGATAAAACAACCATGTACTGGGTCCAGATAGCGACACAAGAGAAGATAAAATCCACAAGTGAAATCGCGAGGAAATTATAGGACGTACATTTTCTCCCAGTCTCCCTCCATCTTTGCGAGTTTGAGGTAGAAGAGTGGAGGGCAGATGAAGGCTAAGATGGAGATCGTGGACCCGCCAACAAGTGCCAGGATGGCGCCAAACTTGGGCACCGTCTCTGCCCCAAATAGAACCAGGACAACAATTCCCGTCCGCAGCAAACAGCGCTTCCAGCCGAAGTCTGAAACAGTATTAGGGTCATTACAAGAATGAGGCAATGTTCTACGACCAGGATCCCCTCCCACAAAACAAGTTTAAGCATTGTCGAGTTACGATTGCCGTAGCGCTAAGTTTAAGTATTGTCGAATTACGATTATCGTAGTGCTAAGTATTGTTGTGTTACGATCATCGTGGTGCTAAGTTAAAGTATTGTCGAGGTACGATTGTCGTAGCGCTAAGTTCAAGTATTGTCGAGTTACGATTGACGTAGCGTGAAGTGTTGTCGAGCTACGAATGTTGTAGCGCTAAGCGGGCCCACTTCCTGGTAATGCAGGTAGTGTCATGGATGAAACTGAACAGTTTTGTTGAATGACGTGGACCTGTAACTAATCGGTTGGTTGGTTGGTTGGTTGTTGTTTAACGCCGCACTCGGCAGTATTCCAGTTATGAGAATCCTGAGATCAACAACATGGGCATCGATCGACGCAATTGAGATACCATGACATGTGTCAACCAAGTCAGCGAGCCTGACCACCCGATCCCGTTAGTCGCCCCTGACGACAAGCATGGGTTACTGAAGATCAATTCTTACCCGGATCTTCACGGGTGTAAATAACGGAAGTAACAAATCCATTAATAGATATTATGATTGACGATCCGCGTCCTGGGAGTACTGAAGCTAAGTTACCGAACCTGGCAGTCTGATCCATTTTGGTAACTCTTGCAAATCCGCAAAGTGAAAGGGTAAGATTTTAGCGCTTGGGTCGTTTTGTTTAACAAAGTCAGTCTGTTTGATACTACCAGGTATCGCGTGGTGGAGGACGAAAACAGATTTCATTCACTAAAGACATGACTGGAGTTTGTAGTATATAGAAAAAATACATGTTTGATTTGTATTTTTCAACAATCTTCGTGAAATACACCAGAGGTGTTGGTATGCGTATTTAGAAACATAAGTGTTTGTTTTTTTCATTGCGAAATATTGAGATCTCCAGAGATATACATAAAGAAGATTATCACATCTTTGTGCTATGGTTTAATTTTAGCTGATTCCCTTCGACAAGGCGACCCTGGCTCTACTTTTATCGAAGGCCCGGGTCAAAGTTACGAACATCATAGAGCTAAGATCGCTCTGTGCTCCGGGGTGCTGTTCGGGAACTTGTGTACTTACGATGGGGTACTTTGAATATTTCCTCTACTTCCTGACTAAAAGGGTTGATGATGATGATGAATCCACAAAACAGATGAAGGGTGACGAGAATCTGCACTGTCACCAACATAGGGCCCGACGACACCGTCTGTAGGATGTTAGCCTGGGTATCTCTCCCATATACGTAAAATCCCGTCACGGAGACGGGGATGTACATGGCCAGTACAACTGCAAGAAAGCAGACGACACATCATGGGTAAACACAGGGCATGTAGGAGACTGAGGAAGAAGAAGACATATTGCACGGACGTTACGAAGGGACACGGCATGTCGGAGAAACATTATGAGGAAGTAGACATGTTGGATGGACGTTATGAGAAAGCAGACGACATGTCGGAGATTAACATTATGAGGAAGCAGACGACACGTTGGATGGACGTTATGAGAAAGCAGACGACATTTCTGAAAGTAACATTCTGAGGAAGCAGACGACACGTTGGAGATTAACATTTTATGGAAGCAGACAACACTTTGGCTGGAAGTTTTGAAGAATCAGATGGTACGTTGGATTTTAACATGATGTTGCTGCTGACACGACTCGAGACTAATAATTCTCTGGCGTTGACATGACATGATTATATCACGAGGAAACAGATGTAGGACTGACGTCATGAATCGGCAGACGTCTTTGTTAAGTGTTATAGGGGAGAGCATCATGAGTGGACATTTGGATTTGAATTTTGGTATACGCCGCAGTCAGCAATATTCCAGATATATTGCGTCGGTCTGTAAATAATGGAGTCTGGAGCAGACTATCCAGTGACCAATATCGTGAGCATCGATCTACATAATTACGATACGATGTCATGTGTCAACCAAGTCAGCGAGCCTGACCACCCGATCCTGTTAGTCGCCTCTTACGACAAGCATGGGTTGCTGAAACCAAATCTAACCCGGGTCTATCTGGAGGATATGCACATTGGACTGACTTTTGGGAGAAGGACGGGGCACTTCGTTTTGCCTTTTCGTTTTGCAAATGAACGACAGGTTACGAGAGCATTGACATCTAGGTAAAAGGAGAAAATGTATTGGATTTGAGTTATTAGGAATCATTTGTCTTCATGTATTTTTCAGCACAGTAATGGTGCACCATGGTTTCCCGTACACCAGATGTCACCACCTATGTATGTATATGCAAATGGACAATAGGAAAAAAGACAGTGACGTCGAACACTGTGACTTGCTGACGTGATTTCAGAGCCAAGGGATATTTGAATAAGGTTATATATGTCAGAATATCAGTAACAGTAATTAATGATGGGGACAGAGTGCACGAGCCAATACACAGCGCAATGGTGATGAGCATTAAGAATGGAGATCAGCGTCATATACATAATTATCATTAAGCTAAACAGGTGTTGGCTTCATAGTATTAGGCCTTTGGAATTAAATTTGTATTCATACAATGGTTGTCCTAATTCAGTTGCTTTGACAGCACTATTAAAAAGTAGTACAAGTCTACACGCGTGCAAACACGCACACGCACACGCACACGCACACGCAAACAGACGCGAGAAAACCACATGGCAAGCCTTTTTCACATGTAAATTTAAGTTGCTGATATCTAGAATGGATTTAATCCCCACATGGGCACAATGTGTGAAGCCCGTTTCTGGTGTCCCCCGCCCTGATGTTGCTGGAATATTGCTAAAAGCGGCGTAAAACCATACTCAGTCAGTCTAGAATGGCTTTAAAGATTGAAATTAAAAAAACCGTCCGATATTGCGAATAGAGATTATTGTAGATATCTGCAATAACATTCATGATATCACGAAACTGATGAAAGATTATGATGAAGCATGCTGATATCTTGAAAAAAAGATTCAAAGATAACACAAATTCATGCTTTCAGTGATATCATTATTTACAATTCTGATATTAAAAACAATTTGTTTCTTTTAATATATATAGTATTGATATCTTGAATGGATGATTGCATTCCAAAGGGCAGTATCTCTCATTTTGAAATGGCTTCTCGCATCCGGTCTGGTTCCTGACCCAATGTGCGACGCCACAACTTGTGGGATGTAAAAACAGAACCAAGCTCATCGGCTAACGTTTGTAACCATTTTGAAACCGAAAGTATTTACGGATAGTTTAACCGGAAGTATTTGAAGATCTGCAAATACTTTTGGGGCCCGAAATAATTTGTTTGCTGCTCTGTCCTATTACACATATTACAGATATCAACAACTGATATCAATCGAAATAATTTCGGATATCGGAAAATCATTAAAGATATCTTCAATTAATTATTGATATTTTAAAGGTCAATTATTGATGTCTTTGAACAACTGAAGATATCAAATGTATTTGAATAAATGGCAATACGACTTGCTATACGACCACACGCAACAGGATTGGTACCATAAATGGAACTGGGTTGGTGCAGCAGGAACACGTTGGCAGTCGTAAAAGGCGTTTGAAATTTCAAAATATTTACTTATAGAAACCTTATGTTTTGTTAAAACGTCGTAATTACCTACTCATGTAAGCCAGAAAGACCGCCTTGCCGAACTGTCTGTGGTCCTTCATGTCTGTCTGGAAGGTAGGGAACGCTGGGTGCCCCCCGAACGCAAAGCAGATGGTGCCGAACGCCGTGAAGAAGGATACAAAGCCTGGTTGGTCGTGAACGACTTCGGGGAGGTTTTTCTTGTCGATGACCATGTTGGTGGTGAGGATGATGCATGCCGTACCTGTCGCCAGGGCAGCCCCGACTGCTATAGGCCTGTGGGTAAAATGGTACACGTGAATACTCTGTACAAACTCGCTCTACATAGTGGTGAAATGTACTTCAGATCATAGCTAACAGAGGTTCGCTATAAGCATAAATAGTTGTAAACACATAGCATCAATGTAGAACATGCCAGCAGGGTGATCTCTGAATAAAGGACCCTTTAAATCGAAGTCCTTGTTTCATTACAAGTCCTAAGACTATTACACATAGCGCGGGGCGGTGGTTTAAGCGTTCGCTCGTCACCCCGAGGACCCGGGTTCGATTCCCCATATGGGTATAATGTGTGATGCCCATTTTCTGGTGTCCCCAGCCGTGATATTGCTGGAATTTTGCTAAAAGCGGCGTAAAACTAGAACTCACTCACTCACACATAGCGCTCTTACAGTAAAACCTCGCTGTGTCGAAGCTGGGGGGACCTACGCAACAGTTCGAGATGCCCTAGGTTCAACACGACCGAAAAATTATGAATAAAGAAAGCGTGCGGAGGGACCAAGATTTTGCTTCCCGAAGATCCGGGTAAGAATTGATCCGGGTTAGAATTGATCTTTAGTAACCCATGCTTGTCATAGAAGGCGACTAATGGGATCGGGTGGTGAGGCTCGCTGACTTGGTTGACACATGTCATTAGTTCTCAGTTGCGTAGATCGATGCTCATGCTGTTGAGCACTGGATTGTCTGGTCCAGACTCGATTATTTACGGACCGCCGCCATATAGCTGGAATAGTGCTGAGTGCGGCGTAAACCTAAACTCACTCACTCACTACAGTGCAGTAGCAGGCAACATAATATTCAACGTTGGTTACAGGCCAGTTTTGCAAATGTTTACACTTTCAATATCAGTTTCTTAAGGCTAAAAATAATGCCATAATGCTAATCAAATGTGTAATGATGTTGCGCATTTAAATTTATTACCTGGATAGCAAACTGTCCGTTCTTATCTGCCTAATGCCAACAGCTAGAACATGAAATAGGTACCATCTTTTAACGCCTTTGCGTACCTCTCGGCCTGGAAGATCTCATGTATGTGACAAACAGTGCTTAGTGTCCAGTTGGTAACCAACATAACCTTAAAACTGGATCCAAGACTATATATGTAGGTGGTGTTAAATATAATGTCTTACCAGAAATCCTTTGGGGTGCCAAGCCAGGATAATGGAAGAAGTATTGCAGCCACTATCAGGAGCCAGAAGCAGAAGGAGATGTCTTCCTTGAGGTCAGCCAGTAGTGACTGTAGGTTCTCTGAAGCAAGGATCAGGTAGACCACAGCCCCGCCGTACATTGTGAAGTTGATAGAGAAGGATACCAGGTACCTAGAGGGGAGATATAGATGATTATACACTAGATGTTCTCTGAGACAAGGATCAGGTAGACCACAGCCCCGCCGTACATTGTGAAGTTGATGGAGAAGGATACCAGGTACCTAGAGGGGAGATATAGATGATTATACACTACATGTTCTCTGAGACAAGGATCAAGTAGACCACAGCCCCGCCGTACATTGTGAAGTTGATGGAGAAGGATACCAGGTACCTAGAGGGGAGATATAGATGATTATACGCTAGATGTTCTCTGAGGCAAGGATCAGGTAGACCACAGCCCCGCCGTACATTGTAAAGTTGATAGAGAAGGATACCAGGTACCTAGAGGGGAGATATAGATGATTATACACTGGATGTTCTCTGAGGCAAGGATCAGGTAGACCACAGCCCCGCCGTACATTGTGAAGTTGATGGAGAAGGATACCAGGTACCTAGAGGGGAGATATAGATGATTATACACTGGATGTTCTCTGAGGCAAGGATCAGGTACCCCACAGCCCCGCCGTACATTGTGAAGTTGATGGAGAAGGATACCAGGTACCTAGAGGGGAGATATAGATGATTATACACTGGATGTTCTCTGAGACAAGGATCAAGTAGACCACAGCCCCGCCGTACATTGTGAAGTTGATGGAGAAGGATACCAGGTACCTAGAGGGGAGATATAGATGATTATACGCTAGATGTTCTCTGAGACAAGGATCAGGTACCCCACAGCCCCGCCGTACATTGTGAAGTAGGTTGAGAAGAATACCAGGTACCTTGAGGGTAGATATAGGCGGTTCTCTGAGGACACCATATACTGAGAGGGGAGTTGAAGTAAACCACTGAAGGTTATCGGAGCAAAAGGATCCCAAGCGATCATATGTATTGAGGCTACAATGACTTTTCAACTTTCTCACTACATATATAACATTTGTGAAGCCATATTACAAACTTTCTCACTAGGTTTCTGACCTAGGTTGAACCAAGCTACCAAGTCGTTTTAAGTCAGACTCTCACTACTGACCTAGGGCAACAAAGTTACAAAGCTTATTTGACTCTCACATGATTTGACCCAGTGAAAACCAAGAATGATGCAGATTTGAATCAGACACTCTCACGACGTGACCAAGGGAACCAAGTTTAAGTTCGATTTGAGTTGGACTCTCTCGCGACGTGACCAAGGGAGCCAAGTTTAAGTCCGATCTGAGTCAGACTCTCTCGCGACGTGACCAAGGGAATCAAGTTTAAGTCCAATTTGAGTTAGACTCATCGTGACCCACCTTCCTGGTTTTCCGTACGTGATCTCCCCAATGGCTGGGTAGGGGTATCTGATGTGGCCCCGGTACTGCTCATAGCGTTCCTGGATGATGCACCACGCCGTCCCCAGCACGTCGCCGGTGTAGGTGGAGATGAAGCAGCAGAGGAACAGCATCACAATCCCGATCCAACCTTGGAATAAAGATGTTAGCTTTGTAACCCGTGATATGTGATACCAAAAATCAGTCAAGCCTATTTTCATCCGGACAGCATTCCGACCTTCACCTTTTCCGAATCATCACGCCCAGACTCATCACCGTAACCCAGCACCGCCACATAACTACGACACTCTTTCACTGGACACTACCCAAATACCTCCACCGCCTCTCAACCACTCACTGCCCCCACTCCTAGTGATTAAAAGGTTCGCTCGTCACGCCGAAGACCCGGGTTTGATCCCCACATTGGTACAATGTGTGAATCCCATTTCTGGTGTACCCGCCGTGATATTGTTGAAATATTCCTAAAAGCGGCGTAAACTAATCTTACTCATCCCTAGAAGATTCGGATACCTACCGGTCTTCATATACCGTTATTTTATATATTTCAGATATTTCGTTATTTCTGGGCCAGACAAACCAGTGATTGATATTACGACCTCGACACTTGACAAGCATGGATGAATTCTAAAATGGACACCATAAATGGACTTCACACATTGTTCCCATTTCAGGTATCAAACCCGAGGCCTTTGGCGTGATGATTCCCTTCTCATCGCAAATAATATACTGAGGCAAAAACAGAAACTTCACAGAATGTAATTTGAAAAATAATGAATAATCTTTCTCTGAGGATACATCTATGTATCCGAAATGGGATCCCTATCTTTCGACTCTAGAAAAACGTTAGCAAAACCCACTCAAACCCATCCATTCGTCGTGCAAATGACGTTAGTGCCAAATCAGGTTTTGCACGTGCAGTCGATCATGTGATCTTCGCATCGAAGTTTTCTTCATATGCACGTGTTTGCATTGGCCTCAAGAATTGAACAAACACCTTTAAACCACAGTTCTAACGGTACTTGAAATGTCACGATTGACAAATGTGCAACGTGAACGTGCCGTTGGCATGTTGCAAGCGGGAAGATATGTTATTGACGTCGCAAGAGCAATGGGATGCAGCCGTCGTACTGTGTATGACTTGCGAGGTCGTCTACAACAAACTGGCACCACTTCTGATTGCCCAAGGTCGGGTCGTCCACGTGTGACGTCACGAGCAGAAGACCGTCAAATCGTCCTACGTCACCTACGTGACAGATTTTTCTGCCGGCTACACCAACCAGGGCTGAGATGTTTAGAGGTCGACTGTCCTCACAGACCATTCGAAATCGGTTGCGGGCTGCCAATCTCCATTCTCGACGTCCATATCGTGGGCCAATATTGACGCCGCTTCATCAACGTCAAAGTCTGCGGTTTGCCCAACGTCACCTCCGATGGACCCAGAGAGACTGGAATCGAGTCGTCTTTAGCGATGAATCCAGGTTTACCCTCAGATTCGAGGACGGCAGGCATAGAGTCTGGAGACGACGTCGTGAACGGTATGCCCAATGTTGTGTACAGGAAGTCGACAGATTCGGGGGCGGAAGTTGCATGGTGTGGGGTGCTTTCTGTTCCCGACTTCTGGTCATCCGTGGAAACCTCACAGCTGCTGCTTACCGCGACCAGGTGCTCACCTCTGAACTCGTTCCTTTCATGGCGGCTCATGGCCAAGGTCTACAGCATGATAATGCTCGGCCGCATACCGCGATGTTGACACGAAATTTCCTTCAAAACGTTGGAATCAACGTCATGGACTGGCCATCGAGGTCCCCTGACCTTAATCCAATAGAACACGTTTGGGATGCACTTGGGAGAAGGCTTCGTGGACTTTAGAACCAACCTCAGAATTTGCAGGAACTTGGCGCTGCCTTGCAAGAGCAATGGCGCAGAATCCCCAACCACGTGTTCACAAGCATCAGGCAGTCGATGAGGAGACGGTGTTTGGCAGTGGTGAATGCGTGGGGCGGCCATAAGCGATATTGAACTGAGAAATTTCGCATTTTTATTCTTGTGACTTGACATTCTGTATACCCATGTTTTGGAACGGCGGTGTAGCCTAATGGAACTGATTATGGCACTGTCAGTGTATCGAGTACATCACACAGATCTCAGCAATGAAATAATAACAATTTAACCATCTTACCATCTCTTGTTCTTTTATAGTGCCCTGAAGAAAGAATGTGAAGTTTCTTTTTTGACTCAGTATATATACAAGATGCAGGCCAGCCTGATACGTATCAACGCTCACCTCATGTTTGTATGATAATTAAACCAGATGCTATCGATGCGTGTATGATTTTATGATTGGCAGCGTGCATCATAATTTGTTCAACACTCGTTATTTATTCGAGGCAGATAAATGCTCAATTTAACCTAGACCGACACGCTCGCGAGCGCACAGCTCAATGCGCACGAATGTTACCAAGATTCACCAAGTTACCACTGCTTCCGGGGCTACATTCACGAAGCGATCATAGCGAAAAACATTGACGTAGACATATCGTCGTTGCCGTCCACGTTCGGCATGTGGTCCCTGTAAATAATTTACCAACGAGTTGTTGACAGTATTGACAACAACAACGTCGCCGAGGTACGATGAGCACTACGTCATTCAGGTCTCAGACCGATCCTCATATCTGCGGTTCTTAGGACAAACCCGTGAAGATCCGGGTTAGATTGGTCTTCAGCAGCCCATGCTTGTCGTAAGAGGTGACCAACGTGATCGATTGTTGGACTTTGTGAAGCCCATTTCTGGTGTCCCCCGACGTGATGTTGCTGGAATATTGCTAAAAGCGGCGTAAAACCAAACTCACTCAGTCAGTCAGTCAGTCAGATTGTTGGACTTGGTTGGCACATCGTTGAACGATACCCATGATGTTGATCACTGGATTGTCTGATCCAAAATCGATTATATACAGACCGCCGCAATATGTCTGTAATATTGCTGAGGGTGGCGTTAAACATATAAACAAACAACAAAAACAACCAACGTAAACGTGCATTAAAGTTTCCGGAGATACGTTTTTGCGCTGTGCATTCGTTCCATATACACAAACCAGCATTATAATGGCAATATTGTAACAACCAAACACTCATTTTGAAAACAATATTTGAAATGTCATATATCAATTTGATCTTTTATCAATGAGTTTCTCTTTTAGGAGAGCATGTTTGAAAAAGTACATTTCCGATTGTTCGCTTACCTGCTCCCTCGACAGCACTCGGCAGGGCCAGCACTCCAGATCCTGCGATCTCCCCGACGATGAACACTGCGGCAGTTATTATTGTCAGTCCTTGGACCTCTTTAGCCTGGAACAGGTGATGTATATACTCCTGTCAAATAATTCGATAATCGGATATATTCCTATCCAACAATCGGATATATTCCTATCCAACAGTTAGATATATACATGTGTATTCCTATCCAACAATCGGATATATTCCAATCGAAACAATTGCATATATTCCTATCCACCAATCGGATATATTCCTATCCAACAATCGGATATATTCCTATCCAAACAATTGCATATATTTCTCTCCAACAATCGGATACATCCCTGCCCACACAACAGTTGTATTCCTATCCAAAAATCGGATATATTCCTGTTCACACAAGAGATATATTCCTATCCAACAATAGGATATATTCCTGCCCACACAACAGTTGTATTCCTATCCAACAATCGGATATATTTCTGTCAACAATTGGATATATTCCTATCCAACATTTGGATATATTCCTGTCCACTCAAAAGATGTACTCCTGTCCAACAATCGGATACATTCCTGTCCACACAACAGTTATATATGTTCTTATCCAACAATCTGATGCCCTCCTCTCTAGTCAGAAGATATACTCCATGTTAGCTCACGCACAGATATAATGAACATCCAGAGATACGAAACAAATCACCTTCTTATCATCCATGTCCATTCCCTCGGGCAAGGAAAGCAAGTATCTACTCGTGGTATCCGTCATGTCGACTAACTCCACACACTACAACAGCTGTCAGTAATATATATGCCAAAGAGGATATTTATCGGGATAATATACCAGTTATACGATATCATTGCCAATAGTTTTAAAAGGCGTATCGAGTGTCGATCGCATAGGCTTCGTGGGCGTTACAACAGTTTTGTCATTGTCGAGATCCAGCAGCAGGAAGGTTGGGATATTTGCTTTGTGACTCAGTGGGATTAAGGCATGAGTGAGTGAGTGAGTGAATGTAGTTTTACGCCGAGTTTAGCAATATTCCAGCAATATCACGGCGAGGGACACCAGAAATGGGCTTCACACATTGTACCCAAGTAGAGAATCGAACCCGGGTCTTCGACAAGACGAGAGAATTAAGACAATGAAGATATCTGAGTGAGTGAGTGAGTTTTACGCCGCTTTGAGCAATATTCCAGCAATATCACGGCGGGGGACACCAGAAATGGCATTCATACATGTGGGCAATCGAACCCGGGTCTTCAGTGTGACGAGCGAACTGTTTAACCACTCGGCTAACCCACCGCCCTGATTATGTGAGAGACAACGTGAAATTCAGGTTCCCTTTCCTGAAGGAAAAACCCATCCTCGATAATCTCCAGGGTATACGTTCCGATAAATCTCTACTATAATCTCCAGGGTGTACGTTCCGATAAATCTCCACTATAGCATGGATGCATTTACGACTCTGGTTGGTTTTAGAGTTTTAGGGCGGCGTTGGCCTATAAAAGGCTTATTTGCGCCCACGGCTCTGCCCCGTGATTTTATTACCTGCCTTGGCTGACATTTATCCAATCAGGTGTCTACGCTGGGAAGTTGAGCGTACCAATCACAACTCACTTTCGCTTCTTTTATCTAACCGATTAAACGTGGCAACATAATTGTTGCAGAGGTACTCTGGAAGTGGTAGAAAGAGTTATATATATTTTTAAGGTTTCAGACCTGTCAATTTGTCTGTATGATTTCTTCCCAAGTATGAGTCGCACTGCGAACAAACCTTCGCGGCTGCGACCGCTAGATCTATCTTTGTTGACACTGGCAAGCTCGGTTGTAACTCCGGCTTAGCTGATTGGCTACTGTTAGAATGTGGAGCCAGTAAAGGAAGGTAATAAAATCATGGGGCCGAGCCATAGATGCATCCATGGTGTGGTGGAGATTTATCGGAACGTATACCCTGGAGATTATCGAGGATGGTAAAAACCCAGTATACCCTCAAACTGCTTAAGGTGGTGTCATCCTAATAGATTAGTCAATTCGTGTCCTGGCAGAAACATATGTTGGCAATTATCATTTATTCAATAAAAACTGCAAATGATATTCTTTTATTTGGCTTATTACATTAAATATGTGTTGATATTTTGTTATGGTATCTATAATGCAATAATTCGCATTTAAAATACCTTAATGAGGCTTAACGTTTTCGTGTATACTCACAGCGATTATCCACACTGATGATCCGATCTCATTTTTAAAATCGTCGTCACAGTAAATACATTTTAGTGTGTTTGCCTTCCTCCTCGTGATGCTTGCCAGTGTATGTAATTTGTATAACAGAGAAATTGGCCGGTCAGTTGACAGGATGACACTTGTCAGTCAGCGCCGTTTCGTCGGGTTTTGGCGGGTTTGGTGATTATATTTTAATTGTATTCCAGCTACCCCACTGTCAGTGTCAGAATAAATTTGGGAGGGAAGTCTCGTTTGTCACTGTGGTGAAAGCACCCGTGAAGATCCGGGTTAGAATTGATCTTCAGCAACCCATACTTGTCGCCTAATTGCGTAGTACGATGCTCATGCTGTTGATCACTGGAATGTCTGGACCATGCTTAATTATTTACAGACCGCCGCCATGTAGCGGGAACATTGCTGAGAGGCCGTTAAACAACACTCAATATACAATGGTAAGAGGCGACTGACGGGATCGGGTGGTCAAGCTTGACTTCTGTAGTGTATGACATCCATGTAAGTGGGTGTTCTGTAGTGTATGACATCTATGTAAGCGTGGGTGTTCTGTAATGTATGACATCCATGTAAGTGTGGGTGTTCTGTAGTGTATGACATCCATGTAAGTGGGTGTTCTGTAATGTATGACAACTATGTAAGCGTGGGTGTTCTGTAATGTATGACATCCATGTAAGTGTGGGTGTTCTGTAATGTATGACATCCATGTAAGCGTGGGTGTCCTGTAGTGTATGACATTCATGTAAACGTGGGTGTCCTGTAGTGTATGACATCCATGTAAGCGTGGGTGTCCTGAAGTGGATGACATCCATGTAAGCGTGGCTGTTCTGTAGTGTATGACATCCATGTAACCGTGGGTGTTCTGTAGTGTACGACATCATGTAATAGTGGCTGTTCTGTAGTGTATGAAATCCATGTAAGCGTGGGTGTTCTGTAGTGTATGACATCATGTAAGCGTGGGTGTTCTGTAGTGTATGACATCCATGTAAGCGTGGGCGTTCTGTAGGGCATGACCTCAATGTAAGCGTTGGCGTTCTGTAATGTATGACATGCATATCAACTTGGGGCGTTCTATGGTGTATGACATCATGAAAGCGTGGCTGTTCTGTAGGGCATGACATCAATGTAAGCGTGGGCGTTCTGTAATGTATGACATGCATATAAACTTGGGGCATTCTATAGTGTATGACATCAATGTAAACGTGGGTGTTCTGTAGTGTATGACATCTTGTAAGCGTGGGCGTTGTGTAGGGCATGACATCAATGTAAGCGTGGGTGTTCTGTAATGTATGACATGCATATAAACTTGGGGCATTCTATAGTGTATGACATCATGTAAGCGTGGCTATTCTGTATTGTATGACATCCATGTATGCGTGGGCGTTCTGTAGGGCATGACCTCAATATAAGCGTGGGCGTTCTGTAATGTATGACATGCATATCAACTTGGGGCATGCTATAGTGTATGACATCAATGTAAGTGTGGGTGTTCTGTAGTGTATGACATCTTGTAAGCGTGGGTGTTCTGTAGGGCATGACATCAATGTAAGCTTGGGCGTTCTGTAATGTATGACATGCATATAAACTTGGGGCATTCTATAGTGTATGACATCAATGTAAGCGTGGGTGTTCTGTAGTGTATGACATCCATGTAAGCGTCGGCGTTCTGTAGGGCATAACCTCAATGTAAGCGTGGGCGTTCTGTAATGTATGACATGCATATCAACTTGGGGCATTCTATAGTGCATCATATGCATGTTAGTCACAAACCCCTTCCACTTACACAAGAAATCGGTTATGGATTACTATCAAATTGTGATGACAAAACGTATTTCTGAAAATCTGATCGTATCCAGTCCCATTGCGTCACAAGGGCATTGAAGAAATACACATCTTTGTTACACTGGTCTCCACGTCTACCATAAACCTTTATGAAAGCCATACTGAGGCCTTAGATGTTGTTACCTGTTGTACGTGACCCAGCGTATTATTCAAGCGCACGTGACCACGGAGAGTTTAGTCACGTACAAAATCCTGAGACGCTGTTGTGATTTACAGATAACAATCAGACAAAAATCTATTGCTTTTCTGAGATACACATACAATACACTATTTATTAAAGTGCTAACAATCTATTCCTTTGGGACCGGGACCCAAAAACCGTTCGTTATATCCTCAGTTTGTTTTAAACGAAGAGTACTGTATCCGTTTAAGATCTCCACTTGACATCAAACAGATGTTTACAGACGAAAAGTGACTATCATTTGATCTGAGTTTTACTCAGGATTTAGGATACTATGTTTCATCACAGCCTGTTGTTGATCGAATGTAGCCCAGAAAACCAAAAGGCTATTATCATGAACAATGACCCCACAATGACCTACTTAATAAGTCATGTGACAGCTGGTCGGTTTAATTGTCCACCTTTTGCCATCCTACAATCCAACAAACTCACAAATTTATCACCATCCCAACGACCTCTTGCTGAATATTTTAAATCCCAATTTACCACAGTACCGCGATGATGGGCACACACACATATATACACCTAGATGGAACGTTGTCCTTAGCTGTGATTATCGCTGTATGGAGTTAGTGAGTGAGTAAGGTTTGACACCGCTTTCAACAATATTCCAGCAAAATCACGGCGGGGGACACCAGAAATGGGCTTCACACATTGTACCAACATGGAAAATTGAGCGTGACGACCGGACGCTTTAACCACAAGCCTACCCCACCCACCCTATGGATGTATGGTCCTTTACGGCACTATAGTACCATACGCAGTTCTGCAATTCAGTAACACTGGCATATCATCGATTTTTTATAAAAATAATCAATATATAAATTGTTTTACCTTCCCGCTGGAAGCATCCCCCTTTATCAAAACATCCGTAATTTCAGTCGCCATGATGTGGGTATAACTGTATCCCTGTTACAGTTACAACGCTACACGGCCTGGCTGGACGGTATAAAAAATGACTATATCACGTTAGGGTGAACTTTGGTGTCTCGGCGATATCACATATCACATATCACATGAAACATACAGAGGCCGTCAGCATTCTTTCGAAACACTGGATACATATCAATATGATTTAAGACGCACACTAGGTGAGGTGAGGTGAGGTGAAATTGGGTTTAACGTCGTGCTTGAGAATATTTCGCTCATATGACGACGTGCATGCGTGTGTATGTGTATGTGCGGCTGCTTGTACTAGCCCAGACTTAAGCTGGTTTTATAGTGCTAGCCCACTGAGATACCATGCCACAGTGAAGCATGAATACCCCACTCAGACACAGTATACTGACTCCGAGCCGACCAGTCCTTGTTGTACCCATTAATGCCGAGCGCCAGGCAGGGACCAACAAGTACAATATTTTAACGTCTTTTGGTATGACGCGGTCGGGGATCGAACCCGCGACCTTCCGCTCTCCGGGCGGACGCTCTAACCACTACACGACGGAGGCGGTCCACACTAGGTAAACATAACATAACTAATTTACATTATTGTTCTAAACGCTAAAAATATTAATATAAAACTTTAGATATGACAGATGTACGTTTAACAAAAAGTATTGTCCATATGCTGGAATTTGGAAACATCTGCAATACAATTGAGAAGTGAAACTGACTTAACGCAGCTTCGAACAGTCATTCTGTTATATGTAGTAACTTATGAAGGGATTAACGGTGGTTGTAAATACGGGTTCTTGGGCGGAATCTAGGCGTCATTCTGTTTACTGAAATACTGAGTGAGTTATATTTTACGTCGCTTTTAGCAATATTCCAGCAATATCACGGCGGGAGACACCAGAAATGGGCTTCACACATTGTACCCATGTGGGGCCCCGTTTACTGAAATATACACTTACAAGGGATAGCATAGCAACTAATTTGTTAACCAATCAAGATTTGTGTAGTTTGTTCCCTACACAACTAAGTCCACGTCCATTAGCAGACTTGATTTCGTCGCCTGTTCATTCATAAACTGAACGGTGAAATTAGCATAATATGGTTGCCTATAACTTTGTGTAAGCCACCCGTGAAGATCCGGGTTAGAATTGGTCTTCAGTAGCCCATGCTTGTCGTACGATTCAAATAATGCAATCAGGTGGTCACGCTCGCTGACTTGGTTGACACGTCATAATTACGTAGATCGATGCTCATGTTGTTAATCACTTGATTGTCTGGTCTAGACTCCTTCATTTATAGACCGCCGCCATACAACTGGAATATTGCTGTATGTGGCGTTAAATAAATAAATAAAGAAAGAAATGTTTCAATATTACGTGTTCTGTGAACCTACTATTGTTGATGTATTGATTTTAAGAATTAACTTCAATATTTTTTTTCAGTTCATAGAAGTATACAAGTGAAAATACAACATGGCCCGTAGTGAGTGTTCAGACTTCACAAATCCGTATGTGCACCCAGTCTGGGCAATGTACGACGGGTAATGTGAACGGCGGACTCATTCCACATGTGTCAGCGGTAAAGAAGTCTTAATTCCGCAGATTTAGCAAGACGGATTCCGTAAATTATAGACTCTTCCTGGATCCAGATACATACAGTGTATGAATCATTTATAAATAACAAACTATGTTGCTGTCACTTCCATTGTCATTCTCTTATTATGAAAGATAATATGACATGTAAATAAAAACAAGAAGTGAAGGGAGCAATGAACTTTGGCGCGAGTAATCAAAATGCAAGCAAGGAACACTGTCCATCGCCATTGGACACATTACAATTTTCTTTGCACATACGGTGGTGAAGATACATGGAGAAAGGGAGGGAACTCCAGACAAAAAGCTCCACTATTGTCTAAACTCCAAATTGACAAGTATTTCTCAGATGAGATCCCGCTGCAACCACTATACACTAAGTAAAACAAGGAAACACAAATTGTTTTGAGAAATACAAAAACATCAAAAGGTACCAGATCCACTAGTGTTTGATGCATACGGAAAGATTAGTTGTACCAGGGATACTCTGCAACATATATAGTCTCCCTGGTTGTACACTGGATTTCCAAATTATGTAGTTACGCAACGTATGTAACGAGTATTTCAGTTTAACCAGGGAGACTATATAAGAGAGACATTGTAGAGTATCCCTGGTTTAACTCTAGTTGGTCGCCAAGGAATCACACACACACACACACACACACACACACACACACACACACACACACACACACACACACACACACACACACACACACACACACACATAAAAATGTTTTTTCAGAAACACTAAAACATCATCAGCATTTCTTTGATACATGTACAGTTTCATAAATAAAAGAAAGAAAATAAACTGTTTTCGAGACGAAACGTGATGGAAACACACGAACGAAAGGAGCAGACGCAGAGCAACCAATTTCAGGATACTCCATTTACACTCGAACAAGGCCAAGCGTTGTAGCTCTTCTCTTTTGGGAGTCACAGATTTTGAAGAAAGGTGAACTGGTTTCTCTCTCTGATTCTGCTATACAATTGCGATATAAGAGTCACATGTTCCTATTGCAGCCCAAACCCAGTTTACCCTTTTGCAGTATAAGGGACATAACTCTCGTCATCGAATCATGTTGAAATCAGATTTTGCTTCAGAAGAGATACGTTTATGTAAATTACTGTAGAATAGCAACTCATTCATCCAAGATAGTGCTCGTGCTTTATGGAAAGGCGTCTTTTTCGATGGTAAGCAGATATTTTGATTGGGTATATGTCTGACAAGATCGGCAGCTGATGTCAGAGCTTAATGTTTCGTAATGGTGACCCGGCCCGAATCCGAGGTTATAGATGCACGGACGTTAATAATTGTAGATAGTGTCCCTGTAAGTGTCATTGACGAATGCCAGTAATGGCTTTACGTTAAGGTTTCATATAATGGACCGTCTTGTGTTGGACGTTTTCGAGATAAAAGCTTCTTTAAACAAAATACGTATTTATGAATTGTTCATCGCATTTGCCATATTGCAATGTTTCATAGTCTTCGTGATATCGAATTCTGGATCTTGATTTAAAATCTGTGACCAAAACCTCCAAACACTGGTCACTGTCTGGTATAGTTCATGTGAATAAACTCGTATTCCAGCCAAGGCCTACATCGAGCAAAGTCGTCTAGTTATATGCTGGACTATGTCAGGTAGTACATATGCCTACATGACTACTGCCTACAATCCCAGTTGCGTAGGACGATGCTCATGATGTTGATCATTGGATTCTTTGGTCCAGACACTCGATTATTTACAGATTGCGGCCATATATTGCTGAGTGCAGCATTAAACAACAAACCAGCCAACCAACCAACTTATGATATGAGATGCTTTTAAAAATGTTATCATGTTTATAGGAAAATACTCAAAATGTTGATATTTGTGCATGTTGTGAATATATTGAGACCAATTGATATGTACCCAGGGCAGAGACAGCTTTCTGAGAAGGGACACACTCTTGAAAAAGGGGGTGTGCACACTTAATTTTCACGAGAGATGCAATGGTCATTTAATAAACTTTCAGGACAAAAGGGTGTGTGTGTGTGTGTGTGTGTGTCTGTGTGCCACCCCCACCCCCTCTCTGGATGTGCCTATGGTACCTTGTGGGAGAGTGAGTTGGGTTTAACACTGCTTTAGGTTGAACAGTATATCAGTCATATCATGGCATATCAGCTTAATGTTGAAGGAATGTCAGACCTTGAAGATCTAGGTTAGAATCCGACTTCAGCAAATTGTGGTTGTTGTGAGAGGCAACTAACATGATTGAGTACTCAGGCTTGCTTACTTGGTTGATGCATGTCATAGATTCCAGTCAGATGGTTCAATGCTTATGATGTCAATCACTCGTACGTTTAGTCATAAAGCTTAAATATTTCCTAGTGCAGCGTTACACTGTTGAACAACAAACAAACATACCATTGTATATCTTTAAACCTGTCAATAAGATCTTTGACCTAAACTCATGAGTTTTCTTACAGGCATCGACAAGTGACTGAAGAACTGTACACTTTGATCACTAAGAAGCACCATGTTTTGCCAGAAGGCACTAGCCAAGATCTCAAGAACCCTGACAAGATGCAAGACAAGGCCTGTCTTGGGCTCACTGCAGGGCGTGCTACGGTCACTATGGCAGGTGACCCGTGCTAGCTCCACACAGGGCACGCTGCATGAGCTGAAGTCTCGGGGTCTGGTGGAGATGAGTGGTCGAGACACTGTGGACTTCCTGCAGGGTATTGTCACCAGTGATGTTACCTCCTTAGGGGGAGATGTTGCCGCCCAGTACTCAATGATGCTGAATGTACAGGTACACAGCATTTAGTGACTTAACTATGGACTAACAAGTTTATAGTCAACTCCATGAGCCGTTTAAGAATTAAAGTAGGAATTTAGTATCTGTTTCTCATCCATAAGTAAGGATTCAGTATGTGTTTAATATTCTTTAAGTATGAAGTCAGTGTGTGTTTGGTGTTCATAAGGATTCAGAGGATGTTCAGTCTCTACAGGTATGCATTCAGTAAGGTGGACACACCACTTCATGTTTTTCATTACTCATATGATATATATGGTATATTCATCAAGCGAGATAAGTTTCTGAATGATTTTAATACAAAGTTTGTAAGACTGATGTCCATGTGTCCAGGGTCGAGTGTTGTATGACCTAATGCTGTACCTACACCCAGACAGTGCTGTACATGGTCAGTCTGACCAGACACGCCTCCTGCTGGAGTGTGACAGCTCGGTGCAGGACGAGATGCTCAAGGTCATCCGGAGATACAAAATCAGAAAGAAGGTAAGGAAGACGCACATTAATAATGAGTTGATGAGTTCAACACAGTTGTAGTCTCCCAATGAGGTAGATGTATATGCCATGTTCGACACAGTTGTAGTCTCCCGATGAGGTAGATGTATATGCCATGTTCGACACAGTTGTAGTCTCCCGATGAGGTAGATGTATATGCCATGTTCGACACAGTTGTAGTGTTCTCGCGAGGTAGACGCATGTGGATGAATTCAATGGCGTTGCTTTGTCCAGGCTTACAGAGTTTTAATGATTTGACTTGTGAGCTGGTTATTTCTCAGAGAAATTATGCTTTTTAACTGAGTCCTTCAGCTGTATTAATGTATAAGAGCCCAGACAAGTTTCTTTTTAGTTATACTGATGTGTCAGTCCAAAGGTCGTTAAAAAAATACATAGCCAAAGAATTGTCTTTGATTGAAATTCAATTTGAGTTGTATTAAATCTTACCTTTCACTACCTCTGAACAAAGATCTAAAGGACATCCAGTTACTTGTTGTGTCAAAATGAGATTGATTGGTGTATTGATTATTTGGTTGATTGTCTAAAGTTGTACTGCTTTATGGAGGTTGAAAAATTAATCTATAATCTATTGCTGTAAAATTCTATATCAATATAATTTGGCTACTTTCCCCTTGGTAAAATGCCCTAAAAAATCTTTAGGAAAGTAAGGAAAAAGAATGGTTAAGCAGGTGTTATTTCCACAATTATTATTAAGAGTTATATATCATATATAGTTGGTTCAAATGAACAGTGAAAGGCCCTATTATGCTGTCAGCTCACCCATGATGAATAAGATACCAATCATTGGATTGTCAGGTCAATATACGGCCAGTGGATGAGGAGTGGAGACTGTTTGCCCTGGTGACTGACATTGATGAGAGTGGGGTGACAGTTGGGGTACCTGATCCCCGGGTGCCCATATTTGGGAGGAGGATCCTACACCCTGCCGACAAGCCAGGTAAGGAGATGTGGGGGTGAGGGAGCTAACATTTTGGGTGTCGGATGCACATCACTGGATGTGTATGTTTAGGCAAGAGGAGAAGGGTGGGGTGGGGGGCAACAAGCCATGTGAGGAGACATTGGGTGAGGGAGGTGATATTTGGGGTGTCAGATGCACATCACTGGATGTGTATGTTTAGAAGCAAGGGGCAACAAGTAATGTGAGGAGACGTGGGGTGAGGGAGCTGACATTTTGGGTGTCGGATGCACATCACTGGATGTCTATGTTTAGGCAAGGAGAAAAGAGTGGGGTGGGGGCAACAAGTCATGTGAGGAGACGTGGGGTCAGGGAGGTGATATTTGGGTTGTCGGATGCACATCACTGGATATGAATGTTTAGGCAAGGAGAAAAGAGTGGGGTGGGGGCAACAAGCCATTTGAGGAGACGTGGGGTGAAGGAGGTGATATTTGGGGTGTCGGATGCACATCACTGGATGTGTATGTTTAGGCAAGAGGAGAAGGGCAAGGTGGGGGCAACAAGCCATGTGAGGAGACGTGGGGTGAGGGAGGTGATATTTGGGGTGTCAGATGCACATCACTGGATGTGTATGTTTAGGCAAGAGGAGAAGGGCAAGGTGTGGGGCAACAAGCCATGTGAGGAGACGTGGGGTGAAGGAGGTGATATTTGGGGTGTCGGATGCACATCACTGGATGTGTATGTTTAGGCAAGAGGAGAAGGGTGGGGTGGGGGGCAACAAGCCATGTGAGGAGACGTGGGGTGAAGGAGGTGATATTTGGGGTGTCGGATGCACATCACTGGATGTGTATGTTTAGGCAAGAGGAGAAGGGCAAGGTGGGGGGCAACAAGCCATGTGAGGAGACATGGGGTGTCAGATGCACATCACTGGACGTGTATGTTTAGGCAAGAGGAGAAGGGTGGGGTGGGGGGCAACAAGTAATGTGAGGAGACATGGGGTGAGGGAGGTGATATTTGGAGTGTCAGATGCACATCACTGGATGTGTATGTTTAGGCAAGAGGAGAAGGGCAAGGTGTGGGGCAACAAGCCATGTGAGGAGACGTGGGGTGAAGGAGGTGATATTTGGGGTGTCGGATGCACATCACTGGATGTGTATGTTTAGGCAAGAGGAGAAAGGGGCAAGGTGGGGGCAACAAGCCATGTGAGGGAGACATGGGGTGTCAGATGCACATCACTGGGCGTGTATGTTTAGGCAAGAGGAGAAGAGGGTGGGGTGGGGGGCAACAAGTAATGTGAGGGGAGACATGGGGTGAGGGAGGTGATATTTGGAGTGTCAGATGCACATCACTGGGCGTGTATGTTTAGGCAAGAGAGGAGAAGGGTGGGGTGGGGGCAACAAGTAATGTGAGGAGGCGTGGGGTGAGGGAGGTGATATTTTGGGTCGAATGAACATCACTGGATGTGTATGTTTAGGCAAGAGGAGAAGGGTGGGGTGGGGGGCAAAGGGAGAACGGGGGCAGCTGATGTAGGGGGTTTTCAGGGGGGTGGCCTGTGGAATTCTCCTTTCTCCCTCCCTCTTTGTTCTCTCTCTTCTTTCTCCCACACCCACAACCACCACCACCACCTCAGGTTCCTAAGTTGTGGGGGACCCTATACTGACAAACCAGGTGCTGTATTGGGTAAGTTACGAGAAGAGGCAGGGGACTTCTCACTCCCAGTTGTCAGTGTTTAGGTGGGGAGTTTTTGTAAAAACAGATTCATTCCCCTTTAAATTCGTCCATTGGAATAGTATACATAAAGATCATCTATTCCACACCTGGCAGGGGTTAACATACACCTAGTATATAGGAATGAATTATCCTTTACAATAATGTTGCAGCCATGAAATAGTGGTGCTCCGTAATTAACCACAGGCTACGGGTTGTGAGGTCAATTTTTTTTTTTTTATTCCATAGTGGAAGAAGCAGTAGAAGCAGTAGACACTCTGTAACAAGAATAATTATACAATGTATATGTACACGCTAAAACATATCCGATGAACAGATGCCTTCGTAGATAATATATATAGGGTATAAACATGTGATAAACGCATGTCTTCATTTATACATAGCGGAATAACATAAAGACTGAAGTAAACAATGTACCTGTCTTACTTAGTATCACGCAGGTAATGGAACATGGCATATATACTATTGTTATTATTACAAGTGACATATCATGTGGCATATCATGAAACAGACTATAAAAACGGACAATGAAACCTACCCTGTGGGTGACACGGGAGTGTGCTTATGCACCCAGCAGCCGGGCAGCCAACATGTGCAATAATCCTACATAAAATAGGATACACTGATGAGAGGTATTGTCCATGAGACAACATGTAAAATGATAGCATACTGTGTAAATATGTACATTTGATTTATCTTGAACATATTTGTGCCTGTATTATACAATTATTTATATTAGAGTTTAATGAGCTATGTATATATTACAAATGTATAATTACTAACCTTAGATGAAAACACAATCTTCTAAACAGTCCTCATGTAGAGACAGTGTGGTGCAAACTGATTAGTAACATGGCGGTGAGAAGTATATTTGAAATTAAACCAATTAACTGAGAAAGCTGAGCCTGGGCTTTTGTTAAAACAACTACAGACAATGACATAAAAGTAGATCGACCCAGATACCCTTATATACACAATGAACCAGTCCTGTGACACAGAACTGAACAGTTAAGGCCAAAACAAGATGCAACTGGACTGACAACTAATTGTAAAGTATATATAATATATAGAGAAGTCGTTTGTTGGATCACCTGAAATGAGAATAAAATGAAAATGATTAATTATAAATGTATGTACACAATATACAATCCCTGGATTTATCCCTGTTACAATAACACCCTGCTGACAAGCCTGAGGAGAAGATGTGGGGTGGAGGAGGTGGGGAATTCCTCACCCTCAAGTCAGGGGGTTATATTCTGACACCTCAAAGTCTCACTGGATTTTGTTATTGGCCAGTTTGGTAAAATCAGCAAGGATAGGTAAGGTGCTGGGGATCAAAACTGAGGTGATTCTGAGATACAGACCTATATGGTGATATTGGTATGGCTAAAATGTGTATCCTAAAAAAGATCTTAACTCTAGACCACCCAGCTCTTGCCCCACATGTCAGTAATACCTGAGGATGTTTTAAATAGTAAACATGCATTTGATCCTGGTATGTGAACTACATATTTTCTACTGTTGTTCTGCTTCAGACCTGGAGGTAGAAGGGATGGAACTAGAATCGGAGGAGGAGTACCACCAGCGTCGCTACATGTGGGGGATCCCGGAGGGGGTCTTGGACCTGCCCCCTGGGAACTGTTTCCCACTGGAGAGTAACCTGGTGTTCCATCAAGGAGGTACATGGACTTTTCCTATCAGTCAGTTTCTACTGAACCTGCACATGTATGATGCTGTTCTTCCTGTCCAAGAGGTTTAGGTGGCGCCTGCCCAGTCATTAGTATTCACTCATTAAACCAGAATCTCGACTATGGTGCTAACAATCCTAGAAACATAATCTAGGTGAAGCAGGATTTATAGGTTTCTTTCTTCAACACAATTAGCTCATTACTTGCAGACCCTAATCGGGGTGAAACAGGATTTCTAGGTATTTTCAACACAAATTAGCTGACTACATGCAGACCATGTAAACCTACATTGACCAATAAAATGTGGGAAACAACAAATTAAGCAGGTCTGGCCTTAGTGTGTTCTGCACCCAAAACTGTGTAAAAGACACAAGATTCAGTACCTAGACACTCTAGTCAGAGTGATTTCTTAAGCCAAGGTTGATGAGTATGACTTTTATGTTTGCAGTGAGTTTTCAGAAAGGTTGCTACATCGGTCAGGAACTGACTGCACGGACGCACCACACCGGGGTGACCAGGAAGAGGCTTATGCCACTAGTGTTAGACAGGTGAGTGCTCTGACACCATGCCGCTAATGATTCTGTGTGTGGTAGCCTAGTGGTTAAAGTGTTTGCTTGTTCACACCAAAGGCCAGGTTGATTCCCCACATGGGTACAATGTGTGAAGCCCTTTCTGGTGTCCCCTTCTGTTATTGCTGGAATATGGCTAAAAGCGTCGAAAAACTAAACAACTTACTCTAATGGTTCCAAAAATTGTTGAATAAGGTTTCATGCCACCTTTAATACTCCAGCTGTAGCAGGGTGGGGGACATCAGAAATGTGCTACACATCGTACCAATGTTGGAAATAAAACCCTGATCTATGGCACGAGAAATGACCGCTCTAACCACTAGGCCTCCACTAGTGTGTGAGGAGTGAGGGTTAGACCATTGTCACATCACCGCTCAGGGGTGGAAATAACTTTAAAATTGCTAGTGTACTCCGGTACAGTGGCACATGTAAAATCACTTGCCCTGATAATTTTTCCACTATACTGGCCGTTTTCTTGTTGATTTTTTAAATAAACAACATAATTAACATTGGAATATCAACTGAACATTGGAATATCAACTGGACACCGGTACAGTGTGATATACAAATTTGCTTGCCCGACAGAAAAAAACACTGGACTCGGGCGTCGGGCAATGGGTTATTTCCACCCCTGCCTCTATGTCAGTGAACAGGTCCAGGGTGTACATCTTAATACAATAGTGATATGATACACTGTCAATGTTGAAATAGTGACTTAAAACCAAAATCCAGCAGTAGTCACTCCTATTGAACATCATCCTGACTGACACTTTTCAGAGATGGCGCTTCCATAGAGACTGGGACAAACATTACAAGAGATGATGGAAAAAATGTTGGAAAATTCAGGAACTCAGTTGGCAAATATGGACTCGGACTGATTCGTATGGCTGATGTCAAAGGTCAAATCTCAATAGCCAATAAGAGTGGAGAGGGTGTTCCAGTGATAACCAACCCTCCCTTGTGGTGGCCTCAGGATGTACAAATACAATGGAAGACCGACAGAGGGAAATGATACCAGGTGTTCAGCAGATACAATGGAAATCTATGTTTATTACAAAACCTCTTGAGATTATGATACTGATGTTTGTTAAATCCAACCAGATTTTAGTTGTGTTATTGATTATACAGATTGTGAATGGAATGTGTTCCTGTTGTTTTTTCTCTCTACGATTCTGGATTCTGAACTCTTTTTAGAGAGGATTTCTTCCCATGCAGTCCTTAACTTAAGATATTTAGGAGACCAATTCAGTATTCAAAATAATTTCCTGTTTTATCACTATTAAAAGTTTTGGTTGGTAATATCCTATTTGGCGTCTGATATTCAGGATCAAGTCTGCAGCACGTGACTTAGAATTTCCAAATTGGAATTCTACATTTCCAGGTCATACTGATATAGTGAGTGAGTGAGTGAGTGAGTTTGATTTTATGACGTTTGTAGCAATGTTCCAGCAATATCACGGCGGGAGACACCAGAAATGGGCTTCACACATTGTACCTATGTGGGGAATCAAACCCAGACCTTCCATGTGATGAGTGAAGACTTTAACCACTAGGCTACCCCACCGCCCCTCAAGTTGTTATAATTACAGGCGTCCTGTGTTCGCTGATAACAGGATGTAAGGGGGAAGAGGCTTCAATGCTTAGTTTAACTTCATTGCAGTGAATGTAAAACAACCAGAATTCAGGAAGATGATAGCTTTATCATTTATGAAAAGGTCAGATTTTCCCCCCAATTTGACTTCCAAGGACAGTTAGTTTGGTAAGCCTCAGCTGTTCAGTAAACTCATCATGTATGTCTACATTGGTAATGCCTGGGTGAACTACGAGGTTACAGCAAGGAAATTCAACACTACCGGGTACCTCTCTGTAACTGGTAACTGGTCAAAGGCATGGTCTGTAGGCTCTTTCTTCTGCACGCAGCTTATAAGAAAAACAAAGCCTTCTCTCATAGATGTATCACGTTTTCATGTCACTGTCGACATGACATGTCTAAACTGTGAATATTCTCCTCTTAAAAATTTCCCAAATAACTCCCAATCCAAAACAGCGTAATGCCAATAAAAGAACAAAATATAGCCTACACAATTTATCAAATATTTATTTGTGAAGTCAGTTGAATATCCCATGTTTTGTCATATTTTCTTTGTAATTATGTGAATATTTACACCCATATTTAACAAATTTCCTCATACCCACTGGGGGCGGTGGGGTAGTCTAGTGGTTAAAGCGTTGGCTCGTCACGCCGAAGACCCGGGTTCGAATCCCCACATGGGTACAATGAGTGAAGCCCATTTCTGGTGTCCCCCGCCGTGATATTGCTGGAATATTGCTAAAAGCGGCGTAAAACCAAACTGTCAGTCAGTCAGTCATACCCACTGATGCTGGCATTAAACACGCAAATATGGTATTCAAGAGGCAAATAGTTACACACAAAAATGGTTCAAACGTGTCACCCGTCACTTGAAATAGAATCACAAATTGTCGTGATGACTAAGTAACAAGGGTGATTACCCTAATACTTAGTGAAAACAAAATACTCCAGCGAAAAGGAATATCAAAATGCTCACACTTTTAGATTACATGGTTTCCGATTCTGAAAAGTGTTGTCAAGGTTTTGAAAAGGATTTACTTCCATATATACTCACCAGTCATTTTACAAACGTGCACTGGGTTGTCCATCGAAATGTATGCCTTGAAAGATCTTATTTCGAAGACGTAGTACTAACCAGTGAGATCGGTGTTGGTGTGGGTATGGCTTGTGTCCTCGATTTTACAGACGCTTCTAAGAATGTTACACGTATCATGTTCACGTTCTGCACCTGGAAGTGTTCGAAGTGCCGTATAATCAGTCGGGGTACACATAATGTTCCCCGTAAAACACACCAATGGTGTGGGTTTTAGGCCACTTTGGCGTATCTCATTTTTGTCATTCACAGTGTGTTAGTTTCGTTTGGATCAAGAGCTTAGACTTGCGTCACTCTGATTCAACTCACGCCCGTGGTGGACATCTTACTGACAATGGACCATAATAAGGGGGAATCTCAGGTTCGAACCCACGATATTAGGAACGCCGAAAAGACATTTACGAAAGACATTTGCACTTAAGGGATTTCCTTAGGTTTTGTGCATGCCTTCGTTTGTTTCCAGGATAAGACAGGCATTGCTACCAAGTTGGAATATTCCAAGCCAAATGCTTTTCCAAAATATAAACACCCGAGTTAGAATTGGTCTTCAGTAATCCATGCTTGTAAGTGGCGGCTAACAGGATCGGGTGGTCAGGCTCGCTGAATTGGTCAACACATGTCATCGTATCTTAACTCCGTGGAGCGATGCTCATGATGTTGATCATTGGATTGTCTGGTCCAGACTACATTATTCACAGACCACCACCACATAGCTGTCATATTGCTTAGCGTTGCGTTAAACAACCAACTAACCAACCAACCATACTCGATAATTTCAAGAGTATACATTCCGATAAATCTCGACAAGTACTATATATAGTCCGTTTGGCTCAAAAGCGGACCGATGAATTGCGTTCTAACCCGAAAACTGATGTTTTTATTATGATCAGCGTTTCATTGAGTATTGTATGTTTATCAGTTTTCGAGTTAGATCGCAATTCATCGGTCCGCTTTTGAGCCAAACGGACTATCGGAACGTATAGACTGGAGATTATCGAGGATGCCAGCCAACATGCTGATCTGGGCGCATCTTCTAACTTTCCAGTCCACAACTGCGTCATGTCCACCACTGTGTCAGACCAAGAAGCCGACGGACTGGGTCGACAGTAGACTAACAACTAGTCTCTGAAATGAACGTATTTTACTGAAAAAAGTTCATAGTAAAAAAAAAAATATATAATGAAAAGGAGCCCTGAGACTTTCTTCATTTTCAGAAGCTGAGGAAATCTAGACTTGCCACATTTTCTAGACTTGTGTGGGCTTTCTTGGATATATTTGCTTCAGGGTCTGTACGAGAGACTAGGTCGACAGCTGCAACTCGATCCATTCACTATGGTGCCGATCCAGAGGTAGACTAACAACTAGTCTCTGAAATGAACATATTTTACTGAAACAAATTCATAGTAAAAAAAAAATTATATAGATCTATATAATGAAAAGGAGCCCTGAGACTTTCTTCATTTTCAGAAGCTGAGGAAATCTAGACTTGCCCCATTTTCTAGACTTGTGTGGGCTTTCTTGGATATATTTGCTTCAGGGTCTGTACGAGAGACTAATCCAGAGGTTGTCGTTGTCAAAACAGTAAGCGGTATAGTATGTGAAGACCTAGACTAACGCTTAGTCTCTGTATATATGTAATTTTGATAGTAACTAATAAGCCCATTTAAATCGAAAAGGAGCCCCAGGGAGCTAGACTTGCTTTATTTAGGGCTTTAGCACTGCAGATAGGGCTTGGCAGTTGGGGAAATAATGTGGTTCAGGGACTGAGACAGACTAGTGAAGACCTTGTGCAAGAGGGATCCTGCGTCTTGTGTATAATCCGTGAAAATCCGGGTTATAATTGGTCTTCAGCAACCCATGCTTGTCGGGATCCGGTGGTCAACCTCGCTGACTTGGTTGACGTATCCCAACTGCGTAGATCGATGCTCATGATGTCAATCCCTATAATTCTCTAGTCCAGACTTGATAACTTACAGACCGTCGTCATAGAGATGGAAAACTACAGAGTGCGGCGGTAAACAACAAACAAAAGTATTAAATAGGCTTTTTCAAGAATCCTTGCTGCTGTCAGGTAACCAAATGGTTAAACCTTTCCTTCGCCACGCCGGGGACCCGGTTTCGATTCCTCACATATGTAATTTGTGTGAAGTCCATTTCTCATGATTTCTGGTGTCCCCGGCTGTGATACTGCTGGAATATTGCTATTGGAGGCGTATTTAAACCTTATTTACTAACTTTAACAAGGGAATTCCTCCGAATTCACTTAGGGGTCGAACTAATAATTTATGGCTGTGTGCGTGTGTGCATGCGTGCGTGATGATGATGATGGTGATTATGATGATGGTGATGGGTGACAACCACCACCACCCCATCCCAAAAATCATCATCAACACCACCCCTAGCCATAAATTATTAGTTCGACCCCTAAGTGAATTCAGAGGAATTCCCATGTGCCCGCACAAAGGCCATATCTGAGATGCAATGTTTTGCTGTGTTATGAAGGCGGTAGCCGACACGCTGTCCGACGCTTGTGTCTGCAACTTGTTCTGATCGACTCGACTGCAGCTGTGCTAAACTTGACGCAGCTGTGCTAAACTTGACGCAGCTGTGCTAAACTTGACACAGCTGTGCGCACGTCGCAACCTCTCATGTAGACCCTCGCGACCACAACATACCCTCCAGAACAAGAAACGGACGCAAGATATTGTCACGTTTGCGCTTCTCAAAACATCGCAGCTGGACCCTGTTTGATTATCAGAATACGGAGCAGCATCCCGTATTGGTACGTCAATATTATCATCCACCAACACAACCTGTTGTTACCACACTAGGATTCTTAAAACCGCCATTGCTGCAGAACTTCTTCTTCAGCTGCGAGTTGCAACACTCGGGCGAGCGTTAATCTAAGCTTGATGCAAGTATTTTAGAAATTAACCTATCCTTGCTGCGACAATAATCAGTTGGTTGTATTCAAATTCAGTAACGAGTTTGTGTGTGCCGCCTAAAACAAAACGCAATTCTCTTGGCTTCACTTTAGTTAGTGACTTCGATCGTTTACAGGTCAGGTGTAAATAAACTTATGAATGTACCCGATTGAAAATAGTACCAGCGTCTTGTTTCTGTGCGTCCTTTTAGAAAATATCCAAATGATATTAAATCGCAAGGTATCATTGATACACAATCACGACGGTGCACGCGTCCGATGTATTGTACACGTGTTTACTGTTACACGCCGGGAAGATTGGGGAACGAAAGTTGACCCACGTGGCGCTGTTTTATAAAAACTTGAGTATGCATGTCCAAATCTGAGACTGGACATCGGGGTCAAATATTTGAAAAATACGATTATATGACATTACACACAATACCGTTGACGATTCTGTGTTACTGGAACAGTTGTTTTTATGTAGGTTACTATTTTCAGATTAATTGTTCACGCAAAACAATATGAGGCTCTGTACCTTCATCAGGCGGCCATTTTGAAAGGTCAAAGGTTCACGCAGTATCAACATGTCTTTGTGAACAGCAAGTGACCAGTGATGTTTTTTGTTCAGACTTTGCGATATGCTCTCATCAAGATTTAACTGTAAAACTGTTTCTGCTTTTCGATATTGCAAGAGTCGATTTGGTTTCTTAAAGAAACTTCGTAAAATGACATCCAGTCATGTTATAAATTGTCAAAGTGAATCATATTTGACACACATAAGCCTCCTAAGAAAAAACCTGTGAAAACAACAACTTAGTGTGGTCTGGTGCCCAGAAGTTCCCAACACTAACCTAAATAAAGTGGTACATGATTGTGTTCAATGCTACAACAAATGAATAAAAATAAAATGCAAATACCATGCATAAATTACGACTCGCAAAAGTTCCATCAATAACGTCAGCTAGTCAGTTACGCTGAAGGGGTCGTTGTCGGCACAGGTACTACAGATACGTACCCCAGGTATGTTCTGTATACAGATATGTACCCTAAACAAAGTCAAAATACAGAAACGTACCCGGTACCCTAAAAGGCGGACGAGTCCATATTCCGCAATCCAAAACCGAAAACGCATGTAGTTGTTCCCGTTCAACTGATTCCTAGTGGTATTCATGTGCATCGCAAAATATCCGTTACTATGTATTCTCATTACTTACATAACGCAATCAAATGTATCTAATACAACAGCATGACAGTTCCGATCAAGAATACGACACAATGGGAATGGAATCGTCCTAGGGTACGTTTCTGTGTTCTCATTTTGGCCAGGGTACATATCTGTATGCAGAAACGTACCTGGGGTACATATCTGTAGTACCCGTGCCGACAACGACCCCTTCAGGGTCAGCTTGTTCCCGGAAAGTTTCCCTCACTATCCGCATAAAGGAACACTATATCATACATGTGCAGCTGACAAAGAAACATGTTCCATTTCATATGTCTTTTGACAACCTAATATTCTAAAATATTTCAAACGCTTCAGGATATTATTACTGGTGTATTTTTGGAATATTTAAATGCAAGAAGTGATGACAATGTTACATAATCAGTCTTACCGTATCAAATATTTATGTATAAGAGGAGGCAACAATGTCACGTTATCAATATTCGTGGTGACCTACTTATATTTCAGTGAGTAATGCATGGCTTCAACATCTCAGATATAACCTGTCACGGATGTCCCAGTTTACTGCTCGTCAAATTTCTGTGTGTCATGTCCAGGAACAAGGGACAAGATTGTGGCATGAAAATAAATTTGTTAACATCAAGCACATATCATTATACATTAAGAAATGTTTTAAAGATGTCTATTTGAGCTATCAGGTTGATTATTATCAACAAGATATAAGCTACTGTTCCTCTTGCATTCTTCCTTTCTCACTTGGCAAACAAATACTGTCTTCCACAGCTTAGAGTAAATGTTATTTGGCACTAACAGCGGCATATCGTCTGTGTTCTTATGTACATATATGCTTGATAAATCCAGTGCAAGGACACTTCAGAGTTCTGACCTACAGGGAATTGCTGAGTCAGCTTATTTGTGTAGATAGTCAGTGCACCTGGTCGTCAGTGGTTGCAGCTAATCAAACCATGACGATAAACGTGCAGATGTGCTAACATGTTCTTTTTTTCATGATTTACTAGCCAACTAGCATGACGGATCAACTATAATATTATAAAAAATCAGCCATAGCATGACAGATGAACTATAATATTATGGAAGAATCAGCCCTAGTGTAGCAAATGAGCTATAATATTATAAAAAATCAGCCTTTGCATGACAGATGAACTATAATATTATGGAAGAAACCTTCCTTGTGACAGATGAACTATAATATTCTAAGAGAATCAGCCCAAGTATGACAGATGAACTGTAATATTATGAAAGAATCAGCCGACCATAAACAATGAACTATGATATGAAAGAATCAGCTCTAGTGTGACAGATGAAATATATATCATGAAAGAATCAGCCTTAGTATAAACAATGAACTATGATATTATGAAAGAATCAGCCATTGTATGACAAATGATACGTATAATATTACTGTAATAGGACAGTACTAGAATACTGTAAACCGAAGGTAACAGTGTTCTATATTCTGATTGATTGGAAAACGTGATCTAATGGTATTTCTAAGATGTCTAGCATTATCAGACAATAAAGGTATAGTTTTTTGATGTCGTAACAATTGAAAGACGTTATCCCGTCACTGCGCCATTCTAGTGTGCCCCCTCGTAATCGAATTATTTTACATTACGTCACAATGTAAGTGATGTCTCGATGCATGTCAGTTGTCATTGCCTCGTACGGCCTCCTACAGTAAACTACTCAGTTGCATCCCGTTTCTTGGTTTGCAGTTGCTTCACGCAGCTAACATCACTGGTGGAAACATTACGTTTATGTTTTACGACGGTTAAAATGTGTCAATTCGACTCACAAGTTTTCAGCGACAGGGTAATGTTCGCAATGTTTACATTCCCACAATGCAATCGTGGAATGTCGCTTGACTACTCAGCTTCATCTGGATGTACTGATGTAAACTTACGTTGGTAGTAGAAATGCGACGTTCATATTGCCCCATATGGTTTATGTTAATGACAGATGTAATTATAATAATTCAGAGAAGATATTTTTTTCCGAACGTAAACCGTCATCAAACTGTTATCATTTCTTTTTTTCTGGTAACGTTCATCTTAACGTAGGGGGCAGACACATCAATAGAACAGCACGCCAGTTAGCCCTGCTCTAGGATTCTTAATTTAGGTCAACGACACCGTCGTTTGCTTTCTGCCGTAAATTAATCATAATTATCCTTAGAAAGTATTAAATTTAGCATCTTAGAAAAGATGTAAAGTTCGCTCTACCCCAATGTGTTTTGTAATAAAGTATAGTTTTGCCCTGAACTATTATAACGTCAATGCGCTCGGACTACCGTCCTCATGCTTTCATTATAATAGTTCACGGCAAAACTATACTTTATTACAAAACACATTGGGGTAGAGCGAACGTTATTTCCTAATCGATTCCCGGAAATTGCAAGACTATTCGCTGCATGTTAATACATATAAACATCGTACACACGATTGTATTGTTGCGTCGTCAGCAGTGGTGACGTCATTCAAATCATATTGTGACGTAAAGTCGGAATGATGTAACAAATGAGCAGTTCCAGATGTTACCATGGAGACCGCCATAACGGCCGGCTGATGACAGTTTACTGCTGTACCGTACTCTGTGACAATGAGTGCAGACACAAAACCACATCTGGACCTTTTGGTTTACTTTTGTGTTTTCAATGTCGATAAAAATCATGTGTTGGCCAATTTCCAGGTGTTATTAACGCCGTCGGTTCCAAATGAATTCCGGTGCTTCAAATACTCAATAACACCCCCAGAAATTGGACAACACGTGATGTTTATCTCCAAATTGTTAAATGCAGCATAAAACCATGCCAACTCATTCAGATAGCTATGTAGCCATGTCACGTATGTGTTTCCTTCACTTAAATATGTTTATGACATTCATTCCTCTTTATTCATTTCATCATAGTTGTTTTGTATATTTAATGTCAGCCAGACTGTCACTTCTACGTCACTTCTCATAATTGTTGTTATATTTACAATATGTAATGAAAATATATGCTCCACTGATTATCCCCAGGGCCCCGTTCTTCAAAGCGATCGTAGTGCTAAGATGATCGTAAGTCCCATACTTTAACATAGACTTACGACAGTCGTAGCGCTCTAGCGCTACGATCGCTAGAGTGTGCCCAAACCACACCCAAAAGTCCCATGTTCATGGCAACATCATTGTCTCTTCCTAATCCATATCTATGTATGTGTTGAGACTTATCCCATTAGTCTGTTAGTCATATTGTAAGTGATGGTATGTGGAGTGAGTGAGTGAGCTAAGTTTAAGGCCGCACTCAGCAATATTCCAGCTATATGGTGGCAGTCTGTAAATAATCAAGTCTGGACCAGACAATCCAGTAGTCAACAGCATGAGCATCGATCTGTGCAATTGGGAACCAATGACATGTGTCAACCAAGTCAGCGAGCCTGACCACCCGATCCCGTTAGTCGCCTCTTGCGACAAGCATGGGTTACTGAAGGTCAGTTCTAACCCGGACCTTCCCGGGTCTATCCCATTAGTGTGTTTGTCATTTTGTAAGTGATGGTATGTAGATGACCAAGGGTAGGATTGAGCTGAGTTTAACTCTGTTCACCTCATTAAGGGGGAGGTGGGGTAGCCTAGTGGTTAAAGCGTTTGCTTATCACGCTGAAGACCCGGGTTCTATTCCCCACATGGGTACAATTTCTGGTGTCCTCCACCGTGATATTGCTGGAATATTGCTAAAAGCGGCGTAAAATAAACGCACTCTATTACACACACCTGATAATGTGATATAGCTTACCTGACAACTCCCCTCCATGGTGTCCTGGTGATTTCTGAGCATGTATTCTTCTTACTGATATGTATTCAGTTATGCACAAATTACAATGATTGTAACAGAACCTCCAAATGTTTTTGTCATATTCACAGAAATGGAGCCAATTGCTGACCAACTGAAAGGCAACTCCGTTCTCGGTGATGAGAGGAAGAAGCAGGTGAGAAATGGCATTGTTTTACTTCCATCATTATTCCTTACACTAATTCAGCAATAGAATATAAACTTGCAAAATGTCTGCTTGTAAAATATTCTTCTTAAGGCTGATACTGAATAAGGTGTGTGCCTGGAGATCTGAAAAACTGATAGTTTTAATCCATGGCTGTATCATACCAAACAAACAGTAAAAGACACAGACAGACAGACAGACAAGCACACACACACACTCTTACAGCCTAATGGTTAAAGCATGTGCTTGTCATACTGAAAACCCGGTTTTGAGCTAAAATATTATGACAGAAGAGAGACAATTTGTGAAGCCCATTTTGGCTAAAAGTGGCATAAAATGATACTCACTCACTCTTACAGACATGATAACAAGCATACCCTAATGCTGTTTGTAATAATAAATCATTTGTGCTTCTTAAATTAAAGAATGATAATTGTTTGATAAGAACATCGTACCTCATATGACTGTTGTCTTGTTGTGGTCAGCTGGGGGAGTTCCTGCAGCCCCTGGTGCTGACGCAGGAGGTGATCGAGAGAATTATGGCCGGCATGGAAGACCACATCAAACTGGCCAACAGCCCTGACCGCAGTGTGCGTGACAAGTCGGACGTCCTCATGGCCAACACGCATGTTCGGTGCTTGCTGGATGGGAAGGGTACGTCTTATCATGACTTCTCACTGAGGTGAGATGATATGTGGTTTAACACATGGTTTAATGGTTATTGCACTTGTGTGAGGTATGTGTGATGTGTGTGTGTGATGTGTGTGTGTGTGTGGTGTGTGGTGTGTGTGTGTGTGTGTGTGAGAGGTATGTGTGATGTGTGTGTGTGGTGTGTGTGTGAGGTGTGTGTGTGTGTGAGGTATGTGTGATGTGTGTGTGAGAGGTATGTGTGATGTGTGTGTGTGGTGTGTGTGAGAGGTATGTGTGATGTGTGTGTGTGTGGTATGTGTGTGTGTGTGGTATGTGTGATGTGTGTGTGTGTGTGTGTGGTATGTGTGATGTGTGTGTGTGTGTATGCGTGCCTGTGTACCTGCAGGATAACGACACACTTCATGTAGACTAAATATCTATTTTGGCTTCAACATACACATCAAACCTCAGCCACGCAATCATGTGTCATTTGTTAAGATGGTCGTTTAAAGTTCACACACCATTTCATTAGCTCCTCACAGTGTCATATTTGGCGGTGGGGTAGCCCATTGGTTAAAACGTTCGCTTGTCACACCAAAGATCCGGGTTCGATTCCCCACATGGGTACAATGTGTGAAGCCCATTTCTGGTGTCCCAACTGTGACATTGCTGGGATATTGCTAAAAGCACTCTCACTCACTCACTCCCTCACCTCGCTCAATTGCTCAATCTCTCACTCGCTCAATCGCTGTGTCATGCCAAGGAGATCACAGCCAATGTTGTCGCAATAGAATATATGCTTCGCACAGGAAAAAAATATTCAGCACGGAACATACACATAATATGAAATAAGAAGCTTATTCAGTATCCTATAATTATATGAAACTATATCTTAATTAAAACATTTTCATTTCAGAAAATGGTACTTACTTAGGCCTAGATCTCGGTGGGTCAAACTTCCGCGTGGTGAAAGTTATATTCACAAACGGTGAAGCAACAACCACGACCAACTACTACACTTTGACCGATGAAGTCCGGAGTGGACCTTGTGATAGAGTAAGGCAATAGTTTATATGACGGCAACAAGGTTATATTCACAAATCGATTTGCATCAACTAGATTCAGTGCAGAAATATGAGTTATGTCCTCTTACATATCTGTTCAGTTTTGGAAGAGACTAAAGATGCCAGGCCCATATGCTATAAAGAAAATTGATGGTTGACTCCGAGAATGTGAATTTGAATCCAGGATCGGACTCAACCCATGTAACACATGTTGACCACTTTCTGAATGTCATTTGTGAGTTCATATAGATTTGCTGTTTCTTTTACCTACCCAAGCTGAGAACTGTACACTCTAGAGGTGTGGCCTTATTGCTTGTTTCTCTGTTGTTTAGGGCCACAATCAAGCAATAGTCCTGCTATTGATGGAAGTCTGTAAATAATCCAGCCCAGACAATCTAGTGATTGACATCATGAGCATCAATCAGTGTACACCATTACAATACAATGCATCCACTAAATCAGAGTACCCGTGAAGATCCGAGTTAGAATTGATCTTCAGTAACCCATGCTTGTCGTAAGAGGCAACTAACGGGATCGGGTGGTCATGCTCGCTGACTTGGTTGACACATGTCATCGTATCCCCATTGTGTAGATCGATGCTTATACTGTTGACCACTGGATAGTCTGGTCCAGACAATTTACAGACTGCCGCCATATAGCTGGTATATATTGCTGGGTGCGGCATAAAACTAAACTCACTCACTAAGTCAGAGTGTCTGATCCGTTTAGTTGTCTCACAAAAAGCACTGGCTGTTAATAATGTAGAGGTTCTTTATAGACTTAATGCCACTAGTTACTATCTTGTCACATGTATACCCCATCATGTTGATTTTTCTGTTGCAGATATTTGAATTTATCGCCATTAGTATAAAAGATTTCCTGGAGAAGGAAGGTTTGGCATCTTCAGCAAACAAAATCCTTCTAGGTAATAATGACAAGCATATCTAATCATTCTGTTCATTCCAGTCTATTTCCATTCTCTTCCCACAGAGGTTACTTGTCATATCTTCCTACGAACCTCTGTTTTAATACGGCCATATTTCCCAGTTCTCATAAAATCCCCTAGCGGCAAAAGATCGCAACACGAATTATCTCCCTTCTTTCTATCCAATCAGAACACGTGTTACATCGACTTAGATTCAACTTGACTAACACAAGCAAATGTGGGGCCACAAATATTCCCCCATCTGCCGGGGACTTGTGTTGATGTTACACACAAGACGTTTAATGGCTAGCTTGTCCGTTGCCAACGAGGGCGATGGAGACGCCACTGATCCGCCACTACATGACTGAGTTCTGTCTAGAAGAAACGTTTGCGCATGGCACAGGGGAAGAAGTTTAGTTTTCTCGAAGCATACGGAAATTACTGAGGCCTTGCGAATGATCACTTTTAAAACAACGTCGCTGATTGCACAACTAAATCTGATTGCCTCCAATCACGAGTCTTGAATGCTCACACCATGAAAGGGCAATATTAGAACTGAGGTTACGTAGGAAGATATGACAGGAGTAACCTCTGTGGGAAGAGAATGGTCTATTTCTTGTATTTGCGTATTATACACACAAAATTCATTTATGGTGTGTATGTTATCCCTTCACCTTGAGAATGTGTTTGTGTGTGTGACTGTGTCTCACTTTGTCTGACTCTGTCCCCAGGGTTCACCTTCTCCTTCCCAACGGAACAATATGCCCTGAACAGGAGCAAACTGCTGACCTGGACAAAGACCTTCAAGAACCCGGACGGTCCTGGTCGGGACCCAGTGCAGATGTTGGAGCAGGCCATACAGAAGGAGACGCCGGTGAGCTGGGTTTACCTTCCAGAGAGTTTACACGGGGATCTCCGTTAGCAGCATGTCCATAGGCATTGATCACATTGCTGACAAGAAACTGTGGCTGTTTGCTTGGAAATCTTAGAGAGGTCCCAGCGGGCACACAACGTTGAATCAACGTTGAATTTTGGTTGTTTGGTTGATCAACCTTTCATAAACGTTGATTCAACGTTTATCATGCGACCAAAGAAAGTTAGTCGAGATTCGTTTAGTTGTCAACGTTGTTTCAACGTAAGGAACCAACAAAATGTCAACTAATTGTTTCCTTGGCAAATTTGATACATAATTCATATTGGTAATAGGTATCCAACTTAGCAACTATCATTTCGGAACATTATTTTCATAAAAGATCAAGATCGAGCTAGTGACAGATATAATCTTATATATTATTTGATTGTGCATCGATCAACGGATCGAAATATTACGTGAAATCGCAGTTTTAGGTATAAAGTCATCAGTTATCCAAATTGCATTACATTTGATATTTTCCCACAAAACTGAAAAATGTATAATTCCGACAATTTGCTTTCAAACACAAGCCAGATGTTGACCTTTCGACGCCTTGTTTGGCCATATCCGGACATGCGCACAATTATCGCCAGCGTGCAAAGGCAGCTGATGGATCGTTGTCAGTTCACTTTGGCGGTTTCAACGCAATATCATTCTATTTTCACCATCTTCACGGCATGCTGGTGTTTATTTGGTAAGTATGTCCTTCATGTATAATGAACACGAGGAATGCCGTTTAAATCTAGCAGTAGCAAGAAACTCCTCGAATTAGGGCTCATGTTTTATCTCACAAGGTTACCGTATGTCACAGTACATGTTTCTCAAAATTTAGTGGAAGCCCGTGTTTTCCATGAACTTGTTTTGTTATTTTTCAATATATTTGCATGCATATATTTGGCATTTTATTATATAATCGAATAAGATTTCCTTTCGCACTCCATCACCTGATTTGAATTTTGCAAACATACATTTTCAAATAATCAATGAAGTACATCAATATAAGGAACCGTTCATAATTAAATATATGGCTGCAGGTGGGGGTGTTGATTGTAAGGGTTGGAGGGTGGGGTGGGGTGTCACCCATTTTGTTCAGGGGAGCTAAGGGGGTCAGCATTTTTGTACACACGCACTATGTTTAGAAATTATGGGAAGGGGAGAGGGCGTCATAGATAATGTACATGACATGCAGGGTGGGCCGTCTCTTATTCTGTACATACTCATACACTTTAGGGGGGGTAATTCACATCGTACATAAAAATCAACACCACCCCAAAGCCATACATTATGAACGGTCCCTAAGGGCAGCTATACAATATCGGATAGGATTAATCAACATTTTATATTGCATCCCATTATTATGAACATTTGTTCGTTTGAATAGATCTATAAGTAAATGATGCATTGAGCACGCCCTGAACCCTGTCAACATATGTATATTATTTGGGGAAGGGGGTGGTGGAGGATGGCGTAAGGAATTGCAACGAAAATTTTCACTTTAAAATGTCTTGTGAAAGTCTTTGTTAAGGATGAAATTGTATATAATTTATTTGAACTTTTATTCATTTACAAAAAGTGTAACTTCACTAATGATTCTTTGATGGGACAATTAACAAAACTGCACCCACAGACTTTCATTCTTACACTTGTTTGGAAGGGATATGATAATTCATGTCTCTTAAAGGTTAAAATCTTACATACAAAAGAAGTGATTTTAATGTAAGGAACATTTAATTATGAAATAAGATTATTTTAATGGAATTTGCAGAAATCTCATCTTCAAGACTGGGTGGCAGCAATTTTGTGGATCACATAAAAGGAGCAAGGCTAAGGTAACACGCTTTTTAACATTTCACTTGTTTCCAGTATATCCACCACAAAGTTTAAGAGAAAGATGATAATGCTCTTTCATTACCACCTGTTTTGAATATTTGTGATAATGTTTGGTCTTTTTGGTGATAATGGTTGGTCTCTATTTTCATTTATATATTAAGGTTGATCATTTAAGAGAAAAATTGACAATGATTTCTCCTAGATGTTTAGTTTAATGAGCACTCCTTGCTTGGCCATATTGTTTTTCGCCGTAAACAGCTGGATGCAAGATAGCACTGAGAGGACAGAAGTCATACATTTATAGATATATAGAGATGTTTATTGCTGGGAAACACACTCTTCAGGTATTTGGTCAGCTGTAGAATTTGAATGTGATGTTTTTTATTATTGTCAAAGGGTAGGTTTTTCAGTATTTGCAATCTAATATGTGTGCAGTGAAACATACTGAGATTTGGAAGAGTCCATTATTTAAAGTACAGGTGTTGTTAGATATCAGCATTTTATGTACATGTTCCCTTGTTAAGATCATCTATCGAGTATATTAGAGAGAAGGTGTATATTTGTAGTGTTTTAAATCAGAGTTATTTTCAGTGTATGACCTACATTTCAATATGTTTTGGCCACCTGTCACCCCTTTGGTCAAATGGAGTAGGACTTCCATTTCTTGGAATTGAGAGTCAGCGATGCACTGTTTCCAAGAATTTGCGTTAGCCAGCGATGTTTGTTTACTTAGTACATTTAAGTCTTTTGAGTGTAGATTGGAGTTGTAAGAGATGTTATTCAATGTCTTATTATTCATGGTATGATAGATTATTTCTGGCAATGTAGAGTTTAATCTCATTATTTTATTGTTCATGATTCAGAGAAGCAGTTATGACGTCGCAGATAATACGCACACATAATTCATTATATGAGAGATTTTCTAAGCATTCCTATAAGAGATTAAGTGTAAACATTTATGAATTATAAAAAAGTTATTTATCTGATTTTTATGAGTGTACAAATGACAAAGAGAGAGAGAGAAGATAATAGAGAATATATTGTATACTAATGAGAGCTCATTATTGTTTTCAGAACTCCATGATCCATACTTCCTTGTGTTTTGGAACAAATGGTGTTGGGAGACCTCCCACAATAGACTTGTTCTTTGACCTGTGAACCACCCCCATTTTGTTTTCTTATCATTTAATGTAAAATGGCTTTTGTTACAATTTATGACTCCTGGTAGCAAATTGCTACATCAGTTCAACTCCTATTAATTTGAAATAATCATTTCCGAGAATCTCTAAAGAAAACTAAATCTGACAGAATAACAACAATCTTCCATTGTTTTGCAGGACAATGTCAAACAATTTGATGTCAAGAATGAATGTTGATGGGCAAAATGGCAAGTTTTCTTTTAAGAATACAAGGTTGTATTCAATCATCTCTGGTAAGTTAATTACCAAGTGCAGCATTTTTATCATGACCATATCAAATAATATATGACAGTAAAGCATCGTCTAATTCATCCTACCGGTAATTCATAGTCTAATTAAATAATCAACTTGCAATTGAGGATTTTCTTTGAAAATGTTTAAGAAAACTTCCATTCCTTAGGTTGAAAATATAAATTGTTTACACTTTTCGTCATATTTTGTATTGATGCTGTTCATATGTTCACATGCCAAGTTACAGCAGTGAAATGAACCTTTCAAGTGATTGATTAAATACTTGAATCATTTAAGACAATATATCTTCCATGTAACTTATTCATGTATTTAAATATAAAATTTCAGAATGTGTCCTATCTCAAGGGAATGAGATGGGAATGCATCCGAAGCAAATTTCAAGAAAGAGTTAGGGAGTGGCAGAAAGAAGAGGAGCTGATAATTGTGTTTTTGGAGTTGTAATTGTGTTGAAAAATCTGAACTGTGGTATTGAAATTGGTGGCGTAAATGTCACTTTGATGCTATATGCAGATGATATTGTGTTGTTAGCACAACAGAGATCACCTGCAGACTATGTCATGTGTGATGTTTTACATTATGCATTAAACCACGTTTTCTGTGTGCGTGTGTGTTCATAAAGATTTCATGAAAAGTGACTTGTTTTATGTGCTGTCTTCAGGTATAGTTCCTGGTCATCTTGGATCCCTTTCATGGTGAAAGTAATTGCATTGTGTTTATTCAGGGGTCTGTCTAAGAGCTGAAATTCAGACAAAATGTCTTTGAGACAATTTTCACCTTTTCAAGGTAACAATACAACAGTAAATAGTTTTTCTTAAATTGGAATACTCTTTTCTTCTTACTGGAATTATTCGTCCAACTGACATAAAACTTAAATGAACATTATATTGAATGTTGAATTTTAACCTAGTATTTTATCAGGTAAATATTTTTACTGCAATTTTCTGTTTGAACACTGTTTATTGCAGGTAGCTTTTTGGGTATTTTAGCTGGATGCAGGAGTTTGGTGCTACTTTATTGTAGTTTAAAGATGAAATGCGAGTCTATATACAGGAAAGCGTAATACCTCCCAGACACAACCACGGAACAACCTATTTTCAACGTTAATAATATGTCAGACTTCAACATTGATTCCACGTCGGATATCTACGTAAAAAAAACTTTCATATACAACCTATTTTCAATCTATTTTCAACGTTGAGGATCAACCTTTTTTCAACGTTGATAATCGGTCAAACTTCAACGTTGATTCCACGTCGGATATCTACGTCAAAAAAACTTTCATATACAACCTATTTTCAATCTATTTTCAATGTTGAGGATCAACCTATTCTCAACGTTGAAACAACGTTGATGTGCCTGCTGGGGTTGTTGAATCAGTTTAGGAAGAAATTGACAACTAACTGTTAGAGTCATAATGACACCATGGTTCTGTGTTAGAGTCACAAGTGACACCATGGCTCTGTGTTAGAGTCATGAGTGACACCATGGCTCTGTGTTAGAGTCATGAGTGACACCACGGTTCTGTGTTAGAGTCATGAGTGACACCATGGTTCTGTGTTAGAGTCATGAGTGACACCATGGTTCTGTGTTAGAGTCATGAGTGACACCACGGTTCTGTGTTAGAGTCATGAGTGACACCACGGTTCTGTGTTAGAGTCATGAGTGACACCACAGTTCTGTGTTAGATTCACGAGTGACACCACAGTTCTGTGTTGCAGGATCTGCCTGTGGATGTTGTGGCAGTGATGAGTGACACCACCAGTACACTAATGGCAGGAAACTACCTTGATAAGAAGTGTCGTATAGGCCTTATACTGGGTGAGTAGAGGTGATAATTATCTACAGATTTAGAAAATGAAAGGCATATCTTAAAGCTTACATGCAATGCAAAACACAACTTTGCAGATTCTGATACCTTTCGGTATGGACTTACAGTAACAAATGATAAAAAATGCAAATTCAACTTGTAAAGTTGAAAAATAACGCAATGAAAAAAATCCGTTGAAATCAGAGTTCAAACGATTCACTAAAAAGACCCCAACTGGGATGAAAAGAGGTTTCAACAGCTGTGCTGCGCTGCGTACATAACGCATGCGCAGGGAATAGGTTCGCGCGGCTTGAGCCAGAATGCCTATACACACACAAAGAGAACTTAGCGTATCGGCAAATGAACCAGCTAATGAAAGTCTTCGTTACACTTAAGTGCACGCCCACCCACTCTGACTGGGTTCGGTATGCCAGGTGCTTCGTTTCGAGGGTAGTAAACCCAAGTACAAAATACAATGTATTGCACTTTTGATTTGCGATTGTATGCTTATGATTTTGTTTATTTGTATTTTCATAATCAACAATGTATATTATATGTCACAAATAAATCATAATTGTGTTTTAATTATGTTTATTTTGTTGGTTGCATCTAAGCTTTAACTCGAGAGTTGGCTGTTAGGTATCTGTGACTAGATATCCTGTCAGGTGTTTGGGTGGAGGTTTTGACAGGTGTCTGTCTGTGACTGGAGCTTCTGTTAGATGTTTTTGACCGGGACTCTGTCAGGCATCTGACTAGAACCCATCACATGTCTGTTACCAGATCATCTGTCCTTGTGTTACAGGTACTGGTTTTAATATAGCGTTTGTTACCAGATCATCTGTCCTTGTGTTACAGGTACTGGTTTTAATATAGCGTTTGTTACCAGTATCTGTCCTTGTGTTACAGGTACTGGTTTTAATATAGCGTTTGTTGAGCATGTGAAGAACATAGAGAAGTGGACTGGAGACGACAAGGAGCCAAAACATGTAAGTATGAGCCTCATGGATCAGCAAGGAGTCATCAAGCCAACTAGTCATTTTTAATCATTTTAATATCATGATTTTAAATCATTTTCTGCACATCCTAATTGATACTACTGATATTGAAAATGGGGAATTAAATTAGCTTGCTTTTTTGCCCTGTAAGTTTGTTTGGTTTGCTTGTTGTTTAATGCCACACTCAGCAATATTCCAGTTGTATGATGGCGGCCTGAAAATAATCGAGTCTGGACCAGACAATCCAGTGATCATCAATATGAGCATCAATCTACCCAGTTGGGATACGATGAAATGTGTCAACCACGTCAGCGAGCCTGACCACCCGATTCTGTTAGTCACCTCATACAACATGGGTTTCTGTAGACCAATTCTAACCCGGATCTTCACGGGTCTGTTGTTACTTGTTATAGGTCCTAGTGAATATAGAAAACGGCTCACTGGGGGATGGAGGCTCTTTGGACTTCTACCGGAGTGAGTTTGAAAAGGAAGTGGACAAGCACTCAAATCATCCCCACTCGTTTACGTAAGTTTGTTTATGATCAATTTAATTAGCATCAGGTCTGTTTTGAATTTCTTTTAAAACAGTAGTCAAATGTAACATATGCTATGCTGTAACATAAGTCAGATCTTCTCTGATCTGACATGTTTTTGCATGAAGATCTAAACACGCACGCACGCATGCACGCACGCACACACACACACACACACACTCTTTCTCTTGTAGACCCCTGACTGGACAAGAGCAACCCAACTACGTACACTCTTTATTACAAATAGCCATACTAATTCCAAACAAGACAGTCTCCATTGTAATGGTTAGAAAATGCCACATTTTAAGTAGGAACTTGACTTACCTCTAGTCTCTGAAATGAACATATTTTACAGAAAAAAACCAGTTTCTAACTTGTATTCATGAAATATAATAAAAGGGGTCCAGAGACTTTCTTCATTTTACTTCATAGGTAGTCCAAAGTTCTAGACTTTCATTGGCTGCATTGGCTGCATTGGGTATATCTGAGTCAGGGTCTGTATGACACTCTAACAGGGGACTGCAACAACTGAATATGTCCACTATTGGTTTGTTGTGATCTGCATGAATAGTTTTGATGATGTGTGTACATATTTTACACAGGATGAGAGTTATCTCCCTTGGTTTCAGGTTTGAGAAGTCGTTCTCAGGCCACTATCTCGGGGAGCTTGTGAGGCTGGTCCTTGTCAAGCTGATTGATCGGAAGTTGTTGTTAGGGGGTGCTACTTCACCACAGATCTTGGAGCGATGGGAGTTTACAACTACAGATGTTACGAAGATTGTTTGGTGAGTTCAACCTTGGTCATACCAGAGCAAACATTGTCTCATCCAAACTGCATCTGACAAATCATCTTCATACATTTATGTAAGTTCATTATTCAAATTGCACACAACTGCTGATTTGTTCTGCTCAGGGCATACATCTGAAGCATCAAGAGGTGTAAATTGTTTTATTATTAAGTGGACATGGCCAGTGTAATGGTCACTTCTTTGAATGGCATTTAGAAGGGATACGCGCATAAGGAAGAGCGTTTGACATCCATAAAATTCTCTTCCTTAAATGGCCCCTATGCAGACTTTGTCCCTGTCATTGGTAGGGGTGGGTATTGCAGAGAATTTTCATATTGCGATATATTGCGATGCGGAAGCATATATTGCGATATGTATTGCAATATATTGCAAGGATTATTTTTTTAACAAAAACTACTTATAATCGAGTTAATGCTTGATTATAAAGCAAAAACACAACAAAATCACTATGATTGATTAACCTTTTATAAAAACTTTTAATCATGACAAAATAAAAATTTAAGTAACATTTGGCACTAATGAAACAGGGAAAAGAACAATTAAAAAAACGGAAATATCCGAAGATTTCCCAGCGTTACGAACTTTTCGAATGCATGTCAAAATACCGGTTTTCGATCAGCGTATTGCAATGCGTATCGTTTTCATGTCTGAACCGGTAAATACCGATAAACCGGTTATATTGCGCAGCCTTAGTCATTGGCTTGAGTTCTAGATTCCACCTGATGAGGAGCCTTGATCTGACAATACCATGGCAGCCTCACTCCAGGCTCTCCTCCCACATAAAACAACTCACTCAAAACACAAAACAACACTGAACATAAACAGTGTTTAAAATAACTCACCCTTTTCATATGCTGTAACACATGCCATTCATGTGTCCTTATAATTTTCTGAAAATAAAGATATGACTTGCATCAAAATGAATGATCAGATTTTCAGCGTTTTATAAATTCCGTATTTCAGTCACTTTACACATTGGCTATAACATGTACACACAGTATGATAAGCAATGCTCAGGTGGAACTTTTATGTTACTAGTCAGACTACCAAGCCAGAAAGTGAGGTGTGTTATAAAAAAATCAACATCATTAGAAATGCAACAATATACGATGCCTACATTGATTCCTTTAGAATTAAAAGAAATAATTCATTTTTGTTTATCCATGTAATGATAAATGCGACTAAAGTGCTTGTGAGTGTGCAGGACCCTTATCATCCAGAAACCCACAAGAAAAAACAACAACAATGGCAACAGCATGACCTTTGAATTTTTAGAGATAAATGCCCCTTTATTCATCCCACACATGGTGAATCATTGAGGAAAATTGTTGTTGTTTAAGATTGAGAAAATTGTTCCAATCATTTGAAAGTTAAACATTTTGAAATCTCTGATTTACAGATGAGATGTGACAAAATTTTCTTGTTTACAGATATATAACTTTGTATTTATTTCGCCATGAAAATCTCTTGTTCCAGAAATTATGTTTCCATGGTAACTTTGATTTCAGTGATACGGAAGGTGACTGGAAGAACACCAGAGATTTTCTGAGCAGGATGGGTCTGAATGACAAGGCCACGGATGAGGATGTGGAAGTTATACGACAGGTGGCGCTCTTCATGTCCAAGAGAGGGGCGCACATCGTGGCATCAGGTAGGAGTCTAGTCTTACTTAGTTTGAGGCCAGCTTTCAGGTCAGACTTTGGGTAGAGTCTTCTCTGATGTATTGTGAAGCCAGCTTTCAGGTCAGACTTTGGTTAGAGTCTTCTCTGACGTATTGTGAAGCCAGCTTTCAGGTCAGACTTTGGTTAGAGTCTTCTCTGACGTATTGTGAGGCCAGCTTTCAGGTCAGACTTTGGTTAGAGTCTTCTCTGACGTATTGTGAGGCCAGCTTTCAGGTCAGACTTTGGTTAGAGTCTCCTCTGACGTATTGTGAGGCCAGCTTTCAGGTCAGACTTTGGTTAGAGTCTTTTCTGATGTATTGTGAGGCCAGCTTTCAGGTCAGACTTTGGTTAAAGTCTTCTCTGACGTATTGTGAGGCCAACTTTCAGGTCAGACTTTGGGTAGAGTCTTCTCTGACGTATTGTGAGGCCAGCTTTCAGGTCAGACTTTGGTTAGAGTCTTCTCTGACGTATTGTGAAGCCAGCTTTCAGGTCAGACTTTGGGTAGAGTCTTCTCTGACGTATTGTGAAGCCAGCTTTCAGGTCAGACTTTGGGTAGAGTCTTCTCTGACGTATTGTGAGGCCAGCTTTCAGGTTAGACTTTGGGTAGAGTCTTCTCTGACGTATTGTGAGGCCAGCTTTCAGGTCAGACTTTGGTTAAAGTCTTCTCTGACGTATTGTGAGGCCAGCTTTCAGGTCAGACTTAGGGTAGAGTCTTCTCTGACGTATTGTGAGGCCAGCTTTCAGGTCAGACTTAGGGTAGAGTCTTCTCTGACGTATTGTGAAGCCAGCTTTCAGGTCAGACTTAGGGTAGAGTCTTCTCTGACGTATTGTGAGGCCAGCTTTCAGGTCAGACTTTGGTTAGAGTCTTCTCTGACGTATTGTGAAGCCAGCTTTCAGGTCAGACTTTGGGTAGAGTCTTCTCTGACGTATTGTGAGGCCAGCTTTCAGGTCAGACTTTGGTTAAAGTCTTCTCTGACGTATTGTGAGGCCAGCTTTCAGGTCAGACTTTGGTTAGAGTCTTCTCTGACGTATTGTGAGGCCAGCTTTCAGGTCAGACTTTGGTTAGAGTCTTCTCTGACGTATTGTGAGGCCAGCTTTCAGGTCAGACTTTGGTTAGAGTCTTCTCTGATGTATTGTGAGGCCAGCTTTCAGGTCAGACTTTGGTTAGAGTCTCCTCTGACGTATTGTGAGGCCAGCTTTCAGGTCAGACTTTGGTTAAAGTCTTCTCTGACGTATTGTGAGGCCAACTTTCAGGTCAGACTTTGGTTAGAGTCTTCTCTGACGTATTGTGAGGCCAGCTTTCAGGTCAGACTTTGGTTAAAGTCTTCTCTGACGTATTTTGAGGCCAGCTTTCAGGTCAGACTTTGGTTAAAGTCTTCTCTGACGTATTGTGAGGCCAGCTTTCAGGTCAGACTTTGGTTAGAGTCTTCTCTGACGTATTGTGAGGCCAGCTTTCAGTTTACGACAACAATAATAGTCGTCACACCACTAATGAAGTTGTCTTTTTGTACCCAGGAGTTGTTCATAGTGATGTTCTTACTTTCCCCGATAAGAATATCTTATAGTTTCTAGGAGGCAAAGTTAATGATAGGAGATACTTGGAGATACAATCTATCAATTGAATCACACTTCTGGTTATGCTTTTGGATTATGTTGTCTCTAAACAATACCCTTGTGTGACTCACCAAAGTGAATCATGTCTTATACACCTACACTACTTTAGGTTTACCCACCAAAGGTTGGCAATGTACTTCCCTCGCTTTGTTTCGAAGAATATTTTTAATATCAAAATAAAATATCGCCACCATCAAAGGTAGACACCCATTTCCTCACAGGGTTGTGCTCTCAGATTTCCAAACTCATATTTAATAATTACTCACATAAAATATATATATTTCATTGAATATTTTAAGCGCCACTAGTGGCATATCAAATCGTTCTTCACCTCCATTACCCCTGCCAGCTTCCGGTTCAACAGAGTGAAGGAACACAAATAAACAGAAATTAATTTTCACTCTGTTGCGCAACCCTATTTGCGCTACAGTTTGCCTGTGCATGATATAACTGAAATATAACTCACTCACCCACCCACTCACTCACCCACCCTTCCACCCGCCCAATCTCACTCACTCACTCACTCACCTAAACAATACCATATGATGTTCTGTCTGCAGCTCTAGCCGTATGTGTCCGTCACGTGAATCTCCCAGAGGTGACGGTTGCCATCGACGGGTCCGTATATGAACATCACCCGACATTCCACCCTGACATGACAGATCTGCTGGCAAAACTGGCCCCGCAGAGCAAGGTAGGTAGATACCCTTGCAGATCACCAATGGCCTGGCACCATTTGTGTGGAAATCTGTTAGAATCAGCACAGGGGTAGTTTGGAAACTCTTTGGATACTTTTCAGTATACTCAGGGGGTGGCAGGTTAGCCTACTCACTCTGTATACTCACTCTGTATACTCACTCTGTATACTCACTCTGTATACTCACTCGGTATACTCACTCGGTATACTCACTCTGTATACTCACTCTGTATACTCACTCGGTATACTCACTCGGTATACTCACTCGGTATACTCACTCTGTATACTCACTCTGGCATACTCACTCTCGGCATACCACTCGGCACTACTCTTCACTACTGTATACTCACTCATACTCACTCGGCATACTACTCATACTCACTGTATACTCATACCACTCACTCACTCTTGTACTCACTCATACTCACTCGGCATACTCACTGCATACTCACTCTGTATACTCACTCTGCATACTCACTGTATACTCACTGTATACTCACAATATACTCACTGTATACTCACTCACTGTATACTCACTCAGTATACTCACTTCTGATACTCACTGGGTATACTCACTGCATAAACTCACTCTGTATACTCACTGCATACTCACTCGGCATACTCACTCTACTCACTTTCGGCATACTCACTATACTCACTCTGCATACTCACTGTATACTACATACTCACTGGTATACTCCAAGATACTCACTGGGTATACTCACTCTGCATACTCACTCACTCATACTCACTCTGTACTCTCACTGGCACACTCGGCATACTCACTCTGCATACTCACTTTCGGCATACTCATACTCACTGTATACTCACTCTGCATACTCACTTTCGGCATACTACTCACTGGCATACTCATACTCACTCGCATACTCACTCTGGCATACTCACTCTGGGCATACTCACTCTGGCATACTCACTCTGTACTCTCACCTGTATACTCACTCAATATACTCACTCAGCATACTCACTCTACTCAAGATACTCACTCTGTATACTCACTCTGCATACTCACTCGGCATACTCACTCGGCATACTCACTCGGTATACTCACTCTGTATACTACGTATACTCACTCCGTATACTCACTCGGTATACTCACTCAGTATACTCACTCACTCTGGTATACTCACTCCATATACTCACTCCATACTCATCATTACTCACTCTGTATACTCACTTGGTACACTCACTCGGTACACTCACTCTCAGTATACTCACTCACTCCTCTGTATACTCACTGGGTATACTACTGCACTCCACTTGTACTCACTCGATCACTCTCTTACTCACATACTCACTCGGTATACTCACTCATACACTCACTGGGTATACTCACTCAGTATACTCACTCTCCGGTACACTCACTCCGTATACTCACTCCGTATACTCACTCTGTATACTCACTCGGTACACTCACTCCGTATACTCACTCCTCACTCGGTATACTCACTATTCTCAGAAGTGTCTGGGTATATAGTAGTATTACAGTACTCACTCCGTATACTCCTCCGTATACTCACTCGGTATACTCACTCAGTATACTCACTGGTATACTCACTCTCACCGGCATACTCACTCTGTATACTCACTGGGTATATAGTAGTATTACAGTACTCACTCCATATACTCACTCGGTATACTCACTCGTCATACTCACTCAGTATACTCACTCTGTATACTCACTCTGCATACTCACTCGGTATACTCACTCGGTATACTCCGTATGCTCACTCTGTATACTCACTCTGTATACTCACTCTGTATACTCACTCACTCTGTATACTCACTCACTCGGTACACTCACTCAGTATACTCACTCGGTATACTCACTCCGTATACTCACTCTGTATACTCACTCCTCACTCGGCATACTCACTCGGTATACTCACTATTCTCAGAAGTGTCTGGGTATATAGTAGTATTACAGTACTCACTCCGTATACTCACTCTGTATACTCACTCGGCATACTCACTCGGCATACTCACTCTGTATACTCACTCGGTATACTCACTGTATACTCACTCAATATACTCACTCTGTATACTCACTCAATATACTCACTCAGCATACTCACTCTACTCAAGATACTCACTCTGTATACTCACTCTGTATACTCACTCTGCATACTCACTCTGCATACTCACTCTGCATACTCAGTCGGCATACTCACTCGGTATACTCCGTATACTCACTCCATATACTCACTCGGTATACTCACTCACGGTATACTCAATCACTCGGTACACTCAATCGGTATACTCACTGTATACTTTTCTGTATACTCACTCCTCACTGGTATATACTCACTCGGTTGCTCACTGGTATACTCACTTTCGGTATGCTCCACTCGGTATACTCACTCGGGTACACTAACTCTGTAGACTCACTCCATTATACTCACTTTCGGTATACTCACTCCTCACTCGGTATACTCACTCGGTATACTCACTCGGCATACTTACTCGGTATACTCACTCGGTATACTCACTCGGCATACTCACTCGGTATACTCACTCGGTATACTCACTCCTCACTCTGCATACTCAGTCGGCATACTTACTCGGTATACTCATTCGGTATACTCCGTGTACTCACTCCATATACTCACTCGGTATACTCACTCACTCGGTATACTCACTCACTCGGTACACTCACTCGGTATACTCACTCGGTATACTCACTCGGTACACTAGCTCGGTATACTCACTCGGTATACTCACTCGGTATACTCACTCCTCACTCGGTATACTCACTTTCGGCATACTTACCGGTATACTCACTTTCGGTGTACTCAATCGGCATACTCACTTTCGGTATACTCACTCTTTCGGTATACTCACTCATTTCGGTACACTCACTCGGTATACTCACCGGTCGGTATCACTCGGTACATACTTTCGGTATACTCACTCGGTATACTCACTTTCGGTATACTCACTCCTCACTCGGTATACTCACTCGGCATACTTACTCGGTATACTCACTCGGTGTACTCAATCGGCATACTCACTCGGTATACTCACTCGGTATACTCACTCCTCACTCTGCATACTCACTCGGCATACTTACTCGGTATACTCACTCGGTATACTCTGTATACTCACTCGGTATACTCACTATTCTCAGAAGTGTCTGGGTATATAGTAGTATTACCTGTACTGACAGCAACCATCAGTGTTGATGTACACATGGTATACTGCTCAACTTTAGAAAGGGATATTCTGATTGTGGGACCTGTGTGTGAGGCTGCTTGGAGGTTTTGTCATCTAAGTAGTATCTATCTCATGGCACTGGAGCATTTTGAGCTTCTTTTAAAATTAGTGAAGGGAAATACACAATACAAGTTACATAATGTTTTGTGGTATATATCAAGTAAAAAACAATTAAAATGAAAATATGAATATCAGCCACACCACCAGTTTTTAAAGATTTTGATAAAAATGTGCCAATTAATATATTATTTAGTTTGTTAATTTGAGTGATGTGACATATTGTTTTTTGCTCCCATCCTGTTTTCGCTGCTGTTGCTGCTGTACGTCATTACTGTATGACTTGTTTTCAGGTCAAACTTATCCTGGCCAAGGATGGAAGTGGACAAGGGGGAGCGTTTGTAGCCGTGTCAGCTCTCAGACAGCGGGACCTCAACCTCGTCAGTGCCTAAACAACTGTGCATACACAACAGATTCACTTAAACGGGGTATAAATCATGTAACTCTGGAAATACTTCAGTACTGCTGGTAAAAATTCTACCAGGATCCAAAGTTGCTGATCTGTTTATGCTTAACAGGAATGTTTCAAAGTTAGGTGATATTTTATTTCCTTTTTTTCCATTTATTTCATTTTGAAAGAATATTAAAATTTATAATCATGGCTCACTTTTTTTTATTGAAACTGATGTGTGAAAATGATTTTGAATATTTGATTTCATTCGTTATCAGTTTTGCTGCTCCATAGAGGTACGACTCACAATGAACCGCATGGATGTGTTTGTACTGTCCCTGTGCCTGGATTAATCCTACTTTTCATTGTGGCAGCTAACACCTTGTCTACAGGGCTAACTGTCCCCAGCTCTTAATTTCATGTTTGTCAGTCACATTGGTATGAATCAATCATATAACAGAGGCAGCAAGACTTATTTATGTGATGTACAGACACTTGTATTAAGAACAGAGTCTTCAGCTGAAGTCTTCTCTTTGTTTTGTGGACATCATGTATGTGGTCATCATGTATGTGGACATCATGTATGTGGTCATCATGTATGTGGTCATCATGTATGTGGTCATCATGTATGTGGTCATCATGTATGTGGACATGTATGTGGTCATCATGTATGTGGTCATCATGTATGTGGACATCATGTAGTGGGGTGATGGGTACAATGTGTGAAGCCCATTTCTGGTGTCCACTGCTGTGATATTGCTGTAATATTGCTAAAAGCGGTGTAAAACCCAACTCACTTACTGTATTAGAACTGAGTATTACCTGGTAACTATACGATATGGGCTGACATGGCTATTGGTTTCACAACACACCACAAGAAAATGTATATTCTCCTTCCTTAGAACTCCGACTGCTAAATGGCTCACAAGAACTTATGCAAATAAATTGTTCATTTTGTAATGACTGGGTTTGTTGTTTGTTGGTCAGGGGATCTGAGAAAGATGGACGTGTGTCTTGTCTGCAGTCATGTAAATCCACTGCAGGCGTCACTAAAAACACTCCATGTGATGTCACAGTAGGCTTACCTTGCCCTTCACAACTAGGAGCCCAGGGAACAGCAAACAATGAATTTCAAGGTGCCTTACAGGAACTCTAAGGGTTCAGTTAAGAAATGAAACAGTGTTGTGTACTGTACTGTCAGGTTAGTTAATCATCTTAATTACTGGACCTACCCTGGTATATATTTCTTGTTAAGAATTGGGTGCAATGAATGTTATTGCACACCCTGAGGGATGCAATAATATATACTTTTTGTATGCATCCATTCTACACATTAGTGTGTACTGGATGCATTATGTTTGTTGCTGAACGCTGCACTCAGCCATATGGCAGCAGTCTGAAAATAATCAAGGTTGGACCAGACAATCCAGTGATCAACAGCATGAGCATCGATCTATGCAATTGGGATACAATGACATGTGTCAACCAAGTCAGTGAGCCTGACCACCCGATCCCGTTAGTCACCTATTATGACAGATGTGGGCTGCTGAAGACCAATTGTTACCTGGGTCTTCACGGGTATGGATGAATCATGTAAACCCCAACCAGTGACAACAAGCGAGTGATGAGCAGTTGAAACGAGACTCAGCATTGAGCCAGACCTGAGTATCTGGTGGAAATCCCATTTCTGGTATCCCCCACAATGATGTTGCCAGAATATTGCTAAAAGCGGTGAAAAAACATATTCACTCTGGTGAGAAATCACCAACAAAATAGGCCCCTTTTTTTAAACAGTCTGATAGGATGACAAAAATGAATACCAAGTATGGACAGACATGGGTGTGTTTCCAGTCTGAGAAGCAGCCTGTAGTTGTAACCTGGATCGTGTTGGACTTTAATCAATTCTATCACTGAAAAGCAAAGACTGACTGACTGACTGAGTTTCGTTTTAAGCCGCTTTTAGCAATATTCCAGCAACATCACGGCGGGGGACACCAGAAATGGGATTCACACATTGTACCCATGTGGGGATTCGAACCCGGGTCTTCGGCGTGACGAACCAACGATTTTAACCACTAGGCTACCCCACCGCCCCGAGAACCAGATGAGGATATGGTAGTGAACATGCATGGCCTGGTGTACCTCTTGCTATCATCCACATCGGCAACTTGATCATATACAGGTTGTTGTCATATAGCTGACTCCTCATAAAGGAGACGTTTCCCTCAATCAGAAATCTTTAAAGTTGCATTGATACAAGCTTTAGCAGATTCCATCTTGGTCATATACACTCAAGGGAAATATTTTGTGGGTTGAGTCGAAGAGAGAGCATCAACAAACTGTCTGAGTTTCTACAGTGGTCTGGTACATAGAGAAGCTCTCAGTAATTAATCATCATCATTAAACCCTCCACAGCAATATAATACACAGCATACACGGCCTTGGTGAGGTGAGCTGAAATTGGGTTTAACGTCATGCTTGAGAATATTTCACTCATATGACGACGTGCATGCGTGTGTTTGTGTATGTCCGACTGCTTGTACTAGCCCAGACTTAAGCTGGTTTTATAGTGCTAGCCCACTGAGATACCATGCCGCAGTGAAGCATGAATACCCCACTCAGACACATTATACTGACTGCCGAGGGCCAGACAGGGACCAACAAGTACCATATTTTAACGTCTTTTGGTATGACGCGGTTGTGGATCGAACCCGTGACCTTCCGCTCTCCCGGGCGGATGCTGTAACCACTACACCACAGAGGCGGTCTCTCACAGCCTTGGCTTAACACTTAATTGTCCTAAAAATATCACTCTAAAATGCCATTTCATTGTTTTCTTATTTTTCATTTCATTTCAGAAGTGGTGAATAACCAACAAGAAAAATCCCACCAGCTGTACCTTACCTCACATATCACCACAAACACATCTTAGTTAGCATAAATAACAGTTTATTTTGTTTGTATACATGTTATAAACATCAGACAAATAAAAACCACAACCATGACCTTAATTTCATCTAAGGTCCTGCAAAACTTCAGTTTCATCTATATTTCCAGAACAAACCGACATGGCAGAATGGTGTATGATAACGGTAATACACGCCTGTGTAAATACATCTTTCATAATTTCAGTCCTGCCGTTATCATGCAGACCTGATGATAAATCCAGATACCAAATGCCTAGCTGTGAATCTACGTGGCAGTAACATTCCATGACCCAAGTTGAAACCTAAGACATGGTTGTCAGGGGGAACCAACCAACTTAGCAAAAATACTGTCAGGATTCCTCTCTGTCATCTTTTACAAATAAAATATGTATCAACTGTAGAAACTGCTTTAATGTTTGATTAGGAGCTTTGACCAAAAGAATACTGGTAATGAAAGTTCAACTGCATTGTAAACTTAGGGTGCTCTTATGCAAATATACCCGACACATTCAAGAATTTCAAGCACTTACAAAAGCTCTGCATGCATTGTCTTAAAGCATTTTTTCATTCATATATGAGAAACAGTTTTCAAATTTTCAAAAACAGCACACATTAATTCATAATTTCAGCCAAGTTAACCATGTAACTTTGTAAGTGTGTTTGGTTTAACCCCCGTCTAACAGTATTCCAGTATAAAGCTTAATGTAGAAGGATACCCAAATTGCTGCAGGTCTTAGACATTATGTAAGCAAGATAAGCTATACGAGTTTATATATCCCTCTAACATCTCTTATTCCATTCATATCTTTTTATGCACTTGTCATCTCCAACTCAAACAGCAAGAGAGTGGGTGGGTGAAATATATCTATATAACAAAACAGTTTTTCATTAATTGTGGAACTTATTTCATGCATTTTTAAAACACTTGAAAACAGGCTTTAAATTAGCTTATAATGCAGATTGAGTCTCTTTGCTTCTGAATTATTTTTTAAACAGCACAGAAAAATAAAACTAACCTGGGATCTTTTTCATGAGAGTGCAATGAGTTTTGTTTTATTTTCATATCACAGCATAAATTCCCGCAGACGCATGAAACACTGAGATAAGACATTTTTTAAATATTTCAAATAAAAATTCATTGTGTGCAGGAGATGTAGAAATACAGGGAAATATATGAACAGCATCAGACGATCACAGGCAGATCTCCAGCAGATACGCAGTAGCATACAAAACAAATAAAATAGAAAACTGGCAGGATACAAAATGAGCATTCAGAGATTGCTCAACAGCAACAAATGTGGTAGTCATAATTCTAACAACAAATATTTTGTTTCGACAATAATATGGCGTCCCAAAAGGAAGCAAAACAATAGAAACAGAAATGTGTACATTTGTGTGAAGCGGAAGTGTCTTAGATATGATGAGCAGACACTTGTACATCCACGTAAGGAGGAAGTGTTTCTGAACTGAGGGAGAAATCTTGCATTATGGTGATCAGAAGTATCCCGTCCTCATAATACTTTTTCTGTGGTGTTCACGGCAGTTCTGGAGTGTACTTACAGTGCAGCTGGTATAGCACCATCATTGCACCAGAACTGGCTCTTTATGAAACAATAACACACGAGGAAAACAGTTTGAATTCATTACTTTGTAAATAATTCACTAAATGTATGGGTTTTTCAAACGAGAGTACTCATGATAACTCAATATGTTTCAACAGAATTTCGATATACAAACATGATTTGCAAAAAGATCATTTCCCAAAAATATTCACGGGAGATAACAATAAAAACAAATTAAGCGTGAGATCAGCTACTGATATGAATTCTAAGCGATTATATATAGATCCCCTGAATATCTAGGGCTCCTGTCGATGTAAATTACAGAGATTGATAATTTTTAACTTGATATCAATGAATTATCAGAGAAATAACTTCAAAAGAAATTATGTCAATAAGAACCCACATATTTCATGTCACTGGTGACTGTTTCACATTAATGCGTTGATTACTAATCACTAACAGTGTTCTGAACACAAGCTTACATCAGCCCATGAAGTAACACATAACTTTGTAAAAACAAAACTTTATTTCGTCACAATTGTTCATGCAAGATATTTTATCAATGAAAAGTGTTTCTTATCAATATCGGTAATCATTAGTAATTCTTCCCATCGACAATATTTCTGTTTACAGATCTTTCTTTCAGACAGTGACTACTGGCTAAAATAACTCAGTTCCGTCTCTGCGGTGTGTCCTGCCTGATATGCAGCCAAGGAGGTTGGGCTGTTCGTGTGGGGGAGGGGGACGAATATCCTCAGATGATAGTGTTCATCACCAACGTCCACCTGGAAAGTACAATAGATGATAATGATGATGATAATGATGATATTTGTACAAGGGATATAATCATAAGGATGGAGCTGTTCCAACAAAACCTGTTAGAACTGATATTTGAAATTAAAGTTTGTACTTGTCAGTGTTCAGCCAGAGTTATGTCCCTTTTAAACATGTCAGCTCATTAAGAATGTTTGACAGTTTACTGAATACAATCCACCAAATATATCCAGGACAAACATATATAGAGGATATTATATGAGTGCCCATGTCATACTATGTTTACGACGAGTGCCTAAATGTTGGTATTTCCCGAGCGAGAGAGAGGGATATACCGATAATTTGGCATGAGTGTCATAAACATAGTATGATATGGGCACGAATATGATACCCTGTTTAATACCGAAGTCGTCAAATTGAGAAATATGTCCAAATCTACTTACAAACATAGGTTGACTACCTGCCGTCTCTGTACATGAGACATGAAACAATCGAAAGACCAGTGGACCTTGATCCACATAATTGGGATACCAAGCATCTCCAAGGACCAAATACTTGGGTAAATTGATACAGCTCATGCTTATTTACTCTCAGCTTGCAAGTCAGTGAATACTGTTTTCCACCACAATCAGCAATATTCCAAGTAGTGAACAGAAGGTTTTAACAGTGTAATATGTATTCTCTTTGCTCGATTTAGCAAGTCCGTTCGAACCTTAAAACATATTATATGAATGATTTTTCACACCCTAATCAGCAATATTCCAGGTAGTCAACAGAAGGTTTTAACAGTGTAATATGTATTCTCTTTGCTCGATTTTGCAAGTCCGTTCGAACCTTAAAACATATTATATGAATGATTTTTTATACTGCAATATTCCAGCTATATCACGAGAGCCTGTGGATCATCTAGCCTGGTCCTACCAAACCAGTGGTTGACATAAAGAGCAACATACGAACACATGCAATCAACGAGTTTGATATCTGATCCAAAAACTATTAACATAGTGCTGTGGACATGTTTAAATAAGGGTCTTTTATAAGGTTGGCAGTTACCATGGTTACCTTAATAAAGTAGTTGGTTCCTGCTACAACTTGTGAACGGTAACTTATGGCCCTGTACGTTGTAAACGTTCTACTTGCTTTAGATTCCAAGTCCGATTTAACCTGAAAACATATTACATGAACATGTTGAGGAATTGCCACGGATATTTAACTGATACATCTATATTGTATTCACCTGGCAGTGGTTGATATTGTGAGCACCTTTCACTGTCATTAGGTAACAATCATTGAGATAATCATTGTAAATACACACAGTGTTTGCCATGACACAGAAAACCTGCGGATTTGACGCAGAAATTATCTCAAATAGGCCGTGAATTTAGAAGCCTTCCAGCTTTTGTTTTGAGGCAATGGTATATTCGACACATCAGAGTTCGGCACATCAGATTTCGACACAACTTAGTTGAATAAATTGAACTAAGAGCACGGACAAATTAACTAGCGATTCTGACGCTGAAATTCGCAACAGAAAATCTATCAACATCATTAATCTTACTAATTATGATTTTTCATTGTGTTAATATTATTGCAACTTTCGTGATACCTGACAGGTCATTATACACGCATACTATACATCTGGCTGGGACAGATAGTATAACACAGGTCCGTCGATAAGGGTGTTGCCCTTCACACAGTCACCTGTAAGTGTTATGTAATAAGGATGTAATCAACAAATCTTAGTAATGTTCTTTAGGTTAAGTTTGAGTACATATTGTAATTTGCTGTTGTTTAAAACCACCTAGTTTAATGTTTGCCAGTTAACTGTTCAGTGCTGATTAAATACCTGACCTGTCTTACCTTGTTCTTTGTCATTACTAAACAATCACAGTTGATGTCTTGGTTAAAGTTCCAAACTGAAGTTAACTCCCAAAACATGACCATGACTCCCTGTCACAACACCAGGGAGTCATGATGACTCTTAAATTTTCATGTCTAAGGCAAACACTATATACACATAAGAAATCCTACATTTCATAAGTTGTGAACAGACTGTTGCAAGGGTAGGTGTGGGTGTTGTAACAGACAGAATACTGCTCAAACACTACTTCAGAGAATACAGTTTTTGCTGTTAAACGTTGACAACGTAGTACAACCTCTTTTCCCCACAACACCCTTTATCTCAAAACATTTAAACATTTCTAATAAAAACTTTTTATTTGGGGGGCTAGAATTCCTTACTAGTGTAGGCCTACAAGTCTCCTTGGCAATAATTATTGCTGTAAAACATAATTTCTTCATTTCATAAATATACACAGCAGTTGTCCCTATAAAAGACTGGCACCTTTGTAACTGTAAGCTTCCATGGACTTGCTTATTATAAGGTGAAAATTACTTATTGTCCATTCACGACAGCCTTGACCAAGGCTATTAACCTTTCCCTGCCCCCATTACTTTTTGTTTATGGACCCATCACTGAGTACAGCTTGACAAGTGCAATCCATCCCACCCCACCCACCTTTACCTTTTGTCAATGAACTTATCATTCAGCTTATCATTCAGAACATCCTTGATCAAGGCCAACACTCCCCTATTCCAGCCAGAAGATCGGATGTCAACTTGGATGATTACTTACCAACTTGAGTTACATGAGTGGTCTCAAAGATTACCCAGCATGCATTGCGGAGGTCTCATTGGGTCATATTACATGGGGACCATTAATGTATGTGTATAATGAACACTTACTAGTTTACAACAGACAGGCCAATTCCAATGATGTTCATAATGGATGTATCAAAAGATATAATTGATCCATCCAGAGCCCTAACCATGACTCTCTCTATCTCTATCTCTCTCACACACAAAAAAAAAGAAGGAAAAGAAAAAGGTTTCATTCAGACCTAAATTCCTATTGATTTTTGACCTATTGATTAAAGGTCACATGCAACCAAAAAATCAAACATAATTAGAACACAATTATCACTTATTCATGACACATAATATACATTGCTGGTTATGAAAACACATATAAACAACATTATAAGCGTATAATCGCAAATCAAGAAACGAAGCAGCCGGTATACCGAACCCAGTCACAGCGGGTGGGTGTGCACTCAAGTGTAACGGCTGGTTCATTTGCAGATGTCCTCACAGCTTACTGTGTGTGTATATATAGGATGTTGGGTTTTGTAAATACATGCTCATTTTTGAGTATTACATTTTGCAATCAACAGACATCATAACATGTCATGTGTACAAGTATCACACGTGCCTGTCTGTGTAATTACATAATGTGACAAAGACCGAACTTGGGCCATAAATCAATGCATTTTGTTTATGGTGCATAGCCTGATAGGTGTTAAGTTCAAATTGCATGTGGTCAGTGATCGAAGCTGTGTATTGACTATTGTCATTAGCAGACGGGCAGGCAGACACATAGATGTCAATAAAACAGACATTGAGTTTTGTCTTTGACAACGACATGTCTATATCACAGTTAGAAATTCTGTCAACGCTAAATAATGACATTGCTTTCAAGTATCGAACTGAGAAAGTGACTCGGTAAGAAGACCGTGTGGTGAAATAGACAAATGAAATTATATAAACAGTTAAATCGGAAATCTACTGTCATAACATATAAAAAGTTCACGCCTGTGAAATATCAACAAAACATTAGAAAAATAGCTCACACCAAACCCATCACCGAGTATTCACCGGACAACCCACTTCCAAGCTGCGCGAACCTATTTCACTGCGCATATGCTATGAGCGCAGCCCAGCTGTTGAAACCACTTCAATTCCCCAAACGCTGAGGGAAAATTAGTGAATCGTTTGAACTACGATTTCGCGCGGTTTTTTTCATTGCGTTATTTTTCAACTTTATAAGTTGAATTTGCATTTTTGATGATTTGTTTCGTAAGTCCATACCGAAAGGTATCAGAATCTGCAAAGTTGTGTTTTACGTTGCATGTGACCTTTACGGGTTTTAATTAATAAAAATAACATTTATTACTATCCTGGTGTATTGGATACATTGTGTATTTATGAGAGGCTGGCTGGAACTATCGGCAGTCTTACCGAGTACATGTAGTAGTAGTAGTAGTAGTAGTAGTAGTAGTAGTAGTGAGGTGAAATTGGGTTTAACGTCTACCTTGAGAATATTTCACTCATATGACGAAATAGTAGTAGTAGTAGTGAGGTGAAATTGGGTTTAACGTCTACCTTGAGAATATTTCGCTCATATGACGAAGTAGTAGTAGTAGTAGTAATAATAGTAGTATAGTATGAGTAGCAGACCACTGCTTAGTCTCTGAACTTTGGCAGAAATAATTCCATTTAAATCGAAAAGGAGACGTGTGGCTGGGAACATCTAAACTTGCCTCAGTTTGGGATTTACCACTGCAGGAAGGACTGGGCGGAAGGGAAATAATGTGGTTGAGGGAATGTGAGACAGACTATAATAGTAGCAGTGGTAGTTAAGCTCAGGAAATATTTTAACTATAGCACTTTGTGACTGCGCTGTTTCTAAAGTATATTGCTGAGTGTTGACGAGCACTGAGCAAAACTGCCTGAGGCTATCTGAGATAGATACAGTAGGTGGCCATAAGTGAAATTTCCATAGACTTACATGTTAATTAACTGTTGCAAGAATATTTTTCATAAATGAGTAGAAGACATACTCTGGAAATTTTATTTTGATATTTTGCAAACATCTTGGAAATCATCTTCAGCTACGTGTGCATAATGTTTTTTCATCTTTGCGTTTACTAGTTAGATCTATCGAATGGCACCTGATTAAGCACAAGTACAACTTAATTTTTATCTATCCCATAGACTGCCATGTTAACCTGATTGGTATCTATATGTCTAATATGTGTTGTTTAAATAGCTGCAGTTTTCTTAATAACAGAGACCATATAATAATATTACATGTATATGGTCTCTGTTAATAATCATCGGAAAATTGAATTGAAATTATGTATATGTAGCTGAGATGATTTCACAGCTGGTAGATAAGTATTGAAAGCAATTCGACCGAAACTAAATTAAGAAAACTATTCTTGCAAGAGTTCAAATTAACATGCAAGTCTATGGGAATTTCACTAATGATGACTCGTGTATGGCCAACTACAGTGAGATCTAGATTCTATTTCCACTCACCTCATCACAAAGTTTCTGCTGACTTTCTGTAGCAGTTTTTACTTCCGATGCACCGCCACAAACCGACATTTTCGTTTTATCTGAAGCAACAACGAACAGTACTCAACCTGGAATCAACAATTAACTTCTGCGTCTGCTGCGATTTCCGTAATCAGCGCGGGGTGCCTGTTTTGTTTGTTTCACGTGACCAAGACTCATTCACGTGACAAGTCACATGATGGAGGAAATGACGTAGAGCCACACACACCTCCGACAAATGCGACCAGAGTGTGTCGAATGAGATAAATCGTATGCGACGATATGTCATATTATTGACATTAAAGATCATTGCGCAGTACGTATGTTGAATTGATAATTCTTCACGTTGATGTGAGAAATCTGAAATTGAATGAGACACTGCCGTATGAGACAGTCGATAGTGCCACATGTCTTGGCAAAATGGCAGTACATGTATACCTATTAATAGGAATAGAGTAGAATGAATGGTTGCCTGTTACCATTAATTTGTTTCCAAATTGTTTTTCTTAACATAGTAGTTAAATATATTCATTATATCCATAATATTATAATAGTGATATTGTAATGATTTAACTAAAATCAAAGTTTACCTCAGAACAATCTTAATTCTACTACTATAACATAGACTGAAATAATGACTAAAGCCTTATATCAAACTTAGGAACAATTCATAATGTATGGCTAGGGGGTACAATGATGGTGTTTATGGAGAAGCATGTACAGTGTGAATGCCCCCCACTAAAATATATGTACAAAGAAAGTGAAGTCAGACACTTACCCCCTCCCAACCCCCATCATGCATCATCATGGCATGTACAAAATCAATGACCCCACCTCCTACCACCTTCCCTTAATTTTTACATATTTTCATATTTTCAAAAATATTTTAGGTACAGAATTGCTGAAATCCACCCCCACCCCTCTGTAGTTCATGTGTTCAAAATTATCATGACCCCTCCTAACACCCCAGAACAAAATAGGTGACCCCACCCAATTTGAAAATCATCATCACCCCCTAGCCATAAATTATGAACAGCCCCTTAAGCTGCCAGAGGTAACACTACTCATGATGGATGTTCATTGTCATATTTTGTCTTCCTCCATCCATTTTCCTCCATATCCATATATTCATTTATATTTTTAGTAGTAAATTCTAATAACAATACTGTGTGTTATGAAGAGTTGGATGTGTAGATAGTTTTAGATTAAATGTTCGTTTACAGTTTTTGCACACAAAATGGTCCAAGTGTCAGATCAGTGCTTCATTTTACAACATATATGCTCATTATGGAGTCACATTTATTATTTTCCTGCTGAATTACAATTTGTCAGAGGTAAATAATGATATGTGTGTGTTTAAATATTTTTCTGTTATTTTACTGCTTAAGATTAATATAACCACTATAACATTCCTTCAGAAACCCTCATTGTCCTATGTATCTGTTAGCAGGAGTTACACATGAATCTAGGGGCGGTGTGGTAGTCTCGTAGTTAATGTATTCACTCGCCACACTGAAGACCCGGGTTCGATTCCCCACATGGGTACAATGTGTGAAGCCCACTTATGGATTCCCCCGCCGTGATATTCCTGGAATATTGCTAAAAGCGACATAAAACTAAACTCACTCTGTCACTGCTCACCCTGAATCCCAAATATCCTCTCATTTTGTAGTCTGACTGTCCACTGCTAAATACAAAATACAACATAAACCAAATCTTAAAGAAAGAAAACAGTGTGATTTGCAGTAAAATTACTGAAACAAGGTTTATTCAAAGGAAAGTTTTACCCATGCCAATATCTTTTTTGAATGTTGAATCAGCACAGTATCAACAAAGTATAATTGTATTTGTACCCCTCCTACCACACGTCTCAGTTCCAAAAGCACCCATATCCTGCATTATAAATGGGGCTGCAGACTTCAAATAGTGTGTTGAAGTCTCATGGAGAAAGTGATCCTCAGTACATGATCCTCAGGTTATAAACATCTTTCTATTTCTAATTTGGGGAACAGAATCCAAAGTTGTTGATATCTATCAACTCTGTCAAATGCTTTCTATTTTCAATTTGGTTTCAATTTTCAAGGCACAATGACAAACCAATCAACTGAAATGGCTGACTTTGTCTTTATTAAATTATGGAATGATTGCAAAGTCATGAGAATTAAAATTTCATATGCTAAATATTAGCTATGTTTGTTTAGAGAATCATTAACCATATATTTTAATCAAATACGAAGCTTGTTACTTGAATTGAACTGACCTAAGATGAAGAATGAACACAAACTCATTAGATGAATATCTTCGTGTAGACACCGGGTGGATATGGCGCTCCGTGATGCCAGTAAGATCGAGGAACTGCTGGAGCTGTACGAGGAAGAAGACCTGCTGTGGAACACCACCCATGAACACTACTACCGCAAGGACAAGCGTAGACAAGCTCTCAACAGAATCAGTGCCATGCTGGGCATCAACGGTGAGCTGGGACAGAGTGAGTGAGTGAGTTGTGAGGATGAATTGTAAGAGTGAATGTTTGAGTGAGTTATGAAAGTGAATGTTTGAGTGAGTTGTGAGAGTGAATGGTTGGAGTGAGTTGTGAGTCTGAATGAGTGAGTTGTGAGAGTGAGTGAGTGAGTGAGTTGTGAGAGTGAATGTTTGAGTGAGTTGTGAGTGAGTTGTGAGAGTGAATGTTTGAGTGAGTTGTGAGAGTGAATGTTTGAATGAGTTGTGAGTGAGTTGTGAGAGTGAATGTTTGAGTGAGTTGTAAGAGTGAATGTTTGAGTGAGTTGTGAGAGTGAATGTTTGGTCTGAAGCAAGTTGAGTGAAGAGTGAATGAGCTGTGAAAGTGAATGTTTGAGTGAGTTGTGAGAGTGAATGTTTGAGTGAGTTGTGAGAGTGAATGTTTGAGTGAGAGTTGTGAGAGTGAATGTTGTGAGTTGAGTGAATGTTAGTTGTAAGAGTGAATGTTTGAGTGAGTTGAGTGAGTGAGTTGTGAGTGAGTTGTGAATGAGTTGTTTGAGTGAGTTGTGAGTCTGAGAGAATGTTTGAGTGAGTTGTGAGAGTGAATGTTTGAGTGAGTGTTGTGAGAGAATGTTTGAGTGAGTTGTGAGTGAATTGTAAGAGTGAATGTTTGAGTGAGTGTGAGTTGAGAGTGAATGTTTGAGTGAGTTGTGAGAGTGTAGAGAATAATTGAGTGAGTTGTGAGTTGTGAGTGAATGTTTGAGTGAGTTGTGAGAGTGAATGTTTGAGTTGTTTGAGAGTGAATGTTTGAGTGAGTTGTAAGAGTGAATGTTTGTGAGAGTTGAAGTGTGTTTGAGTGAGTTGTGAGAGTGAATGTTTGAGTGAGTTGTGAGTTGTAAGAGTGAATGTTTGAGAGTTGAGTTGTGAGTGAGTTGTGAGAGTGAATGTTTGAGTGAGTTGTGAGTGAGTGTAAGAGTGAATGTTTGAGAGTGAGTTGTGAGTTTGAGTTGTGAGAGTTGTAAGAGTGAATGTTTGAGTGAGTTGTGAGTTGTAAGAGTGAATGTTTGAGTGAGTTGTGAGTGAGCTGTAAGAGTGAATGTTTGAGAGTGAGTTTGTGAGAGTGAGTGAATGTTTGAGTGAGTTGTGAGTTGTAAGAGTGAATGTTTGAGTGAATTGTGAGTTGTAAGAGTGAATGTTTGAGTGAGTTGTGAGTGAGTTGTAAGAGTGAATGTTTGAGTGAGTTGTGAGTTGTAAGAGTGAATGTTTGAGTGAGTTGTGAGTTGAAAGAGTGAATGTTTGGTGAGTGAGTTGAGTGAGTTGTGAGTGAGTTGAAGTGGTGATTGTTTGAGAGTGAGCTTTGAGTGAGTGAAGTTGTTTGAATGAGTGAGTGAGGTTGTGAGTTGTAAGAGTGAATGTTTAGAGTGAGTTGTGAGTGAGTTGTAAGAGTGAATGTTTGTGTGAGTTGTGAGTGAGTTGTAAGAGTGAATGTTTGAGTGAGTTGTGAGTTGTAAAAGTGAATGTTTGAGTGAGTTGTGAATGAGTGAGTTGAGTTTTACACCTCATTTAGCAATATAAGTAATATCAGAAAAGGGTACTCCAGAAATGGGCGTAACATACTGTAACTACTTCTGGAATTTAATCTTGACCTTGGGCATGATGACTAAATGCGTTGACAAGTAGGCTATGTCACCGCCTCATTCAAGGTCAGAGCTACTGCAGATTGTCAGGAAAATGTTAGAGTGTTTGCATAATTAAGAACATATTTAATATTCTTGTGTTTCCACCAGTGTTTGTGCTCATATACATGACTGTCTATTATTTTACCTCCTATGAATTAGAAGTTCATGTGAGTCATTTGTTAGAGGAGAGGATTCTTCATGTTGAGGGAATCAGGGAGGGTCCGAAAATATTGTGACATTTCCAAGGAGGGTCTGAAAACATAATACTCATATTTAAGGAGGGTCTGAAAAAAATTAAAACTTACTAAACATAAGTGCAATTGCTCTTTTTTCATTTTGGGAGATAATATCTTGAAAATGGTTTACAGGGGTTATCCAAAAGTATGACAAGCATTTTAGTGGGGGTAATTATTTTCAGAACAACATGATCCAAAATCTTTGACACCCCCTAGGCCGGTGGGGCATCCCAGTGGTTAAATAGTTTGCTTGTCACGCCGAAGGCCCAGGTTCAATTCCCCATTTCTGGTGTCCCCTGTCAGGACAATGCTGGAATATTGCTTAAAGCGGTGTAGAACAAAGCTCAGCAATCTTACACCCTCTGATCTCCTGACTCCTGACCTGCCCTGTTGCAATGTGTTTGTCAATGCACCCATACATCAGACATAATCATTTGTATATCTGACGACTCCTTGGAAACCACAAAACATAGGTCATTGTAAAAATCTAAAGTTTTGCATGCATATAAGCAGCAAATGTTTCTCTACAAATGGTCATACAATTTGAAATACTGATATATGCTGCACTGGTACTTTTGTGTCTCTTGTTTTTACAAAAACTTGTCAAGACAGTTTTAGAGTAATGGTGTTTGTCTTTATATTAATATTTATAGTGTAACCCTCATGAAATAATTCTGCAAATACCCCAGGAGTAAGGAGATTCAAAGCTTTCTGCTCATGTTGCTATTAGGTTTCATGTTGTCACTTGTCAATAAATGTAGTGAAGCATGGTTTAACGAATGTAATTTTTATCAAAGGTTTGTTTGAAAACTATGGTTTTTTAAAACAGTGAATTTGGCAGTTTCTTGCTTGGTTTGATGTCCTATGATGTGACTTGCAGCTGTTGAAATCAACAAGAAGATCACAAATCTGAGAACATATTACAGCAAAGAGGTGAACAAGATGAAGAGGTCAAAGGCCAAGGGCTCAAAGGGAGATGACTTGTTTGTGTCCAAGTGGGAGCACTTCAAGACTATGGACAGATTTCTCTACCCTTTCATACAGGGAAGGAAACACATGGACCTGTCAGAGGAGGTCAGTTGATGTCATGTGGCCTGACTTGAAGTAGTATATACAATGGGGGTAAGAATAGGCAAAGGAAAAAATAACGAAAAAAATAAGAAGGAAAAGAAAAAACGAAGACGTACATTTGTGCATTTGAGTATATAAAGAGACACTTTTTGTCTTCCTTGTTCTCATCCCCCCAATAGTAGACCCAACGCCAAGACAGGTATACGGAAAACAAAATGGAGTCCAGTGCAGAAAAACTACAACAGTATGTCGATGGGGTTTGGACCTCTCCCCTGGATCATGTTGTTTCTACACCTCCTCCAAACAGGGGCTTCCCCTCAAGGAAAACCACCCAATTAGAGATATACAGGTACATAGGTATAGAACACAACAATGCCAGGAACCAAGCTATCGCGCGAAACCTATGACGAGATCTGATTGGGTCGTTTGTCCCTTCTGGAAGCGAAGAGGAAGTACAACATATCGCAAGCTAGATATATGCGAATCCGTGGCAGCTCCGAGAGATCTTCCGACATGGCAGAAGTCTTCGAGACCCTGCTAGAGAAGTGTCCCCACATCTTGCTTTCCAACAGAAGCAAATCCTGGAGCGATCGGGACACACCTTCTATGAGCGATACCAGATCCCTCGACAGTTTTTCAAGCTCTATTTGTTGTGCTGTCGCCAATTCGTAGAAGCAGGCAAAATAGTCGATTTTGTCTACATCTACCCACCCAACCAATTTCGACCTGCAGCAGGCAAACTCCGAATCGTTCTCGCCGACGACTACTGCCCGGAACCCAAGGACAGACACAACCGACTGCCTCGCCGCTATATCGGAACTCCCCACTCTCTTTGGACCAGACAACTCGACTTGCAAGTGTGGTGCCATAGACCACTGCGTCGGCACCAAGAAATGCGTTCTCTGGAAAAACAAAGTGATAGAGTATACACCCCAGGAACGACTCCCACTCAAGGTTCCCAAAGAAATCGCGATCGACGGCTGTTTCTCGAGTATAGAGAACCTGTACGACAACGATTGCCTCCTGTGGTGCCTGCGATACCAGCGCCTCCTCGACAAATTGGTGGACAATTGTCTATGCAAAAAAGATTCTTGTACCTTCCGGCAGCAGACTCACCACAGTGCAACAATATTTGGCATACCCCTTTGCCCAACTACGGCGGGCCCAAGGATATGGAAGTGGCAGCCCCTCTGTGCAAAGAACACCGAAAAGCTGCAGATGTTCCGGAAGGAATCTACGCATGCAAAAAGTTTGCTATTGCGAAATATGAAAGGAAGAACCGACTGTTGCTGCTACTCGGTTCCCCGACTGGACAACGACGCCAATTCCCCTCTCGAAGAACTCCAGGAGGAAATAGAAAGCATCGAGGAGGAACAAGAAGAGATCCGTCTGGATATCGAGAAGGTGCGGCAGATGGGAGAACTGATGCAAAAGTGGACCTACCTTTCGATAGCCACCTTGTTTATCTGGAAGGTCGTCGACAAGACCTGGAAGCACAGCACACCAGCCCACATACTGGTCGACAGACAGGCCGACGAAACCAGTTTCCACAGTCCACCCCGGGGACCCCCACTATATGGAGTAGAAAAAAAATATCTATTGTACATCTGTTTCGAAGAGCATCGTGTGTGTGTGTGTGTTTTTTGTTGTTGTTGTTTTTTCGATAAAAGCTATTCCCGCTCAGTCACTTGGAGCAGCAACTCGACTTCTCGATCGTCTTTCCTTTTCGAAATTGGTGAGTGGCAGATTTGCCTAGCCTGCACAGAAATGGTTCACCCACCAACTGGAGGCGTTCTATTCTGCCGGCGTCACGGAACCATTTCTCGTATCTTGTAGCCGTACACCGGAAGAGTTTCTCCAGTCGGTGAATCGAGTAGCAGCAACAGTCGGTTCTTCCCTTCGTATTTCGCTATGGCAAACTTTTTGCATGTGTAGATTCCTTCCAGCTTTTCGGTGTTCTTTGCATGGAGGGGCTGCCACTTCCATATCCTTGGGCCCGCCGTAGTTGGACAAAGGGGTATGCCAAATATTGTTGCACCGTGGTGGGTCTGCCTTCCCTGCTAGCTGCCGGAAGGTACAAGAATCTTTCTTGCATGGAGAATTGTCCACCAATTTGTTGAGGAGGCATTGGTATCTCAGGCACCACAGGAGGCAGTCATTGTTGTACAGGTTCTCTATATTCGAGAAACAAGCCATCGATCGCGATTTCTTTGGGAACCTTGAGTGGGAGTCGTTCCTGGGGTGTATACTCTATCACTTTGTTTTTCGAGAGAACACATTTCTTGGTGCCGACGCAAAGGGCCTATGGCGCCACACTTGCAAGTCGAGTTGTCTGGATTTGCTTCTGTCAGAAAGCAAGATGTGGGGACACTTCTCTAGCAGGGTCTCGAAGACTTCTGCCATGTCGGAAGTTCTCTCGGGAGCTGCCACGGATTCGCATATATCTAGCTTGCGATATGTGGTACTTCCTCTTCGCTTCCAGAAGGGACAAACGACCCAATCGGACCTGTCATAGGTTTCGCGCGATAGCTTGGTTCCTGGCATTGTTGTGTTCTATACCTATGTACCTGTATATCTCTAACTGGAGTGCACCTTCGCTGGTGGTTTTCCTTTTGGGGAAGCCCCTGTTTGGAGGAGGTGTAGAAACAACACGATCTAGGGGAGTGGTCAAAACCCCATCGACATACTGTTGTTGTTTTTCTGTGCTGGACTGCATTTTGTTTTCCATATACCTGTCTTGGCGTTGGGTCGACTACTAGGGGGAGGAGAACAAGGAAGACAAAAAGTGTCTCTATATATACTCAAATGCACGAATGTACGTCTTCTTTTTTTCTTTTCCTTCTTATTTTATCATTATGTTTTCCTTTGTTGTGTATTCTTACCCCCATTGTATAGACTACTCTCGATGTCAGGTACAGTAGGCAAGGTGATGTCTTGTAGAGTGACCCGTGAACATCCGAGTTAGAATTGGTCTTCAGTAACCCATACATGTCGTAAGAGGCGACTAACGGGATCAGGTGGTCAGACTTGGTGACTTGGTTGACACGTCATCGTTTTCCAAATCAGTAAGTCGATGCTCATGCTGTTGATCACTGGATTGTGTGGTCTAGACTCGATTATTTCCAGACCGCTGAAATATAGCTGGAATATTGCTGAGTGCTGTATCAAACTAAGTGAGTTGATGTCATGTAGAGTGAGTTGATGTCATGTACAGTAGGTGAGTTGATGTCACGTACAGTGAGTTGATGTCATGTACAGAAGGCAAGGTGATGTCTTGTTAGAATCCGAGTTAGAATTGGTCTTCAGTAACCCATACATGTCGTGAAGAGGCTATGTCATGAGGATAGTGGTCAGACTTGGTGACTTGATTGATGTACAGTGAGTTGAAATCAGTACTGTCATGTACAGTTGATCACTGGATTGTGGTGGTCTGATGTCATGTAGACCGCTGAAATTGATGTCATGTATATTGCTGAGTGCTGATGTCAAACTAAGTTAGTTGATGTCATGTACAGTGAGTTGATGTCATGTACAGTAGGTGAGTTGATGTCATGTACAGTGAGTTGATGTCATGTACAGTAGGTGAGTTGATGTCATGTAGCAGTGAGTTGATGTCATGTACAGTAGGTGAGTTGATGTCATGTACAGTGAGTTGATGTCATGTACAGTAGGTGAGTTGATGTCATGTAGAGTGAGTTGATGTCATGTACAGTAGGTGAGTTGATGTCATGTACAGTGAGTTGATGTCATGTACAGTAGGTGAGTTGATGTCATGTAGTGTGAGTTGATGTCATGTACAGTGAGTTGATGTCATGTACAGTAGGTGAGTTGATGTCATGTACAGTGAGTTGATGTCATGTACAGTAGGTGAGTTGATGTCATGTACAGTAGGTGAGTTGATGTCATGTAGAGTGAGTTGATGTCATGTAGGTGAGTTGATGTCATGTACAGTAGGTGAGTTGATGTCATGTACAGTAGGTGAGTTGATGTCATGTACAGTAGGTGAGTTGATGTCATGTACAGTGAGTTGATGTCATGTACAGTAGGTGAGTTGATGTCATGTACAGTAGGTGAGTTGATGTCATGTACAGTAGGTGAGTTGATGTCATGTACAGTAGGTGAGTTGATGTCATGTAGAGTGAGTTGATGTCATGTACAGTAGGTGAGTTGATGTCATGTAGAGGTGAGTTGATGTCATGTAGAGTGAGTTGATGTCATGTACAGTGAGTTGATGTCATGTAGAGTGAGTTGATGTCATGTAGAGTGAGTTGATGTCATGTACAGTAGGTGAGTTGATGTCATGTACAGTGAGTTGATGTCATGTAGAGTGAGTTGATGTCATGTACAGTAGGTGAGTTGATGTCATGTACAGTGAGTTGATGTCATGTACAGTAGGTGAGTTGATGTCATGTAGAGTGAGTTGATGTCATGTACAGTAGGTGAGTTGATGTCATGTAGAGTGAGTTGATGTCATGTACAGTGAGTTGATGTCATGTACAGTAGGTGAGTTGATGTCATGTAGAGTGAGTTGATGTCATGTAAAGTGAGTTGATGTCATGTAGAGTGAGTTGATGTCATGTACAGTGAGTTGATGTCATGTACAGTAGGTGAGTTGATGTCATGTAGAGTGAGTTGATGTCATGTACAGTAGGTGAGTTGATGTCATGTACAGTAGGTGAGTTGATGTCATGTACAGTGAGTTGATGTCATGTACAGTAGGTGAGTTGATGTCATGTACAGTGAGTTGTCATGTCATGTACAGTAGGTGAGTTGATGTCATGTAGAGTGAGTTGATGTCATGTACAGTAGGTGAGTTGATGTCATGTACAGTGAGTGAGTGATGTCATGTAAGCAGGTGAGTTAATATCATGTATGTAGTGAGTGAGTGAGTTTAACTTTACGCATCTTTTAGCAATATTCCAGCAATATCATGGCATGGGACACCAGAATGGGCTTCACACATTGTACCCATATGGGGAATCGGACCTGGGTTTTCGGTGTGACGAGCGAATGCTGTAACCACAAGGCAACCCACCCCCCTCATGTATGTAAGGGTGACATCTTTGTCTTCAGCAACCCATGCTTGTTGTAAGAGGTGACTGACTGGATTGGGTGGTCAGGCTTACTGACTTGGTTGACACATGTTATGGTATCCCACAGGGATCGATACTCGTTTCGTTGATCACTGGATTGTCTGGTCCAGACTCTGTTTACAGACCGCCGCCATATACTAGTAGCTGGTACATTTCTGAGAGCGGCGTTAAACAACAGACAAAACCAAAAGATATCTGAATGATGATGACTGGTGATTTGCTGGTACCCCTTCAACAAAGGACATTTGATTTTCCAGGATGATTCCGGTGATTTAGATGACGAGACAGCAACCAATGGGTACCAGTCTCTGAAACTGGAGAGCCCGGATGTTCCACAGCAGGATGACACTACGAGCAGCTCCAGGAATCTGAGGAAGAGGCGCTGTCTGGATGAAGGGACAGACGAATCATCTAGAACTCATGCATGCACCAGAGACAGATCCCACCAGACGTCTCAAAAACATTCTGACTATCAATCTCCGTCAGACACGTTTGTCGACTCTACCTACTGTAACGAATCTCCTTCACAGACCATGGCTTCAGCAAGTTCAGAAGATCGTGAAGATGTATTTGGCAGACATGTTTCACATGAACTTAGATTGATAACTGATCTGAAGACACGACAGTTGGTGAAGTTAAAAATACAGAATATATTATTCGAGGGTCAGTTCGGTTCACAGTCTGCCATAGGGTCCAGCACAGATGCTATAGACAACTCGTTCCAGGTGCTGCACCCTGTTGACGAGCACCAGAGACAGATAAGGGGAGATAACTTTCATGCACAAAATTTTGATGACCAAAATGCTGCCAATGAATGAAGTGACTCAGATGGGTAGTGAGAATATTTGACAATATATACAACTAACTGTATGCACACCGACCCCACAGTAGTGTAGAAAAATAGAAATAAAATACATTTTTCCATACTTTTCCCATTGGGAATCAAAGTTGTCATAATGTACATATATATTGTATACAACGTATTTAATTCCATTGGTAATAGTATATCTTAGCCTTTCCTAAATATAAGGTGTTTACAGAGTCTATACGAGGGCATGGGGGGCTCATTTGCTTAGGTGTGGCAATCGAACGCTGCAGGAATCTGCGATCTCGGGTTCCAATCCTTTACTATGATTCCTGGTATTTTCTGCGCCACACCCGCACTCGTGACTTTCACCAAAGTGTTAAATGTTTGAGACCCCATTCCGGGTTTTCTTCCAACATCAGGTTGTACTATAATGTTCCAATAGGCATTAAATCCAACTTATGTTCAATATCTTCCCTAATTTTCAAGATTTTCACATTTACATTTTCTTCTAGTACTTTGCTAAAAGACAAGAGAGCGGGGGGAGATATCTGAGTTGAAATCGTACTGCGTCACCTTACCCCGAGTATGCATGCCCCGTGTACATCAGGCAGATCTGAGACAGTTTAAATCTTGTTTATGTCTGCTCTGGCATTTCAAAACCTGTTTATCTTGTTTGAAAATATACGCAGGTATAGAATGGGTCGTCTGTTACATTCTATATTTAGTTAAAAGTTTGGCATCTGCAAGGCAACCGTTACGCTTTGCTCGCTGCATGTCAAATTCAACCATGCATATCCACTCTCGGGATGAGTGATATTTTCTCCCAAAAGGGCAATATGACCGGCTTAAAACAGCCATCGAGGGCTCCCTAGTGTGTGTATGTGCGTGTGTATGTGCGTGCGTGAGTGTCTACATCAAATGTCTTTCCTTATTTTGCATTTACAAATAAACACTCAAAAACTGGAATTTGGTATATGCTTAGCTAATCTTTCAATTAAAGGACGCTGTGTACGGCTATATCTCGACGTATATGCTTCTTGTTCCTTGAATTTTAAAAACAAAATCAATTAAACCCTTTCTCTTTATTCATCAGTCTCTGTTATGAGAATTGATTCCGGCTATGTCATGAGCATGTGTTTTTAAATCATTATCAAATACTGATAATACCAGCTGCTTGAGAAAGGGTAAACGTATCCTGCCCCATCGCTGGCATCATTATAAACACACACAAAGTCAAATCAATTGTTCTGAAAAACCACAGATACATCTTGAGTATGTCAAATTAGGGATTTGTTTTTGTCATCATTTTTGTCAATGATCTGTCAAATCGGGGCATGTCCTCCACGAACCTATCAAACCTTTTAAAAGCATTTTATAAAGCAAGCTATACAGAGGGGTACTTTTGAATGTTCTACTCTTGAACAAAGAGCTTTCAAGCATGAGTACTCCCTTGGAAATGTGAGCAAATTACAGCTCAAACGTTTTAAAATGTGGACACTATGAACTTGACATGCTGGGACATTGCTCGACATGAAGGAATAGTTGACTTTTTGAAACTCGAAGTCGTCATAAACTGAAAACCATTAAAAACCCAATTTGTATTTGTTGTCCTGGAACGTACAAAAGTTCTATTTAAGATGTTTTTTCCTGCGATAGGGAGGATGTAGGGATAAAAAGGCTGTTATACTGGCCCATTTCTAGTTCGAGTCCCCGAGCATTCCTCTCACATGAACTTTGATGCTTAAAACTGAACCTTTGACACAACCACAACCACAACCACATTCATTAAACACGTTGTGCACGTGCATTACCTGCACCCAGGCCCATTTTAAAAGCGCAAGGAATTGTGAAACTCAATCACTTTGAGAAAATGCCACGCTTGACACAAGACGAAAGGAATCAGGCCATTGCATGGTCAGCCAAGGTGCTTCAGATGTGATGATTGCCAGGCACTTTAATGTGCATCCATCCACTGTTGGTCGACTCAGGCAACTTTTTCGGGCCACCGGAAGTGTTGTTGTTCGTCTGCGACCTGGTGCATCACCTGTGTGACGTCAGCTCGACAGAACCGCAATATCCGAGTTTCACACTTGAGAAATAGGTTCCAAACAGCTGCTGATACGGCAAGGAGGACAAATGGGACAAGACAACGTCTTGTCGGCGCTCAAACAGTGCGAAGACACCTTGCTGATTTCAACATCCGGTGTCGTCGCCCGTACCGTGGTCCAACCTTATTCCATTGCCACAGACTTGCCAGACAGCGATGGGCAGCTAATGGGGCCAATCTTGGCAACAGGCCATGGCGAGATGTCATTTTTGCAGATGAATCCAGGTTTAACGTATCCTTTGCAGAAGGACGTCAACGGATTTATCGACGTCGAGAAGAAAGACTTGAGCCAAATTGTGTCCTTGAACATGATCGTTTTGGAGGAGGTGGTGTCATGATCTGGTGTGCTATCAGTGCCAACTTCCGATCCCAGATGGTAGTGGTTAACGGCAATCTGAATGCTCAACGTTATGTGGACAATATCCTTCGTCCGGCTGTACTCACAATGATGGATCAACATGGCGGTCGTAACCATTTTGTGTTTGCAGCATGATCATGCACGCCCCCATGCAGCCAGGGCAACAAGGGATTTTTTTGCACAATGAGAATGTTCGTGTGATGGACTGGAATTCATTGTCCCCAGGCATGAACCCAATCGAGCATCTGTGGGATGAACTTGGACGGCGCGTTCGAAATCAACTTGTGCCACCAAGGACAGTTGCTGAATTGACACAGGCCCTTCAACATCACTGGCAGACCATCCCACGGCTGTTCCTGAGAAATTTGTGTCTTTTAATGCCCCGGAGACACCGAGCATGTCTTGCTGCGCACGGTGGACACACACGATATTGACTGCAAGTGACCCCTCCTTTGTGTGATGTCGTTGTTGCGTCACTGATGTTGTTGTTGATTGGACATTTTCAGATGAATTATCCACAGATGTTCACTTAAACCAGATCTGCCAGTTACATGTATATATGTTCACATTTGTGTGAGTAAAGAAAGTATGAATATCAAATTGCGTTTTAATGGCTTTCAGTATACATGGATAATAGGCATGCAATGAAAACGAGGGACTATACTCAGAACGAAGATTTGTTTTTCAGTCAGTTCCCATCCCACCCTCTCGGATAAGGCCAGCATGTTTCTAATGACAAAAGAGAACATTTGAACGCTTTGAGAGGAAACATGTAGTTTACATATTAACAAGTAGCACTTTTGTTACATATTTTGACGATTGTTTGAAACACAATAGGTAATTAATAGATTCTTAAAAATACAAAACGCGTATGCGTTTTTTGGGGGGATAGTATATATTTGAAAAGACGTGACTGTCAGATCAAAATCGATCGTATTTGAATTATTAGGACGAAACGTTTTGAAATCTAAAGTTATTCAGAACCAATTTGTTTTTCAGTCAGTTCCCTTCCCACCCTCTGGGATAAGGCCGGCAATTTTCTGTTGACAAGGGAGAACATTTGAACTGTTTGAAAAGAAACATGTAGCTTACATATTAACAAGTAGCATTTTTGTTGCTGTTGGAGTACTGCCGGTTCCACAGCGTTTCCCCTCTAAGGTACTATGCCGACACAATATACCGACTCCGAGCCGACCAGTCCGTGTTTCAACCCCTCGAGCACAAGGAAGGACTGACTGACTGACTGAGTTTGGTTTTACGCCGTTTTTAGCAATATTCCAGCAACATCACGGCGGGGGACAACAGACATGGGCTTCACACATTGTACCCATTTGGGGATTCGAACCCGGGTCTTTGGCGTGACGAGCCAACGCTTTGACCACTAGGCTACTCCACCGCCCCATTTAGAAAATGAAAGGTCAAAGCATATCTTAAAGCTTACATGCAATGCAAAACACAACTTTGCAGATTCTGATACCTTTCAGTATGGACTTACAGTAACAAATGATCAAAAATGCAAATTCAACTATTTTGTTGGTTGCATCTAAGCATTAAATCGAGAGTTGGCTGTTAGCTGTCCACCGCCCCAGCACAAGGAAGGGTAACAACAAGTGTCATCTGTTAAAGTCTTTTGGTGAGAAGCAGCCAGGGTTCGAACTCTCGTCCTTCCGTTCTCCGCCCAAACGCACTGCCCACTAGACTATGGTGGCGACCTCATAGATAGAAAGTATGGCTAGAATTAGATACGTGGGTCTTGCAGTAAGGGAATCTACTTGACCAATAAACATTACGTTACCATATTCTACGGCCCTTTTAGTGTGGCTTAATGATAATTCAATGTCAAGTATAGACCTTACGTTCGACTTAACCTTGAGATCACTGGGTTGGTAGGGGCTCAGATAAAGAATTAGATGGATATTGCACCTCCATACCAAGGTTCCATCACAGGTTTCCCAACTGGTTTTGTTATCACCACGGTAAGATATTATTTTGGCATTATTATCATAGAGATATTGTAATGATCTAAGTAAAATCAACGTTTAAATCACAAAATGATTTCCACCATAACATAGATTGAAATGTGACAATGTAATTCTAATGTAAAAGTAAAGCTGCTAGTGGTAAACTACTCATGTAGATATTCATTGTCAAAATTTGTCCTCCTCCATACCTTTATTTATATGAGCTATATTCATATTTTTATTAGTTCTAATCGGTCTTCATTTAAATACTGTGTATTTTGAGGAGTTACATGTATGGATCGTATAGTTAGTTTTGTTTGGGTGGACATACATGTTTACAGTTTTTGCACACGTGAAGGTCCGGGTTAGAATGAGCCTTCAGTAACCCATGCTTGTCGTAAGAGGCGACTAACGGGATCGGGTGGTCAGGCTCGCTGACTTGGTTGACACATGTCCTCGGTTCCCAATTGTGCAGATCGATGCTCATGCTGTTGATCACTGTATTGTCTGGTCCAGACTCGCTTATTTACAGACCGCCGCCATACAGCTGGAATATTGCTGAGTGCGGCGTAAAACTAAACTCACTCACTCACTCAGTTTTTGCACAGAAGGTCCAAGTGTCAGATTATTGCATTATTTTACAACACATGTGCTCATTATGTAGTGACATTTGATTATTTCTCCACTGAATTATTATTTGTGTGAGCTACACAACGCCCTGTGCGTGTAATTGCTATAATAAAATATACCGCTGAAGATTTAATGAAAATATTCAAATTTAAAAATACATCTTCTTCAAAACTGCTGAACATCATATTCACATTCCTCTTCTACATGTCTTAAATATTCACATTCCTCCTATACATGTCTTAAAATAAGCATTTTTATATAAATTCAAAATATCCAAAACACAGCATAGGCTCTTCTGAAAGCTTCAGGGCAAAATTATGTGCTCATATGCGTCCTACTCTTTGATGAAATTCATTGTTTATCGGTGTTTTTTGGACAATGACTTAAGCTCACACAAGGTCTGAATGTGGCTGGTCTTAACTCAATCTTCTGAAATGTCACATTACATATATCTCATATTCAACACGCTCTGGTTGCGCTTGGAAGTGTAGATAAATGTCACGACGTCATTTCCTTCACCGAGTGACGTGTCATGTGAATAAGTCTGGTTCACGAGAAGCAAACAAAACAGGCGCCCCACGCTGATGACGGAAATTGCACGAGACGTGATGATGTTTATTCTCGGTTGTGTTTTGTTAGTTCTTGTGAGGAGCTCTGCCTCACAAGGGCCGATTGTTGGTGGTTTAAACGAAGTGAGACCCGCTACAGCGAATCAGCAGCAGCTATGTGATCAGGTGAGTGGAAGTCTCTGTCGCAGTGCAGGTGACAGCTGTCAGTTCTGCCCTGTGCTCGTCAACAGTCGGCAATATACTAGATTCTATAGAAACAGCGCGGTCACAAAGTGCTGTTATAACAATTCTCCTTCAACTCTACCACTACGACTAAACTTCTGTTGTAAACAATAACTCTCTAGCTGTTATACATTTACTCTGCCCCGGGACCCGTGAAGATCAGGGTTAGAATTGATCTTCAGTGTATAACCCATGCTTGTCGTAAAAGGCGACTAACGGGGTCGGATGGTTAGGCATATCAACTTGCCGTACCATGTTTTCGGGGTATGTCCTTTTCCCGTAATTTCTCGCGTACAGTGAGAGGACAGGGCCACATGAAACGCCGTCTCCAGTGCAGAAGCTTTGAACAGTGGCAACCGGGACACAAATGTTTGAAATATCCAGCTTTCACGTAAGTTGGGACCTAAACTTCTGTCAAAGTACTAAAATTCTACCCTAGAACGTAATGCACTTTCAGAACCTTCATAAATGTGATCATAACTTTTGAAATAAAGCTCGTAACTTGTCAAGCGGACCATCGTCTGCGAGAGTGAAAAGCCAAGCATAAACATCACGTGACTCCAATGGAATGACGTAATTAAAAAGTATGGAAGACCGGATTGGTCATCTCGTACATATTTGTTTTTCCGTGTCGCAGAATTGGTCTCGGCAATACAGGCGCTACAGCCAAAACGATCTTACCAACGCATTTAAAGCTGTAATTGAAGATAAAACAAGAAGACAAAGTCATCAATATCCCCCGCAACGGCAAAATACTCTTTATGAATATGTCTGCTAGTTATGATTTTGTCAAATGTTTTGGAGGGTATACAGCAAAGTGGAAGGAGAGTATTGAAAGGTTTTTAAGATCTGCTCCAGAAAGGAGCACTACCACCAAATTCAGTTGAAGCCTTACTTGTTGCCATGGAAATGCAACAAGATGACATCTTCATAGTCACAGCAAAAGTCATGTTTCCATTGAAACAGCAAAAACATAAAATTTATATATGGGTCTAACCCGCAAAAGGCACATCTAGGGATCATGCTTGATATGTGTACCATTTTTAGTGAAGCTAGCATGTATAGTTTGGAAGATCTGCTCCGGACAAGATGACATCTCATAGCCACAGCTTAAGTCACGTTTCCATGGAAACCGCAAAAAATAACATTCATATCTGGGTCTAAACCCCAAAAGGCACATCTAGGGATCATGGCTGACATGTGTACCAAGTGTGGTTAAGTTATCACGAATAGTTTAGGAGATATGCTTCGGACAAAGTGTGACGGACGCACGGACGGGCGCACGGACGCAACTTCGTTGCTGCGGGGAAAATAAGTGTTTATAAAGCATAACGTGTTTTATTGTCCCCGCCATGTCGTGCCATGCAGACAAGAAGAATGAATGTGCTCGATTGAATACCTTACCTGTAAATATGTTTATTTTAACAATTTTCACACAAAAACACTCAAATAAAATGACCAGTTTGCTTGACTTTTTATTAAAATGCCATGTTGTATTTGTTGACTTCCTGGGAGAAGAATCCATCACCTGGGCTTCCAAACAAGGTCGTGACCCCGCGCTATAACGAGTAACGGAGAACCTTTAGAATACAGCACCACAACTTCTCGTGAGGACGATCTCTGCCGTAGGTCACGTGTCATTAAGACAAGCAACCAGTTTGTGAAAACCCGTCGGACGCGAACCCGCGACCTTCGGATTGTTAGCTCGACAGCTAACCGACTGAGCTACGTCCATACTGTTGCACAATGTGCAAATTTATCGAGTCATTCCTGTGACGTCACGGAAATGAACGGAAAGAGTCAATAGGTCACGGACAATTACGAATGCTACGGGTAGACTTGGTGGGTCGTGATTTTATTCTCCGGACAATTGCCGAATGGATCCGATGCCGTTTGGCACACTCGTCCCATTCCGTTATCTACAAATTAACGTGTGGCGTGGAATGAGCCGATATGCCTCAAGCTGAAAAGGGTTGTTGACGTCAGGCGTCAGACGTAGATTTCACGGTGCATGCATGAATGACTCGCTTTTATATAAATCGGTGATATTGTGACAGAAAAGTGATGTAGGGAACACTGTAAGGATAATGTGGATCGCACTAAAGAACGAGGGAGACATGAGCATGTGTAGTGACGGCACGAGGGTGAGTTTACAAAATTTATGTTGCGTGTGAAAGAGGCTTGAGTGCAAATTCCAGACCAATTTCAATTAGCCCAAAATTTCTACATTAAACCATTTCATAATGTACTTTCGACGTTTTTGGTTTCCCGTTTTTGTGTGAAAAAAAGTATTAAAATGCAAAAAGGAAAAACAACAAATGGTACTCACGTATTACACCGGACATGTACCTGCTATATTGGATTAGGTCCCCAACCCTAACCCTAACCCTAAACCCTAAACCCTCAGCCCTAACCCTAACCCTAACCCCTTGAAATAATCCTAATAAATAGAATGCATTGACAGAACCACCGGACATGTACCTACTATATTGCATTAGGTCCCCAACCCTAAACCCCTAGTCCTAGTCCTAGTCCTAGTGCTAGTCCTAGCCCTAGCCCTAGCCCTAGCCCTAACCCCAATCCCTTGAATTAATCCTAATAAATAGAATGCATTGACCGAACCGGCACAAACACGACTGACGTGTCTAGTGTAATGCATTATTACCGCTTCGAAAAATAAAATACTAATAAAACACTTTTCTATGTAATGGTGCAAATTACTGAATGACAAAAATATATATGTAAATTTAAAAAATTACAAAATACACAAAACATAACACCTCAGCAGCCCGTAATACAAATAAATATGAGCGTATTACTGAACAAATTTTTTTTATTTCAAACTGGTGCTTGCAAAATATTGCGCATCCGCCGATATACAACTACTGGAAACTCTCAACATCGTTGGGCTTATGCAATGACATAGCTCGTAGAGATGAAACACCAGTGAGCGGAGCTTATACGCACTCGCTGAGCCAGACAACCGTGTTGCCATGCAAGCGTCATAGGGCATTGTTTCGAGAACGTGCTTTCGAACAAAATCACATAACATTACGTAAAAGGGTATTATGACGTATTTTTAAAGTTTGTGGTGCTGTATTCTAAAGGTAGGCCGGATTAGGTCCCTAACCCTAACCCTAAACCCTCAGCCCTAACCCTAACCCTAAACCCTTGAAATAATCCTAATAAATAGAATGCATGGAGCTGACCGAACCATCGGACATGTACCTACGATATATTGCATTAGGTCCCCAACCCCAACCCAACATAACATTACGTAAAAGGGTATTATGACGTATTTTTAAAGTTTGTGGTGCTGTATTCTAAAGGTAGGCCGTCGCCTTTTACGACAAGCATGGGTTACTGAAGATCAATTCTAACCCGGATCTTCACGGGTGCCGGAGCACAGTTACGGCGTAAAACTAAACTCACTGACTCACTACTGTGCCCCTTCAATATGACACACTGCATGCTGGGTAGTGTGTAAGACTAGTGTCACGGTGGCCGTCTAGGCACAAGAGAGACTTTTATCAACAGAGGTACATTCCACCTTCTGGACAGGATTTGTTTTAGCCTTGGTGGAGGATTTACTGAATGATCAGTCTAAGGACAAAAAAAGTAATGGGGTGGGATGGGTTTGGGTTTGGAGCGTTAGCCTTGATCAAGGATGTACTGAATAATAATTCCATGGACAAAAAGTAATGGGGTGTACGGGAGAGCTGGGTATTTTTAAATTGAATTAAGTGTGTTTTATTGCCAACAAACAGAAAACGAGTGTACAGAGAGATCGACAACCGTCTGTGCAGACTCAAGGAACAGCTTCAGCGTGGACAGAAATCCCCTCTTCAGTTTCTTGACGCCGTCGGCTACCTGCTCAAGCTTGGATAGACTGTAACACTGACACTTGAACACTTGTGATAATGTAATAATGTGGTCTTTCTCTCATCCTGATATGTTGATATGAAACACTTGTGATAATGTGATCTTTTGTTCATCCTTATATGATGATATGAAAACACTGAATGTAAATAGACTGAAAAACTTGACAATTATTGATCTCAATGTGTGATGTATTAAGGTCACACTTTTGATAATGTAATAATTTGGTTTTTCTCTTATCCTGATGTGATATGAGATGAGATGATTAAAACACTGAATGTAAATAGACTGAAAAACTTGACAATTGATCTCAATGATGTGGTACTTTGTGATAACACATGTATTAAAGTCACTTTTAAAATCTGTCTTGTGTCATGTTGTGCATCTTAAGTGGACCAGTCCACTGTATGGAATAGGTAACAGGCAGGAGATTAGTTATGCAACAGACCATAAACTATGTTGTTATAAGCTGTAGGGGTAGTGGCATGTAGGGGTAATGGGTGGTTACCGCCTTGGGGACTTGTGCAGTTCTAATGGAGTAGCAAGGATTTTAAACCCATCAAATAGAAAGTATTTCATTGAAATGTTTTGAGAAAAAGGGTGTTGTGGGTAAAAAGGTTGTACTAGTCAACCTTTAACAGAAGAATACTGTCTATTCTGAAGTAATGGTTGAACAGTATTCTGTCTGTGACAATGCCCCCACACCAGCCCCCGCAACAGTCTGTTCATAACTCATGAAATGTAGGATTTCTTATGTGTGTATTTACTATGATTATCTCAGTGATTGTTACCAGGTGACAGTGACAGGTGCTCACAATATCAACCACTGCCAGGTGAATGCAATATAGATGTATGAGTTAGGTGTCCGTGTAATCTGTTGTGATTATTCCATCTCAATGATTCTTACCTGGTGTCAGTGACAGGTGCTCACAATATCAACCACTGCCAGGTGAATGCAATATAGATGTATCAGTTAGGTGTCCGTGTAATCTGTTGTGATTATTCCATCTCGATTCTTACCTGATGATAGTGAAAGGTTTCACTGCCACAGATGCCGTCACAATTCCATCTCAATGATTGTTACCTGCCACTGCCAGGTGAATGCAATATAGATGTATGAGTTAGGTGTCCGTGTAATCTGTTGTGATTATTCCATCTCAATGATTCTTACCTGATGTCAGTGACAGGTGCTCACAATATCAACCACTGCCAGGTGAATACAATATAGATGTATGAGTTAGGTGTCCGTGTAATCTGTCATGATTATTCCATCTCAATGATTGTTACCTGATGATAGTAAAAGGTTTCACTGCCAGGTGAATGCAATATAGATGTATGAGTTAGGTCTCCGTGTAATCTGTCATGATTATTCCATCTCAATGATTGTTACACAATGATAGTCAACCACTGCCAGGTGAATACAATATAGATGTATGAGTTAGGTGTCCGTGTAATCTGTTGTGATTATTCCATCTCAATGATTGTTACCTGATGATAGTAAAGGTGGTGAATCAATCTGTCATGATTATTCCATCTCAATGATTGTTACCTGATGACAGTAAAGGTGCTCACAATATCAACAGGTTTCACTGCCAGGTGAATACAATATAGATGTATGAGTTAGGTCTCCGTGTAATCTGTCATGATTATTCCATCTCAATGATTGTTACCTGATGACAGTAAAAGGTTTCACTGCCAGGTGAATACAATATAGATGTATGAGTTAGGTGTCCGTGTAATCTGTTGTGATTATTCCATCTCAATGATTGTTACCTGGTGACAGTGACAGGTGCTCACAATATCAACCACTGCCAGGTGAATGCAATATAGATGTATGAGTTAGGTGTCCGTGTAATCTGTCATGATTATTCCATCTCAATGATTGTTACCTGATGACAGTAAAAGGTGTCACTGCCAGGTGAATGCAATATAGATGTATGAGTTAGGTGTCCGTGTAATCTATCATGATTATTCCATCTCAATGATTGTTACCTGATGACAGTAAAAGGTGTCACTGCCAGGTGAATGCAATATAGATGTATGAGTTAGGTCTCCGTGTAATCTGTCATGATTACACTGCCAGGTGAATGCAATATAGATGTATGAGTTAGGTGTCCGTGTAATCTGTTGTGATTATTCCATCTCAATGATTGTTACCTGGTGACAGTGACAGGTGCTCACAATATCAACCACTGCCAGGTGAATGCAATATAGATGTATGAGTTAGGTGTCCGTGTAATCTGTTGTGATTATTCCATCTCAATGATTCTTACCTGGTGTCAGTGACAGGTGCTCACAATATCAACCACTGCCAGGTGAATACAATATAGATGTATCAGTTAAATATCCGTGGTAATTCTTCAACATGTTCATGTTATGTGTTTTCAGGTTAAATCGGACTTGGAAACTAAAGCAAGTAGAACGTTTACAACGTACAAGGCCATAAGTTACCGTACACAAGTTGTATCAGGAATCAACTACTTTATTAAGGTAACCATGGTAACTGCCAGCCTTATAAAAGACTCTTACTTAAGTATGTCCACAGCACTATGTTAATAGTTTTTGGATCAGATATCAAACTCGTTGATTGCATGTGTTCGTATGTTGCTCTTTATGTCAACCACTGGTTTTGTAGGACCAGGCTAGATGAACTGCAGGCTCTCGTGATATAGCTGGAATATTGCGGTATAAAAAATCATTCATATAATATGTTTAAGGTTCGTACGGACTTGCTAAATCGAGCAAAGAGAATACATATTACACTGTTAAAACCTTCTGTTCACTACCTGGTATATTGCTGATTAGGGTGTGAAAAATCATTCATATAGTCTGTTTTAAGGTTCGAGAGGACTAGCAAAATCGAACAAAGAGAATACATATTACACTGTTAAAACCTTCTGTTCACTACCTGGAATATTGCTGATTGTGGTGGGAAGCATTAGTTACTCACTTACTTGCTGAGAGTAAATAAGCATGAGCTGTATCAATTTACCAAAGTATTTGGTCCTTGGAGATGCTTGGTATCCCAATTATGTTCCTGTAGCTGGAATATTGGTGATGAAATACTGAGTGTAGTGTTTAACAATAAACAAACAAATGACTAGGGATAAATAACAATCTTTGCCTCACTCATTTCACTGAGTTTTCATTTCTTATGTCACACGTGAATTTGTCAAACTTGACAATATAGATTCCATCCCAGTCCAGAAAAACATTAACATTATAATTATGATTATTGAAAAATAGTGACCCAAGCATGTTGCATGAATATCTGTGATGTCGTAATCATCAACGTTCTTGTAAAGAAAGCTCCACCATCATGACAATACAAATATCATCATCATCATCATCACCATCATACTTTTCAGGTGGATGTTGGTGACCAATACTATCATCTGAGGATATTCAACCCCCTCCCCTACATGAACAGCGGACCTTCCCTTGTTGCATATCAAAGAGGAAAAACCGGAAAGTCGGAACTGAGTTATTTTAAATAGTCTCCGTAGTCTTGTCAAAGTTGATATTCACAGTGCTGGCTAAACAGATCTATAATCAGAGACATTGTCAAAGAGAAGAATTTTAAACAATTATTGATATGAAATATGTTTCATTGATAATATCTTACATGAACTATTTGATGAAATAAAGTTCTGTTTCACATACAAACCACGTTCAGCTTCATTGGCTGCTTCTAGATTATGTTCAGATCGCCGCTACTGATTAGCAACACTTATGACAAGTTAAGATATTGAATTTGGATTTCATGCTTAGGACAATAATGAAATATATCCCTGGGCATTAATCATGCACAACCCACTTTTTAACGATGTACGAAAACACTACGTGTTGTTGTGTATGCTTTGATAACCAAATCCCGCGGATTGAAATGGTAAAATGATTGATCATGGTAACATATTACTTGCAATCTGACAAGAACACACAAAAACGTGAACATCAACAATGCCAGGAATCATGGTCACCATGACTACCCAATCTGAATGTTTTTAACAATGGTTGTTCTGATTGTATGAACCACCACAGGCGACCACAAAAGTACCAGATGTAGCCCTCCCTCGCATGTAATAACGTCTCACAGTCTCCTCATACTGGCAATCAAGCATCGAATTGTTAGCATCGGATTCATCTGCCATTCCCCATGGACTGCTCTAGCACATGCTTGGCTTCTGAGATCGCCCCAAAGATGTTCAAAACGGGTTTATATCGGGTGAGTGAGTGAGTTTAGTTTTACGCCACACTCAGCAATATCCCAGCAATATGGCGGTGGTCTGTAAATAATCGAGCCTGGACCAGACAATCCAGTGATCAACATCATGAGCATCGATCTACGCAATGGGGAACCGATGACATGTGTCTACCAAGTCAACGAGTCTGACCACCCGATCCCGTTAGTCGCTTCATACGACAAGTATTCGTTACTGAAGATCAATTCTATACCGGACCTTCGCTGGTCGGGTTTATATCGGGGCTCTTTGAGGGCCATAGTAATGTTTCTGTGGAAATGATCTCTAAATGGGCGATGACGGTACGAGATGAGGCCTAGCGTTGTCATCCATGCATGAATACCGGACGACTGGCAAGGTGATCAATATATGGCACATAGCTGCATCCATAACTTCCTGCATCGTAGTGAGCGAGTGAGTTAAGTTTTACGCCGCACTCAGCAATATTTCAGCTACATGGCGGTCGTAGTACTCGTTTATTCCTACCGATAATGTTGACCATTGTGTGTCCAAGGTAAAATAAACTAGTACTCAAAAGAAACTATACACAGCAAAATATTACGTAAAATATCACATAAATAAAAATGAAGTGATAAAACCATACTGATCCATGCTACACATGTACAGACCCATCCTTTCAGGAAACAAACGGCAAAACAAGTTAACGAATCGCCTAAACGTCGCAAAAAAATCCAAAACGACTTGTGAGAGAGAGCGGCCCAACAAGGAGCTAATGGATATACTCCTTTAATATAATATGAGCGACGTTTCGGCGTGGCTACTAACACCGTTATGATCACGTGATTGATAACGGTGTTAGTAGCTACACCCAAACGTCGCTCATATAAGTATTAAAGAAGTTGAAATTCCATAGAACTCTCCTAGTTGTTCATCACACCAACTTCTAAATGCCACTCAGAGAAGTTACAGATGGTCATTGCCAGAACCTTCTGCTGCAACCGCGCAATTGTCATCAGACTGATGCTTGGTATTCAAGCACGTCGACACTACCGCGGAGTGCATTTGACTCTTCGAAAGCGACGTCGTTGATTGACATGGGCCAGGTGAGTTCGACATTGGCAGATGCGTGATTGGCGACGTGATGTTCACCGACGAGAGTAGGTTTTTCCTGTACAGTAATGGCGTCCGGACTTGTGTTTACAGACGAGTGGGTCAACGTTAAGAGTTGAATTGCGTTCAGCAAGTCCGACAGTTTGAAGCCGCTAGCGTGATGGTGTGGGGAGGCATTTGCGGTGATCTCAAAACGAGACTTCCTGAATGCTCGAAGATACCGGGATGAAGTTTTGCGACCAGTTGGGTTGCCATTTATCCAGCAACAAGCACGCATCATTGTCTACCAACACGATACCGCAAAGCCTCATACAGCAAGACTGACAAACGACTTTCTGCACAACGCTAACATTTGTCGTCATCAATACGTCGACTTGTTTTGGCGTGTATTGAAGCCAGTGGTGGTCACACTCACTATTGATTCCACATTTGATGACATTATGCAAAGAAAAAACGCCTTGTGGATTTGTGTAAAAATTCACACTATTAAACCACGTGAACAGATGTTATTCTTGTTGCTTCACTCCGTTCAACCGAAGCTGACATGGGTAATGGAGGCGAAGAACGATTTGATATGCCACGAGTGGCGCATATAATGTTCAATCAGGGAGACTATATAAGTTGTAGAGTGTCCCTGGTTGAATTACATATATTTTATGTGAGTAATTATTAAATATGGAAATCTCAGAGCACAACCCTGTGAGGAAATAGGTGTCTACCTCTGATGGCAACGATATTTTATTTTGATATTAAAAATATTTTTCGAACTGAAGCGAGGGAAATCTTATTTCCTTCGGTTGAAGGATGATTAAGAAGGAAATTACTTTCTCCTAGTGGTGTGAAGCCTGGGTGTAAGAGAGTAGTCTGCGCCGGTAGGTGGTGCTAATATGGGTATTTAAGGGGATTTAGATTTGAATTGTTCATTCATGCTCTAGTGCAAGCACGGTCATTACGTTTTATTCACATGCACGCAAGCATATCGTTTTCATTACTTAACATTTTGTTTGTATGCTTCAGATTTGTGACAGTGGGGACAGATTAAGATATGTTGTAATTCAGGCGGGTTTTTGTCGCCAGGTTACAGAGCCAGGGTGATAGCTGCTGTACATGCAGTCACGTGTTGATGTGATTGCTCTGGGCTGAGAGCCGTTATGACACTTTTGTAAGCTGCTGTATGTGCAGTCATACGACGGTGTATATCTCTCTGGGCCGAAGAGCCATTATAATACTAATGTAAGCTGCTGTATGTGCAGTCATACGACGGTGTATATCTCTCTGGGCTGAAGAGCCATTATAATACTAATGTAAGCTGCTGTATGTGCAGTCATACGACGGTGTATATCTCTCTGGGCCGAAGAGCCATTATAATACTAGCATGTATGTGCAGTCATACGACGGTGTATATCTCTCTGGGCTGAAGAGCCATTATAATACTAATGTAAGCTGCTGTATGTGCAGTCATACGACGGTGTATATCTCTCTGGGCTGAAGAGCCATTATAATACTAATGTAAGCTGCGGTATATGCAGTCATACGACGGTGTATATCTCTCTGGGCTGAAGAGCCATTACAATACTAATGTAAGCTGCGGTATATGCAGTCATACGACTGTGTATATCTCTCTGGGTCGAAGAGCCATTATAGTACTAATGTAAGCTGCGGTATATGCAGTCATACGACGGTGTATATCTCTCTGGGCTGAAGAGCCATTATAATACTAATGTAAGCTGCTGTATATGCAGTCATACGACGGTGTATATCTCTCTGGGCTGAAGAGCCATTATAATACTAATGTAAGCTGCTGTATGTGCAGTCATACGACTGTGTATATCTCTCTGGGCTGAAGAGCCATTCTAATACTAATGTAAGCTGCTGTATGTGCAGTGATACGACTGTGTATATCTCTCTGGGCTGAAGAGCCATTATAGTACTAATGTAAGCTGCTGTATGTGCAGTCATACGACGGTGTATATCTCTATGGGCTGAAGAGCCATTATAATACTAATGTAAGCTGCTGTATGTGCAGTCATACGACGGTGTATATCTCTCTGGGCTGAAGAGCCATTATAGTACTAATGTAAGCTGCGGTATGTGCAGTCATACGACGGTGTATATCTCTCTGGGCTGAAGAGCCATTATAATACTAATGTAAGCTGCTGTATATGCAGTCATACGACGGTGAATGAATGAATGAATGAATGAATGAATGAATGAATGAATGAATGTTCTTTATTTCCACCAATGGTTTGATGAGTTATACATCCAGTATGTATATATTTTTAGAGCATAACACACATTTGTGACAAAATGGAAAGTTCAATAATATTTGAAAAATTCAACAGAACATAAAAAATCATAGCTCTTGGCAACAGATGATCACTGGGCAATATGTACAAAGCATTGCATGGTATTCTTATAAATACAGAATGCTGGCTAGGTTCCATGCACTGATGCGTTTTGCAATAATGCTCATGAACCTAGCCCAGCTATCGAGAGTCATGTCCTGCACAACCGGAGTAATGGAACCAAGGTATGTGAGGATTTTAACCTCGTCTTCAGCATCTTCGAGTCTCATATACGTGTCAAGAGACACGTTATCAAACAGATGCTCGCTCAGTGCGTTCCTGTTTTCTACCAGCTTGTCACAGTATAGGAGTTGATGTTTTACAATGTCCTCACTTTCAGTCTCGCATATAAGACACAGTCCAAGTGTGACGGGCAGTATACCCAACTTTATCAGAGCATAGACAGGAGGGGTGGCCATGTTATACCACAAACATAGGTTCCATAGACGATGAGGAGAGAGGCGCGTATGAATGGCACCAAATCTCTGCATATTTGGACGCTCTTGGAGTTTATTTCTCCATTCAGTGTGTTCGTGGTGGCATATAGCCTTCTGTACCATGGAATTCCATACATTTTTGCATGGAAATTCTCCTGTTGTCATGAAGGTGTCAATGATATCTGAAAATCCATATTTGTGAGCTGCATTCAAGAGGTCATGGGCAATCGATCTTGTACTTTTTACCACAGTAGACATATATTCCGCGAATCTCAAATACATGATAGGCTTCACAATACTGGTACTGGCTGAGCGACAGAGTCGGCCCCAAAACAGGAGCTTTGATTTATCTACTCTGCCTTGCATTGACCAAAGCCCTAGTACCTGAGCTGTAGCAACTGTAGGAGATCTCTTGTGGAGGTTCTGGACTCTTCTAGCAAAGTAGCGCTGGACAATTTCCATTTCATTCATCTCAGTGCTGCTGATATTGCTCCCTGGGCTGAAGAGCCATTATAATACTAATGTAAGCTGCTGTATATGCAGTCATACGACGGTGTATATCTCTCTGGGCT